CTGCCCGACCCTGTCCTCTCGCATTCTATCGCGAGTTGAAACAAGGTTGAATTCCCTCTTATAGGAATCTTCAAAACAATAATAATCGACACCCACTAACCTGGAGCGCCCACCTTCCTCTCTCGCTCATCCGACGCCAGCGCCGCCGCATAACCTTAAGTGCGCACCGCTCGCCTCCGTAACCCGATCAGCCAGCCAGCCAAGCCAGCTAGCCAGCCCGCCGCCGCATCGTGCCGCACAGCCCTGTACCAGCCGGGCCTAGCCAAAAGTACGACACCGATAAAGTTGTATCTCGCCAGAGTTACTACACCTGCTTGACACGCACTTAGCGCTCATCAGTGAGTATCGTCATTCCGTGATTCCGTCCCTTCCTTCTCCACTGCCTTCCCCATTGCTTCACCTCCCCCTCCGACTGCTTCACTGGCCCCTGTCGCCCCCTGGCATGACAAGGTCAGTCAACGCCGATCGAACGGTGTGTGTCTTGTCGTCCGGTCGCTCGGGTATGACCTCACCAGTCGCCGTCGCTGGCAAATCGTTGATGGTCAACAATCGCCGCGCGGCTCACTCTGATCTGCACCGCGCGTCGGGCGGTAGCAGCGCACGCATTGCCTTGGGGTTCTCCCATCGGTAATGCGCCTGCGTACACAATATGCCGATCACTGGGGCCAGACGCACGCTGACGCCGCCTGGAGTACCGTCGCTTACATCCCCGCAGGTCGTCCACCTCTGCTCCAGTTTCAACAAGCAGTGGCGAGACCCTTTCGACTTTCCTTCTCCCCTGCTTCTCCTGTCCAAGCCTTCCCCACAGGCCGAAGCAACGAACGATACGTGTGGCCGCTTAAGAGCGAGAACCGTTGGACCTCTACCTGGTCACACCTTCACTTTCACGCCATCATCCCCCCAGCCTTAGTTCTGCTGGATGGCCCTCACTTCCTCCCCCTACTCCGCTCAACTCACGCCGACGCAGCTGGGCGGAAACTTTCACAGCTCGCCGTCTAGGATCTCCACCATGTCCGCGCGTACAGTGTCCATTAACATGGACGGCACCCTCGGCGACTATGGCAATGAGACGGACCAGCCTAGTCTCGACATGAACGACATGGTCGCCGACTTTGACGGCACGGGTGTCTTGAACTTTGGCCAGCCTGAAGAGGCCAAGGATGGGCAAACTGGTGAGTTGCCCTTTTGTTTTCTGCTGTTCTTTTCCTGAACGGCGACGCCCAGATTTGAACTCTACTGACGCCACCGCAGACCCCGACCTCCAACGGACGAGCGGCGGCCCAACACCTACGTCTTCCCATATGCCGCTGGCGTCGAGTTCGCAACCGCCGCCGACGAACATTGACGACATGTTCAAGACTGAGACTGGGCTCGATGGTCCCAGCGACGATGAGGACGAGGACTCGCCGGCGCCGCAACCCAAACGCAGGCGAGAGACCCAGGACGTCCCGGGAGGCTTCACGCTCGCGGACAAGGATGGTGAGACCGGTCGGCGCAAGATCCGCATCGAGTACATCACCGACAAGTCGCGGAGACATATCACTTTCTCCAAGCGTAAATCTGGAATCATGAAGAAGGTAGGCTACTCCTATGACGCTTGAGCTAACATCAGGCGTCCGAGCTGTCGATTCTCACCGGCACCCAGATCATGTTGCTCGTCGTCTCCGAGACGGGTCTCGTCTACACGTTTACGACCGAGAAGCTGCAACCTCTCGTGACCAAGAACGAGGGACGGAATCTTATCCACGCTTGTCTCAAGTCGTCTGACGGCATTGGGCCCGATGGGCAGCCGATCGGACCACTCGTCGGTACGAAGGGAGGGAAGAATGGCGGATTGTCGATCCGCCCGCACAAGCTCAGCGCAGAAGCGAGCAAGGCCATGTTGGCTACTGCAGCTCAGGTGGCGGGGGCGACCCCGGACGAGGCGGCCGCGCATGCAGAGGCCCAAACGCGGTCCATGGCCGCCATCGGCAACGGCACGCCGGTCGCGCAGCGCCCCAAGAAGCGCTTGCCGTCAAAGAAGCGCTCGGCTTCGCAGCCCAACCTGTCGACCGATGTGCCCACTGCGCCGGACGTTATCCCGCCGGTGCCGCCGATCCCCGACATGCACCGCCAGTCCTCTCCGACGACTCACATGGGCCTTCCGCATCCGCAGCAGCACCCGAATCCGCTCCAGTCGCCACTGTCCGGAGGTTACCACATGGGCATGCCGAGTCCCAACGCATACCAGTACCCGCCACCTACGCCGTCTGGACCTGGTGACTATGCGGCCGCCCCGCTGCAGTACGGCTACCCGCAGCAGGCGGGCCACCCCGGGTTCCTCGTACACCCCGGCATGTACCAGCAGCCCCCGCCCCACCCTCAGCAGCAGGACGACCGGCGGATGATGCAGGGCCCGCCCATGTGACATTAGACGGTTGTCATTGACCAAGGTGGGGGGGCGATCAGCCATGCCTCCCACTGCGACCGTGACCGCCGACACCCGCATAGACCATCATCATCCAATGGATACCCAAGCACACTCAACACATCGCTTTTCTTTTTCAAGCATCTCTCCAGCATTTTTTTCGCTTTTCACCTTCACATTTGCCAGGAGCCACCCTAGTGACTTCCTGGCACGAGCAGCGCCGAGGTGCTCCTGTTGTTTTCATTTTCTTCACGACCAGTTCACCACCTTCGTCCGCACCGCGCGTTATTTTATGATTTGACGAGTTCTCCGCTTTTCTCTTTTTAGCACACCACAATCACCAACTATCTACACTACAGCCCCACCTACTATTAAGCACCCGTCGCCGCCCACTACACTATATATTTCCTTTCCCCTTTCCCTTGCTCCCAACTCCTCAACCCAGGCCTGTAATCGATACCCCGCCCGGACATACCGCTCCGAGCCTAGTTAACTCAAGTATATTTGGTGGATCATATGTCACCGTGTGATGATGTACTCTACTGCAGCAGTTAAAGTCAACACTGATACATAAAAGTTACAAGAAAGGAAGGAACAGCCGAGGAAGACCAAAAAATGTTGTTTGAGGGTATCGACGCCACGAGGGTATGAGGTGCGGGCTAGTGAACGCGCTAGTGAGCCGGCGGCGGCGGCGAGTGGGCGGGGTACCGAACAGTTCGGGGCCCAGACCTGACTGGTTTGCTAGTAGGCCCTACGCCTGCTCCGATCACAGAGAAGTCACAGCGAGGAGTGATTCAAGTGAGCAAGTGAGGAGGGTTAAAGGTACGGCGTAGAGGTAACGACACCAGGCAGCGCATGGCGCTCGGCATGCGTCGGCGTCGCGGGGGCGGAGACGGCGACAATGAACGAGGATGCGGGGGAGGGCGTGGGTGTCGGATTCCCAGTGGTTAAAGCGATGGCGATGGGGTGCTGCTTCAGCGGGGAGGGGTGGGCGAGCGCGCTGCCCGAGAGGAGGAGGGTGGAGAGGAGGGTGGAGAGGAGCATGGTGCTGGGCTCGGAGCGGCTTTGAGTGCGGCTTTGGAGTTCGTTGGGAACGCGGAGTGGGCGTGATGAGATTAGGCGATGGGGACTGGAGTTGGTGAAGATGAGAGGAGAGGAGAGAAGAGAAAGAGAGTAGATCGCTCGAGCAGTCCAGTTCAGGTGCTTAATGAGTGTAAGAACGAGCGAGCGATGGAATCGGGAGAAGATAGAAGGTAGAAGGGAGAGAAGGTATGCGAATGGGTGCTGTCTTTTGTTCAGACGAGGTGCTCGAGGTGCTCGAGGCAGACCAAAGGCTACATGAGCATATGAGCAGAGGCACTGGGTATCACCAGACGCGTCTCCACTGAGACGCTCAGATGTTGCGCTCAGGTCTCTTGGGGCCCATCTGCAAGAACTGGATCTAGGAGAGCAGAGGGCATACGGTCTGACCGGATTCTCGATCTGTTCCAGACCCCCATACACTCTGCACGCGCACGATCGCGTCTCTGTCACTCCCCTTCCCTTCAGACAAAGCACAGGTCGCATTCATCTCGGTGGCAACTACCTCTGCCTGGCATGCGCGGGAAGTCCGGGGGCGTTCAGGCGTTCAGGCGTTGAAGTGAGGCGCCCAGGTCCAGGCATGCAGGCGTCGGGATGGGTACCTCGGCCGGGGCGGCCGGATGCATACCGTTACGCCCTACAGCCCTGTTCTGTGAATACGAGCGAGAGCGCCCGTACACATATGTTTACCCATATGTGCCTACTATCAAATGTAGAGGAGGAGACTTGTGCTGAGGCGTAGAACGCGACGAATGAGTGAGTCAGAGGGTTCAGAAATGAGTTGAGTTGAGATTCCGTAAGAAACGCCACCCGGGCCACCTATGAATAAAGGTGGTCAATACGCTCGGATCGGGAGGACCCCAGACGCTTGGGCCTCCGCTCCTTCCCTTCTCCCTTCCTCTGTCCCTTAAGCCTTAAGCAGAGCGCTAAGCCGGTTGAGATCTGGTTTATTCAGCAGCAGCGTCCTGCAGAGCTGCAGAACATCCAGCCGGTCTGACTGCAGTCCTGGATATCCTGGAGGGTTCCGGGTTCTGCGTCGGCTTGACTGGGCTGGCTGTAAGTCTGAGCAGGCTGGGATGTACCGTGTGCCTCCCTCCACACGGATCACAAACGTATATGGGGCCCGGATGCTCGGATGCTGCCACCCAAAAAACGAGGGATTGTGAGTCAGTTACCCGGCCAGACTCCGAGCCCACTTGCCGGTAGCTGCCTGATAACGAGGCATGTATATTCGCACTGACCCAAGTCTTTCTACGTATGGGGGGCAGGGAGGGAGAGGAGGAATTTTCGAGACAACGCACTCCCACCCTTCTGAGAACGAGCAGTAACGTTCTTAGCGCCGACTCACCCATCGCACAGGACGTCCCGGTCGCGGGGTTGGCACGGATATCCTCAATCTGCACAGATACGAGGATTGGCGAGAGGGTTTAGCTCAATGAAGCTTCTTAGTGATGCACGGAAATGTATGGGTAGGGATGAGTCGCACTGACCTTTTTCCCTCATCCTCCCTCTTACCACAAGACAATAACTCTTATACCAGACCCGTCTTTATCAATTCCCCTGCAGACCAGACAACGCACAACTACTCGCATCCTCACACTGCCTCACCAGTACACATGTCATTGCCTTCCCCGCTTCCGCTCTTATCAGATTAGCCTAGTGCGAAGGGGCACAGTTCTGAAACAACCTCCACCGCCACACTCCCCCTTAGTATCTACCATCACCACCGTACACTCCTCTACCGTGAAATTTCCGTTTCTCGACGTTTTCTCGATGCTCTCAGTCTCAAACCTTGCTCAGGAGGTAAAAGAGACGCACAAAAAGGTCACGACGGGGATCGAACCCGCAATCTCCTGATTGAGCTACGAAATCGTAGTCAGACGCCTTGCCATTGGGCCACGCGACCGGATGAGAATCAGCGTCGTCGTTGGAATATGACCGCTCGGCAGACACTGCGGCCGTGGGCTGCTGGGCTTCGGGGCTGGCGCATGGGGCTCTTTATTGATCGGCAAGCGTGCTGTGGAGTTGAGGAACGTGTGCAGAGGAGTCGAAGCCCCAATGGGACTGGCGTCGTGGAACGCAACTGCCACAATCTCTGCTCCTGGGTGACATCGGCAGGCCCCCTCGGCATAGCCATGAAGTCTGCTCTGCAAATAAGGGTCGTTAGCAGCCTGAGGCTGAGTTAGAACGTTGGTGCTGTCAGTTGAGTAGGAGCCAGATGCGTAGAACTGAGGTGAGGGATGTCTACCTGTGGTCACGCCTGTGTGCGCTCCGCGCTTCAGACACGTCAAGAGTTAGTACCCAAACTGTCCCCAACCATCACCGGACCGTTCGCAAGCCTGTGTACTTCTTATACTTCACATCTCCCTGCAGCATAATGACTGCAGTTTTATCTAGATTTAGCAACCTTCGCAGGCGCTCTTAGAGCTTGGCAGCAACGTCAGACTGGCGGTCAGCGCGTCCCCGTCCGCGCCCCGAGTCGGGGTAGTAGCTACTGACGACCTTGCTGGTCTTGGCCGGGAACCAGGTGATCTTGCCGTCCTTGACGAGGAACTTGGAGAAGTTCCAGTCAATGTTTTCGACGGGCGGCTCAGCGTGCGCCTTCAGGTACTTCCAGATCGGCTGCGTGTCGGGGCCGTTGACGTCGCCCTGGGGGTCAGCTGGGCTCCGAGGACTTCTCAGGGCGAAAGGAGAGGGATCGGACTTGGGAGAGGCAGAGAGAGGCCGGTGTAAAACTCAAGAGGAGCTCGCTGTCGCCCGCCTCGCCCGCCTCGCCCGCCTCGCTCGTGGAGACTCACCTTCTTGGCAATCGGGAAGGTGACGCCGTAGTTGACCTGGCAGAAGGACTGGATCTCCTCGTCGGATCCGGGCTCCTGGTTCTTGAACTGGGGTGTCAGTCTTGTGTGCGTTCACGAAAGCTCGCGCCCACGGCGCTCACCGTACGCACCTGGTTGCACGGGAACCCGATGATCTGGAGCTTGTCGCCGTCCTTGTCCTGGAGCGCCTGCAGGTCCTTGTACTGGGGCGTGAGGCCGCACTTGCTCGCGACGTTGACGAAGAGGAGGTCCTTGCCGTTGGTCTTGTACGGCGCGAGGTCGAGCTCGCCCTTGGGGAGCTGGACCTTGAACGAGTAAATGTCAGACATGGCGCGGTGGAGGAGGCGAGTGGGTCTAATGGTGGGCTTGGGTGTCAGCTGGCGGTAGAAGACAAGGAGCTCACATTAAAGAAGGTTGTGAGTAATGAGGAAGAAGCAACTGTGTGAGCCGAGTGTGAGACGGCTCCGGCACACACAAGTCCTATCTCGCAGACGGACCGGGGATGGCGTGCTGCCGCCGTCATAACCGCAACTGCTCGCTCATGTCAGCAGCCAGTCACACGCCAGGGAATCACCGACCCCCACCACCGCAGCGGACATGACCGATAGATACCGGGGTATACCCGCTGATTACGAACCCATTAGCAGAAGTCGATTAGAAAGTCCCTAATGAAGCAGGGGATTAGCGGAAGCAGAGCCACGCGTCTCGATGGCTGTCGCCACGTCCGCAATGAACACGATAGCGGGACCAGCAGAGCCCAGTGGCCAGCACGGCCAGCACGACCCATCGCGCGACACGAAAGCGACATTCTCGATCTTCAGCATTTAACAACAACCCCCGATCCCTACACCATGGTGAGTCCTCGTGCTGACCCTCCACTATGCGGCTTCATCAGGATAGACGCCGGCAGATGCCTCTTCAGCTTTGATGCGTAGATCGCAATCCCGGAAGCCTGTGCATACCCAGCTGCGCACTCTTGAAGATGACATTTGTGGAGGTTGACCACCGAGCTGTTTGTGGATGTTGCGATGAGCTGACATCAGGCCGACGACAAACGCCCATCCTCCCCCGCCGGCGGCGCCTCGTCCGCCTTTGCCGTCGCGCGTCCTCCTGGAGCTAACGCCGTTCGGTAAGTTGGATCCGGCCCCCTTTGTGCGAAGTCGCTGACGCTGTCCCTCCTCGACAACTTGATCGCTGCTCCGCCCGCTCATCGACATTTGTTCTCTGCCAATGTCCTGCCTGCTCTGGTTTCGAATCGCCGCAACGTAACCACCTGCAGCCGCCGTGCCCCCGCTGCGCCCCGCCCCTCGTCTGCCCGCGCCGCCGGCGCCGGCGGATCAAGCTCGACCATGATGAAGCTCTACACCGACTCTGGCGAGGCTGGTCTCAAGGTGTAAGTTGCAGCTGAGCTGCCCAAGCTTTACGGATGAGCTGTAGCTGACCTCTCAGTGACCCCTTCGTTGTCATTGTTCTTGCACTCTCGTTCATCGCCTCCATCTTCTTCCTCCACATTGCCGCCAAGATTGTTCGCGCCTTCGCGTCGAAGTAAAAACTCACCAGCTAAGCTTACTCTTAATAGATTTGGACGGTTGTCATGCATGTAGGGATCTAGCAGACGAAACTGGCTCGATTGCCAACCCTTCAACCCTCGCAGATCACATCAATACGTTTATGCTTACAACAGGACTTCACCGAAGACTTTCCTCCATTCGCTTCTCTACTCTGTTCTTGGCTCTAGATTATGGCTCAGAACTGGTCCCGGACCTGGCGCAGAATGACGCCCGCATCGCGGAGGAGACCCGGATCCTTGCCCGCCGAGTCGGAAACGTCGACCTGGCGGTTCCACCCCATCTGCTCTGCCTCGCCGTCGCTCTCGTCCTCCTCGCCCACCTCGCCCGGAATCGGCGCCAGGCTGCTGTGGTGGTGGAACTTGCTGTCGGGGGACCGGCCGCCCATGCTCAGCCCCGAGACGCCGGATATGCCGAGTGCCCCGCCTGCCCCGCCTGGAGCTGCACTCCGGGGCTCATTCGCCATGGCGCGGTCGAGGAAGAGGGACGCGCCCGGATCCATCGGCTGCCAGTCTGGATGCGCGTGCTTGAAGTGCAGCACCGACTGCTCCATCTTGGCGTCTGTGAAGGTCCGCCGGCCCTTCCTGTTCCGGCTCAATGGACGCTCGGGCGGGACATGTTCCGCCTGGCCCGCATGGCCGGCAGAGGGCGCGCCAACGTTGCCGTCGCGCTTGAAGTCGAACACGGCGAACGAGCACACATACCCGAGGTCCTCGACGTGGATCGAGTTCTCGCGGAAGAAGTCGATGAGCGCCTCGGCGCACTGCGGGAGCGAGAAGAGCAGGATGAACGGCGTCAGGAGCACGCCGAGGAGCTCCTGCGCGAACACCATGAGCTTCAGTTGGAACAGCACGCCGAATTGGGCTAGTACGACTTGGCTGTGGAGCTGGCCCCGCCAGCTGTCGGGGCAGTAGTGCGTGTAGTGGATTACCTCCTGCATGTGTCGGGCTGGGTCGAAGGCGTGGTTGTCGGGCGGAATCATGCCGCGGGCTACCGCGAGAATCACTCCGAACACTCCGAGGTACCACAGGAGCGTGCGGTGTGGGCTGAGCTCAAAATTGGACAGGAGCTCGGGGTGCACCATGCCTGCCGCGATGAGGACGGCGGCAAACGAGCCAGCGACGAACGCGACGAACCTGTCTGTCAGCTAGCGCCTCAGCCGTTTTAGCTCACTTCATGACGAGCGCTGTGCGCTGTTTCGGGAACTGGTCAATGTACTCCTTTGCGACCTCATAGCCCTCGTCCAGCCTCCGATTCAGGAGGTGTGGGAGCTCGTTGAACTCGCGGAACTTGTACCGCGCGAACAGCGTATACTGCCTCCCTCCCAGCGTCGCGGGATGCTCCTTCAGTTCCTGGAAGTAGCGGAAGAAGGAGTAGACAAGCACATAGACGACGATGAACGGGGCACAGAGCGCGTTGATGACGCCCATCTGCTGGAAACGGCGGCGCAGCTGGCCGACGAGGTCTTTACGGCCACGGCCCTGTACCATCTCTGGCTTGACGCGGCCGTGGGCGTCGAAGAAGTACGAGACGATTACGAAACGCAAGTTCTGCTCCAGTGCGCGAGTCAGCACGTTCCCGCCGAAGGTCAGGTAGAAGCGTTCATGCTCGTCGCCCGCCTGTCGGGGCAGCTCTGACTGTCGCGTGATCAGCGACGGGGGAATGAGGTGCACCAGCCGCTTCGGAATGGGCAGGCGTGCACGCAAGTCGAGCACATCCTTGTTGAACAGCGCGATGAAGTAGTTCTCGCGCCGGAGAATGCGGCTGAGGTCAGCTTGGGGTCCAGTATGGGAAGAGCTATAACTCACTTCGCAATGTCGTGTGCGTCGAGCTTGACCTTGCTGACACGCTCGTTGCCGAGGAAGTCTTGCAGCGCCGTTCCGCCGCCGTTGCCCAATGACGTGAGCGGGTTCTCGTTTCGAATCTCGCCGATACGCTTCACGATCTCGGGCCAGGGTAACGTCTGGATGTCCGACTGGGGTCAGTTCATGCGCAGGGATAATGAAACTTACGTCCTCAATCTTCAGCAGATATGTGTAGAATCGGTACATGTCGATGAGACGGGGCACGCGCGCGACAAAGCCAATCAGCTTGATCACGAGGAAAGCAGCGATGACGACGAGGAAGAGAATATGCGTCACCGTCTTCCGTGTAATGCACTGCGGAATGAGCACGTCGTCGAGCCGCCCCGTCGTGTGCGCAAACCGGCCGAGGCGCGAGTAATCGATGCAAGAGACGAGGAAGGTCGAGAAGCCCAAGACAAAGAAAGTCGTACTGAGGTTAGCTTTGAAGAGGTAATGATAGCTTATGGGTCACACTTACAGAAGACCCAACACCTCAGACAGCGCGATACACCAGAAGCCTTTGCCCTCGTAGTACAGATACACCTCGTGGAGAAACTGATCGAGGTCGTCGACGTTCGTCCACTTCCACAGCGCCTTCTCATGCCCGCTCAGCCCTCGCTTGCCGACGTGTGTGACTGTTCTCCGCCGTTCTGGTTCCGGGTTGGCCGTGACGCTGTGGTACACATGCTGACCACGCTTCGTCCGTCCCCCGGACCGAGGTGCCGAGATTAACGGTTGCTCTGGCGGGTCATTGTAGCCCGTGAAGCGGCCCGCGGTAGGCGTGTCGTCGTCAAGCGGCGAGTCCTCGGTTGATGTCGAGTGCGGCGGTGAGGATGGTCGTGAGTGCGTTGGTGAGTGCGACGGCGACGTGGAGGCCGAGTCCGGCTGCCGTCTGAACGGGCCAGGTGAACGCGACTTGTCGGCCCATCGTCGCGGCCCGGGCTTCAGACCAGCCGCAACGGCCAGGCCGACCGGCTTGGCCGGCGACCCTGCACCGTACACAACCGAGCGCGGTGGTTCCTCGTCGCTGCTGGAGCCGATCGCGTCGGCCATAGCAGCAGCAGTTGACGGCCTCGATCCCGACGGTTCGCGGATGGCTGGTGGCGGACGCGGGGTGCGTCGCGGCGATGGGCCCGATGACGAAGCCTGCAGCTCAGCCAGGAGCAGGTTTGAGGGCGAGTCAGGGTCGTTATCGTTATCTCGCTCGTCAGTGTCGTCGTGCCGGTCTGCACGCTCTGGGAGCTGCGACCCGTATGGGTTGAGGAGGTTGAGGAGGGAGTTGGTCGGAGGCGAAGGCATTGCTGCTTCGCCTGCTCATGTGCGGAGTTGGTGAGTGGATGGAAGCAGCTGGCTGACCCCGGTCAACAGCGGTAATGACGCGATGCGAACCGTGACTGACCTGGGTGGCAAATGAGGTTTCCCACGGTAGTCAGTGGCGGAGCGTTACTACAACCAAGGTAAGCTGACCTCACGGGCAAGCTGACTCGCAGTTACTTCCGTGTGCATGCATATTCCGTGCGACTCTGAACCCCGTTAGGGCGTTCCGTACCTTTCTATGTCTGTGGTTCTGTGAGGAGCAGAACAAGTCGGTAGCAGAGCAGGCGGTACAGCCCGTGGCACCTGCAGCCCGTCTGACTGTCCGTGCGCGCCATCCGATCTTCTGTGGTAGCAACTGTATTAAACAAGTTCTGCCAGAAATGATCATGACAGGGGATCCTTCTCTGCCTGGAAATGCACAGTGCACAACAAGGGTTTGCGGCTTCAGCACCAAAGCAGGCTGGCTTGAGGGGGTAGAGCGTGAAGTTGTCTACTTGCCGTCGACTCATCTGTCGTCAACACCGGCAATGACGCAGATTGCATGAGGTCATCTGAGCAGTCTATCCCATTATACCCCAGTGGACGTGCATACGTCGAGGAGCAACGAGAGACGTCCCAACGTTTCGACTCGAAAGGGATACACGGAGCTCAGCTGACACTGATCGTATCAGTGGAACAAAAGAGAGCCGGGCTCAGCAAAGCGTCAGTACTACGGTGGTGTCAGAAGCATAACCAGGCTTTTTCGGCTCGGTCGACTGAGCTTCTTTCCGTCAAGTATCCACATGCAAAGCATCGATGCAACGGATGATGGTCAACTCTGGGATCAACAGGAACGCATTCCGCCACCAGAAGTCGAAGGGATCGACGTCGCCGCCAGCCTTTTCCCCTTCCCACGCTTCCGCAAGCATCGAACACGATTCCTAAGCTCAGTGCATGTCCCTCACATGCATGGGAACACATCATGCGCCGCAGATATCACCCTCATGCATATCGGTTCTGCACAGATTGGTCGCGTGCCCTAAGCTGCGGCGAATTCTGCCACACAGCTCGGCGTTTCTCACGTGGCGTCCAAGGGCTGGTCGCAGCACTGCGCGCTCTAATGTCATTGCTGACGGTGACGAGCAGTCTGACGCTCAGTCGCCATCTCTCTCGACCCAGTCCTCTCGCCGCCTCGTTCAGCTCGTCTCGGTCCCCCTCTTCCCTTCGGAAACAAGCAAGCACCCCTTCTTCCATTGCATGTCTCACACGCCTACCTCGAACACTCCCGGTAATGCCAGCGGTGCTGCGGCCAAGCCGACCCTCACGGGAGTGAGGATCAGGCAGCGCAAGGGCCAGGCCAAGGCTACTGCCAAGTTTGAGCCTGAAGGTTAGTCGATGAGGGCGCCTAGGAAGTCTGCTGTTGTGGTGGCGAGTCGTGCGGCTTTGCTGTCTGCGATGTGCCTACGATCCTTGACGTCAATGTGGGCATTGTTCGATAAGATTGCTGACATATAGCCTTCCGTGACTCTCTCCTCCTTCACCTCGCGCTCGTCCCTACTCCCCCTACTTCGGACGCTCTTGTGACCAAGCTTGTCCAGGCCGGAACCACCCTCGAGTTCCTCAAGTACGCTGACCAGCTCTTTGAGATCCTCTTCGCCGGAGGCCTCCTGCAGCCCGGCGGTTCCTACCTCGACGACAAGCGCTCCCCCGTCTACCTCCTCCAGCCCGCCGACGATGAGAACCTCGGTGGCTGGAACCCCGTGACGGGCATTGTTGAGGTTCTCCAGCGCGTGATTCAGCGCTACCGCTACCTCCAGCGCCCCCTCGAGGACACTTTCCTCCCCCACATTCTCGGCTACCTCCCCAAGTGGACCGAGGAGCAGCGCACTAAGCTCGCCGAGGGTGTCGCCCTCCTCGTCACTGAGGGCCAGATCAATCCCAAGTGTCTGACCTCGCTGGCCAAGGACCACGTCGTCAAGGACAAGGTCGGACTCCACTTCCTCACCGAGTTCTTCCGCACCTACCTGCAGAAGCAGTCGATCGACCACCTTGCCGCGACTCTCCGTCGCTCTGGCCTGCGCGACATTCTCTCGGTCTTCCCCAACCAGATCCGTGACAAGAAGCACCTCGATGACTACTTCAAGGAGCAGAAGCTCCCCCAGATTGTCGACTGGTACGCCAAGGTTGCCCTTTCGGAGACCAAGGACCAGACTGTCCAGGCTATCGCTCGTATGATTAACGACGAGGAGTCGAACGAGCAGATTGTCGAGTTCCTCAAGGCTCAGCAGGCCGAGCGCCCTGTGCCCGAGGCCGACCTTTGCGAGTGGATCTGGCTCGGCTGGATGGCCGCCTTTGACTGGTCGGGTCGTCCCAACGAGCTCGAGAAGGACGTTGTCGCGTACGTCCAGAAGCTCGCCCCCACCCTTGAGCCCTTCTGCAACGGTGCCAAGGCTGAGGTCGGTATCCTGAACACTGTCCAGGTGTTCTGCTACACCGACACGCGCATCATGAAGGCGTTCCCCCAGCTCGTCAAGGTCCTCTACAACGAGGACTGCGTCAGCGACCAGGCCATCATCTACTGGCACAACAAGGGTGCCAAGCCCCAGGGCAAGCAGCACTTCCTCAAGGTTACCGAGGCGCTCGTGCGCTTCCTCGAGGAGCAGTCGGACGACGAGGACGACGAGTAGAGATCAGACCGATTTTTTAACCAGATTCGAAAGAGCCCGTTATAGATGTTTGGGCTCGCTTGCCGAGTAGTTCCGGCATGTCCATGTAACTATGCATTACGTCGCATAATTTGCTATCGGAGCGCGTGCAGCGTGCGGAGCGTTAGAAATCTATTGTGCGGAGACCAACGAGCCCGGTCGCACGTAGATCGCCGAGCGGAAGCAATTTCGACCTGAACCTCCACGCGCGCCATGTTGTCGCGATGACATGAGGGCCACGTCCGGTGCTCGACACTTCATCAACGAGCACCATGGACGCCGACCCGTTGTACCACGTCAAGCAGCTTTTCCACCAGGGTGAGTTGGGCGGCAGTTGAAACGAAACTGACATTCAGGCGCCTACAAGGGTAAGCTCACAATCTCTTACCAAAGCTCTAACGCCAGCCTGCATCGATGAGGCCTCGACGCAGCCCCTGACCCCGGGCTCGGAGGAGCCCGCTCTCCAGCGCGCAATCTACGTTGCGCGGTCCTACCTCGCCCTTCGCCCGCCCCAGGTCGACGCGGCGCTCAACGTGCTTGCGCCGTTCACCTCGCTCGAGGTCCCGCCGACGCCGGCTCGTGCGGCCGAGGCGCTGGCGAAATACATCCAGACCGGGTCCGAGGACGTGGTCGAGAATGTGCGCGACATTGTGCTCGAGGTGGAGGGCGAGGATAGCGTTGACGAGGGCCTCGTGCGTGCTCTGGCGGGAACCGTCTTCATCCTGGCGGGGGAGAAGGAGGAGGCTGTCGCGACGCTGAACGACGGGGCGGGCCACGACGACCTTGAGTGTCTCGCGCTCCTGACCCAGCTTCTGCTGTCTTTGGACCGCCGGGACCTCGCGCAGTCCACTTTCGCCCACGCGAAGGCTATTGGCAACGATTCGGCACTCGTGCAGGCCATCGAGGCGTGGATCGGACTCAAGACCGGCGCCCGGCCCCTGCACCAGGCTTACTACTACTATGAGGAGCTGTACCAGCTTCCTGGGGGACGGACGCCGGGCGTCCTCGCCGCGCATGCCGCCGCGCACCTTCTCCTCGGACACGAGGACGAGGCCAAGGCCGACATTGCCGACGCCCAGGGCCAGGACCCCAACAATGAGGACGTGCTCGCCGTCGCGACGGCGCTGGGAGACAACGTCGCTGCTGCGTGAGTTCCATGCAAAGAGCTAGCCCGTCCCCCATATCCTTAGCTAACAATGCAGCAAGCTCGCGAACACGAAGCACCCGCTCGCCGCTGACCTGGCGTCCAAGAGCGCGCTCTTCGACGAGGCCGCTGCCAAGTTTGTCTCGGCCTCGGCGTAAGTGCGCCAGTGAAGCCGCTCTGCTCCTTCCAGTCCGCCCCTAGATGTAAAAGTGATTTATGGTATATATGCATTCTATGACTCTAGCCGGCGTACAACTCTTGCTCCTACAACCATCCCCCAACCCTCGAATTTACAACTTGGACTGCGCCGCGTACGCGTCCTGGATCTCCTGCTTTAGTCCCCATTCCCCAGCCGCATAGGTGGTGAGGAAGCGCCATAGCGCGTCCGCGACCTTGTGCGGCTTCTCCTGCGTGATGAGGTGTCCGGCATCCATGACGCGCTCGTTCCTCGGCCGTTGGGGGCGCCACACCATCTCCTGTGTCAGCTCGGGGCCATAGGTCGTAAAGTTTGTTCCGGCCATGACGAATCCGACAGGCATGGGCAAGTATGGCAGCTTGTCCCAGCCCCGAGCCTCGCCCGCCGGCTCCGTGAAGCAGATGCTCTCGCTCCAACTAGGCGTGGCCAGCGTGACGGGTCCAGAGGGGTTGGCATAGTCTACAGGGACGAGGCCATGGGACAGCCAGAGCTCGAACACGGCCGGATCCCAGGCCTTGTAGAAGGGGTTGTCGGCCATGAGCCGTCGCGCTTCGGTGAGGGAGGGCCAGACGTCGCGCCTTTTCAGCGCGCCGGCAGACAGCTTGAAGTGCTTTACGCCGTCGCGGCGCCATTCCTCGGGCGTCACAGGATGCGGGGGACACATGGGGTCGACGAGGAAGACTGCCTCGAACAGCTCTGGCGCGGCATGCGCCGCCTGCACGATGGCGTTGCCGCCGATACTGTGCCCTACGCCAATCACCTTGCGACTGGGTGCTTGCTCCGTGTACTTCAAGTGCCACCCCGCATCTTCCTCCTTCCGGAGAGCGGGGAGGACGTGTTTGACGAAATAGAGCACGTCGCGGCCACAGTCGTCCCAGATCTGCGCGGGGCCAATCGCGCCCGCGTTCAGGTCCATGGACCCGGCCTGGTTCGTGTTGTCCATGAGCCAGACCTCGTCAATCTCGACGGGCTTCTGGTGCTTCAGCGGCTGGTTCGTGCCGAACGTGGCTCCCGGCGCCGAGGGGTCGCGAGCGAGCAGCTCGAGCAGCGCAGGGTGCCACTGTTCCTTCAGCAGCCCGTTCGCGTGCGTCACGACAAGCGTGTATCCGCCCCTCGGCTGCGTGCGGCGCCAGCGCTCCACGCTGCTCCATAATCCCTTTGGCGCGGCCGCGCGCGCCTCGGACAGATCCCAGCGGTGCGCGGCATACTCCTGGTCGATGGAGTAGTTCAGCTCCTCGGCCTGGCGTCTGCTCTTCTCCTCCTTGCTCTCCCTCGCCGGCACAGGAGAGCGGCGATATGGGTGCGAAGACCGCGAGAGGTCGCCGTGGCCCTCCCGGATCTCGCGCGGGTACGCTGCCGGCGCAGCGTGGAAGGAGCGTTCCCACCCCTCCGGCAGGGGCTTCAGCTTCGGTCGGGGCGGTTGCGGGGGCGCCGTCTTCTCGGGGTGAGGGAGGAAGGGGAGGAAGGTGCGCCATGGCACGACGGGGGTCGGTTTCTGCGACTGCTTGGCGAGGTAGGGCGCGTAGTGCGCGAGTTTGCCGCGCTGCATGGTCGGTTCTGATGGTCGGGACATTTGGAAAGAGAGTGTGTAAGGAGTTTATGTACCTCGCGATACTCACGCACTGCACTGAAGCGAGAGCAGCTTGTGGTGCTGATATGGGAGCAAGTAGCCGAGACGTCTCTGTGTGCCCGCGCACTCTCCCGTGGTCGCAGTAGTGATATACTCTCCGCCGGAACCCACGTACCCGGGTCACCGAGTGGGCGCTCATCGGCCGGAACGGCCGGCACCTCTGTCTCTCATCGGTGACTACCGCCTTTGACTGGTTTCATCACGTGACCCACGCGCCCCGACCTCGAAGGGAGAGTTCCCTACGTCATGACGCCGTGCAGATCGCGTGTGTTCAGGCATCCGCGGGGCCACCCGGTGTTCCTGTCCACATCGCAACTCGGTTCACAACAACACCCACACCCTGCATTCCTTCCCCGTCTTCGAAGAACACACGCATTCGCTTCGACGAACGACGGAGGAATGCCTGCGACCGCGAACGCTGAAGCAGGCCCGTCACGGCCACCAGCGGCCCCGCAAGCACACGCCAATGCCGCGGCCAACGTCGAGGCTGGCCCGTCTCGCTTGCGCGGCGTCGGCGACGACCACGCGTCGGCCGTTGCGAACGGTGTCGTCAAGCCGGCGCCTACCGTCGTGCAAGCTTCCCAGCACGGCGTACACACCCTTCCCCGCCGGTTCCTCGGCCCCATGCCCGCATCGCACGTCTACAGTGATCAGACGGAGGAGAAGCGCGCACGCTTACGGCACATGAAGCGGCGAGCGATGAAGAGCATGCTAGGCGACCAGGCGCTGCTGGGGCTCCCGACGTCATCCGGATCAGGCGCAAACTCCCCAGGCAAGAGGGCGCTGCACAAGTTCCGCGTGAAGCGCAAGTCAATCCTGGCCGCGCTGGACGAGGACGAGGCGTTCGAGGTCGCCTCGGGTGATTCCTCGGATACGTCCGATAGCGACGGGACGGTGGACTCGGGATGGCTGAAGAAGAAGAAGAAGCAGCGCAAGAAGAAGAAGGGCAAGAAGGCCAAGAAGAAGGCAAAGGGTGTATTTTCGACCGAGTGGATTGGGGACAGTTTCGACATTGGGCGCGAGTTTGAGGGCAAACACGGCAAGGCACCCGATCCTGCTGTCTCTGGCGCGCATCCCGATGACATGGTTGAGGCGGACCGCGGCGGCTCCGCGCAGGCTGCGAGCAATCGACAAAAGGCCAAGGACGAGCTGAAGCGGCTGGCCAACGACGGTGCGACCGAGGGGCAGTGGGATAGCAGCGACGACGATACGATTCGACCACGCATTACAGACTCGCCGGAATCGTTCCGCCTCAGCTCAAAGGATTCGTCGCCGGAGCAACCCCGCACCGACTCGCCGACAGCGCGGCCAGAGTCGCCGTCACCACTTTCCCAGCAAACCTCGCGGCTGACGTCACGCCGCGGCTCGTCAGCCGCCACCTCGACGATCGCCGAGTCGTTCGTCACCGCCCCCACCCGACCCCTGACAAGCAGGGACGACAGCTCCGACTTTCACGCCAACCTCGAGCCGCCTTCACACCCTGCCCTGACGCACTCCGTCGAGCCGAGTCCGCACTCCTCCCCGCTTATGAAAGGTTCGTCGGCTGCGGACTCTACGCGTCCGCTCATTTCAGACGACGAAAACGAGGTGCGCATCACGCCGGGCGAAAAGGGCAAGGCGCCCGCGGGGCGGCTGTTCAAGAAGTCGCCGACGAAGACGTCCAAGACCTCGAAAGGGTCACGACCGACCGCGCAGCGGCTCAAGTCTGCGCTCAGAACGAGCGTCGACAAGGCCAAGGAGAGGGGAAAGACGGTCCAGTTTCCCGAGGATCCGGCGCATGAGATCCCGCCTGCGCGAGACGACGTCGTGCGCGAGGGCGACAAGAAGCCTGCTGACCCGATGGCCGTGCTCAGTCGCGATGGCGCAGCCATTGACGGGACATCGAGCGGTGCCGCCACGACCGCCTTTGACGACGACGACTTTATGCCGGGTGGTGTTGTCATGCGGGACCGCGCGCTCGTCAAGATTGGACGGCACAGAGGTGACTTTTTGACGCTGTTTGACGAGGAAGCCGAGCGCCGCATGCCCTGCGCCCGTATCGACCCGACGGAGCAGTACATTGTCGCGATGACCATGACCTCGGTCGACATTTACTCGGACTGGCGACTACCCTGCGTCGAGCGCGCAAAGGGCTTCAAACGCCTCGTCTTCTCCATCCCACTCGCGGGACGGACGAGCCTGACGCTGTTCAACCAGGTCGACAAGACCCTCTCTCTCACGTGCCCTTGGACGGCAGTGTACCGGCAGACGATGCGACAGATGTGCTGTGCGGAGGGCGGAAAGTCGACGTCTGCGTGGGACCGCGTGCGCCACGGCAACACGGCCGAGCACTTTGGCATGGAACGCGCCGGGACGGGCGTCTTCGTCCTCATCTTCCAGGAACACTCGCGCGCCCTCGACTGGCACTGGTACCTCGCTGGCCAGCTCGAGTACCGCCTGCCGAAACAGATCGAGATCCGCCTCCCCGCGCTGGCGACGAGTGTGCGCATTCCTGTCCCCTCGGACGCGCCATCGCTCACCATCAACCGCGACGCCATTGCCAAGGAAATGTGGGACCTGATCCTGGCAAGTCATGACAGAAGGCACATGTTCCAGGTACTCGGGCACGTGCCCGCACTCGAGTTTGCGTGGGAGTGCGGCGCTGCCCTCGACTGGGTCGCGTACAACACGACGGTGACCGGGAAGGATAGAGAGTGGGGCCTGTTGGCTAGCTTTGCGCGTTGCGCCGACTTGAAAACCACGCGCGTGCTGCAGCTCAGAGACGCGGCGCACTACGTCACGGACATTACGCTCGACACGGGGGTCAAGCTCAAGGAGCCGGCCAGTATTGAGGGGTACCTCATGCGGCAGACGAGTGACCTCGTCCGCAGCCAGGCACTCTACGTCGCCGTCAATGACGGGTACGCCTTCCTCGCTCCAGCTGCTCTGGCTGACCCGCCACTGCTCCCCAAGAAAGCAGGGAGCACGCCAGCCGACCTCTTTCCCGACGTGCAGAAGGAGTTTCTCGCGAACGAGCGCCGACGCATCTCTCGGTTCATCTCCCGCTGCGTCGCCGTCATGGATCTGCGCGACATTGCTTCCGTCAGACTCACCAAGGCACAGGATCAGCCCAAGGCCGACTCGGACGAGGAGGGCGAGGAGAACATGTCCCACGACCCTGTACCTCGAGAGGGCGAGAGCGACGATCGCGAGTTCCAGGTCGAGCTGCGGAATGGCCAAACCGTCAAGTTTGAGGCACACACGCCCGCCGTCGCTGCCGAATGGGTTGCCCGCTTCCGCGCGCTCGTCGAGTACTGGACAGTGCGCCGGCGCGTGAACGCGCGGCAGGAGATGGACGCAGTGGCGGGTGCTGCGGCATTAGACCTAACATTAGGCCAAACGCCCCACTGGCAGCTATCCCTGTCGCGTCTGTGGAACTGGTGCGTCATCGACGGCTGCCGCGCGATCACAATGGAAGCGCCGCTGTTCATGAAGCAAGGCAAGTGGCCCAAGTTCCGGCAATATCTCGCCGTCCTCTCGAACGGGCGCCTGACCTGTTTCCGGATCAATGGCAACAAGGCCATGCAGCGGAAACACAGCTGGCCTCTGTTTGGCGCGTATGCGTACTCTGGGTTGATGGCGCTGGACGAGCTGCAGGAGAACAACTCGCAGAGCGCCGTGTATCCCAAGGCACGCATCTATGAGGACGGGCTGCAGGCCACGGACGACGCGGAGGACACGACGCTCGCGATTGCGATCACGTGGCCGACGGGACGATGGGCGCCGCCGCAGCCGTGGGAGATTGAAAACCCCGATGGAGATGTCCAGCCGCCGAAGTCCGTGTTCAGGAAGGATCCCCTGTTGCTGCTTTGCAGGGCGAGGAGTAAGGTGAGTCCGCATGAGTTTTCGAGGCCGCAGGCCGAGCGGCAGGTGCCGGGTGACGGTGGCCTGCCGCTCGGCCCATTCGAAGCATCCGGGGTCCCGCGTCCCCGCCAAGCCACAATTGCACTGTCTTTCCGTCCGCCTTCTCCACCGCCGCCATGTCCTGCCGCCTTTACGCCGTATGCTAACCCCCAGCTCGAGCGCGACCGGTGGATCTGGGCTCTGAACTGCGAAAAGGAGCGCCTGGCCCGGCAGTATCCCAAGGACGAGGACGCGATCAGAAACACGGGCAATCTCCCGCGACACACGACACTGGACCATTTCCGGCGCACAAGCGAGACGACCAGCAGTTCGCGCCGCCTCCCGCGGAGGAAGAGCTAGTCCGACATCTGGTCCGGCACAGAATGCAGACACGTGGGGTCGCCACGCCGAATCAAGCGGCCGAGGGATCGGAAAGTCGGGGCGCCAGAGAAAGAAGAGAAAAGGGGCCGGTTATCTCGCCCGATATGGTTAAATCGCCGAGCCACCACACTGTGGAAACACTGCCCACATCATGCATTAGATCGTTGTACATTACTCTGTAGACCATGCACACGTTGTCGATACCGCGATATCGCTGTTCGTGCTCCGGGGGATTGTTGATAGCAAGTAGGCGCGGCGGACGGGGTGATCTCGGGCCATTTTTCAGCCCTCGGCACACACCCCGGCGCAGCACCGCCGCGTGCGGGCTGATGCTCGGGCCATTCGGCATTCCCCACATGACCCTCCGGCCCGGTGCCGGGATAGACGCCGATAGTAGCTCAAGACTACTTAGGTCGAGCGATGCGTCACACGTCCTTTCTCCCCACCATCCACAATGACACGAACAAGCACGACTATCGACTCTGGCTGGCAATTCTCGCAGGTCTCGTCCAAGACTTGGCCCGACGTCGAGGAGAAGTGGGAGGGGTGCAAGGTCCCGACCTCGGTCCATGTTGAGCTGCAGCGTCTCGGTCGCATCCCCGACCCGTACAAGGACCTCAACGAGTGGGAGTGCCAATGTAAGTGAGCCTCGGGTCTAAGCTGACGTCCAGGGGTGCAGGAGGCCGACTGGGTGTTCCGCACGACGTTCCTCGCCTCGCCCGAGCAGTTCTCTGCGCCGAACGCCGATTTGCTCTTTGAAGGTCTCGACACGTACTGCACCGTGACGCTGAACGGGGAAGAGATTGCGACGACGTCCAACATGTTCCTCTCGCACCGCGTCAGCGTGACCGGCAAGCTGAAGGAGAAGAACACGCTCGAGCTGCGCTTCGACGCGCCCCTGCTCGCAGCTAAAAAAGAGGAGGCGGAGAATGGCGGCCCGAAACCGCTGTGGAACGGCGACAGCTCCCGCCTCTACTCGCGCAAGGCGCAGTATGGCTGGGGCTGGGACTGGGGACCGATCATCATGACGGTCGGTCCCTGGCGGCCGGTCAAGCTCGAGACGTACGTGTGCCGGATCAACGACCTGCGCGTGGATTCCAACCTCAAGGGCAGCAAGTGGGACGAGGGCTCGCTCGAGGTGTCCAACCTCGACATCTCGCCCAAGGCGCCCAAGGACGCCAAGGTCGCCTACACGCTTACGGACCCCGAGGGCAAGGTTGTCAAGCAGGCTATGAACGACGTCGAGGAGCTGCCCAACTGGGAGATCGAGGGCGCGCGGGGCTGGTGGCCCGTCGGCTACGGCAAGCCAGACATGTACACGCTTGAAGTGGCCGTGCTCGACGCAAGCGGCACCGAGCTGGCAGCCACCTCCCAGAGGGTTGGCTTCCGGCACGTCGAGGTTGTCCAGGAGGCGCTGGCCGAGGCGGACGGAGGCGGCTCATCGTTCCTCTTCGAGGTGAACGGTGTGCGCGTCTTTTGCGGCGGCTCCAACTGGATCCCCGCCGACAACTACCTCACCGAAATTGAGCCGGACCGGTACAAGCGCTGGGTCGACCTGCTCGTCAAGGGCAACCAGAACATGCTCCGAGTCTGGGGCGGCGGCATTTACGAGGCCGACGAGCTGTACGCCGCGTGCGACGAGGCGGGCGTCCTCGTCTGGCAGGACTTTATGTTCGGCTGCGGCCTGTACCCCTCCTACAAGCGGCTGAACGACAGCATACAGGCCGAGGCCGAGCAGGCGGTGCAGCGCCTGCGCGCGCACCCCTCCGTCGTCATCTTTGCGGGCAACAATGAGGACTACCAGATTGCCGAGGAGCAGGGCGTCGTCGACTACAACGACGAGAGCGGCGACTACATGCACACCAAGTTCCCCGCGCGGCACATTTACGAGATCATCCTTCCTGGTGTGGTTCAGAAGCTCTCCAACATCTTCTACTGGCGCTCGTCGCCGTATGGCGGCAAGACGAGCGGCGATCTCACCGTCGGCGATGTGCACCAGTGGAATGTCTGGCACGGCACGCAGGAGCCCTGGTCGCACTGGGACAAGCTGGCTGGCCGCTTCGTCTCCGAGTTCGGCATGCAGGGCTACCCCTCGATGCGCACGGTGGAGGCGTGGTTCAGCGACAAAGAGCAGGACCAGAAATTCCCCCAGTCCCGCATCAGCGTCAACCACAACAAGGCCGCGGGCTTTGAGCGCCGCCTCGAGCTCTACCTCATGGAGAACTTTAGGCATGCGTTCGACATGCCCTCGTACGTCTACTACACGCAGGCAATGCAGGCGGAAACGCTCGCGGCGGCGTACCGTCTCTGGCGCCGCAACTGGAAGGGGCGCGGGCGCGAACTCACCTCTGGCGCGCTCGTGTGGCAGATCAACGACTGCTGGCCCTGCGTCTCCTGGGCCATTTGCGACTACTACCTCCGTCCGAAGCCGGCCTTTTTCGCCATTGCCCGCGAGCTCCGTCCTTTGACTGTTGGCATGGCGCGCAAGGACATCAAGACGTACCGCGACGGCAGCCTCGCGTTCTTCGAGACGCGGTCCGAGGTGCAGCTCTGGGCGTGCAACTCGGAGCTCGAGGAGAAGACCGTGCGTGTCGAGCTGGTCGCTTTCGACCTGAACGACGGAGAACTCGACAGGCAACACTGGGACGTGACCCTCAAGCCGAACGCGAGCACGGAGATCTGGGCAGGCGACGTCCCCGGCCAAGCGGTGCGCACGTCCGATGCAGACGTGCCCCGCCCCATTGTGCTCCAGGCGCGCATTCTCGACGGAGACAACGTCCTCGCGCGATACTCCAACTGGCCAGAGCCGTGGAAGTACCTCACGTTCCCGGACCCGGGGCTCAACATTGACGTCGATGGCGACGAGGTTACTATTAGTGTCGAGAAGCCCGTCAAGGGCCTCATCCTCGATACGGAGGGAGAGGAGGCAGAGTGGAGCGACCAGGCGCTCGACATGTTCCCGGGCGACACGCAGAGGGTCACCGCCAAGGGTCTCAAGGGACGCAAGGTGACTGCGAGGTACATCGGCGACGGGTCCGCGTGAGTGAGGGAAAGCTGTTTGTAGATTTCTGAAGTTATACCCGGGACGGATGGCACTGTACATGCATGAGATTCTGCAAAATTTTGTATCAGGGAGCTTCAGTCCTGGGCCTGCGGCTAACTGTAGGGAGTATCCTCTGCGCGCTTGATTCTCATCAGCGCGTTGAACACTGATGAATCGAGTACGAAGCAGTGAACTCTCAGAGTAGTTTCCAGCGGGGGCGGTTGACGCGGTCAATGTGCAGGTCAGAAATCACCCTGCCACAAACTACGTGGCGACTGAGATGTCTAGCTACAGAATGATTCACTTGGTGACAGTCGAAAAAGACGCAGCGCGGGGCGCAGTCTTGTGGCGGGACGAAGAAGCAGCCTTGGAAGATGCAGGCTGACGGGGCAGGACCTGGCAGCCGACTGGGCACGGACCCTGCGTCGTGATCCACGCCTTCATCGCCTCCATGCTAACAGTCTGGACGCTGTAGGAGTCAGAGCAGGTCTCAAAAGAAGGGGCCACTCACGTCCACTGGTCGCGCCTGTCGTTGATGCGGGGGCGCAGGCCGTCGACAAAGTTACGATAATACTGGGTGAACGGGTCTCCGAACACCTCCCTACAGAGGGCCCAGTTGTAGTCGAGCTCGCCTTGTTTTGCGCTTCCTTCCCCATGCTGCACGATCAGTATCAGGGCGAGACACTTTGCAGCCATCTCGGAAAAGAATCGTGCGCTAGTGTGGATCTGGAGGCGGTTACTGCGAGGAGGCGCAAGCCGCGCCTTCTTGCCCGCGTGGTCCGATATCTTCTTGACTGTGAAGATCTCGTCGTTCAGATCCCTTGGGTTGTTATGACACGGGACGAGGGTGCGCCACGCCTCGCGTTGCTCCTCCAGATTCGACGGAAGGCCGAAGGGATTGCTCTTATCGCCAGTGATGGGTGTGTTCTGGTCGTAGACAGGCCGCACGATGAGGTCAGCCGCCCCCTGCCTAGGGAAGGGAAAAGCTCTGCGGGTGCGCGGTTTGACGGGTGTTTGCTGCTGGGCCGTCAGCTGTTGGTCAGACCTTCCGACATACCGCGGACGAGGGAGGTGCCTCGGGCTCCTTTCTGCCGCTCGTCATTGTCGTAGTGACCACGCTGGATGCGAGACGCAAGGGCGAGGGGATGAGTGCAGTGCGCGCTGTGAGAGAAATATGTGTTCAGGAGGAAGAGGTGACGAAGGAGAAGACAAAGGAGGAGGTATGAGTGACAGAAGCGTCAAGTTTGTTTCTGGAAGGAGGGCGCTAGCCTGGCGGTTGCTCAAGCGAGCTACCACAGCGCCGCTGAGGGAGCTGCGGGAAGCGACAGAAGTCGACACCGTTACCAAGGAGCGCGAAGGCGCTGCGCCGTCGCCTCGATACTTGGGACACCTGCATTGCGAGCACAGCACAGCGGTCGGCAGACAGCCCGGGCACTCGGGGCTGACAGGGCAGAAGAAGATGTCGATCCCTTACTCCTGTCGATAGATCGTCCTCATTGCTAGGCAACGACACCGCCTCGACAGCCCCTGGCGGCGCGCCAGCGCCCTATCTGAGATCTTGCGTCACCCGACAGGGCAGAACCAGTGATCGGCAAGTCTGGAACATCCTGTGTTGCAGGTCGTCTTCCGCCAGGTGGTCAGGCTGCAAGGCCAAGCCAGGTGACGGTCTCTACACGCTGAAGACCAGTCGGGCGGGAGTTGATTGAACCCTGGTGATCCTTCAGGACTGCCTCTCTCAAGTGCACACGGCGGGCCAAACCTCCTCAGAAAACAGCGAAGAGCTATATCAGTAACTGGACCCGGTGTCCTTCGGCCTCAGGATTGAAGATGGGACCGGTGACTGTCGGAGAATCGAGCTGGAATGATAAACTTGCCGAGGAAAATCGGCGAAGGTCCCATGCCACGCGGTTATCGTAGTCTGTATCAGCCCTACACACCAGCGAGCTTGCACTGGACAGCTGGGCACGCGGTGCGCTGACGGCCGAGCACGAGGTGAACGAGCCCCGTGCAGCAACAGTATGATTTCGTCTCTCATCCCTTCGCATGACCGAAAGACACTTGCTCAGCTATCTCATCGATAATGGCGCTGCGAGCTTGGACTTGCTGTCAGATGCATGAGTTAGTAGATTGACGCAGGAGAAGCAGCACAGCCCGTGGGGCCATAGCATGCGTCCCCGCCCCCGCCGATGATTGAAAGCTAGATCGGCAATCAGTTCCTGGACGATCCTCGTTATCAGCAGATCCATCACAACATCGCCACCAAAATCCGACGGGGTACTGCCGTTCGCTGCCTTTTCTGCGGATTGGATATACAGAGTGCATGCCGGCCGACCAGTCCCAGTAAGTGTACATAAGATGAGACCGCCATTCAGATGAAGGCGTCTTACTTGTGGGACGACTTGATCTTGAAGCCACGCGACTGTTTACGTCAGCAACAACTCTGCCGCGGCTAGTCTGAAATCGTGGCGGAGTTCGACAATTTCGTTTGTTACTCACAGCACGACGACCACGGGCCATCTCCTGCTTGCGGTGACGGCCAGACTGACCGACGTAAGGGGCGCCGCCCTTCAGAGGGCCGCCGAAATGGCTGTAAGCTTGGCGAGCATGGCGAGCTCCGCGGCTTACGTAAGCAAAATATTACGTAAAAGGGCCGATCGCCGAGCTCCGAACGGAACTCCGACGCCGAGGGAAGACAGAATCTGCGCCCCGGCGAATTTCGGTTCCGAACGAAGCCACGCGCGATTGCTGGTACTCACAGGAGGACGGTGTTCGAGCCAGTGGGGGCGCGCTGGGCGAGCTGGTCGAGGGTGAGGCACTCGCCACCGGCGGCGAGGATGCGCTCACGGGCAGCGCCGGAGAAGCGGAGGGCGGCAACCGAGAGCTTGGGGACCTCGGCGAAGCGCTCGTCGTCGAGAACAGAGCCGACGATGACAACGGTCTTGGAGTTGTCGGGGTTGGAGCCGCGGGTAAGCTTGACGATCTTAGAGAGCGAGACGGGGGCACGGTTGGTCTTGCTCTGGAAGAGACGACGGAGAACGACCTTGTTGAAGCGCGAGTCGGTACGGCGGGCAAGGAAGCGGTAAAGCTTAACCAGGAGAAGGAGGTAGGGGTCCTCCGACTTGGGGGCCTGGCGGTTGCCCTTCTTGACGTGGTGGCGGCGGATGTCGATACCCATCTTGCCTGCGTATCAGCACCAGGCTCCCAAAATCATAATCCCAAGTCTGACGGCAGTTCCAGCGGCATTTCGACAGCGTTTCGGCGCACACAGACGGCATATCCACACACTCCCAACGACCACGCCGTCCATTCCGTCGCTCCAATCCTCCAGCACATCCTCCTCATGTCGTGTGTCGCAACATCATCTCGTCCAAAATCTTCCCAAACACTTCTGTCCCGGTCCAACAGCCGTCTGGTATCGATCGAACGCTCGTCTCGCCGGAGTCGCCGGTGTCGGGGTCGTGGGTGCCGGGTCGATGCCGCTCGTACTGCCGTCGTCGTCGCTGCTACCCACCTTTTTAGATCTACTTGCTGTCCGACGATGTACCAACTCGAAGTTCAGTCTTGCCCGTGGCCACACCAGAACGAGCGCTCCAGATTCAGGGCGGATCGGCGATAGCGATGGCTCCTCTGGGGTCCAATGTGGCACTAGTGAAATTCTCGGCTCAGCGCTAAAATCCGACACAGTCGTCATTAGCCACGTGGCAGAAATCTGGGCCCATGCACGCCACGCGATCGCCCGTGCCTGGACAGCATCTCGTTCCTGAATGTCGTTCCTGTTTCGACGGCTGGCGCAAGTCACTTTCGGAAACAACGCCAAGCGTCCTAGCACCATCCCGCCCCGCCGTGACACGCTGGCCACCTCCGACGGCCCGTGCATCAACGCCAACAGCCCATCGACAGGCTGCGAAGACAAAGGATGCCGCGAACACGGATCCCCGTGCGCAAGCCAGTCCAAATGCGGGAAACACGCCCGTTGTGCGTGGTAGCGAGAACCGCAGACGCGACTGACTTGTTTTCGTGAAAACAACATTGCCCGTTCCCACTGCACAAACACACCCATCCTGTCGTCACCACTGAACCTTACCCTCGGTGCACATTAAATAAACATACCTTCGTGTGACAAGTAATCAACATCATCACATCGGCGACTGCATCAACAACTATCACCATGCCCTCGAGGGCACTCCTCATGCTGGCCATGCTTAGGGTGGCGACAGCGGCGGACCCGCCTCCACGGTGAGCATCACTGCATGAACGTGTCAGGGCTGGCGCTGACTTGGCATCAGGTGGGGAGCTGCAGTTGCCGTCGTGCCATCTCCACCGACATTAGTCGTCCAAGGAGGCAAGGTCCAGAGCGAAGGCCAAACGTACAACTCCGCGCCGAACTCTGCCGATACATACATGGTTCCCCTCAACGACAGCTTCCCAGCGAACGACCCACCGTACCAGAAGTTGACGCCAAGAACTCAAGGTCCGGCTTACAGCTGGCATTGTTTGGCGCCGCTGTACACGGAAGACGACAAGTGGACGTTACTGTCCTTTGGAGGTGACAGTGGGTGGTCCGAGCCGCGGCCAGGAGGCGAGGACTCTGCTTGGCTCGTCAATGTCAATCCGAACGACGGTTTCATCGACTTTGACCACAAGCCCGCCGGTTGGGCAAAGGAGCCGTCTCGACGAAAGGAGCATAGCTGTGCTGCGCCCACGGGTGGAGGCAAGGTCTACATCACGGGCGGCCAGGCCGACGACGGTTCGGCAGACCACAACGAGACATGGGTCTTCGATCCCGATCCGATGGAGTTCTCCCAGCTGCCAAGTCTTCCAAACAAGCTCTATGGGCATTCCTCCGTTCTACTGGATAACGGAACTTTACTCGTCCTTGGCGGCGTCGATGCCGAGTCACAGGAACTGAGGCCCCTCAACACGATCCAGGCGTTCGACACCACCGCACAGCAGCCGCAGTGGAACTCTGTCAACATCCCCGGCGACGTGCCGGGCGGTCGCCGCAGTGCTAGCGCTACGCTGATCAACGGAGATAACGTCTTGCTCTTCGGAGGCGCCAATGAGAACCGTAGCACCGTGTTCGGCGATGCCTGGGTCTTCAACCCGAGCACTTTGCAGTGGGACATGGTCATGAACGATGAGAACGGCCCCGGTGCGCGTTATGACGCTGCCGTCGCATACGTCGGCAATGGTCAAGTCACCATCATGGGCGGTGAGTACCGAGGTGGCTGATCGGAAACTGATACCAGGCTATGGCGCTGATGGCCCCGCGTCCGGCGATTTCCACGTCCTGAATGTTATCACGGCTGGGTCCAGTGCAGGTGGAGGAGCTGGCGGTGGAGGAGCAGGTGCTGGGGGAGGAGAGGGAGGCGCATCGGGCACTGCTGCTGCAGTTTCCAGCTTCTTTCCCGGTGGACAAGGAGCCGGCGGCGCCGCTGGTGCAGGCCCAACGGGGCAGGGAGGGGCTGGAGCTGCGGGCTCAACGCAAAGTGGAACTCTGCCCGCAGCAACGCAGGCATCCTCTTTCACGACTGGAAGCGGCGGCGAGATCGCAACCTCGATCAACACGCGCCCCAAGCCCGGCGAGACGGGCAAGCCGACACCCCACCCTCAAGCGAACTCCTCCTCTTCGAACGCCGGCCGCAATGCAGCCATCATTGGCAGCATCGTCGGCTGCGCTTGCCTCGTGTTCCTCGCGCTGATCCTGTTCTTCTGGTGCAGGCGCCGCAAGCGTGATGAGAAGTACCAGAAGGAGGTGGCCCAGCGTCGCCTGACAAAGGAGGGCGATGCGGAGGCGTGGGCAGCACACACTACCCCTCCGGCATCTCCCGGTGGTCGCTTCGCCGGTATGGCTGCGCTTGGAGCTGGTGCCGGTGCCGTTGCGGCGACGCTGCGCAAGATTTCTGGCGGACGCAACCCAGAGTACCAGGCTGTGGCCACCGACGAGCCGACCGGTGGCACAGGGATCGCTCCGAAGCGCCGATCCACGCGCTATGTTGGGCAGAAGATGCGGCTCGTGGGCCATAGTGAGGGCCACGATCCGTTCTCCGACACCTACTCCGAGGATCTGCCGTTCGAGGGCACCTCGACTGGCCAGACCTCCGCCTTTGGTCCTGGCATCGCTAGTACCGCAGTGGGGATGCGCCAGCGCCAAGTGTCGAACGAGCACAGCCCGATCCTGGAGGAAGACGAGGAGATTCCCATCGGCGGCCGATGGGCGACAGCCAATCTGATCCTGAATGACTCGAACTCGGACACGACACCTGCACCCACGAGCCCGACACGCATGTCTCGCGCCTCCTTCATGGCGAGCGAGGACGACTTCAACCTGCTGGCACCCATCCCGCGCCGGCCGTTGACCGAAGGAGCACTGCTCGCCGAGGTGCCCAGCCGAGGCAGCGGCGTCAGCGGGGCAAGCACGAGCGGCACTAGCATGGCCGATCTCGCGAACGCCAGCGTCGAGCAAGGGAATAGGGTTCCGCTCCAGAGCGACGCGCCGATGCTGTGGGACATGGCGAACAAGGCACCCGTACCCGGCAACCCGTCCGACTTTACGCCGTTCTCGCCGACCATGTCGGACCTGTCGGGCTCTGACCTCGTGCCGCCCGCTATGCTGTTGCGCCTCGGCGACCACAGTGGGTCCGAGTCAAGCAGCGTCAACTCAAAACACCGCATGGTTGCTCGTGCAATCGCCGAGCCGCGCGGTATCGGCAGCGAACATGGTGAAATCGATGAGACCTCATTCCGCGACAGTCGGAGCAGCCGCGCCTCGGCCGGCCTCGACGGCCAATACGGTGCAACAAGCCGACACACGTTCGGCAGCATGGAGCCCAAGTCGCCGTACTACTTCCCAGAGGAGGACCCGGATGCGACGCCCGTCGCACGACACACGGAGCGCTTCGGTAGTGAGACGGGGTTGAGCGACCTCATCCCCGATTTCGGGAGCACGCCCTCGTCGCTGATCCGCCTGAACGTGCCGAGCGTGCTGGAGCGCGGCGGCTCCGACTCGAGCGGGACGTACAGCGCGTCGACGTGGGGCTCTAACGTCGCCTCCAACGTCGGGTCGAGCTTCTCGGGCAAGTCGGGCGGTTCCACCGCTGGTACGTGGGCCACGGCCGCGAGCGAGGTGCGCAGCGACTCGAGCGAGGTTGGCGGTAGCGAGGTGTCCACTGCCTCGACGGTGGGTACATGGACGACGGCGCCGCCCCAGGCTCCCCCGGAGCTCGAGGAGGAACTCGCCGCTCTCCGCGATGCAACGCCCGTTGCGACGCCGCGCCTCAGCCGCGTCGACACGAACCCCGACCTCGCGTGTGTCGCGACGCCGCGCGTGGTCTCAAGCGCGACCATCGTCGCCCCCATGGGGCTCGGGATGCGCAACGTCAGTCTTGGCGACTCGCCCAGTGCAGCAGGCAGCAGCAGCCTGCAGCGCTCCAGCAGCGGGTCGTCAACCATGGCGGTGGTCGGGTCCCAGCCCTCCGCTCGTGAGCGCGCCCTCAACCGCTCTCTCGAGGGTATCGACCCCCCGCAGGGTCTGGGCGAGTTCAAGTCGCCTCCGCCCTCGCTTGCCCCTTCTCTCCCTCCAAGTCCGAGGGAGATGCAGCCCTGGCCCGAGACCGAGTTCGCGCCAACGTGCCGCCCCTCTCCCAGCGCGAGCATCTTCACCGTGCCCACGTTGGCTGATGCGCCAGATCCCTTCCAAGACCCGCCCTCTCGGCGGGGCAGCGCCGGCAGCGGCGTTGGCGGCACACCTGGCGTGGGCCCCACCTCTGCGGGGACAGCTATAGGCGCCGCGGTTCCTGTCGCCGTTACTGCCGGCGGCATGGCCAGCGTGCCTCTGGGGGGCACAGAGGGGGTGGAGAGCGACGTGAGCGATGCGGTGGAGAATCTGGCCTCGCCCGTGCTCTCACCGGCGCCGAGTCCGAAACCCCAGCGCACACTCGCGGGCATGGCGGGGCTCGGCGGCGGCCTGATTGCCGGACGCGGCATGGGCCGGCTCCGCCCCGTCCGCGAGGCGATTGACAGTATCAACCGGCGCGGCGCGGGGTTGCCGTCCCGCTTTGCGTCGGGCGGGTCGCGCGATTTCACGCCGACGCCGCCGAAGAATAAGGACAAGGACAAGGCGGGCTCGGGCTCACCCGCTGCGGCGGTCGTAGCGTCCCCCGCGAAGCCCGAGAAGGCCGAGCCCAAGCCCGAGCCCAAGGACGAGCCCAAGGACGAGAGCAAGGGGACGGACAGGACAGCCTCGCCCCTACTTAAGAAGCAGGGACAGAGCGAATTCCACCTCCGCCCGACGCATCGGTACGCGTCCCCCGCCAGCTTTAGGACGGCGACCGAGTCGACGTCGCACCATTCCCACTCACACTCGAACTCTAGTTCGGACGACTGAGTCGACGTTCCCGTCCTACGTCTTCCGGATCCACCTCAACCATTTCGCACGCTCGCGCCACTGTTTCCCACATTATTCGAAAGGGTGAGGAGTGACGAAAGAGAGAGAGAGAGAGAGGAGAGCAGAAACCTGAATCCACGAACGAAACCACATCTTCAATCTGTATAAGTTCTTTAGTGTACGCGAACGAGAGGAGAGAACGATAAGAAGGATTCCACTGTGCACCAACACGACATTTACTTAGTTGCCATTTCTCCACTGTGATATACATACAAACCCAATGTGACATGCATGAGTTCTCTGTGCTACGAGAAGCGAGCGAAGCGAGCGTTCCTGCTACTTATCCCGTTCAGTGCTCCGCCCGGCCCTCAGCGACACACAGACGAACATGCATTGTGGCAACAAAGGTACATACAGATCTATGAATACAGAAGCTATTGCAACGTCGTCGAGCGCAGGAGCTCGCTGAGCTCTCGATCCACTGCGCTCGTCCTCCGACGGGGCGACAGAGGGGGTGTCGCGCCCCGCTCGATCTCGGCGAGTTCGAGTCGCGTACGGCGCGGTGTTTGCGGCTCGGCAGGCGACGCGGGCGGCGCAGTCGATGACATCGTGATAGGTGAAGGAGGGACGGGGGATGCCGCACGCAGCGCGGACAGAAGAGAGGGCTGCGCTCTCGGCGGGGTAGGGCTTGTGGGTCGCGCCGGCGGCGGCTGGAATCCCTCCAGACGGGTTGGCATGCGGCGAAGTCTTGGCCGCGGGTCCTCCTTCTCTTTCCGCTCCCGCTCTGCCTTCTCGGCCTGCTCGACTTCGCGGCGATGCTCCCACTCGGTCCGTATCGCGGCCCAGGACTCGATCGTCTGCCCCAGGCTCTGCCGCGGCGAGCCGAGGGACGTCGCCTCGGGCGACTGCGCGTAGATGGATCGGCGGCGGGGCGGGGAGTCGATCGGGCTGCTCGCGAAGGAGCTCGCAAAGGAGCGGCGGCGCTCGGCTGGGCTGGACGCGAGGAGACTCCGGCGGCGTATGGCCTCGGGGGAGGATTCGCGGCGACGGCGTCGTTCAGGTGGGACCACTTCGTCGTGCCGCTCCACACGCTGTTCGCCGTCGTCCCACCCCGGTCCCGCTGCGAAGACGAGCTTGACGCTGCGCGAGAGGTGGTACTGCCTCTTCCTGTCCTGGCGGGTGCACACGAACTGGAGCTGGACGGCGAAGCGAAGAGATTCGGCGCGCGGTGCGTTTGGCGATGTCGAGGAGGGGCGCGAAACGTACGTGCGTTCCCGAGCTAAGAGGCGGCCGCCGACGGGGACCGCCGTTAGGTCGTAGGACACGATGAAAGCTTTCACTGCCGCCTTGGGCGTCTTGATGAGGAGTTGCAGTTGTCCCACGGGCGGGACGCGGTAACCCGGGTAGCTTGGGGGTAATTCGCTGTTGAAATCGGTGGAGGGCGAGTACCCGCTCGGACTAGGGGAGGGGCTTGGCTGGGCGGCAGCGTACGTCTCGAAGAAATGCCGCTCAATGTCAACGTCGCCGACCCAGGGACTCTGGCGCTCGCCGAGATCGTAGCACTGTGCCGCAAAGGGAAGCGTGAGGGCTTTCGGGGCGCGAATTTCAGGATCGCACTTGCCAATGGCGACTGCTTTCATGTGCAGCTGAAAGTTGGTGTTGGCGTGCGGCGCGGCGGACATGCGCGAATGCAGTAGGCTCAACGGATACGAGCCCAGTAAAGGGTGCGAGCGCGAGAGCGACGTCTCGGTGTCCGAGACAAGCGAAGCGGCCGAAACATCGCTGGGTGACCGGCCGTGCGCTCCTCTTGCTCGAGTGGGGATGGGCTTCGCGGGCTTGCTCTGCCCGAGCGGCGAGGGACGCAGCGGTGAGCCTGGTGTGAGCTGCAAGACTCCGAGTACTCAGCTGGGAGTCAAGGGGAACTCACTGGCGTGTACGTGGACGGGGGACAGGGATATCGTCATAGCAAATTCTTATCGGGTGGCAAAAAGGGAGGTCGAGGTAGCTCAAGAATAGGTGTTGGTGGAGTGTTCGCTGTGAGAGGTATACGCTGCGGCCATGATGTTGTGAGAGGTGAGGAAGAGAGAGGTGTGAAAGTGTTCAGGAAGGCGTTGCGATGCTAGGAAGTGCAGAATGCAGGGAAGGATTTGACTACGGAGGACCACGATGGTTTGAGTCAGACTACTGGCAATCGATGTCCTTGGCGTGGGTCGGCTACGCTTCAAGATAGACTCCGGCGGGTGGATTGTGGACCACACTGGCCCAGGCACAGGAATCTCGCCTCCACTACTGGTATCCTGATCGACTCGAACTCACCCCCAGGCTACGTCACTCACGCGCCCTTTCGGCTTTCGCCTGCCCTCATATGCATGCAGCCACTTCTTCCTCATGCTCCACTTGAAAAGGGCGAGACCTCTGAGCGCCCCTTTGTTCATCTCGGAGGCATATAGACGTCAAAGTGGAGCATGGAGCACCCCATGTTCGCGATCGATTAGCGAACTTGCGCCAACCGAACACGCGAACCCGTCCTCACTCTGAATTCGCATGGCGCCGCCGCCGCCCACGCCGCACCGCGCGCTACGCAGCCCGTCTCGACGACCAGGGTACATTTTGCCCCGGCTACGAATGGATCAAGCATCCGCTCCCGCAGTTAACACGCAGTTCACAACTCCAAGGTAACGCAGCATGCGCGGCCGTAGCAGCTGTCTCCGCTGGAACCGGCTGAGGAGCGGAGCCACTTTTGCCCGCACCTTTCCCTCTCACTTGCCCGCTCCACTCACATGCTTTTCAAGCAGCGGTGAGCTCAGGCTCAGCGTTTCCATCAACTACACCACGCACTGATTACACCCAAACATGTACAAGCCATACTGACAATCACTGATCCCGCAGCCCTCGCACTCCGAGCATCACTTCTCCCTGCTCTCATCCACGTACTCCTCATCGGTGGACTCCCCCTCCTCTCCATCCGTGAACGCAGCCTCGCTCTCAGATCCACCCTCGTCAATCTCCATGGCCTGGGTCGCCTCCTCGATGCCAGCGGTCTCCTCGACCTCGATGTAGGTGTATGCGTACTGGGCGACATAGGCGCCTTCGGTGGTGTACTCCTCCCCTTCATCCTCGGTGTCTTCGTTGTCGCCGTCCGAGTCGGAGAACTCGGCCTCAGACTCGGTCACCAGCCCGTCCTCGTTCTCGCGATAGAAGCGGGGGACACTCCTCGGCTTGCTTGGCTTGTTAGGCCTGGTGAGGACTGGACAGGGGGCATTGTCTCCGTCGCTGTCGCTGAAGTCGGCCGCATCGGCCTCAGACTCAGTCTCCATCCCAGTCTCGTCCTCGCGGTAGAAAGAGGGCACGCTGTGGGTCGCCTTGGGCTGAATGGTCTGGCTCGACATTGCTTGTGGAGTTCTTTCTGGTTGTTGTTTTGGAGAGTGAAGGGACCATTGTTGACATCCAAACCTCATATTTATACTGAGGCGGACGTCGGTTTAGTCCGGCGCTAAGGAATGGCTGATGCGCTACTTATCACTTGCCTACACTGACCTGTGCACCAGTCTGTGACGGTGCCACCACCCCGAACGCTGACGCCAGCGTCCTCCACGGCGATGAGCTCGAGCCCGCTGTCGGCGTCGGCGTCCTCGCCATGCTCGCCGTCATCCTCACTTCAATCGCCCTCGGCCTCTCGATCTTCTTCGATCGCCCTCAGCCTCACGATTGTTTGATCTTCTTCCTCCCTCCCAGGTTTCTCCTCATCTCCCTCCATCATGCACTCATTCTACTGCACGGACACGACATGAAAGGTCACCGGAATCGACGTCTGGGCGAGGTGGGGGATCATGTTTTTCCACGTGGTTATCGCTATCAGTGGTTTTTCGAATTCGCTGGTGTCGGGCCGGATTTCAGACAGTCACGCAGCGAGACTGTACTTCACATGCAACCCGGTTGAAGTTCGGGAATGAGCATGTCTCTCGTAATAGCCATCGACCAGTACTTCGCACTGCCTGTAACCTTTCTTCGGAGGCAGCTACAGGCTCCAACAGGTCAAGTACTCTCTCCCGATCGGCACCACGATGAAGAAAGAATGTGCATATGCGCCTAGAGAAAACAGTGTCCATGCTAGAAGCTAGGTGTCCATCACCAACAGTTGAAGCCGCCGGGCTTGGCAACGGGGAGGATGCCGTTACCGATGGCAAAGGTGGCGGCGCCGACGGGGAGGAGGGTCATGAAGAGCGAAGTAAGACCACACGCGTTCATCTTGACGGTGCCGCCGGAGACGAACGATGTCCAAGTGCCCGGGACCTTGGGGATGGGGACGAACTGGCCCGCGATGTTGTAGCCGGGGTTGGAAGGCTTGATCTGCTGGAAGAGCATGCCCCAGGTCATGAGCTCGGTCATGGTGACGGGGACATTGCGCCTCTTCCAGTTGGGCGGGAAGCGCTCCTTGTCGAAGAACCACTCGATCGTGTCGGCCGTGCAGCGCTTGCTCGCGCCGCGGAACACCTCCATCGCGAACCCAGACTCGGCATAGGCCACGAGCTCGCGCAGCGGGTTGAAGTCGAAGGAAGGGTTCTCGGAGCGCGAGTCGAGATAAGCACGCTCACGGGAGACGGCGCACACCATCTCGTTGATGTCGCCGTTATCGCCGTGCTTGGCGATTTCGGAGCGGTAGATGTCGTACCGCGTGCGGTTCAGCGAGAAGCAGTCCCCGTTCACGGCGTCTGAGCGCGTGATCGACGCATCGCCCTCGAAGAAGCCGTGGTTCGAGAGCCCCACACCACCGCCGTACTTGCTCTTTCCGCCGATGGAGAGCTTGGGTCCCCACAGGTCACCCTTGATCGTGAATGCGCCAAAGGCGAGCAGCGACGCCGTCTCGGGAGCCATGGAGAAACCCTCCCACACACCCAGGATGAGGTCGTAGGCATTGACGACACCGTTGCGGGGGATGTAGCCGTGGTTCGCCAGCGTGTTGAGACCGGGGCAGGGGCCGCGCTGGTGTCAGCTGTCTTCTCCCGAAGGATACATACCACGTCGTCGGGTCCGGGAGCCTGGTACGGGTGGTCGGGGTCCTCGCCTCCGCCCCAGATACCGTGCTCGTCATCGGGGCGGTGGAGCTTGTAGGCGTCGTAGATCTTGTCCTTGGAGAGGTTCTTGGCCCACTCGTTCATGAGCAGGCCCGAGGGCCACCCGCCGAACTCGGGATTGGCCTCGGCGCGGCGCATAATCTCGTCGCGCGCCTGCTTGATCTGCAGCGCAAACTGGGCCATCGTGACGGGGTTGAAGGTCTTGAACTCGCCCGCGAGCTGCGTCAAAAAGTCCATCCCGCGGATACCCAGCTGCTGCAGGCCGGCCACGAGGTTGAGCTTGCCGAGGTCGATGCCGTCGCCGAGCTTGGGCACCGCCTGGCGGAAGGGGCCAATGTCAATGTTGCCGTCGCCGATGCCGCCGAGGTTGCCAAGGTTGATCTTGGAGCCAATGTCGCCCAGGTCCAGCTTGCCGATCACGTTCTTCAGGCTGTCGTACTCGGCCTGGTCCATCTTGCTGAAGTCGAGCGACTTGCCGTCCGGCGTCAGCGACTTGGTCAGAGCGTCAAAGAGACTGGTGGGGTTGCCGTTGTCGCCCGCACCATTGCCCTTCAGGTTGTTGGTGATGCCGCCGATAAAGTCGCCCAGGCTCGGGATACGGCCCTGGGTGAGCTTGCCGAGGAGGTCGTTCAGCGTCGGGCCCTTGATGTTGCCCGTGACGCCGTTGACAATGTCCGAGATACCGTTCTCGATGTTTCCGAAGAAGTCACCGATCGGGTCGAGGAGACCGCGGTCGTCGAGGTCGGCGTGGGCACGCTCGACCATGTCATGATGAGCCTGGAGGTGGCGCGCCATGTGCGGGAAGGCGTCCGCGCTCGCGGCAAGTGCCACAGTGGCAGCAAGAGCGAAGCGCATTATAGAAGTGTTCAAACGAGTGTGGGAGCGCTGGCGATGGCCTAAGAGTCTGCGTCTGCTTTATAGCAGTCGCTGGAGGCCTCGCAAGCAGTGCTGTCTTTGCGTTCTGCCACCTCGTAGTCCCCCTTGCTCGCAGGCCCCTTTTCTCGTAGCCCACCTTCTCTCACCCGTATATTCTGCCGTAGCCGCCTTTCCTAACAGCCCGCCCTGCACTCCCTGCGCCAGTTCCGCAGCACTCGACGTGCTAGTTTTCACAGCGCATATGGCTGCATCGCACCTGTCAGTTGCAGTTAGTTGTGCAGAAGCAGCACCTCGGTCAGATGTGCGTCAGCCACTGACCGTCGGCGCCACCGGGTTCGGCACCCTGAGTAGCTCTGTTCGGCAGCGTCTAGCGTGGCTCTACCAATTCATGTTGGGCCACGGTAGCGTGTTACAGGGCGAGCATTCCGTGCTGAAACGCTGTCAATTGCAAGCAGCGATTGGCCGGGGACGACCTGCTACAGGCGCCAACTGCTGGAATCATGCAGGCTCTTGATCGGGTTCAGTCGGAATCAAGGAAATCAAGGATCGGAGCCAGGACGAAGCCCGTACCGACAATTCCAGGTGCGTCGGGCTCACAATCGGGGCCAAGGTGTCCCGCTGGCCCCAAACGCGTACGACACGTCTGCTGAAATGCTCCGAGATGCCGTAGCGGCTGAAGCGGCCGGCGCGGTGCTGCTGATGCCGTGCCTTTTAGACAGGATGCTAGTCTACCCGCTGACGTTTCCGCACGCGGACTTCCGCCGTGCCGAACACTCTCTGGCCAATAGACAACAACGTGTGAGACATGCGCCTGAACACTTGGCCTGTTTCGAAAGTGTACGTACTCCGTAGCGTCCTGAGATGTCGAGAGTCTCCACCATTCGGGGGCGGTAGCGCGTGACCAACAGTGGCGGAAGACACTGGGCCAGGACTCTCGGTTTCCGTAGGCTACGGGTGTTGAAGCGCTACGAGGACTCGTCCTCTGCTGACGGCGGCCGCTCGATAAGGACATAAACAACTGACGGGTGTCATTCGCCGGTCTTCGGGCAGGGAGTGCGCTCGGGAGTGTTGCCCGCGTTCGGACGTGGGGTGTGCCGAGTTGGCCGCCCTTCGTCGGTCATGTCTGCTTCTCTGGGCTTATCCGGGCTTGATCCATGAGGGCTGAGCTGCGTCCATGGCAGCCTGTCGAGAGTCGGGGTGCGCGGAAGATCGTCCTGGATGACCCTGGGCGTCGATCTTTCATGGCGACGCGAGTGAGCGACCGTGGGAAGGCTTTCCTCGATGTTCGCTAAGGGCAGCCAACGAGCACTCGACCCAGCGGCTCGCTCGATAGCGAGCCCTGCGCCGCCCTCCCAGCGTCCCAGCTTCCTGTATCCCACACCCGGCGCCAGCTTTCGGCTCTCCAGTGCCCAGTTCCCAGCTTGCAGTCCATCTAATACAGGTGCATCACACATCGCTCCCATCCCTCACACATCCGTCATCGTCTCGATCCTCCACTCCTCCTCGCCCACCCTCGCCTTGTACTCCTTGATGGAGACGTTGGCCATCCGGCCAATCTGCTTCTCGCTGAGCCGGTGCGTATCCCGCGCGTCAGCAACGAGCTCCTCGTGCCAGAGCGTCATGCCGTTATCAATGTTGCTGCGGTTGCGCCCCGTCTTAAAGTCGCGCAGATCCGCGTTGACAATCGTGACCCTGGCTCCAGCCTTCAGAGCCGTGAAGATGAGGGGCCGGACATCGCTGCGTGCGTCGCAGGGCCGTCCACCGTGCCCATCGGGGTGCTCCCGGTTATGCCGCGGGACGACGGCCCAGCCGTGGAAGATGATGACGAGCTCCTCGACGCTCTCCTGGATGTGATACCCCGATCCGTGGGCGAAGACGGGCGTGCGGCAGTTGACGACAATCTTCTGGATGTGTGGGCGGCTGCACTCTCCTCCCTCCTGGCGGACGGGGCAGTCGATCTCGGGCAACTCGCGGGGGACGCGGTGCGCGCGCGCCTCGCCATACGGGCCGTCGCTGAAGATGATCCGCCGCACGTGCGGCAACAAGTGATGCGCTTCGAACCCGGCCGAGCGGTACTTCTCCTGCCGGAAGCGGACCGTGTCGAGACCCGAGAACATGTCGAGGCTGACTCGCCCGCCGACAAACTCGACCGGATCCAGTACGTCGATCATCCGCGCCTCCGTCTTGATGTCCACCCATGGCTTGACGTCAATGGTTCCCGAGGGGTTTGGGACCGACTCGAGAGCGTGCGCGAGCGGCCAGTACAGGTACGGCATGGGGTGCCTCACGGCAGAGAACTCCCACACGTACGTCTGGTTCGGCGGCATGTCGTCCTCATCTTCAATGTCGAGGTTCAGCTGGGGCTCCTCCGGCGGCAAACTCAGGTCGAGGGCCAGGTGTCGCGCATTGTCCCTGTCGGCGAGCTCGCGCCAGTGCTTGCAGACGGGCCGAACATTGAGCAGGTCGTCCTCGAGTGTCAGGTCGAGAATCGAGTCGATAATGTGCGGGACATGCTGGTCGCCAATGCGCGTCGGCCGCTGCGCCGAGGCAGACATCGCGAGTGGTTTTTGAAGATGCAGCAGCGTCGCGGATCGATCAGACCATCGACTTTGCTGGCGGTGGAGGGCAGGTGGGGGACTTTTGGCTATTTCCGGTACCGGCGTGGGTTTACCCGTGGTTTAGTCGGCAAACACGGCGAACGCGGTGATCAGGACGCGTAGGACCCGTTCAGCTCTGTGGATGTTTGAGGACGTACGGCATGGTCATCAGCTGTCTGGTTGTGAGGATGCGTGGTCAGTGCTGGTCAGTCTTTTTGCAGATGACCCGCCCTTATCTGTTGAACTCGTTTATTTGTTATCTCGGTCTCCAACCTTTAACCTATCGTTCAGCTGATTCGTCCACGGTGTGGCGGTTGACCTCCAAAAGCAAAAAACTCACTTTCCTGTCGCGTCGAGGAAGAATCACGGCCTAACGTCAGCGATAGCATGAGGAAGCACCTCCCATGTCGAAGACATGATGCAAAGGCAAACACCTATTGCGCCCACCAGCATGGTTGAGTCACCTGGGGTTGTCGCAGCGGGAGCACTTTGGCAGACCAGCGCCCCCTCCTACTCGCGACTGTTGAGACGTTTCCACGTCAAACGCTCTTATTATCACTCTCACCGCCCAACCACCACCGCAGCGTCTCAGCATGTATCTCGACTGTTGATTCTTCCCACACATCTGGAGCGACATTCTCGCGGCCCTCGACTACAAGCACAAGCTCAAGCTTCGGTTGGTCTCCCCGCCCCCCAAGAATCTCGTCGACGAGAGCCTGTGCGGCAAATGGCTGTGGCTCCGCAACGAATGGAAGTTTTGCAGTGTCCCCTACCTCCCCGATGGGATCTATGCAGCGCTGCGGTGGGACTTCAGCAAGCTGCCGTTCTTCTCCCCGCGGTCGACGGAGGGAAACGAGATGCAGTCCGCCGAGCCGAGTCCATCTGGCTCAGTGTCCCGAACGCCGCACGGATCGTTCCCCTGCTGCAGGCGGAGATATGTCCGGAGACTGACATCGAAGTCTTCCACGGGAACTTCAAGGACGGTCCGGACAAAACGCAAGCCAACAACGGTGCGGTCTTCAACACCGCACTTGCCGTGCCGCCGTGTCGCAACCTCACCGTCCACGTGCGGATCCCGTGCGGCTGTGCTAGCGGCTCCCTGACAGGTGTGTGGTCACATTCTGCCCGTGTCATCGATATCGCGTTCAAGGTCGGTTGTCCCTACGACAGTCCCCATGTTGTCTGCTCCGAGTTCCACACGGACTGTCGTCTGACCATTTGCCCGTTCGCTCGCCACATTTTGACTCCAACCGTCGAAGACGTCTTAATCAGCTTCTACGGTTATGAAGACGGGATTAAAGCCGCCGTCACTCGCTGGTTGGAGATTCTTGACTCAGGCGCATTGGTTCTCGGCCGTGTCGAAACGACTGCGAACGTGCATCTCTTCGAAAAGAGCGAATGAGAGCAAGCGAATCGCCTCCACCAGTTCTTTAGGCGCTCACTCGTGGGTCGGGGCTTCAGCGACCGGCTTCTGCGCATCTCGATTGATAGTTAGTTTTGCAATGTACTGCTGTAAGGGCCGCATGCGGTCAGTGTCCTCATGTCTACTGGTAACTAATGATGTGATAGCACAGCCGATGGGCTCAGCAGGCGCTGGTGTAGGCGTGCCAGACGAAGCAAAGGAGAGCAGGGCGAGGGCGCAAGACATCTTAGGCTTGCCGACGTCAGACGTGATCTGAGATCACGGACCCACCGCCGCATCTAGCGCATCTGTGTTTTCCCTCCTCCACCTCTCTCTTAAGTCTCTTCCTCACCCCTTCGCAGCACTCATCACATATTAAACATCTGCTAGCCTAGCCCTCTCGTGACCCTTCGAGTTCAACCACCCACCCCCGTCCCCCATGCCGTCTCTCGACTGCCGCTCCTTCCCTCACCTGTGGGATCAGATCCTCCTGGACCTCGACTACCCCGACAAGCTCCGTCTTCGCCTCGTGTGCCACTCTTTGAAGGACATGGTCGACAAAAGTCTGTGTGACGACATCGTAGCCTTTCGCACATCTTTCAAGTTCTACGCCGCCCACGACGAAGACTGTTGGCCCCCGGAAGACGTCACCTTTCTTCCGTTCTTCTCACCTTTCTCTGATCCAGACACCGAGGTGCAGAAGCATGCCGTCTGTCGCGCTCAGTCTGTCGAATTCAGTCTTCCCACTGCGCCCCGCGTGGCCCGCTTGCTGCAAGCAGAGATGGATGATGAGACCCAAGTCTATGTCTTTCATGGGGACGATGTGCAGCCAGCCGACAACGGCGGCCCGTTCAGCACTACCTTCCACCTTCCTCCGTGCTCGATACTCTTCTTCGACATCTGGAACCCATGCGGCTGCGGGGAGCGAGTGATCACTGGTCAATGGTCCCACACTGCCAGTACCGTCCATGTCAACTTCCTCTTCTGCTCACGCGCACCGGTGACGGGTGACTCGGATTCGGATGAGGCAAGCTCGAATGAGGTGGAGCCTTCCATCGAGTCATGGCCGCCAGCCAAATGCTGCGTCGTCCCTGGCATCCTGACCCCGTCTGTCGAAGACATCTCGGTGGTACTGGTCGGTCCTGAGGAGATGGTGAGGGCCGCTCTGGGTCGATGGCTCACGGTTCCTGAAGTGGCAATGTTGGGCCTTAGCGCTGTAGTAATAGAGGTGGACGTCCGGACCACCACGATGGATCCGTACAGTCTCCACCACTTCATACAACGCATCTTGGTCAACTCGGGCTTCAGGAGGGAACACCTGACAATTAAATTGTGTCGCTACAGGTAGTCAAGCATGCATGTATCGTTATCGGCGTTGCTACATGGAGCCAGTATGGCAGGAGAACAAGGGAAGCTGTTCCGTGGGAGACACTGCAGATGTGACTGGGACATGCACCCCTGCTGATGGACCATGGAAAAGCAGTATGTGAATGTGAAAGGAGGATCTTCCCTCCCTCTCTGTGACGACCACCCCTCAAGTGCACTGTCCTTCCCACCTCCATTCATTCGTCCGCATCGACATCTCGACACTTCGTCCTCAGCCATTTTCACACCCACTCACGAGTCTCCTTCGTCCAATGGTCACCCTCGACTGTCACTTTTTCCCGCACCTGTGAAATGAGATCATCGCCCAGCTCGACTACCTCGACCGACTCGAACTACGTGAGATTTCGCATGCCATGAAGGACCTGGTCGACAGGAGCTTGTGTGCTGAGGAGCTCTACTTCCGTCTCGACAGCAAGTTCTGCAGCGTCCACAACCGGCACGGCTATCCCCGCATAATCAAGGAGGGCCCAATGCCCTTCTTCTCTCCCTGGTCAGACGATGGCACCAGCATTCAAGCTTTTGCAATTCGCCGCGCAACGACTATCCAGCTCAGTGTACCGAACGTCCCGCGCATTATTCCCCTTCTAGAAGCCGAGCTGCGTCCGGAAACCCATGTTTTCGTGGAGCACGGTGAGATCGACCCTCCAGAAGACAATGGCGGGGACTACGATACAGTACTTGAGCTCCCTCGATGCCGTTCTCTATTCCTCATCATCCTTGTCCCGTGTAGCTGCGAGCTGCAGACCCCGGCCGGGAAGTGGGACCATTCCTCCAGCTCCGTCAGAGTCTGGTTCTCCTCCACCTATGCGGACAGCCTGGGGCTCCCCATCAATTGCTGTGTTGTCCGCCGAATCCTCACCCCAACTGTTAGAACGCTATTCGTTGAGGTTGACGGCTCCGGAGAGCGAGTCAGGGGGGTCATTGGTCGCTGGCTCACAGACCCGGAGGTAGTCAACATGGACCTCAGCGGCATCAACGTAGAAGTCTGGGTCAGGACGAACGATTACGACAAGGACCACCTCAGGCAGTTCATAGCACGCGTCTTTTTCAACTGCGGCTTTTCAAAGGGCCGTTTGAGCATTTCAATTTCCGACGGATATTAGAAGTTCATGCATTTGCTCACACGTTTCACCAAATCATTGCCGTTGGCGATTCCGCAGGTTCCGAAACACAGTCGAGCGGAAGGATCACGCGTTGGTCTTGCATTGCAGGTCTCGTTTCGAGACTGGCGCGAAGAGTTTGGGCGCCCCGTGCAACCCACTGTTCGTCCAAGATTCAAAAACGTTCTCCGCCAGGGAGTCGAACCCTGCTCTATCGCGAACACCCGAGAAGGATCTCTCGTACTGAGAGGCGATTATACTAACCGATATACTAGCGAAGAGGCGCTGTTGTTGCTGGGGGCGCAGGGCGCGTCCGCAGCCGCCGGCGCCGAGCGCCTCACAGTGTCGCCGGAGTTCGCTCTCGCCGTGGTGCTAGCCTGAGAACAACTGAACTTCGTTGGCTGTTAGCCGGAGCGTGAAGTGTGCGATTACAGCGAGCCATCTGCTAGGTCGGTGTCGCGGATGCCCCCGCCTGAGAGGGTTATGTCAGAATTGAGTCACCCGCGCCCTCCTCAGGTGTGCATCGGACTCATTCGCCAGAGATATATGCACCCATTTCAAAATACCCTATCTGTTCGAAGCTTCTCTCAAGGTTCTGTGAACGCCTTGAGGTGGGAGGCCCCGAGGTGTCGGTAGCTATAGAGTAAGTACGAAGTACGAGTGGCGCAAATCTCAGTTATTGTGAAAATTCCCATAGCGACTCATACCGGCTGAGCCGTCCCTCCTCCAGTTCCGTCCGCGCGACGGGATGCGATGTGCATGAGCAGGAAGAGGCGGAATGAGATGTCCTTACATTGCGGAACTTGCGCAAGTGTTGAGAGGATGATCGTCGAGCCTAGTGCAATTCGGGTCCGCCACAACGTCGACCTCTCATCTTCGAAAGGCTCGTTCTCGCCCCACATCAACGCAGTAGTCACGAAAACAGGCAGGGTAAGCACAACGGGCATAGCAACACGTGGAGTGAATCTTAGAGGCTGATGCATAGTGCGATCTTCCAATGTGGGTCCTATAAACACAGAAGCGGCCGGAAATTGGGTCTCCGGTCGTCTTACGACATCTCCAACGTCGAGAAAGCTCTCTGGACGAGCAAACTCGCTTAGAGCTTGTCGTAGTACTGGTCATACGGGGGAACCTCGGCTGTGGAAGTGTTAGCATCATCCGTGAAGAATTGTGAGAGTGAAGGACGAAGGTGTACGTCCTCCTTCCTCTCTATCTCTATACTCACGCTTAAGTCCCTTACGCTGCCTGATCTTCATAGCCAGCTCGTTGACCTTGCCGCCCTTCTCGGTCGCGTCACCTGAATGGGTCAGTTTCATGCAGAATCGGGCGAGATATGGCGTGTTGAAGATGGTTGGGTGTGCCACCTCAGTGCGATTTTCGTGAGAAGTGGCAGATCAGCCGTCAGGCACAGTCACGTGCCCACCACGCGGAATTGATCCCGCACGGGGCACCCCACCACTGTGGCACCAGTGCACTGTGGCACCAGTGGCACCAACAACAACGCAAACTTGCGAAAATGTATACTCACCGTTCATGAGCTCCCAGTGGGAGAAGACGGCCTGGGGGAAGGCCTGGCCACCGGTGGCGGCACGGAGGTCGGCGTTGAAGCCGAACGACTCCGAGACGGGGAGGTAAGCCTTCATGGTGTACATGGGGGTACCAGGGCGCTGCTCCGAAGAGAAGACCTGACCACGACGAACGTTCATGACGGAGTAAACACCGCCCTGGGCGCTGTCAGGGCAAGCAATCTCGACGAGGAACATCGGCTCCTGGAGACCAGGCTTGGCGAGAAGCTCGGCGGCGTAACAGACACGACGAGCGGTGGGGATGATCTGACCACCACCACGGTGGATAGCGTCGGTGTGGAGGGTGCAGTCGAGGATGGAGAAGCGGATACCACGCATGGGCTCCTCGCAGACGGCTCCCTCCTTGGTAGCCCACTGGAAGGCGGCGACAACCGAGTCCTTGATCTCGTTCATGTACTGAACACCCTTGGAGGCGTCGATGAAGAGGTTAGGGCCGGTGGTGTCGGGACCGAAGCACCAGATCTTACGGGCGTCAGTGACGTCCCAGCCGTAGGTGTCGGCAAGGTAACGAGCACGGGTCTTGGGGTCGTCACGGGGAGCGACGCGGCCCTCCTCGATGTCCTTGGTGAGCTCCTCGTCAAGAGGGTCGGCCTTGACCCAGAGACGGTTGTGCTTGTTCTGGGACTTGGACAGGGCAGTCATAGAGGACTCGGCCTGGACAGTCTCACGGTAGCCGACGACGGGGTCGGACTTGCGGAGGGGAACACCGGCGTGGTCGTTCTCGAGGTCCTGGAGACAGATCTCAAGGTGGAGCTCACCGGCACCGGCGACGATGATCTCACCGGTCTCACCCATCCAGGTCTTGACACAGGGGTCGGACTTGGAGAGACGCTTAAGACCCTCAACAAGCTTGGGGAGGTCAGAGGCGTTCTTGCACTCGACGGCGACCTGCACGACGGGCGAGACGGAGAACTTCATGACCTTCATGTTGTGGGCAGTCTCGGAGGTGGTGATGGTACCAGACTTGAGCAGGAACTGGTCGACACCGACGAGACCGACAATGTTACCGGCAGGGCAGTCCTCGATGGACTCGACGGTACGGCCCATCATGAGGACGGTACGCTGGATCGACTTGACGACGGAGTCGTCCTTCTTGCCGGGAACGAAGTTGGGGCCCTGGATACGGACCTTGGGGCCAGACGAGACAGTGCCGGAGAAGACACGGCCGAAGGCGTAGAAACGACCCTTGTCGGAGGTGGGGACCATCTTGGAGATGTAGACCATGAGGGGACCCTTGGGGTCACAGTCACGGATACCGATGGCGGACTCGTCGTCCATGGGGCCCTCGTAGAGGGTCTCGACACGGTACTTCTGGGCAGTAACGGGCGAGGGGAGGTTGATGACAATCATCTCAAGAAGGGCGTCACCGGCGGGAAGGAACTTCTTCATGACAACCTTGAGGAGCTGCTTGCCCTCGAGGTCCTTCTCGTCAGACGAGAGCTTGATCTCGAGCTTGTCAAGGAGAGTGGGGATCTCGTCCTTCTTGAAGTTCATGATCGAGTCGAAGATACGGAAGATGGGGTCAAGAACGAACATGTTGAAGGCACGCTCAACTCCGTCGGGGGCGGACTTGGACCACTTCTTGGTCTTGGGGTTGAAGTAGTTGTCACCCCAGAGCTTGGGCATGAGCTTGTTCTTGTCAACACCGAACTTCTTGGCGTAACGGGTGGCGAAGTTGCGGAGGGTGAAGGCCCAGCCGTGGAGACCGGAACCGAAGGCGACGGTACCCTGCTCGGGGTAGACCTGGACGTCGCCGAGGACGGGGTCGGTGTAGGTCGAGATGATGACGTTGACGGACTCGACGGTACGCGAGAACGACTGGTAAAGGTCCTCCTTGGAGACCTGGAGCTCGAGAAGAGCACGGTCGACCTTGTTGATACAGAGGACGGGCTTGACACGCTCACCGAGCGACTGACGAAGGACAGTCTCGGTCTGGACACAGACACCCTCAACACAGTCAACGACGACAAGGGCACCGTCGGTGACACGAAGAGCAGCAGTAACCTCAGACGAGAAGTCAACGTGACCGGGGGAGTCGATCAGGTTGACCAGGAACTCGTTGCCGTCAGTCTTCTGCTTGATGTCGGCAACGTCCTCCTTGTCGATGGGGAAGTACATCGAGATGGCGGTCGACTTGATAGTGATACCACGGTCGATCTCATCCTGACGGGTGTCGGTGAAACGCATCTCACCGGCCTTGGCACCAGCAATGATACCAGCCTTGGAGACGAGCGAGTCGGTAAGGGTGGACTTGCCGTGGTCGACGTGAGCAATAACGGACATGTTACGAATGTTCGTAGGCTTGTCTGCAAAGTCAGCAAAAATGTCCCAATTTTTCTCAATTATCTCGTCTGCGTTTTCTCGAAGAGTTTTGCAAACTTGTACGTACCCATAAGCTCGCGGATCTCATCGACGGTGAAGCTAGGAGGCGTTAGAATGCATTGCGAAGGAAGAGCGACGATGGGGGAACAAGAAAATCGGGTTGAAAGTCGAAGAAGTGCTGAGGTCGTGGGGAAATGGTGGTGTGGCGCAAGTCGGTGCGCAGCGGGCGCTAGCGCATCGATACATGGATCAAACGGCCACAGACCCTGAGCGGAGACCCTGGGCTACTGGGCGCAGTGCAATGTGCGCAGAGTTGAACATGAGCGGCGGCAGAGATAAGGCGACGGAGTCGGAGGGGCGTGGTGGGCAAAGATCGCCGACCGCCGAGCGGCACCGGAGATCCATCCAACAACCAGCGCATCGACCACCACTACCTGCACTCTCCATGACGCCCAAAGCGCTGCTGACGTCCGTGATAGGCGATCTGAGGGCACAAGCATCGCTCGGTGGCAAGAAAAGTTTCCTCCACGAAGTTTTGCGTTCTTGCTCCGTAATCAACCAATCCGGCGGCTCACAATAGAACCAAGCGCTTTCTTCACAATCCGCGGTCTTCTGGAGCATTGTTGAGATGCGCAGATCACTGCAGATGCTGATTCCAAGCAGTTGATGCACTGATGTATCCCCCATCGTCGCTGAAAGATCGGATAACTCACTTAACCTGCGATCTGTCAGCAACGTTCCTGGGCGTTTCTCTCGCTTCCTACGCACCATTTTGCCTAGGTTTTTTGTTGGGGTTCGTTTGTGTTTTTAAAGGGGGTGGCGGGGATGCCTTTGTGTTGCTCGAAGGTGACTTGGTCTCAAACGAAAGGACCGAAGCACGCAGATGCGAGGTTGGAGAGACAAACTATCGCAGACGACAAGGAAAACGGCCAGCAGGGGGAGGGGTGCACCTGCGTCCGTGTCTCCCGCTGAGTGAAAAATCTCCTAAACCCGAGCCTGTGGCACTGAGCTTTCTATTGGCCCTCACAGAGGTGCCAGCGGGACAGCCAGTAAGCCTGGGACGCCTGAGACGGGCACCACCGTAATCGCCCCGTGGGTCTGTCCGCCTGGGGAGGAAAATCTGCTGGTCCTAAGGGGCCTCTCCCCGTATCCGCCCAATCGGCCCATTTGGCTCCGTGGCTGGTCAGCCTTAATTTCATTCACGATTCAGGTGTCCGCCACACGTGAGTGCCACGAGGGAAGACACACTTTTTGCCACAGCTCCCCAATCTGATAAGGCCTTATCTTCTCTGCCACCGGCCCTTCGGCGCCGACTCGGACCTGGCGTGGGCTGCACGCGCTGCGGACGCTAACTCTTGCGTAGAGGACTGCAGATCATCAGGAAGATCGCCCAAAGTGAAACTACTTCCGCTTGTTCAGGGCGCTTCCACGTGGTGTATACTCACGTGACTAGCTCGACCCGAGTCTAGAAAGTGGAGGTGCACCACACAACGCGCTCAACTCGACGCTCGTCATCTCACGACCCGACCCAGCGACAATGTACGAGACGGTGACGCAGGGGAGAGCAAAACGCAGCACTGCGGGAAACCGGTAAGTCGATATGGCTTCAACCGAATCAACTGACGCATACAGCATGCGCGAGCTGCTCGAGAAGGCGCACCAGGAAGACCAGAAAGATGCTCTGTTCGAGGAAGACCCGGAGGACGCCGAGTTCGAGGCGCCCGCGGACGTGCGCGACGTGTATCTGGAGGACTTCGCAGACACAGATGAGGAACTTGATGACGAGGAGGCCGAGGAGCGGCAGCTGCGGCGTGAGGAGCGCAAGAAGGCCAAGGCGAAAGCTGGCTTCAACCCCCTGCAGCCGAAAACGGTGCGCATGGGCCAGCCGACCGTACAGATGCCCTCCGCTGAGGAGCTCGCCATTCTGGGACCCAACATCGACGTGTCCAAGATGGCTCCTTCGACACTGATCCTCGAGATCAGACGGCGGAAACGAGAAGCCAAGCGCGAGCAGCGTTCCGAACAGCGGCGATCCAACCTCCGTGCATCGACTCTCAAGACGGAGGCGGATGTCATCGAGCGTGAGCGCCAGGAGAAGATCGAGAAGCAGAACTCGCGCAAGGGCCGCAAGGCGCAGCACGTCACCGGCGAGATCCGCGGCGCGCGTCCCATGACGCAGGCGGAGCTCATCGCCGCTGCGCTCGAGGAAGAGGAGCGTAACAAGGAGGCGCTCACGGACTGGCTCAAGAAAGAGGAGGAGCGGCGAGAACTGCGCCGCGTGGGAAGGAAACGTGTTCGCGGACCGCGATGGACATGGGTCAGCCGAACTGTCGGCCGGCTCGTAGAAGTCGTTGAGGACGAGACAACAGCAGCTCCGACACCTGCGCCTCGTGAGTCTACGGCTCCTGTTACTGAAGACCGGCCAAGCGCGACTCCTGCTACGGAACGAAACGCGGACGAAAAGGGGCCATCAGTTGAAGCTTCTGCATCTGCGAAGGATGTGAACGATGCCCAGCCGTCATCTGCAACCGAGCAGCATGAGCCGTCCACAGCGTTCACCGACGCCGCATCGAGGCCCGCCGAGGAAGCGGCTCCCGCTGCCCAATCTGCCAATTCAGAAGAGGCTACGAAAGATGAGACGGCCAAGACGGATGAAGCGCCCTCTCCAGCAATGGCGCCGGCGAGCAAGGATGTCGATCAATCATCACCCGCCAAGGAAGCCGCTTCCAAGGCATCCGGGCCTGCTGCTCCCGAGGGCACGAGTGATGGCGAGCCCAAGGCTGATGCGGTGGCTAGTGCGGACGTGACTATATCTGAGGGTACGGTGGCCCAGGAAGTGCCGGACACTGCCAGCGCATCCGAGCCGCCTGACCCCGACGCCTCCAAAGACGCAACCTCAGCCCAAGCGTCCACTGATCAGTCGGCCAAGGCGGACGAGCCGAAGGCTGCTGAGCCCTCTGGGAAGAATGAGTCTGAGACGTCGAAGGATGGACTACCTAAGGCTGAAGAGTCGGTGAAGCCGAACGCTTCAAAGGATGGAGAGCCGTCCCCCCAACTAGCCGAAGCAAAGACCGATGCTCCCGCCAAAACCGATGAGCCCTCCAAGGCCGACCCCATTACCGACGCCGCCAAAAAGGACGAGGCGAAGGAAGACGAGAAGAAAGACGAAGCCCCGACCGGCCCGTACACACGTAACTACCTGATTCTGTCCCAGGTGCCCGGAGGCCTGCCGGCGGAACTGAAGCTGATTCTCGGCGACCACGTCGACTGGTCCGACGTCAAGGTCGTTCCCGCCCGAAACCGACCCATCAGTGAGTCATTCTTCCTCCATCTTCTACTGCTTAGAAGAGTCTGAACGTAAGCTGACAGCAGACCGCAAGCGTCCCCGCGACCCATTGACGGGCACGCCAGCGCCGTACCGCCACCCCGGGTCCATGGTGCCCTACTCCTCCACCGAGAGCTATGCCACGCTGCAGGCTATCCTTGCAAACCGTTACGTCTTCACGCCCGAGGGCATTTGGGCCGGCGGCGAGGCGGATATGGCTGCCGAGGGCGCCGAGGAGATTCCTGGGTGGAAGGAGGCATGCGCTCGTGGTTGGCTCGACGGCAAGCGGATCCCCGAGGATGAACCGGAACCAGAGCCCGTTGAGGAGCCTGAGGAGGAGGCAGAGGAGGAGGAAGAAGTGGAGGAGGAAGAGGAGGAACCGCAGGAGACAAAACGCGGTGCGAAGCGACGCAAGACTGAGCCTGCTAAGAGCAAGGCCAAAGGCAAGGGCAAGGCCAAGGCGACAGCTAAGAGCAAGGCGAAGGCTAAGCCGAAACCGAAGGCAAAGGCCAAGTCCACCCCCAAGGCGGCACCCAAGAAGGCCGCGCCGAAGCGCAAGCGTTGAGCAGCGCTGACAGTGTATTGTATCACCTGTTGTTACATGTATCATAGTACAACATGCACTCTATAGTCTATGATCTAGTTTCCTGCCGCGACCTTCGTCCAGTCGATGGGTCTGTGGCTCGACTCGGCGCCATCGATGACGCACAGGGGCACTACGGTTGGCCGGCCGTGTGCACACGCCCACGGGTTGCGTGTGCTTGCGAGCCGGGAGACGAGGCGCTCACATTGGTCCTGATTAAGCGCGTCCTCGAACATGACCGCGCCGCGACAGGCTTTCGACTTGGCGAGCTCGAGCATCTCGCGCGGCATCCAGCGCATGACTCCTTTCCAGCCATTGCTCTTCGCGCTTTCGCTGTTGGTATCCAGCGCCGCCGTCAGAGCCTGGATCTCGCCGATACCGTCTGCAGCGTCTGGCAGGTACAGTCGCAACAACCTCGTCAGTTCCGTGGCCTGCTTGCGGGCGAGACGATCCAGCATCTCTGGCACAGCGTACACGTTCACCTGTGCGTAGTCTCCTTCAGGCTGCGCCAGTCCCAAGCGTATGCCCCAGCGGTGAAGAAGTGGTCGAACACCAGGGGTCTCGAGGTACTCCACTTCCTGCCTCGACAGCACCACACGCACGGTCCCTTCTTCAAGGGCCGTTGTGGGCATCGTGTCCTCTGCGAAGGACTTGCAAAAACTCTCCAGAATCATCTCAAGCGATGCGCGCTCGTCAGCCGCGTGCTGGTCGAAGATGGCGAGTGTCTTGCGGCCCTCTGCCTCAAGGACGCAGGGGATGAACTTCTTGTCGACTTGACGCAACACACTGGCGTTCTGCAGGGAAGCGTTCGAGAACGAGATGTCCACATCTGGCCCCGGTAGTGTCTTGGTTAGGGTCGTGGGATCTTCCTGCTCGTCATCGCCGACTGTGGTGCCAGCGCGCCCGATGCGAAGGACGCCGTCGTCTGTAGTCTGATGGGTTAGATACGGTGCGGGTCGGGGTACCTACCGCTATGAGGTCCTGTACGAGGTTACGCGCGGAAGGTGCTTCGGGTTCTGGCTCCTCTGGCTGGGTTGCTGGGTGCAGTGCAGCCTCAACAGACTTGATGCGCTCCTCGTAAAGACGGTTTAGGCTCTCCTCAGGTGCACGTGAAGCAGAGCGGCGAACGTTCCGAGTGGGTGTCGGTGACGCACTTCTGGGATGTGCACGCTTCCCCGACCGAGTAGACCAAGCAGCGACGGATCGCGGGGTCGGCGAGGCTGTTGTCGCTTCCCGCTGCACGTCAACGCCTACGAACCCGTTCTCGGACAGGAAATGCTCTACGACACTGAGCAGAAACGTTTGCACGCTGTCAAAGTCATGATACCCGAACGTCACCTTGCGCGGCTCGTATGAGGCGTCAACCTCATCGGCTGGCAGCGTCAGGTTCAGAACGTAGACGGGGTATCGCTCCAGTCGCCTCGGCGAGGGACGTTTGCCGCCCATCAGCGCGTCGTCCATGAGGTCGCTAGCCATGGAGCCGAATGGGCTCTTGGCGAAGCGCTTCGAGATGAGCTGGTGCAGCGCCGAGTTTTCGATCGGGTATCCGTTGATGAAGAGGTGCTGATGTGCGCGCGTCACGGCGCCCTCGAGACTGATAAAGCCATCGATGCGTCGCGGGCCCGCAGAGGTGCTCACATGCTGTACCTTTTCGACGCCGGCGGCACCGTACAGCTCCTTGAATGCTTCGAGCGTACTGCTGCACCCCTGCAGCGACAAGACCTTGCGCATACCGCGCGATCCGCTCGCCCACAGAATCCAACGCACGTGTGGATGCACAAGTGCGAGCGACTCGATGACCTTCTTGCACGAAGCGAGGACGGAGGAAGACGATGCAGCGGCAAGTTCGGCCTGTCTCACCGGCACTCCGTGGAAGAGGTCGCGGACAGTGACGTTCGTGCCGCGCGCGCGGCCCAGCTCCCGCTTCGCTGGGCCGAGATACAGTGCTTCGCCGCTCTTAAGGATCTTGGTAACTGTGTATTCCTCGGCGACCTGAGACGTAATGTCGATCAAGCCCATTGTTGAAATGGAAGCGAGTGCCTCGCCACGGAAGCCATACGTGCTTAGAGCCCCGAAACCGTGGTTCTCCTTGCTCGTCACTGGCAGGTCAGCCGTAGCGGAATTGCAATACCTACTATTCCGCTCGCCTATCGAGCGCAGATCTTCGAGGTCAAGGCCATGGCCATCGTCCTCTACCCGAATACTCTCGTTGCCCCGGCTCAAATCCAGCCAGCATTCTATTCGCACTGCCCCGGCATCGAGGGCGTTCTGCACCAGCTCGTTCAGAACTTGCGGGATCGAAGCGACGACGACGGACGAGCGCAGGCGCAGCGCCGTCGGACGCGGGAGTCGCTCGATGCAGTCCATGTTGGTTCCACAATTCAGCTCATTGTCCCTCTGTAAAGCGAGAGCGTGGAATCGTGCGGAGTGGGGAGGAAGTGAAATGGGCAGAGGGAAGGCAATCTTGAAGCATCGTTGCTCAACTTCCGTCATCTCGGCGGGCCTCCACTTTCGCCACCAGAAGTCACGTGCAAGTAAGCGTGCTCTGCTCCTCTGCGCTCCAATACGTACATTGCAGGCATTTGCATGAGCAGACGTATATGCAGAGCGGATACGACGGGTTTCAATTACCTACATCGCTCATAGAGGCAGCGAAAATCTGTGTTGAAGGAGGATACCGACCGTCGAAGTTCGTCCAGCTGCATGTCATTTGCAGCCCTCGTGCCTCGTCAAAACACGCGCCGCCCACACGCGTCCGTCTCATCTCGTAGTGGGTCAGGTCACTACACCTCGCCTTCTCCCATCTTTCGACCAAGCACCGCCATGCCGCCAAAAGCGTCCACGACTACGAGTGATGTGCCCCCTTCCCCCGCCTCGGTGCAGCAGCGGCCCTTCATGCCCGGCATCGCCGAGTACGAGCTCCCGAAGACGAATCTGATCAAGCTGGCTAAGGGATCGGTGAGTCCTCCAGTCCCCCCCACACTCTCACCTTTCCTAGCTCATAAGGAGAGCCACAATGCAGCAGGCGTGAAAATCAGCTTCGTGTATCTCGATTTGGTAGCTGACACCCAGATCCCGGATAATGTCAAGATGCAGCAGGACGTAGTGACCGCTCTCCTGCGGTCCTCGACGCTCTTCATCAACTTCCTGTGTACGTACAGCTCCCTTATCGAGTGAATCAAGCTGACATCCAGCGGCGCACGCACACGACCAAGCACTCGAGCGCTCGGGCAAAAGCATCACGGCCGGCGACGTGCTCAAGGCCGTGACGGAGCTCGACTTTGGTCCCGCCGACGCCCTCGTGCCGATACTCGAGCAAGAACTTGCTGGTAAGTTTTCAGCTCGGTGGCCGGAGAGCTGCGCAGCTACGTAGACGAAACCTAGGGAGCTGACCCGCAGCGTACCGCGCACACGTTGCTGCGACGAAGGCCGCGAAGAAGAAGCCGGGCCCGGGACGGGGGAAGCGCAAGTCGAACGCTGCCGAGGCGGAGCCGGACGAGAGCATGGCTGTCGACGACGAGGAAGAGGAAGAGGAGGAGCAGGCTGATGGCGATGGAGAGGGAGATGAGGGTGACGAGCAGGAGGGACAGCAGGATGAGTAGACCCATGTATCATATTGTCAAGTTTAAACCTTGGAACACTGACCATTCTGACGGGGCGCGAGGATGTAGTCACAGCTACAGCTACAAAGAGACCATGTCATCAAACTATCAGAAGAACCTTGTGCTACAGAGAGCCTCGGTCTGCGGTCGTTGGGTATCCGACAAGCGGCTCGGCTTAGCCTCGTTGCGTCTAGAACAAACAGTCCAAACACTCCTCGCACGCGCAGCACTCGCAGCAGCAGCACAAACAAGCGCCAAGTCCGCAGCACGCGGCAGCCTTGCCCGCGCCGCTGCTCTTCTTCTCAGGAGGCGCCATGATGATCTGTTGCGGCTGGGTACGTCAGCTGTTGTCTCATCGGCGCAGAGCTGTCGACAAGTGCTCCGGGCAACTGATACCGCTGCTTCTGGCTCCGAGCTCCCTGTCCAGCGCCAGCGGGAGAGGGTGGGAGCGGGGATAAGAGCGGTAGGAGGGGAAGGGAGAAGAGGAACAGTGAGGAGGAACAGTGAGGAGGAGCAGTGGGAGGGAGAAGCACACGCACCGGAGGAGCAGACTGCATCGGCTGGGGCGGGCCGTACCCATACGACGGCTGGGGAGGATACTGCCCATACGCCTGGCCCATGGGCTGGCCATACTGTTGCGGGGGGTTGTAGGACATGTCGTCAGGAGCGGAGCGACTGAGGTTGGGGTGGAGAGATCGAGTACGAGAACGCCGGTGTGGTGGGGGTGGGTTCGCTTTCGATAGCGAAAGCTGAGCGCACAAAGTTGCAGCGCGTTGTCTAGTGAGGAGTTTGTTGCAAGTGGGCGAGGAAGACGGGAGCGTCAGTGTCTGTATTGTTAAATGGGCTGTGGACAGCGCTAAGCATCTGCTAGCCCGCAGCCTGTGCAATCTAGACAACTGATGGACACGCCACGACCGTGATGGCGGCTGGTTTAGCTGGCCTGGTGCTATTTTCGCCTGCGGCGCTGCAGCAGTGTGGTTTCACCTGCGGCGACCTGGTAACCTGGAGTTACCTGGGGGTGAGTGGGCTGTGCACTGCGGCGTGCTGCACAGCGTCTCGACACTGCGCGATTTCTATACGCTCAATGCGCCGTTTTCCACGTTCTCCACTGGACGGCTCACATGCACGTTGGCCGCATGCCCTCCCATCGGCTGTTCGTAGATCGGTTCCGGAGCGGGCGTGCTGGTCAGTAGCCGTCAGGTTGTCAGTGGCCCCCGCGCCATGGCCATCGGATGCGCTGATAAACTCGATATTAACTGCATAGCTCCTTTCCTTCACATTAGGGCACGACCTTGCCGACAATGTTGTATCGCTGATCGTCAGCTTGGAACTTCGTTTCCTTGCCAGCTGTCGACACCCCGTGGTGATGGGGCAGGACCAAAAGAGAAGACATACCTTAGCGAAGAACGAGTCCCACTGGTCAAGCGTCTTCATCTGCGTCTCGTTCAGCGTCGAGTAGTCGGCGATCGCGTCCTTGGGGTCGAGCGAGGACATGCCTGGTGGTTAGCATACAAGCATACGAACGGGTTCCCCGTTTGCCTGATAAACCGAGCCTCGGCCTCGGACTTCGGCTTCGGGCACCGGCCCTGTTGTCCGAGCTCCAACAACTGCCAACGACTGCGCCAGGCTGGCCAGCAGCAGCTGAGAAGCAATGGCGGAAATGAGGAAGCAACGGAGGGCGGGGAAGGCCATGCTGGAGGTGCGATGGCAACGCCCCGACACCTCGTCGAACTCACCGAGACCCTTGCTGGCGTCCTTGCCCGCGAAGACGTTGTAGCCGGCGCCGGGGCCGTACATCTCCTTCTTGTTCGAGACGTCGTACACCTTGCCCTTAATCGCGACATAGATCGGCTTGGAGGGGTCCGAACCGTCGTACTGGCGGAGCTCAGCGACAGAGATGGGGTCGTCCTGGCGTCAGCTTGTCGCAGGCAAGAGGAGCTGCTTCCGCGCCGCGCGGCCATAGTCATCGGCATGCGGCGTGCATGAGGCAAAAGAGGACGGTAGGCAACAGCGAGGAAGGATGAGAGTGTTGCAAGCCGTAGAGCAAGCTGGATGGATCGATCTTCCAGTTGGTTCGACGCCAAGCCTCATCACAACAATAGTCGCGGAAGGGGTCGACTCACCTTGGGCGGGGCGAGGTCAGCGGCGGGGGCGCTCATCACGGACTGAGTCATCGTAAGCGTTCGTTCCTTTGTGTCGTCGAGTCGTGTCGTGGGAAGAGAAGAGTGAAGAAGGGCAAGGCCGAACTCACAATGCTCTCTGCCAATTTCGCCTTTGGGTCCTTGGTCTCGGTGGCTTGTTTGCCGGAGCCCGCACCGCTGGTGCCGCCGGCGGCGGCCCTCGCGGCCTCCTGCTGCTGCTTGACCCAGTGCTCGCGCGGCTGGGGGTTGGCCTGCAGGACGTAGAGGATTGCGGAGATGCCGACCGCGATCGCGAGCAGAACCGGCGCGCTCGTCAGCGTCTCGTACCACGACATGGTGCTTGGGGTTCTTAGTCTCGGAGCGAGGGCCGGTTATATGACAGAAAGGGCTGCAGGGGACGTCATGATTGGGACTGATGGCGATTGGTCCCACGGTTTTGGTGGCCCCGTGACCACCGCACGCGCAAGGAACACAAGGAACACACTGGACTCTCACCCAGCCACCACATGCACGCCCCGTCCACCTGATGATGCATGCATGGCGGGCACGTCGGACAGGACAGGGTATACTGATACATGGATATGCCTCTACACAGTCCAAAGCACAGTGACAGTCTACATAGCCCAAAACACAGCTCACTCGTCGTCGTGCGAGCGCGCAAACAGTTCTGCTTGTCAGTTCTGTCTGGTATTTTGAACTCACTCATGATGTCCGCCATGGTAAGCTTGAGGTTCTTTGCGCCCTCGCCGCTGAGAACGGCCTTGGCAAGCTCGCGTTTCTGGTTCTGCAGCTGACTTGTTAGTTTGTATGCGGTCCCCACAACTCACAGCCAGGATGCGGTCCTCGACCGTCTCCTCCACGGTCAGCTTCCAGATGTTCACGGCACGTGTCTGGCCCAAACGGTGCGCGCGATCGAACGCCTGGTCCTCGAGTCTGACGTTAGCTTGCTCAATACCTGAAGAATCTGAAAGTGACTTACGCCGGGTTCCACCAAAGATCCATGAGCACGACGTTGTTGCAGCATGTAAGGTTGAGACCCGTGCTGCCCGCCTTGAAACTGATCAGAATGACGCGGTGCTTGGCACTCGTCCTGATCGTCTGAAGAACATTCTGCCGCTTGTCGGCGGCGAGGGAGCCATCGTCTGTCGTCAGCTTTGTCAGCGTACAGCAAGCTTACAGCGGACGTAGTCGATACCCTCGGCGCGGAAGTATGGCTCGATCAGGTCGAGGAACGAGGTGAACTGCGAGAACACGATCGTCTTCTCCGTGTTCTTGGAGCGGGAGTCGACTTCGCGGAGCAGCTTCAGCAGCATGCGGATCTTGGCCGAAGAAGGAGGGAGGCCACGCGCCTCCGAGCCGGCGCGACGCGTAATCCGCACGCAGTCCAGACAGTGTTTTCCTCCGACGCCGGGCAGGCTGCTTGTCAGTTGAGCACAATTAGGCCTTAAACTCACGGAGCGCTACAAAGCTCGCACTTCTTCGGCCCCGCCACCGTCAGCCCGGAGAGGAGGTCGGCGAGATCCTCGCCATCGTCAAACTCAACCGCGTCGGTTGACATCTCCCGGTCAAAGTTTTCGCCGTCGCGACCGAGTGTATCGGAGTCAACCGCCGAGCGGCTCACAAGAAGCGGGTGGTCGCACGCTTGGCGCAGGCGCAACAGCATGGTGAGAACGGACGTGTAGTTCGCCATCGCCGTGCCCGCGTTAACAAACTTGTTGAACGTGAGCTGCGTCTTCTTCTCGAGCGCGTCGTAGAACTCGCGCTCGTCGTCGTCAAACTCGCACTGCACGACTTCGACTCGGCGTTCAGGTAGGTTAAGAATCGGCTTGCCATCTGCTGTTAGCTCGCAAGCCACCTCCACAGCTCACTGATAGTGGCATCTTTCGTTCGTCGGAGCATGATCGCCTTCAGGATGATGTGCAAACGTTTCATCGCCATGCCTGTTCGGCCGTTCTTCACCTCCGAAGAGATACGCGCCTTGAACACCTGCCAGTTGTCGAGCGGGCGTGCACGCAGGAATTGGAACAAGCTGAACAGCTCCTCGACGTTGTTCTGGATCGGCGTACCGGTCAAGCACCACCTGTACTTGGCCTTGAGCGCGACTGCGGCCTTGGCCGTCTGCGTCTTGTGGTTCTTAATGTTCTGTGCCTCGTCTGCGATTAGCTTAACCAAGCTTTGTTGAGCTCACCGATGACGATACGCAGCCACTTGACGTCGTACAGCGCCGCCATGACCTTCTTCTTGCGTTTCAGCTTCTTCCGCAAGCCGTCGTCGCTGTCATCGCTGTCCGACGGAGCAGCACGCTGTCCCCGAGCCTTGAACTCGGACGCAAGCACCTGGAACGTTGTAATGACCACATCGTACTTCTCTAGCTCTTTTCCGCCTACTGTCAGCTCGAGCTATAGACACGCAAGCTCACTGGAAGTTCGCCCTGGCCCGTGATGAGTCGTGATCTTGAGCAGACCTGGCTGTGTCTTCGTGCGAGCCTCAGACGCCCACTGCTCCATAACCGCAAGTGGTGCGATGATCCTGCGGTCAGCTCAGAGGCGTCGCCGTAGCTCACAGAGTTCCGCCCTTGTAGGCCTTCTTCTCTGAAGGTGTGTGCCTTCCCTCGACGACACGCGCGAGGGTCTGCACTGTCTTTCCAAGACCCATGTCCTGATGTCAGTTCCCAAACGAATGCGCCAACTCACATCAGCCAGGATACCTCCGTACTTCCTGCCAGTCTCTCGCTCGCGCATCCACTTGACACCGCGGACCTGGTGGGGCATGAGGCGCATGCCGTCTGCAAAGCCCTCGACTGTGTCTGCGCCCTCCTCGTCTTCCTCACCCTCACCCTCGCCTTCACCCACAGCGCCAGCGAGGAGGTTGCGCATCTGCTCCTCCGGGTCGCCATGGAAGCGCTCAAAGTCTTCGGCCGTGAACTTGGCCTGGTTCAGGTCAAAGTCCTCCCCGTTCATCTCGACCTCTTCCGGCTCCTTGTCCTTCTCCTCTGGCTCAGGGGCGCTTTGCGGGGAAGGCACCTTGCTCGCCGGCGCAGACACCCACTCGGGCCACCCATCCCTGTAGCCCGGCTGGTCGAATGCCGATTTGCGCGGCGCGCTCTTAAACGCCGTCGCTGGGCGAATGTACGCCCCGTAGTCGTTAGCCATGCGGGGCGCCGAGGACCTTGCGGGAGCGGGAGTGGGAGCAGACGTCTTCTTGGGCTTGGAGATGCTAGACCCGAATCCCGAGTCGAAGTCGTCGTACAGGCTGACTTCCCGCTGGGAGGAAACGCTGGAGGAAGAGAGTGATGGTTGAGAGGACAGAGGGCGGGCACGAGCGTTATTCGGCCGCGTCGAGGGGGACAGAGGCGCAGTCGGCATGACGGGGTACAGTCCGCCCTTCCCCCTGCGCCCAGGGGCTGGAGACGAGAAGGTCGGCTCTGGTGAGTCGGTCAGGTCGATCGGGTCCTTGGAGCGAGGCTTTGAGGGTGTCGGCTGCGAGAGGTCGATGAGCGAGTCGAGGTCGTAGTCGAGCGCCCTGCGTGGGCGCTGTCGCTGGCTGAACTGGCTAGACTGACTCATAGTCGTCTGGTCGCGTTCGCAGCGGTGTTGTCGGATGGAGGTGAATGCAAAGTGAACAGACGAAGCAGTACAAGCCGCTCGCACTGGCTAGCGGACTCCAACCTTTGTTGTTGTGATTTCTGGCACCGGCGTGCCTGGCGCTACGGAGGGGCCGGGGCGACCACGTGGCAACAGTGTGAGGATGGCACACTGACGAAGCGCCCAAAGATATCGTCCTCGCCAATCCTGTTGCCGACTTGTGACAAGTTCTGTGTGTTCAGGGGCATGCATGTGTGCGCTACACAGTTGGAAAGAGGGCTCGCTAGAGTCCAGAACGGCCGTGAGCGGAGGGCGCCGTGCAGTATTTGTGTGCAGACGTGTCATGGCTGACGCTTGCGGCGCGCGGGGTAGTGCTGGCAGCGTGACGTCAGGCGTCGATCGCGCTCCCTAAATGTCTTCTTTCCGCAATCTTGCCACCCCCTTCATCTGCAACACCGTTTCATCTTCGCCTCTCACCTCTACTCACTCCTTCAATCCATTCAGCAGTGACCATGAGCCAGCTGCCTCAGTACTACTCTATCCTCGTGAGCTGACATTCCACTTCCGAAGCTAACGGCAGAACATCCAGTCGACGGCGACAGCGTGAGCTTACCCGGACTGGAATATGAGCTAACGACAGGGAGGAAATCCGCACCGCGTACAAGCGCGAGTCGCTCAAGACGCATCCCGACAAGCTCTCTCCGAAGGCATCGGCCGCGGAGAGGCGACGTTACACTGAGCGCTTCGTGAGTGTCTCAGTGCTCATGGCCAGCTGAACAATGTCGGGTTCGAGCTGACAAACAGCAAGCAGTCGCGGACGCGTACTATGTACTCTCCGACCCGAAGCGACGTGCCGAGTACGACGCTCTCCTGCGCTCGCGCCCGAGCCAGTTCACGACCTCCTCCGACCCGTTCGAGCAGGACCAGGCGTCGGGCAACTTCTTCGAAGAGTTCAGCCGTTTCTTCCAGGACGCTGGCTTCGGGGGCGCATCCGCCGCCGGTGCCGCCGGCGCAGGCACGTCCGGCGCTCCCCCGGGCGGGTTCGACTTTGAGAGCGAGAGCAGCGAGGAGGAGCTGCCGAAGAAGAAGACCGGCCGGCCAGACGCGAACGGCATCTTTGGTGATGTCTTTGAGGAACTGTGAGTGCAGCTAACATCACGAGTACGGCGCAGCTGACATCAGCCTCGAGCCCGAGGTGGCTAACGTCCACCACCGCTGGCGCTGGGTTGGCGGCGCTGCTGGTGCCGCTCTCGGATACATCATTGGCAACATCCCCGGTGCCGTTGCAGGAGGTGAGTGAGGTGGGGCTTCGAGTTTTCCCCGTCCCAAATCGCCGAGTCACGCGACCCGCCTCAACGGGCTCTGGCTCAGGCTGAGAGCGGGGGCGCTCTCAGTCCACTTCTACGGCGTGCGAGAGGAGCTGTGAGGACGTGGAAGGCGAGATTTCACCTAAGCTACCCACAGGCAAGGGAAGAGCTAACCCCAGGCTTCGCGGGCAACAAGCTCGGCGCCATCAGAGACAACAAGGGCAAGCCGGTCGCGCAGGTCTTCGCGACGCTGCCCGTGTCGCAGAAGGCCGAGATCCTGCGCGCCCTCGCCTTCAAGGTGCTGGGCAGCATGGCCTAAGCGCTCTCCATCGCGAGCGAGCGAGCGTTTCGTGAAGTGGAAACCCAATCAAGACATGACGAACGATCAAAATCCGACCGGAACACAATCAGACAGACTTATTGCGGAGTGCGCCGAAGTCAAGATTCAAGATGAGTTGGCGAGGTAGACGAGATACCCATTGATCCGAAGAAGAACCCAGAGATGGCATGAGCGGTGTCGAAGGATATGGCGGAGGAGGGGCCCAGCTAGCGCCCGAGTGAGAGGGCGAGAGGGCACGCGAGCGCCGAGCATGTGAGCGTGTGGATCGGTTCCGCCCGTCCGAGCCGGGGAATGTGGGGAGCTAGTCGTCCGGCGGTGCCGCGGTGCGGTGTTCGGCATGCCCACGCTCGCGTGCAGATGCCGCCGGGCTAGGTGACGGCAGCGGGATTCACACCGAGAGTGAGGCTGGAACGGCGCCGCGTGAGGAAGCACTCATGAGGTATTCCATAGTTCGAGACATGTATGCAACACGCGACAGCGATAGCGATGCACGCGAGTGGCCGAGTGGAACGAGTGACCTCACCCCCGTTGATCCGAGATATCCGAGGATCAACACCTCCGCCTTGGCTCCTTGGCTTCTTCGCCGCAGCTCGATCGTGTTTGCTGTCCGAGGCTCAACCCCCCGTCTTGGGGCTCCCACCTCCTCCCTCAGGTCTCCCTGTCCCCAGCGGCTGGGGAGAGAGGGCCGTGCATTCAAGTGTGCCCCGAGCATGCGCCGAGCTCAGGATCTCGCCGTTCCGGGGTCGTCACGCAGTCTCCAAATCCCCATAGCCTGCATTGCCCCATGCTGCGAACTGCGGACATGCGGGTGCTCCACGCCGACTGAATAAGCGAGCGTGCGGGGTCCTCATTCTCGGGCTCATCGGGCTCGTCAGGGGTGGGCATGTCCGTGTCCGCAGTCTTAGGGCGGACAGGGTGGGGGCCGGCCGGCCAGGGCGGATGTGTCGGGTCATCCAGCAGGCCAGCACCCTCGTTCGTCATACATTCCACGGCGCACGCGTCGTTCCGCTTCGTCACTGGCTCCGTTGCTTGTTCGTGGTCGCCGCTACCGGCACTACCCTCGCCACTACCTGATCTACAGCCCATAACCTGTACTACCGTCGACACTACCTGTGCTACTGACACTGTGACCGTCAAGGACTTCCCCGCAGTGATCTCCATGATCTCCCTCACACGACAGACTAGCGCAGATCTCGTAGTCGTAATCGGTGCATTGAAGATAGATAGACAACGTGCGGTCTGTCAAAGACCTATAAATCTAGATTGTAAATGTAGTGTGTGAGGTTGGTGAGAGAGAGAAGACTATATATAATGAAGAGATCTAATGTGACAACATAGTTTAGTCGAGGATGGTGACCTTGACGCGGCCGTCGATGGGCTCGGCACGGACATGCGTCAGGTCCTCGACGATCCACTCGGCGCCGAGGCCCTCGAGCATCTCGCGCGGGAACGAGGTGCAGACGGCAAGGACGTGGGCGCCGGCAGCGACACCGGCCTTGATTCCAGAGGGAGCGTCCTCAACAACGACACCTGGATGGTCAGCTTCAGCTCCAAGAGTACGTAGCTTTCGCCACTGCCAAATTCGCCACTGGCATAGATTGCGTGGAATGAGGGTATCTCGTTTGGTGTGGAACTGCGGCACAGCGCTGTCGGAGGCTTCTGTGCCTTCTACGAAGGCGAAGCCTACTCGGATGAACAGATAGAAGCCCAGAAGCACGGTGACACAGCACATGCACAGAGACATGTGTCCACACAAGACGATCCGGGCGATCCGTGGGCAGTGTGTCACCTGACGGGTGAAATTGACCGAGACAAGGTCCCAGCCCAGATCACCCAGGTACATGGATCGGCCTCTCCCAGCATACCGCAGTTTTCACTGCAGTCTGGCCATCTGAGCTCACCGCCCCACCGAACCTAATCGCGACCTCGGTGACGAAACCGCTTCGCGCTTGTACTCCCAGGCGGACAATTGCAAAGAGATACCGCGATAGCGACCACGGTACCGCGCAAGGCCCGTGTCAAAGCCGACAAGGAACGGAATGAGGGGTGACGAATTTTGAACAGCGAAGTGGGTGACTGCACTCACAGTTCTTAGTATCGACGCCGAGCTTGGCAGCGCCCTTCAGGTAGGGCTCGGGGTTGGGCTTGCCGTTCTGGACGTCGTTGGCGGTGACGAGGTGGTGGTGCGGCGGGACGGCGGCGGTCGGGAGCGCAGCAGAGGCGTACTTGTAGCGCGCACTCGTGACGATCGACCAGCACGGCTCGGGAGCGGTGTTGAGCTGAGCATGTTAGCGGCTTGCGACTTAGGGATGTAACCCGCTCTACTTGCGTAGAGCGGTGTGAGACACTTACAGACTCGAGGATGTCCTTGACACCGGGGAGGATGATGAGGCCAGTCTTGCCCATGTCCTGGAGACGCTTGGCGTTCTCGACGATGAGGCCCTCAAACTTCTCGGCCTCCTTCGCGCTCTCCTCCTCGCCCTTGATGCCGCACCAGTTCTTCATGTTGTCCTGCGTGCGCATGCCGTGGGCGTCTGAAGATCGTTAGCGTGCGTTCTACCGCGGCAAGAGCAGTTCACATGGCCCACGTGTTTCGCCACTGACACCACCGCACTCCATCCACGGCCATGCACCCGTTCAATGGGATGTACGGCTGCAAAGATGCTGGATGGTAGAGGAGACGCAGAGCTACATGGCGGTACCATGTATGAGATGGTGAGTGGAATGGAAGGAGCTACTCACGCTTCAGAACCTCGTCGAGGTCAAGGTCGTACTTCTCCTTGTACTGCTCCCAGGTGGCCTCGACACCAGGGGTCGAGTCAAGGAGGGTGCCGTCCATGTCGAAAAGGACGGCGTCGACGGTGACAGACTGGGGAGACATCTTTTCAAAGGTGTACGGTGGTGGGTGGAGAGAAGAAGAGTGGAATGGGAGAATGGAAGAAGAGCGATAACGAGCGCAGCGTTAAGAAGGGCCGGAGTCGAGCGCGAGCTGACCGGCGCGACGGCGAAAACACGCAAACTCACGCATGCCAGTCTCGCGCCCTCCCGCCTTGCTCTCCCCCCATCCCCGAGACCCGGCGGTTGCAACAGACGCAGTGCATTCACGCAAACGCACGCAAGATGACACGGCGGTCACTCCCACGCCCTTGGCTTTGCTGCTGGTGTCCTGCATGTTGTGCTGCATGCTAGTTGCTATTCCTGCGGAGTGTGTGACCTCCCCCGAAGCCCCGCCTCCACTTTTGGCCTTCCCCCGCGGATCAGTCCTCTGCTCTAGTGCGCTACGTCATGGCGTGCCAGCAGCAGCACCCTCTTACCCCGGTCCCCTCTCGCCCTATCTTTGGTCTCACAGCCTGTCTCCTGTCTCCTAACTCTTCTCGGGCTGGCCGAACCACGAAGCACGAACCCAACCGACCGACCGACCGACGGTTCCGGTGCAGGACCCACGGCACGCACACGCCGGCGCGGCGGCGGGGCGGCGGCGGGGCGGCGGCACAGCTGAAAAGGCAAAGACTCGCTAAAACGGAAGCAAAATTCTGGGGGGTTGACTGGACTAACGAACGGCGCACGGAGATGACAACGTTCGAAACGCTCAGACCCTCCGCCCGCCGTGCCCCGCCGCGCGCCGCGTCGTCTGGGCGCCGCGCCGCGTTTAGCGTTGCTTCTGCGTCTCTTGGCTCGCCGCGTCGCCGCCGTCTGACCCTGAACTCCGCTCGGCTAATGCGACGCCGGCCCCGGACAACGTTCACCGTGCCATGTCACCATCGGCGGACGTCGCGCGATCGTATCTGGTCCTGCAGCTCATGCGCTGTTGACTGTCTGCCAGCTGTGCACCCCACCTGTCCCTCTTGCCATCCCTCGTGCCATCTGTTGCACCTTGGCTGGCACTATCAATGGATCCACAGCTGATCACTTCCCACTCTTAGCGTCTCAGGCGATGCCGCACCTGTGTCAGCTCCTGAACCAAGTGAACGAGGTGAACCAGCGATAGGATAGCACTGCTGTGCCGGTTGTGCCATCGATGTGCCTTGGCAGTGCAACCCCCCTCTCCCCTTCACCTTCACCGCGGCGTGCCTGGTGACACCGACTGGCGTCGTCATGGGCCCACGCGCCCAGCCCATCTGCCCGTATCTGCTCAGCTGGCCGCTCAGCTGAACCCAGCTGAACAGCGGGAACACCCCAGCTGCTCGATTGTCAGCCTCGCTAGCCCCGTTCATCGGCAGCTTGTCAGCCCCGGCAGCCCCATGGCCCCAGATAAATCGCGCAGAGGAAACATGCCTCCAGCTCTTCTGCCCTGGAAACGTTCCACCGTCCAACCGAACCCTCCGACCCGATACTTTGGTGGCCCTTAGCCCTTGGCTCCAGCAGCAGTTGCAGTGTCAGCGTGCGCTTATCGCCTATTCGCCTGGTGCTCTGGTACTCTGGGAGTATGGCTGCGTGGCTCGCACGCCGACTTTTAGATCGGTTCGATCGAACCCCCGTGATGAATGGTGAAACGGTCGTGTTGTCGTCAGTACGACAGGCCTGCAGCGCTTCAGCGCCCTCGTCGAACAAACTCTGTCGGCCCTCTCGGTCTTCTCGGTCACTAATACATCTGGGGACCTGGGGCCCGTGACATTGGCTTTGGCATTGCTGTCGGGTCGTACCTTCACCGGTGTACCTTCACGCACAGCGCCCCGGACAAACGCCGGAACAGTCACCCGAACGCCAGTATGCATCTCCGCGTCTACTTCTGAGCACCCCGTAAAGTTCGCTTGTCGCGAGACCGCCGTGCACCCTGCGCCGCTTGGACAATGTACAATGAGGATCAGAGGACGAGCTCGACAAGGCACTCGGTCTTCCGAGCCCTCGGTCGCCCCGGCGCTTGCGCGCTTGCGCGCTTGCTTGGGAGCCCCCTATGCTGCGGGCGCTGCCGCGCCTCCGGTTACGGGGCAAGGCAAGGGCAAAGTAGCTCGACTAGCTCCGTCACGCAACGCCTGCTACGTCTATACGTCCGCCCCACGTCGCACAGTTGCCCCGCGCTGCGGAGTATCTCCTCCCAATCGGCAGTTGTGTGCCCCATGCACGCGAGGCCAACTCGGCCACTTCGGCGGCCCCGGCGCCCCCCTGTCTCTGCACCCTGTCGTGCCAAGCGTGCTTAGCTCTGTGGAAACCTGATATGCATTTGAGGAATGGGTCCGATGCTCTTTCTCCGAAAAGCCCAGACGGTCCGAAGAAAAGAGGAAAAGGAAATCACTTCTACCAACTGCTCACGTCTTGTACTGACGTTTGCAGCTTGCCATCGACACGGCGACAGCACTCGTCTACGTCTACTAGTCTATCGAACACCTAGCTTCCACGCTTGCGCGCTTAAGCCTCAATGTTCCAGAACTGCACCGACGGGTTGCCGGGCTCCGAGGCCTCGGCACGCTCCAGCGACCAGCCGTCCTTCTCGCCCTCGGCGGCGATCTTGGCCTTGGCGTCGTTGACGGACACGGCGTCGACCTCGGCAAACTTCAGGTTGACCTTGATGTACGGGATGAGGAGCTTGATGGCGTCGAGCTCGGAGAAGGGCAGCGAGCGGCCAAAGGCGCGCTTGCCCTGGGCGAGGACCTTCTTCTTGAAGGCCTGGACGAAGGGCATGGCCTTCTTGTCCTTGGCGAGGCCGGCGTCGGCGAGCAGCTGGCGCATCTTGGCGTCATCGACGGTGCCGGTCGACTCGTCGTAGGCGGCCTGCACAGTCTCGACACACTTGTTCTGCCAGTCGGGGAACTCAGTCGCGACGTAGATGCGAGCAGCCTTGGGCTTGGACGCGTCGTAGTTGACAACAGGTCCCTTCTTGCCCTTGCGCCTCGTGAGGACCTGCTCGGCCTGGCGGAGGTTGTCGACGACACCGCGCATGTAGTTGATCTGCTCGAGCTGGACGTGGTCGACGGGGGCAGAGGGCTTGGGGAACGCGGCGTTCTGGACAGAGCCCTTCTCGCCGAGGATCTGGTGCCAGATGAAGTCGGAGAAGTGGGGGGTGAAGGGGGTCATGAGGAGGGCGTTGTTGCGGATCCACGAGAAGACGAGGTCCTTGTGCATGCCCTCGCCGCCGTTCTCGGGCAGGCACTGGAGACGGTACCAGTTACGGGCGGCCTCAAAGTCGTAGAGACCAAGCTTGAGCGCCTCCTTGAAGTCCATGTTGTCGTACGCCTTGTAGGCGTTCTCGATGAGCGAGTCCATCTCGGCCTGGAACAGGCGATCAAACTCGTTGTACTCGCCGGTGCGGAGCTGGCCGGCATCCTTCTTCATCTCCTCAGCCCACTGGCAGGCGGTGTGGAGACGGAGAATGGCAGCGTTGGCGACAGTCTCCTCGAAGTTGGCATCGGTGATGTCGTCTCCGGCGTCGGCGAGGGTGAGACGGACGGCGTCGGCACCGAACTTCTTGGTAGCCTCGCGCATGGTAAGGAAGTTTCCGGTCGACTTGGACATCTTCTTGCCGTTGAGCATGAGGTGTCCGTTGCAGCGGACCGAGCGGGGCCAGTGCTTCTCGGGGAAGACAGCGGCGTGGACGTAGATCCAGAAGGTCAGGTGGTTCGGGATCAGGTCCTTTCCAGACGAACGAATGTCGAGGGGGTAGAAGTACTGGAACGAGTACTTGAGCTGGGCGGCAATCTCCTTGTCGACCTTGGAGTCGGCAGGGAAGGGGCCGTCGCAGAGAACGTACTCCCACATGGCGTCGGTCATGTCCTCGGGCTTGATGCCGAGCTTGCCGGTCTTGCCCCACATGTCCTCGTGGAGGAGGTTGGCGACAGTGTAGTACGACATGTAGATGGTCGAGTCGGAGAGCGACTCAACGAGGAACTGGGGGTCCCAAGGGAGCTTGGAACCAAGGCCGTACGAACGAGCGCACGCCCACTGGTTGAGCCAAGCGAGAACGGCCTCGAAGTTGTTGCGGGTCTCGGGAACGTAAGTGTTCATCTGCTTGAGGAGACGCTCAGCGGTGGCGCGCCACTCGGCCTCTCCGTAGTCGAGGTACCACTGGTCGACAAGAGCGACAACACAGACGTCGGCGGAACGCGAGATGACCTCGGACTCGGGCTCGGCGTAGGGGAAACCGAGACCAGCCTTGATGATCTGCTCACGGACCTTGGGCTTGGCGTCCTCGACCTTCTCGCCCTTGAAGTCACCAACGGACATGGTTCCGTTGTAGAAGCCCTCCTTGTAGGCAATCTCCTTGGCCTCGGCGAGCTGCTTGGTGTCACGCTGCGACTGGATCTTGAGCTCGGTGCAGAGCTTCTCAGCGGTCATGTCACCGTACTTGGGAGTAGAGATGACGGGGATGGGGTCGACGCCGGCCCACTCGGGCTGGATCTTGTACATCTCCGGCTTCTTGCGCAGGTCCATGAGGGTACGGTAGTCGTCGGGCGAGTCGGAGGGGACCGAGGTGACAACACCGGTACCCTTGGTGGCGAGGACACCCTCCATGGGGAGAACGTAGACCTCGGGAACGATACCGAAGGGCGGATTGACCTTGGTGCCGACAATCGAGTCACCCTTGATGTCGGCGACCTTCTTGAAGACACCCTCGGGGCGGCCGTCGAAGCAGCCCTGGAAGGCCATGTTGCGGGCAGCACGCTCGGTGATGAGGAAGAGGTCGTTGTCGTTGGCCTCGTAGATGCCGTACTGGAGGGTGGGGCCGACGAAACAGTTGGTCTGGCCGTACATCGTCTCGGGACGGAGAGTGGCGGCAACCATGTAGACGTTCTTGCCCTCGGTGGCCTTCTTGACCTCATCAGTGACCGAAGGGCCCCACTCGAGGACCTTCATCTTAACGCCAGTGTACTCCTGAGGGTTAACGGCCTCTCCGCTCTGTCGGTCGTGGTCCATGCAGGGCTGTCCGTCCTTGGGCGAGTAGATGGTGTAACGCTTGCCGAACTTGATACGGCCCTGGTCGTGGAGCTTGTTCATCTGCCACCTGACAAAGGCGTCGTAGTAGGGGTTGGCGGGGGTGGTGAGGAACTGCCTGCGCCAGTCGACACGGGCACCGAGGCCGGTAAGGTCCTCCTTAGCGATAGGGGGGAAGTACTCGAGCCAGTGGATCGGGTCAGCGAACTGCTTGATCTCCTCACGGGGAACGCCGATGAGCTCGAGAATCTGGTACTGGTAGGTGAGGCCAGTCGACTTGGCGTTCAGCTTTCCCTTCTTAGCCTTCGAGGGGTCGTTGGACTTGGCAGCCTCCTTCTCCTCCTTGGGCTCCTCCGGGGCAACGTTTCCGGAGAAGTCCTCGCCAAACATCTCCATCTCGCGAATGAGCTTGTCGGCGGAAGTTTTGATGGGCATTCCGGTGGCGTGGTATCCGACGGGGAACAGGACACGCTTTCCACGCATGCGCTCAAATCCAGCGGCGAACTCGATCTTGGAAATGGTGAAGGCGTGGCCAAGGTGGAGCGAACCGTTCATGTACGCGTAGGGGAAGGTGCCGAACCACTTGGGGTGCTTCTCGTGCACCTCCTCCATAGAGAGGCCCTTCTCGAAGAAGTCGGCGTACGTGCTGACACCCTCGGGGAGAGGAGCGGGCTCAGTCTCGAAGAGCTTGTCCTGAGCCCAAGCGTCCTGCGCGGCCTTCTCGAGAGCGATGAGGTAGTCGCGCTTGTCCGTCTGCACATGTCAGCCACCTGCCACAAACACGCAATAGCGCTTCGTACCAAGCGCTCAAAGCAGGCCAACAGCCTGAAGCACGCACCTTCTCCATAGTGACGACGGGCTGAGTAGCCGCGGCGTCGGCCTTGGCGGGAGCAGACATCTTGGACTTTTGTTGTTGCTTTTTGGCGAGAGTTACTGAAGATGTCTGGAGGAACCGGGTCTGAGAGACGGTTTTGGTGCAGAGCACGGAAGAGAGGTGATTATAGAGAAGAGCGGCGCGTCGGAGAGAGAGCGTCGCGAATATTTTGATGACAAGTCTGCTGCACGCGCGAGCTCGTGCAATGGACAAGGGGTTTGGGTGTTGGCATCTCATCACGATGACCTCCGCCGACTCGAAAAAGGCAACGAGCCGGCCCGAGAGCGGTTCCTTGATACGAAATGACGTGGCAGACCCTATGCTGGCAAATCGCGGCTGTGGCGAGGTCCGTGGCTCTCGCACTTGCAGCATGAGTTTGGATGACTATGTACATGTATGAATCTACAACTTGAACTTGTCGATGGCACTCTTGACCAGATCGATCGAGGCGGTGTTGTCGAGAGGGATGTACTGGTTGGTGACCAGTTTGATAACCTCCTGGCCGGCGAGTCCACCAAAGAAGGCGGCGGTCGTGGGAGGGGTGAGGAAGCCGCCTCGGACGCTGCTGTCAGCAAGACAGTACCCAGAACGAACTTACACTTCCTCGATGGCCTGGTAAAGAGGCTCATGAATTTCTTCGGCATTGCAGTGCACTGTGCCGATCGCCTTGGTTGCGACACGCTCGACCTCGGCGACATCCGGCGCTGGATCGCCCTTCTCCTGCCCAGGCCACCTTCCGAAGAGCTTGTAAAACTCTTCACTAGCAAGGATGGCAAGAATGATGCAGATACTCATCTTCGGCTCGGAATCAGGCCCAAAGTCTTCGGCTATGGGTTAGCGACGCACGAGCGTTGGACCTACTGATGAGCTCCTTCATGGCCCCTTCGTACGTCTTGGCCTCCTTGAGGGGTGTGCCCTTGATGATGGCCACTCCCCCAACGTTCTTGACGAAAGACTCTACCTCGGTGGAGGGAATAGCGTCATCAGGAAGGCCGATGCTCTCCAAAACGCTTCCAAGCAGCTCGGAGAAGCGTGCGAGATCGTGCAGGTGCTGCTGCTTGTACAGATTCTGCACAGTGACGTAGGACTTGGTCGACGAGTGCATGTCGGGTAGGGTAGGGGCCACCGGAGGCAGATGGGGAGCAGTCTCGAGGAACTTGCTCAGCGTGTGGAGCAGGAGGTGGAGGTTCTTAGACTACAGGTTAGTAACCGTCTGTACGCAACACTCACGTTGCTCGAGATATTGACAGTGGCTGGATCCTTGAGGAGCTCAGCAACGTCGTACGGCACCACAGATGGTGTCCAAACGCGATACGCCTGAGCGAGTGCCTCGTCAAAGTTCTCCTCATCACCTTTGCGGCGCCAGCTCTGAATGAGCTTCTTGAACTCATCCTTCTCCTCCTTCGAGCTGGGCAGCTTGCCATCGTGCTTCGGTTAGCACCGTCCAAACGTGAACTCACAGATTCCCTCCACACAGTTGCCGCTCGGACAAGCAGCACAACCCAAGGGACGTGAGAGTGCTCCATCGAGTCCATGCCATCGAAATTGAGGTCACGAGAGTACGCCAGCAGGGAAGGGAAGGGTTGGTCGATGCGCAGTGTGTGGGTAGTGTCCGGATGGGAATCAACCACTAACAGTGAGCTCATAGTCGCCATCGCTGCGACTTACCGCAGTGCTCGCGCAGCTGGATCTGCAGACGGCCCGTCAAGCCAGACGAACGGATAGAAACGAGGGGAATGTCTGGCTCGCCGACGTTGCTCGAGGCTAGTGTCAGCAAAGGACCGTTGATCACTCACTGTTCCAAAGGAGCTCTGCAATAGCATCCTCCACTTGCGGGGACACGTTGGAGGTGATGACCAAGGTGTTGGAAGTGAAGAAGCTCGGATCAGACTTGAGCAGCTCAGACGCGTCCTGATGTCAGTTGGTGCATGCTGTAATGAGCTCACAGCGACTTTGGCCTCTCCAGTCACAGCGGGATTGAGCTCGCAGAGGTGGCGAACTTCCTCCTGCGCAATTGGCTTTCCGATGGACGAGGGCTCTAGGAAGAAGTTTGTGCCAACATCAGCAGCGGTCGTCGTGGCGTCGGAAAGAATGGTGAAGTGCTTGATGCCTGATCATCAGCAGCTGGCCTGGTAGTGCTTCACTGACCAGGGAGAACGAGGTTTTTGAGTGTTTGGCAGGCCGAGGCGTCGTGTCCGACCAAAAGAATGCGCGCGGACTCGAGGGATCGTTGACCAGCTGAAGCCCAAAGACTGAGATATGAGCTGACGCACCGAGGAATGTCGGGAACAGCACAATGACTCACCGCAGCTGTCTGTCGTAGCGACGCGCCTTTGCATCCGGGCGGCTCCTATACGTTAGTGGTCTTCCTTCGAGATGAGACGCACGAAGGCACGGGGGTCGTGCGAGAGGACGTCACCGAGGAGGGAGCTGCTAGTGCAGTAGTCGCCTCGGATATGTCAATGGAGTCTTCCATCTTGGCAAGTTTCACGGGTCGCGAGAGTGGGGACGAGGGAGGATCGTGGTCCGCAACTGGCATGGATGAGGGGTATCGAGTGGAGAACCCAGGTCTGGATCTGTGCGCTGGGCCAGAGCGCTTCGAGCCGTCAACAGGGGGTCAGTGGAATTTCGGAACTGCGATTGCAGTGAATGTTGCCGGATGTTGGGGATGTCGGTGTGACGAGAAGCGGTGCCGTATCGTTGCGGACAAGCGAGATTAGGTAGGTTGCAAGATGACAGACCGCTGATGTAACAGCGTAAGGAGGGGAGGTGGAGGTGAGATCGACTCCGCGCGGCAGTTGACAGGGTGAGGGACGCGACTGCGCTCTGACCCAGCCAGGCTGCAGGCTGATCGCCTTCCACCGTTTCAACTATCAACTTCACTCAATCCATTACTTGGCATTTGATTGCGATCCTTCTGACGTCTAACCATTGTTCTCGTACTCTATGCATGTAACTCTACCACGAGAGGAAGCCGTTCTCCGGGCATCCGGTCCGGGTTACTCCACTTCCGCTGCGAATCAGACCCGGAACGACCTTTCCCTGCATGATCGTCTCCTCAACCACGCGCGGGATCTCGAGAGGCGAAACGCGGCCATATGAAAGGTAAGCACCTGAGGGGAAGAGAATCTGCAGTCAGTCACTGATCCATGCTTGCAGTGAATTTGCCCATGGACATGCCAGCGGGAACTTACAAGCATGACGCCGGCGTACCTGGGATTCAGTCAGCACTGCTGCGCATGGAGGTGGGCTAGCCCTAATCAGATAACGTACCGGTGACCTCCGAGGTGGTTGATGTTGAAAATTCCCACCTGGCCGCCCTTGCCTCCCTTCACACCCTCGATCTGCGAGATAGCCTTGCCGACAGCAGCCTCACGTTCGGCGTCTGTGCCGTCAAGCTCCTCGAGCGCAGGTCCTTCTGGCATAGCGAGCGAAGCTCCTGACTCATCAACCGAGACCCCATTCTTCTCCAGGCAGGTGATCAGGGCGGAACGCAGAATAGGCGCGGCAATACCACAGCGCTTGTCACGCGTCTTGTGCGAGCCTGAGCGTCAGCCATGTTTTGTTCGGGCGACGCCGGAGCTAGTCCATTTTTTTCGAACGCCATGGAACCCATAAACTCACAAAGAAGAACGATGGCGCGGTACGGCATGACGTGCGACCTCTTGCGGAAGACTCCGTCACCACCCCCGCCGCTGCTGAGCGTCAAGCCCGCTCGTCCAACGGTGCTGCCGAGCTCGGTGTCGTACAGAGCTTTGGCCCCCGCCCGCGAGTTTTCGACGTCACTGACAACCTTCCAGTCAGGGAAGACGAGCACGGTCTGGTCCTTGCAATTGTCAGATTGTGACACGAGAGACGAGGAGTACAGCGCAGGCTGGGTCTTAATCGGTTCGGTCAGAGGCTTGGACGGCGGCGGGAACTCGGATGGTTTGATGTAGGTCGAGGGCTTCAGGGGGTTACCATCCTTAGACTTGGCGCCCTTGGAAGTCGGTAACGTTTCCATGTATTTGTTTATCTGATAAGCGAGACCATCTTCCTCGTCCTACGACATTAGCGGGGTTACAACCCATAACTTACGGTGTGGTCGCGAACCCAGTTGCTCTTTCCCGTCGAGATGACAACAACACGAGCAACGTTGGGGCCACCCGATCCGGCGAGATCCGAGTCCCAATCGGTGTCGATCGCGGGCGGTAACGTTCCCAGGTCTCCATACTTGTCATCGACATACTCCTCGTACGTCTTGCCGCTCCACGCGTTTCCTGCCTCGGCGATGGTGCCGGCGCCGTTGGCCTCAGTAGGTGCGCAAGGAGCTTTGCAGGCCGCGCAGTCTGCAGAGGAGACAGGGACGTCATCGCCCTTCAGAGCATCCGCGATGCCACAGTACTTCTTGTAACGCCCAGGAGTGTTGTGGTCGGGCTGCATAGGGCTAGCCGCGCGACTGTGCACGACCGACGAGACCGCCGAGCTGATGGCCTTGAACATTTTGGTGGTTTGGATGATGCAGATCAGCTCCGAAAGTCGGGGGCGGCGTCTTATAATTAGTCTGCACTGGAACACCGACCCCGAGGGAAGGGCCCCAGCCGTCTTCAGCCGGGATGCTACCGACGGAAGCGACCTCACAGCACGGTAGATATCACGTGACTATCAGCCAAGCAATGACGCTCGCGGAATAAATTTCTGAACCGCCAAAGGCTCGCACCTGTTTACAGTTTGCAAGCGTCTGTCGTTACTTCGCATCTGTCAACCCCATCACACTGTTAGGGGCTCTGTCAGAATGGCTCCAAACGTTTCTGATGCGCTGCTCGAGTGAGTCCACCGTCAACGCAGCTTTGGGTTGTTCCGCTGACTCCCCAGTTCCGAGCTGACCTTTGCTTCTCCCCCGTTCAGCACGCTGCTGGACGCGAGGATTCTGCGAGCTCTCGCAGACCTCAAATTTGCGAACCCTACTCTTGTGCAGGCCAAGGCCATTCCACTTCTTCTCGAGGGAAAGGATGTTCTCGCGCGTGCCCGAACGGGGAGCGGCAAGACTGCTGCCTACGTTGTGCCCGCCGTCCAGCGTGTGCTTGAGCTGAAGGGCGCTACTTCGCCGGCAGAGTCAGACTACCAGGTCACTCGCGCAGTGATTCTGGTTCCCACCCGCGAGCTGGCTATGCAGGTGACCAACTTTGTCAAGTCTATCTCCACCTACTGTGAGGGCCTCGTTTCCGTCGTCAACGTTGCCTCGGGTGCTACAAACGTTCAGAAGTGAGTATTGATCCTCTTCCCCCTTTCATGATGAAGCATTTTACGGATGTTAACCCTACGGGGACTGTCCGAGAGCGCAAAACAAGTGTGGACACCTCCGTTGCCTTCCTTCTGAACTACAACCATACCAACTCAATCCTCAAGTTCAGGCGCTGACAAGCAGGATCCTTCTGAACGACAACCCCGACATTGTCGTTGCTACGCCGACCAAGCTGCTGGCTCTGCTGCAGTCCAAATCGATTGATCTGGCTCACCTTGCGTTCCTTGCCATTGACGAGGCCGACCTTCTTCTCTCATACGGCCACAAGGATGACCTCACCCGCATCATGGACCCGGCCATGGGCTTCGTTCCCAAGCTTGGTGTCCAGGGATGCCTGATGAGTGCTACGCTCAGCGAGGACGTCGAGGGCGTCAAGGGACTTGTGCTCAGGAACCCCGCGATCCTGACGCTGTCCGAGCCGGCCACTGCCTCATCTCTGCTCACGCAACACTTCACCTTCTCCTCGGAGCGTGACAAATTCCTGCTTCTCTTCGTCCTGCTTAAGCTCAAGCTTATCAAGGGCAAGTCGATCATCTTCGTTAACGACATCGAGCGCGGATACCGCGTCCGTCTGTTCCTCGAGCAGTTCGGTATCAAGTGCTGCGTTGTCAACTCTGAGCTGCCCCTCGCCTCAAGATACCACGTCGTCGAGGAGTTCAACCGCGGTGTCTACCAGGTGGTTATTGCCACTGACGAGGCTTCCCTGGGAGACGAGGAGCCTGAGGACGAAGAGGAGGAGAGTGAGGCCGAGGAAGACGCCGAGGAAGAGCAGGAGGAGAAGAACGCGGAGGCTGGACCGTCCAAGCGCCGCGCCTCGTCTCCTGCTCCTGGAGCACCTGGTAAGAAGAAGAAGCGTAGCGCTGGTTCCATGGCCCGCGGTATCGACTTCACCTCTGCTTCTTCCGTCATCAACTTTGACCTCCCCACCACCACCACTGCCTACCTCCACCGCGTTGGACGAACAGCCCGTGCCGGCCACTCTGGCCTCGCACTCTCGTTCGTTGTACCAAAGGACCAGTGGGGCAAGGACAAGAGCGTCTCCATCAAGACGGCCGAGCGCGATGAGCAGGTCTTTGACCGTATCAAGTCAAAGGTCAAGGCCGAGGGAGGTGGCGATATCAAGGAGTGGGACTGGGGAGGACGCCGAGGAGAGATCGAGGGCTTCCGCTACCGTATGGAGGACGCCCTCAGGGCTGTCACCTCCAAGCGTGTGTCTGACGCCCGTCGTGAGGAGGTCCGACGAGAGCTGCTCAACAGCGAGAAGCTCAAGCAGCACTTCGCCGCGAACCCTCTCGACCTCGCGTACCTTCGTCACGACGCCCCGCTGCACCCCGGGCGTACTTCAAGCCATCTGAAACACGTCCCCGGATATCTCATGCCCAAGATTGCGGCGCTGCCTTCCGGATCAGGTGATGTCACCGACGGACAGCACATTGGCTTTGCGAAGCGGGGCGGCGGCCGAGGACGCGGTCGAGGCGGTCGCGGCCGTGGCGGGGCCCGAGGGGGCAAGGGGCGCAAGGTTGATCCGTTGAAGTTCAAGTCATAGAGTACCACCATCCATCATGTGTTGAAGAAATTTTTGTACCACTACGTAGGCACCTGTAGGATTTATGAGAAGAATTGATATAATCTGCACCCTACGCGCCACCCGGTCATCGAGTCAACCGTTCACCCTATAGCCTCTGGATTCAGTCGGCTGAAGCGGTTGAGTGCTCAGGAGCAGGCCAGAAACGGATTTACTGCCGGGCGGAGATGAGGCGAAATGTCGACTCGAACATCCTTGTGCCACCGACCATTTCCGGGTGGCCGGGCTCTGGATCCTGCATCCCACATGCGCTAACGCAGGAGCTCGTGAGATCTCGGGGTCTAGCAGCCAATGCATACGTCGAGAGCACTCCCCAGATGCTCGCGTCCCGTCCCTGGCCGCTCTTTGCGTCCCTGAATACAAAAATCGAGTTAGTCACCTCCCCGGCCGATGAAGTGCGAGACCAGTAAACGTCACGTGACACTCCGTTTTCTGCGGCTGCTGCTCTTCTTTTTGTCCGGACATATCGCAACGCCCGCCCAACAATTTACACAACACCACCTCACCACCTCCCACGGCTACCAGTCAACTCCCCCTCGCGGGCTTAGTCTTTCTTGAACCCCGGTAGTTCGAGCCACCGGTTCTCAGGTCCTCTTGCTCGTCTCTTTGATCGACAAGAGCCTTCCCGAGACCTGCACCGAAAAAATTACGCAAAAAAGTCGGAAACGCGTCTGAAGACCTTTTCGGCTCCTTATCTTCAACATGCTCCGCTCCTTCTCCCTCGCCTCGCGGGCCGCCGCTGCTCGCCGCTCGGTCCCTAACTCGACCCGTGTGGCCTTCGGAGGTGCTCGCCGTGGCTACGCCGTCGCCGCCCCCGCCGTCGGCTCGTATCACCAGGTTGACGGTCAGCCGACCCTCAACTCGCCTTCCGAGCTTGCCCGCCGGATATCCGCCAAGGTTCTCCCCAAGCTGGAGAAGCCCGATGTGAAGAAGGTTCTTGTTGTCGGTTCCGGTGGTCTCTCCATTGGTCAGGCCGGAGAGTTCGACTACTCTGGTAAGCCAATACGGCAGCTAGCCGCGATGCGATGGGGCGCATCGCTGACATTCCACAGGTTCGCAGGCTATCAAGGCGCTCCGTGAGAGCAACGTTGAGACCATTCTCATCAACCCCAACATCGCCACCATCCAGACCTCGCACCACCTTGCCAGCGAGATCTACTTCCTCCCCGTCACCGCCGACTACGTGGCTTACGTCCTTGAGAAGGAGCGTCCCGATGGTATCCTCCTCACCTTCGGTGGACAGTCTGCCCTGAACGTCGGTATCCAGCTCGACAAGATGGGTGTCCTTGAGCGTCTCGGTGTTCAGGTTCTTGGAACCCCTATCCGTACCCTCGAGGTTTCCGAGGACCGTGACCTCTTCGTCCAGGCCCTCAACGAGATCGACATTCCCGCTGCCCAGTCGACTGCCGTCTCCACTATCCAGGACGCTCTTGACGCTGCCGCTACTATCGGCTATCCCATCATTCTCCGTTCCGCCTTCTCTCTTGGTGGTCTCGGTTCCGGATTCGCCCACAACGAGGAGGAGCTCCGCAACCTTGCTGCCAAGTCCCTCTCGCTCTCCCCCCAGGTTCTGATTGAGAAGTCGCTCAAGGGATGGAAGGAGGTCGAGTACGAGGTCGTTCGTGACGCCGCCGACAACACCATCATTTGCTGCAACATGGAGAACTTCGACCCTCTGGGTACTCACACGGGTGACTCTATCGTCGTTGCCCCCTCGCAGACCCTCACCGACGACGAGTACCACATGCTCCGTTCGGCCGCCATCAAGATCGTTCGTCACGTCGGTGTCGTCGGAGAGTGCAACGTCCAGTACGCTCTTGACCCCGTCAGCCGTGACTACCGTGTCATTGAGATGAACGCCCGTCTCTCGCGTTCGTCTGCCCTTGCCTCCAAGGCCACCGGTTACCCCCTGGCTTACACCGCTGCCAAGATTGCCCTCGGCCACACTCTTCCTGAGCTCCCCAACGCCGTCACCAAGTCGACCACCGCTTGTTTCGAGCCCTCGCTCGACTACATTGTCACCAAGATCCCCAAGTGGGACCTTGCCAAGTTCCAGCACGTTGAGCGCAACGTCGGTTCCGCCATGAAGTCTGTCGGAGAGGTTATGGCTATCGGCCGTACCTTTGAGGAGTCTCTCCAGAAGGCTATCCGCCAGGTTGACCCCAACTTCGCCGGATTCGAGGCCTACTGGAAGCCCGAGGACATGGTCACTGCTCTGACCAACAACAACGACCGTCGTCTGTTCGCCATCGCCCACGCGATGCTCAACCTCGACTACACCGTCGACTACCTCCACGACCTGACCAAGATCGACAAGTGGTTCCTCTACAAGCTCGAGAACATTGTCAACGTCTACAAGCAGCTCAAGAACACTCCCTTCGAGAAGCTCGACAAGGAGCTTGTTATGACTGCCAAGAAGACTGGATTCTCCGACCTTCACATGGCCCAGCTCCTCGGCAAGAAGGAGGGTGACGTTCGTGCCCTCCGCAAGCAGTTCGGTGTTACCCCCTTCGTTAAGCGTATCGACACCCTCGCTGCCGAGTTCCCCGCCTACACCAACTACCTCTACACCTCGTACAACGCCACCACCCACGACGTTGAGTTTGACGAGCACGGAACCATGGTTCTCGGCTCTGGTGTCTACCGCATCGGTTCGTCCGTCGAGTTCGACTGGTGCGCCGTCACCTGCTCGCGTGCCATCCGTGGCATGGGCAAGAAGACCATCATGGTCAACTACAACCCCGAGACCGTCTCGACCGACTTCGACGAGGCTGACCGCCTCTACTTCGAGGAGCTCGGCTTCGAGCGTGTCATGGACATCTACGAGGCTGAGGGTGCCCAGGGCGTCGTCGTCTCCGTCGGTGGCCAGCTTCCCCAGAACATCGCTCTTCGCCTGAAGAACTCTGGCGTTGACGTTCTTGGTACCGACCCCGAGCAGATCGACAACGCTGAGGACCGTCACAAGTTCTCGTCGATCCTTGACTCGATCGGTGTTGACCAGCCCGCCTGGACTGAGGCTGCCTCGCTCGACGCCGCCAAAGAGTTCGCCAACCGTGTCGGCTACCCCGTCCTTATCCGTCCCTCTTACGTTCTCTCTGGTGCTGCCATGAACGTCGTCTGGGACGAGTCGCAGCTCCAGCACAACCTCTCGGCTGCCGCCAACGTCTCGCCTGACCACCCCGTTGTTATCACTCAGTTCATCGACAATGCCCAGGAGATTGACGTTGACGCTGTCGCTCACAAGGGCAAGCTTCTCTGCCACGCCATCTCTGAGCACGTCGAGAACGCCGGTGTCCACTCTGGTGACGCCACCCTTGTCCTCCCTCCCTTCTCGCTCTCGCAGGAGGACATGGCCCGTCTCAAGGTCATCGCCGAGAAGGTTGCCAAGGCCTGGGACATCTCTGGCCCCTTCAACATGCAGATCATCCGCAAGCCCCCTACTGAGGGTGAGGAGGCCGAGCTCAAGGTCATCGAGTGCAACCTCCGTGCCTCGCGTTCGTTCCCCTTCGTCTCCAAGGTCCTCGGCCACAACTTCATCGACACCGCCTCGGCCGCCATCATGGACCACAACGTCCCCGAGCCCGTCGACCTCATGGCCCAGAAGCGCGACTACGTTGCCATCAAGGTTCCCCAGTTCTCGTGGACTCGTCTCCCCGGTGCCGACCCCTTCCTCGGTGTCGAGATGGCCTCCACTGGTGAGGTTGCCTCGTTCGGTAAGGACGTTTACGACGCCTACTGGGCTGCTCTCATGTCCGTCAACGGCTTCAAGCTCCCCAAGGAGGGCTCCGGTATTCTCCTTGGCGGTGACGTCTCGCGCCCCGAGATGGCCGCTGTCGCCAAGAACCTGATCGACCTTGGCTTCTCGCTCTACACCTACGACCCCAAGGTCGAGCAGCACATCAACTCCCAGCCGTACCTGTCGATCAAGAAGATCCTTGTCCCCGTCAAGGACAAGAAGAAGCTCCGTGAGATCCTCGAGGAGCACGAGATCCAGACGGTCATCAACATGGCCCGCTCGCGTGCCGCCACCACCCTCGACGAGGACTACGCGTCGCGTCGTGCCGCCGTCGACTTCGGTATCCCGCTCATCAACAACCCGAAGCTCGCCGTCCTCTTCACCGAGACCCTCGCCAAGAAGTTCGGCAAGGCCACCAACCCCATCCCCTACCAGGAGGGCTTCAAGCCTTCCGAGGTTGGCTCGTGGCGCGACTTCGTTGGCCCTGCCAGCGACTACTAAGCATGTTATATCATTTACCCCATTTTTATCACCCTCATAGGTCTTATTCCGGGCGAGAACCGCTCGAGAAGCGGTCCGCCTTCTAGATACAACTTCATGGATCACTTCTATGCATAAAAACACCACTGCGCATCGAACTATGGAACAGCAAGGAGTAAAGCACGAGCATGCATATGCGTATGCAGAGCACGGACTAGGAGCAAGACGAAGCGTGCACTGCTGTCTACGACTAACCCGCGACGCGGTCTGGTGCATTTTGGGTTGTGACCTGCGTCTGTGCCACTCGCCCATGAGGAATGTCCGGGTGATCGCCCACAGACGGCGCGGGCAGCGACATGACGTGCGCCACTTCTGGTGTCTGAGAACCGGAGTTACAGGAGTTTGGTGGTTTGAATCCGCCTGCACCAAACGGAGGATTGGCTGTCTCATTGGTCAGCTGGACCTGGGGCCTGGGCAGGGCGTTCCAGTCGTGCAGGCGCTGTGCAGCCAAGGACTGACTGCAAGCGGAGGCAACTGGGGTGAGGGAACGTCGGTCGTAGTGTGCCAGGCCAAAGTCGACTGGAGAGTCTCCCTCGTCGTCTTCTACTCCTTACGTCTTCACAGACCCACTGCCAACACACGCTCCGCGCGTAAGACTTACACAAGGTTAGCATCCCCTCCGCCTCCCCGTCTACGTCGTGTTCGCCACTCCTCCGACATCCGTGCCCTTTTCGAAAAGTTCACCGTGTTGTGACTGCCCCGAGAGAAAAAAATCTCGACAGCCAAACTTTGGCGACGTCTCACATGAGCTCGGAGTTCCAACATGCGTTTCTTCCCCCCTTGATCGATACCGTTTGCTGTGTTTTGTTGTGCTGACATTGTCTTCCTTCTCTGCGTTGCTCGATTACCCGCATTTGCCTCGTTTCCCGTGATATTTTCGGCCGATTCGCAACCTTCCCGCCAACTTTGTCCCACTACCGACCCACGTAACAGCTCCAAACAAAGGAGTCGACCACCATGTCCGTGGTCTCTAAGAACCCCTTCGACCTCCTCGGTGGTGCGTATTAAGATGGCATGCTCCCTGTGCGAGATCTGACATTCAGACGACGGTGAGGAGCGCTCTGCCGGCGCCCCCGCTGCTGCTTCCAAGGCCAAGGCTACCCCTGCCCCCGCTTCGCAGCAGCCTAAGGTCGTCCCCGGCGCTGCCCCCAAGGGCGGCCGTGGTGCGCGCTACCCCTCGCGCGGCGGACCCCGCAACGTCTACCGCGAGGAGCGCGCCGTTGAGGGTGGTAACGACGGCTTTGAGGGCGAGCGTGTCGGTGAGTTTTTCGCATGTGGTGACAAAGTTGGAACGTCGGATGGGCATTCGTGAGATGGTAGTTGATCCGCGTCGACATCATCTCAGAGAATTAAACACCGTGACCCAACTTGTCACCGCTGATCACATGTCGGATGGCAGAGTACTAACCATATTCAGCCCCCCCTAGGAAGGAGCACCAGGGCCGTGACCGCCACACCAAGGGCCCCCGTGAGGACCGCACTCACACCGGCCCCCGCTCGCGCGCCCCCGGCGCTGCCCGTGGCGGCAAGGGTGCCCGTGGTGGTGCCCGTGGCGGCGCTGCCGCCCCCGCCGGCGAGAAGAAGCCCACCGAGACCTGGAACAACGACGAGGGCAAGGCTGAGCTGACCGCCGAGAACCAGGGTGAGAAGGACGCCGTCGCCGACGCCGCCGCCCCTGAGGAGGAGACCGAGGAGGCTGAGCCCGAGGACAACTCCAAGACCCTCGACCAGTACCTCGCCGAGCGGGCTGAGGCTGCCCTCTCTGGCAACCTCGGCAAGAAGGAGGCCCGTCAGGTCAACACCGACGACGTCAAGGGCACCGAGTTCAAGCGCGAGGACCCCGAGGAGTTCTTCGTCGGCAAGTCCAAGCCCAAGGCCGAGAAGGAGGCCAAGGCCAAGAAGGAGAAGATCTTCGTCGACGGACAGTTCGCTTCCCCCGCTCGTGCTCCCCGCACTGAGCGCCCCGCTGGTCGCGGACGTGGCGGCAACCGCGGTGCCGCCCGTGGCCAGGGAGCTCCCCGCGGTAACGCCCGCGGCGGTGCCGTGGCCCCCGCCAGGCCGCCGTTGACGCCAACGACGAGTCGTCGTTCCCCGCCCTTGGCTCGAAGTAAGCCCCCCAACCCCCACACTTTACTTCTTAAAAAAATGCAGACGGTGCCATCTTAACTCATTGGGATCTCGTCGTTTGGAGGAGATAAAGGAGGAGAGGTTGTCAGGCGCGTACTCAACACACCCGATTGGAGAAGTAGCTACTTGTACATCTCTGGTCATGCAAACTTGAACCCCACAATGTTCTGCGCCCCTCGGCGAATGAGAGCAGCTTCACTGATCATATGAATGGCAGACGGACCCGAAGCAATGGTAGCACCGGACTGATTGGAGCCTTGCGTTCGGGGATCGGGCATCTAGAAGCCAGGTCTCGCCAAGGCGATTCGGTGAAGGAAGGACCAGTAAATGGCCCGGGGTCTCCACACCGATCCGCTCGTCGTGTTTCAACGCACCTTTTCCGACCTTCCCGCGTTGTCTTCCAGCACCACAACATCTCCCACAAACCCAAGATGCCCTCCACAGTGACTCAGCAGAACGACGTCGACATCCTCGGTGAGCTAGAGTATCATCGCGTCGCTAGCTAACGACCAGGCTTCATCTACGCCGCCATCATCGCCGCGGGCGGCGCGATGGGCTACATTAAGAAGGGGTCGGTCGCGTCTCTGGCCATGGGCGGCCTCTCGGGCCTCCTCGCTGCCATTGGCGCCTACGTGAGTTACCAGCATTTCGAGGAACTGACCCCCAGCTCGTCACCAAGAACCCCCGCAACGTCCGCCTGTCCCTGAGTGAGTCTGCGCGCCAACGAACGCCCGCCCAGTGGCCAGTGCCCGGTGGGCAAGGCTTATCTGATAAACTAACCCGCAGTCGTCACCTTTGCCCTCAGCGGCATCATGGGCATGCGCTTCATCAGGTCGCACAAGTTCATGCCCGCTGGTCTTGGTGAGTTTTTGCACCCGCGAAGCGAACTGACAATCAGTCACTGTATGTTGCTGTGGCTCCAGCGTAACTGACCCCAGGTCCTCTCCCTCCTCATGCTGTTCCGGTATGGCGCCCGCATTCCCCAGTAAAGGACTCTATGATGCAGTTTTGGAAGAAGCAATGTGAACAAGAATGCTGACGTGACTGATATTCGAGCTTACATCACACTACGCAAGCCCGCCCACCTTCTGAACGTGCTCAGCAACCTCTACAAGCGCGGCTACGAAGGCGTCCACGTCTTCCTTCGTCGTGGTCAAGTTGAGAACAACTGTTCCCCTCTGGTCAGCCCAGAATCCACGCTCAATCAGGCCAAAATATATGAGCCGCTTGGCCTCTGGCGAGCTAGGTCCCTTGATACAGTTCACGCTCCCCAAGCCCGTCAGCCTCAAGTTGGGACCCCCCTTCTCGCAGTCCCCATTGACCTTGTCGCGGAGGTAGTCGCCTAGCTCATTCAGCTCCTTCAGAGCCTCAGGCGTCAGGATGTGTTCCAGTGCCGCGGCGCCGGCCGCCATGGTCAGTGGCGAGTTGTTGAACGTGCCCCCGTGCCCTATAGCGCCCGGTCGGCTCGTGTCGAACCTGGTCGTCAGCTAACGGAACCTTTGGAACGAGCTTACATGTCCATAATGGCCGCCTTGCCGCCGAAAGCACCGAAGGCGAAGCCGCCGCCGTAGTACTTTCCGATCGTGGTCATGTCGGGCGTGATGCCGAGTAGGAGCTGGCGGCCGCCGATCGAGAGACGCGAGGTCTGCACCTCGTCGAAGATTAGGACGGCGCCTATGCGCGTGGCGACTTCACGGAGGTGCTGGAGGAAGGCGGGGTCGCCGGGAATCTGAGAGTTAGTACAGCAAGGTTCGGTAACTCACACCACCGCCTGCGCCGAGCATGGGCTCTACGATGATGGCGCCGATTGCATCCTCGTTGCCCTTCACGGCCTCATCGACAGAGGCAGGGTTGTTGTACTCGGCGAACACAAAGTCCTGCTGTCAGCTGGCTAGGTGATGGCAAAGCTCACAAAGGGTGCACGAAGGCTGGTCTTTGCCTCCCTCTCGCCAAAGCTGAGCAGAGAGCCATGGTATGCTTTCTCGAACACAAGCACCTTCTTCCTCCCCGTGTACCGCAGCGCAGCAGACAGTGCGAGCATATTCGCTTCAGTGCCCGAGTTGGCGAAGCGGACCTTGTCCATGGACGGGAACCTCGAACAGAGGCCCGCGGCCAGTCTTGCCTCATTCTGCCCATGTGCGCCGAGCTGCAGTCCATTCTTGAGCGCTTCCGAAATCGCCTGCAGGAGCACGGGGTGTGAGTGTCCGTAGATGCCGGACGTGTAGTCGGAGACGCTGCCGTGAGCTGTCGCTCTGGGATGCTGGCTAGCTCACAAGTCTCGGTACTCCCGCCCATCTACGGTGGTGAGCTTGCCACCCTGCGCTGAGGAGACGTAGAGAGGGAAGGGAGAGGCAGCGAGCGTCGCCCGCGTGCCGCCGCCGGGGAGGTTGGTCGAGGCTGTCTTGAACGCGTCGAGAGAGCGCGGGTTCGCGGCGACATAGTCTGCTTCTGCCTTTGCGAGGGCGGCCAGCAGAGCTTCGTTTTCGGTGACCGTCATGATGAGGAACGTGGAGGTGCTGATCATATCCACGGCGCAGGTGGGCGTCTGACTCAAGTTGCATCATGCCCAGAGGTGGAGGAAGGCCCCGGACGACGCCGATCGCTGTGTTTCCGAGCTTTATCCGACCTGTAAACAATTTCTTGGGCCTGAACTTTGATCCACCTCGGAGTGCCGGGGGCCGCATCTTCTCCTCCCCCTCAACCTCTCTTCTCAACCACTCCAGCGGCCACAAGTTCAACATGGCGCTCCCGGCACCCGAGACGAAGAACTTGCCCGTGCTCCATCATCCGCTGCCGGGCGGCAACACGGCACTCCTTAACCAGCGGGCCCGCGACCAAGGCGAAGGCACGACGGGCACGACACTCTGGCTCGGTGCGCAAGTACTCTCAGCGTATCTGGCCAAGCACGGCGCAGACTCGCGAAACAAGGAGCCAAAACTGCGTGCGCTGGAGCTCGGCGCTGGTGTCGGACTTCTCTCCCTCACACTCGCCGAGATGGGATACGACGTGCTGAGCAGCGACATTGACCCCGTCGTCGCCATCCTCGAGAGCAACATGAAGGCGAACTGGGCGCTTGGCAACGTCGCCGTCACAAAGGTCGACTGGCTTAATCCGCCGCTATTGGAGGGAGAGTTCGACATCATCGTCACTGCTGACACGATCTACACGCCCGACCTTGTCGATCCGCTCTGGAACACTGTTGCCCGGTATTCTGGGCCGGGAACGACAAGCTACGTCGCTGTCGAGAACCGTGACCCGCGGTTGATGGAGTCGGCGTACGAGAGAGGGAAGGAGCTCGGCTTTGACGTGAAGCGCATCAACGCGAACCGAATCGTCAAGGCTGTGGAGAGAGTTTGGGGATGGAAGAAGGGAGAGGGCTGGGAGGGCGTTGAGATCTGGAAGGCGAAGTACCGAGGGAAGAAGGAGGACTCGCCAAAGGCGTAGTAGTGCCTCGTGACGTTATTAGAGCTTAGAAATCCGGTATACCCTGCATAGTCTACATCTGTATCTATTGTGACATGTCTATTCGTCGTCATCGTCGTCGCCATCCTCGTCGCTGCTTCCGCTGTCGAGCTCGGGGATCGCCTCGTCATCGTCATCCTCCTCGTCCACGGCCATGGCCACGTCAGCCGCAGGCGGTGGCAGGTCGAGCGCGGAGGAAGAGGACGCCGGCCTGGAGCTCGGCGTCGACATGAAAGGCACAGCAGGGGTCGAGCTGGCTTCGGCCACAGAGGCAGTGGCAGGGGCGGGAGTCTCGACAGGCGCGGACGCCGGGACGGGAGCCGGAGCCGGGGTGGAGCCGAAGGGAACGCTTGCGACCACCGGAGCGGGAGCAGCAGGCGTGCTTGCCACGGGCGGAACACTTCCAAAGGGAACAGGAGCGCCCGGTGCAGTCTTCAGAGCCGGCGTGGGGACGGTCAGGACCTCGGCCGAGACACTCTGCGCGACGGCCTCCAAGGGGCTAACCTTCTGCATGGTGACAGACTGGACGTTCACCCTCTTGACGGCCGGCTCGTCGACGACCATGTCGTTGTCCTCATCCTCATCCTCGTCGTCACCGTTCGAGTAGCCAAGCTCGCGACGAAGCTTGCGCTCCTCCTCGCTCTCCTGAATGAACTGCAGCTGCGCCAGGGGCGGCGCTGGACGAGACATCGGCGGCAGGGCGGGGTGCAGGAGAAGATCGGTCGTGGACGTGGGCGGAAGGATCGACAGGAGCAGAGTGCGGATGTCGCGCGCCGTTCCGGACAGCGAGAGCGCAGTAGCACCCTCGAGCGCCCTCGTGACGGCCGAGATGAGTTTCGGCAGGCTTGTCGGCGAAACGAAGGAGGCCGTCCGCGACGGAAGCGTGAGGTACATGCTGACATGCAGGCGGAGAGACAGCGTCAGGTGCGAAGCCGGGAGGAGGGGTGCCCGGTGCAGACGCGGCGTCATGTCGAGCGCAGCGAGGACGACATTGGCAGCCTCCTCCGACACCGGCTTGGGAGCGCGACCCTCAAGGCCGCCGATCAGAGCGTCCTCTTGTCCACGCGCACGCTTCTTGCCCTTCTTGACAGCGCTAATCGTGGGCTGCTTCTGTTCCATGACGGAGCCCATCACACCGAGCGCAAACTTGAGCAGACGCTGGGTGTACTCAAGCGGGAGCACGGCGGCAGGGTATTGCTCAAGCAGCAGAGAGTGCAGATGCAGCAGCCTCAGACGAGACTCGGTCATGGTGGCGGGAATGTGCTCGAGGAGGTAGACCGTGTGCTCGAGAATAGCCCCGAGATGAGGAAGAACGTGATCGCCACAGACGGTGACAGCAGAGGCCAGGAGGAGCACTCCAGCGTTCCACAGTCGAGGGAGGGACGAGAGGAGAGCAGCACGGTGAGCGGGTGAGATGTGGGGGGCCATGGGCGAGTCGAGACTGAGGGCAAGAAGACGGAGAGCCACGCTGATCACTTGCGCAAGGGGGATCGGAACGGGGCGGTTGGCCGGGGCCGTCAGAAGCGCTACACACGCCTCGATGTAGCCCTCGACTCCGGCGACCGACGTCGCAGTGCGCGCCAGCGGATCCATAGGCGGGGTCGGGAACGAAGCCGGGGCAGGGAAGGCAGGAGCGCGCATCGGCTCCTCCTCCCAGGCGTCCGCGGTCAGCGCCGCGATGCTGGAGCTCACGCCGCCGAGGGCATCCTTCATCTCGATGCTCCAGGCAGCCGGCGCACCGGCCTTGCCGCTCGTGAAGTGGAGCACCGACAACAGGTCCGCAGCGGGGAGGCGGAAGACTTCTGGTCCACTCAGCAGCATGTTGTAGAGAATAGGTCGCAGGGTGTTGGCCGTGGGTCGGAACACGGCGGGAGACGAGAGAAGCAGATTACGCATCGCCGTTAGAACTGGGAGGACAGACGTCTCCTTCTGCAAACGCTCGATCTGCTTCGTGCAGCCCACAGCGAGCTTGCCCATGGCAGGGTGTACGACTTCACGCTCAAACTGGGGTGCCTGAGGAGCCGCCGCAACAAGGGCTTGGGCGAGGTTTAAGTACGCCGGCAGAGAGTCGGCCACGGTGTCGTTGGACTGGATGTCAGCTCAAGAGGGGGAAAACAACTCACGTTCAAAGCTCCGAGACATGCTCCCATCCAAGCCTTTCCGCACTGAGCCGCTGCATAGCCCTCCTCATCCTGACGAACGACCTCCGCGGCAAGATCGCACGCAAGAGGGTCGCGGGAGCTCACACTCGAGTTAAGCCGGGTGATCCATTTCGACACGGACGAGGGGAGCTGAGACGGTCGCGACAAGGGCCGATGAGTCTGGAGAAGCTCCAGAGATGCAGTCGAAGGCACCTGAAGTGCGTTCAAGAGCGAAAGCAGCGTCTCTCCTGTGAGGCTGCTCATGGCTGGAGGTTGTTGACTTCTGCTCAACTCAGTGCAGATTTCTGAAATCTCAACGGTGACCTACCCAATATGTCCACCGTGGGAAACATGCCTCCACTGATCGACGGTCGACCATATCCAGCATGAATAGGCCAATGCCTTGCAAATTGCAGGAAAGCTTGAGTACTTATACATACGGCACTATGTAGATATCGACTAGTAAGGAAGACCTCCGTCACCTCCAGCTCCCGGCTCATCCAGATCGTGGTAGCTAACACGACCTCTCCTCGCACGAGGGTCCTCTCCGCCGGGGGGCGCAGGAGGCAGCGATGCTGGGTCAAAGTCGCGGCTAGCTTTGGCACCACTGGGAGCCGCGACGCCGCCAAAGCTTGGTCCCCCAGGCATGCTGCTGCTGCTGCCTTGACCCCCCTGCATCATCATCTGCATCTGCATCATCATCATCATCTGCTGCTGCATGGCCATGTTGAAACCGCCGCTCTGCGAGCCAGATTGGTTGAACATCGCCTGGGCGGCCTTGGCAGGATTGAACGCAGGCAGAGTTCCAGGAGCCAAAGGCAACTGGTCATCGATGGCAGCAGGGGTGGTGCTCGAAGGCTGCAGGTGTTGAGGGTCAAGACAGAAGGCATTGAACACAGCAAGATCCTCCAGCTTGTCCTTAGTAAGCTCGGGATGCTTGGTGGCCATGTGTTTGATGACAAACTCTGGCGCGCGGAAGAGCTTGGTGCACTGCTTGCAGCGATACTTGTCCGCCTCCTCCTGCTTGATGTGAGGAGCAGTCAGTCGCTTCGTCTCATCCTCCAGGTCCCGGCCTCCATAATCGGCGACATTAACGTCCTCAATGAGAGACCGCACCTTCAGGTCCAAAGTCTCGATCCAACGCTCATCGTTGCTCTTTGTAGGGAAAGTGTAACGCTTGCTGGTCGGTCCTTCCCTCCTGTCACGATCGTCGCCCTCGTGGTTGTCGTGGTTGTCCTGTTCGTCGTCGTTCTTGGTCTCGGACCTGTCACGTTCGTCGCGGTCGCGGTCATGGCCATTTTCGCCCTCTCCCTCGTCGGCACGAGCGCGAATGTGACCGACACATTTGCGGTGCAGCTCTTCAGGGAACGACGTCGGCACAACGCAGTAGTAGCAGGTGCTCAGACCGTGACGGAGGTAAGCAATGTACTGGTCGAGCGAGATCTTGGCCTGGACGTTAGCTAATGGAGGAGCGTGTGCCTTACCTTGCGAATCGCTTGCTCCTCGTCCAGGTCCTCGCCGTCGAGTCCCGAGCTCGCCAGCAGCCTGGCGATGACATCCTCAACAACCTCACTTCCCCTCTCCCTCAATCCAGGTGTGGTGTCCTTGGGCGCACTCTCAGCGTCGCCCTCGGGCTTCTCGGCGTCACCGTCTTCAGGAGCGGGGGACGTCTCCTCCATGAGCTCGTCCTCAAGTGTACGAGCCAGTTCACGGGCGTACGAAAGATCCTGCTCCAATCGCTTAAGGTTGCCCGTGAGCGACGGGGCCACACGGATACGTCCGACAATAGGCGTGGCATTGACGCCCATGTGGAACGTAAAGTTGTCAATCTTTGACGAGTCGATGGTATTCACAGCCTCTTCGACACTCACGCCCTCCTCGTACTGCGCCCAGCCAACGCGGTGGAAGCCGCGCTTCGCCGAGGGGTCCGAAAGAGCCAGCCACTGGAAACCGGGGTGCTTCGCGAATACTCCCTCGAGGTCGACGCGACGCGTCGAAGGCGGAACCGTCTTGACGAAGACCTGTCCAGGTCGCGGCGGCACTTCGATGCGAAGAGGGTCGTAGGCATCATCTCCCAATGCGCGGTCCAATCCTTCAGGCTCCTCTGTCGGGGGCTTCTGATCTTCCTTTTGGTCGAAATCAACGTCGTCCCACTTTCCGTCTCTCAGCTCGTTGATATACTGCAGGACAGTAGGAACACGACCTTGACGGTTAACCCGTCTTCGGAGAGCACGCGCCTCCTCATTCGGGGAGTACCGCTCCTTGAACCAAGCCTCATCCCGGTGAGTGAGGTAGATGGTAAAGAGCTGTCGTCAGCGAGATCAAATATTAACGGCCCACCTGTCGCGAAGTGTACTCTTTCCGGTACCGCTCGTAGCGCTTGGCCATGCCATGCTTCTCGATGAGGACAGACTCCGGTAACGCGCCAGTCTCCACACCAACGCGAATCTGCCGCAAGTCCTCGTCGTCCTCGCGCGCAGTCTTGGGATGAGAGTGCCGGAACCATTCCGCGAACTGCTTGAAGTTCAAGAGGTACTCAAGCGACGCCGGGTCAGGCCACCTGCTAGGGGAAGGAGATCGCAGTCTAGGACGCTGGTGCGACGAGTACGACGGGGACGGGGAACGCCTGCGTTTCCGATCTACAGTCAGCTATCGAGCAGTAAGCAGGGCGCACCATAGTCGTCGGCCCAACGATCATCGTAATCCCTTCGGCCCTCGTAGTGCCGGTCTGGACTGTACCCCCGAGAATCGTGCGGAGGCAAGTCTCGGCGTCGGTCATCGCGGTCGCGTTCTGGCGAGCGGAAGGGAGACCCTGGCTCATGTGGACGGGGTGGGAGCCCGGACATTTTGGTGGATGGCGGCAGTGTTCGATCGGAAGGGTCCGAGACTCGAGAGGCCGAGGAGTCAAAGTTCTAGAGTTACGATACCCAACCCAAAGGCGGTGCGGGAGAGGTTGCCGAGATGGAGTCGAGTAAGGTTCTCCTGCCGCTTCTATGGAGGCGGCGCAGGCGACTCTTGGGCTGCAACGAAAGACAACTTGGGCGAGTCTGGTCCTCAGTTGCAAGAGAGTGTGGACGCGAGTTGCAGCACAACGGCTCGCGGCACGGATGTGATACGAGTGTGGGGGGCGTCAGTACGAAAAGCCACGTATGAGGTTGCGACATTAAATGATCCTCCCTTAAACCCCGGCTTCACCGGGTAGTGGACGTCCATCAATCCGGGGTCGTTGACATCATGTGCCTGAGACCTGGGGTTCGATTAGCCGCTGGCTGCAATCGGGCACCTCACTCGTGACTCATTCGTTACTTAAACACGACGCGACTGCCCATCCTTGCGCTTTGCATCCATCCCACTCCTTCATTCCTACGTACTCGCCCTCCATGCTTCGTAGGGCTGCTATCAACTCCCCGGCTTCCGCTCTGCGGTCGCTGGTTTCGCCCTCCACTCGCTCCTTCCACGCCACCGTCATCGCACGCGATCCGCCGAATAAGCCCACCTCCTCCGAGGCCGCCGCTACGGCTAAGGACGAGGAGCCTACCCCTTCTTCATCGGGCCGTAGCCTTCTAGGAGTAAGCACGAGGGCGCCCACATGGCCGAGGTGCCAGAGCTGACAATTCTCTGCAGTCCATCATCTACGGCTCCGAGTCGGCCAAAGCCGAGGGTGATGTGAGACTGCCGCCCGGGCAGCACTCTAAGATCGTTGGCCGTGGCAAGTACGTGCACGAGAAGATCACGCACGCTGTCAAGCCTGGGCACAGGGATGCCTACATCAAGGCGTGTGAAGAATACTTTGCCACTCTGATGCGGGACTCGAAGGACCTCGGAGGCGTCAAGCTGTGCGGCTCGTGGGAGACCATTATCGGATCTGTCGGCAACTTCGTCCATATCCTCGAGCACGAAGGGTACGCTGGCTATGACGAGACTCGCCGCCAGGCGCAGAAGAACGAGGTGAGTCGATCTCTCCCCCACCCCGCCACATTATTGTTGACGCCTTCTCCAGACCCTGCAGGCACACCTGAACGCCATGCTGCCGCACCTCGAGTCCCGCCAGCACCAGATGGTATCGGAGTTCTCCTTCTGGCCTTCATCGCCCCCGAAGGATCACGGGGCTCCTGATGGCGGAATCTACGAGTTGAGGACGTACCAGCTGCGCCCAGGCAAGCTGCTCGAGTGGGAGACGGCTTGGCGCCGTGGAATCGAAGCCAGGCGGCGCTACGTCGTGAGTCACCGGTTGCGCAGGCATAACTAACGAGCAAGGAGCCTGTTGGCGCCTTCTTTTCCCAGGTCGGCCAGCTTCACGAGGTGCACCACATCTGGTTCTATCCCGACATGTCGACCCGCAAGCAGCTCCGCGAGGCGGCGTGGTCTGTTAGCGGGTGGGGCGAGACTGTTCAGCAGGTTCGTGTCGACAATCTGTAGAAGTGCTGACATTGCAGACTGTGAGCCTTACCGATTCCATGAAGACGACCATCATGGTTCCTTGCAGCTGGAGCCCTCTGCATTAATCCCCTTCCCGACTTGTGCATAGCGTCAACTTTCAACATACCTCCTGGGCATATCAACGATTGTAGTGTAAAGCCAGCAAATGGAAACCTTGGATAACGATTACACTGCATCTGCGATCTCCCGGAGCAGCCGTCGCCACATGTCCACGTCGTCACGCGTCTGTTTCAGCGTCTCCAGGTAACCGTTGAGGAGCTTCCCAACTGTGGCCCTGGACGTCGACGGACATGGTTCTTCGGTGGGAGTAGGCCCCAGAAGCGATGACTTTACAGAGAGGCCAGAATTGGAGACAGGGTAGGCTCCTGGTACTCTTCGCGCTGAGCTCGCGTTAGCCCTTCGTCGCTGCGATGGTGACTGCTGCCGACTGGGTCGCGGGAGTTCCTCTGACAGTAACCTGATCATATCTTCGATGCCTTGTCGGTGATAGTCGAGTTGGGAGATAATCCCCTTCAACTCGTCCACTTGTTCCCCTGTTCGTCAGTAACCCACGTACTGACCGCTGCACTGACACAGCCGCCGTCGATTCCAGTACTTTGGTAGCCGCATAGAGGGAACCGTCCACAGTCTCCGGATAATGTGATACTGTTTCTCAAACTCGGTGATTTGCTCTAGGAGCTCTTGATTTGGTAGCGTGATCGTAAACGTCGAAGAGCTCAAGGGGATGGGGGTGGTTTTTCGCAGAAATACTCGACCAAACTATCGTGAGCCACCGTTTACTGCTTGAGGAGCCCAAACCTACCCGATACCAAGCTCGATCGAATGCTCGCCAGAGCTGAGCCATTGTGCTAGGCGAAGGAGGTCTGGGAAGGATGGCTAGGAGTGGTGGGAAGTCAGAGCCAGACTTTTGCTGTCGGATCTGCAGCTCATGATACGGCGAAGGGGTAAGAGATAAAAAGTGATACGAGAGTTGAGTAAGAAGTGATTCGCGCTCTCTGGACACACACGCCTTGCCGGTGCGGGGCTGCTGGCAGTGCCGGGGCCGTGGGGCTGGGGACCGAAACCGTGCGGTCCAAGCAGCACGCAGCGTTGGCAGGTTGCGCCTTCCTCGGTTTCACCCACCGCACTTCCTTCGCGCATCTTCCTTCTTCTGCATCACACATCCACTCATTCGCCACCAGACTGCTCTGTTCGTCTCGTCCTCCGTGGGCCTCGGAATTTTGTTGTCCGCGCGGAAGGTAAGTTGTCGATCTGCCAACCAAGGCTGCCCCCTCAGTACGACACCAAGGCTGCCCCCTCAGTACGACGCTTGGACTCCGGCAGTCCCCTGACTGTCAAGACCGCTGACACTTCCGTGCAGGCCGTCGTGCATGGCGCCTTCCTCAAGCACAGACTTCAGCCCCGACTCTCATCTTCCTCTCACTTCGACTCCCTGAAACAACTAAGCTCTCAACGCCATGACACGGGCAACGTATCGAGAGCTCTTCCCCGATGACGAGGAAGACTCTGCATCCGGCGATGATCGCCACCAAATCGCCTTCCCCTGGTCTCGAAACAACTACGAACAGAACAGACTCACCAGCGCCGCTCATACTGAAGAGCCTCCGCCAGACATCCCGAGTGGTCCAGGCTTGCGAATGCATTCGCCAGCTTCTGCATCAAGGGCAGTTACCCCTTTCCGCCGCTCCGCCACTCGGCCTCCCTCCCCGACCAACTCGAAGCATGAAGGCAACGTGCCGACACCTCCACCCAACCGATCAGCTTCCATCCGGGCTGCGTCCCCCTTCCTTGCCGCTGAAGGGCCTCGTGGACTCAGTACCCACAACCACCTCCGCGACAGTGCCCCCGATCCCGAGAGCGCCAGGAGTCAACGCGGCGCATGCCTCGAGGACCAAGGCCGAACGGCGGCTGTCCCGCACACCGTAGATGGCTTCGTCGAGGATCAGCAAGAGAATGTCATCCAAGGAGGTGACCCCCAGCTACCTTTGTCTGAACGTGATTTAGACGACATTCTGAAAGTTCTTTCCAGCGGAGGTGGGCAGGGTCCGCTCTTCGATCTCGACAGCTCCGTCTCTTTCTCCCATGATCATCGGACTAACTTACCTTGGTCAGGTCCTCCTCAGCAATCGGGGAGCGAGAGGCATACGAACGTGCACCTCCCTTCCGTTCAGCCCTCTTTCCAGCGGAGAGCTGCTTCGGGTAGGCTATTGCACCAGCGCCTCGCTCAAGGTGGCATGGACCCGCCGCAGTCCGCTCAACAAACCTTCCCTGCAGAATCTCCAGGCGACCCCTTAGGCATTCTCATCCAGCTTACACACAACATGCAGTACATGAGCAACCAAGTCAACATGTTGGTGAGTGTAACATCAGTGCCTACGTCTCATTGCACAGAGTGCTGCGAATGACCGATTGGAACAAGAGAACGCGAAGCTCCACATGGACGTTGACAGTCTGGAGACCGACCTCGCTGCCGCGAACGAGAGTGCCGAAAACGCGAAGCAGGCCAAGGCGGACAGTATCGACAATGCGAAGAGATGCCTCCAGAGCATCAAGCAACAGTGAGCCAGCCGACCGCAGCACGGATCACTCACGTCCAAGGTATCAAGGACTTGCAGCCTCGCTTGCGAGCCAGAAGTCAATATCCGAGGGGTCTCGCGCAAAGAATCTGGCTCTCATCAGTCAGCTCCATGGATCCCGTGAAGATCTCAAGAAACAGGTTGCCGAGTGCAAGACAGGTTCGTGGCAGGATGGAAGTTAATGCTGACACTGCTAAGCACTGTCGCAAGTCTCGGAGACAAAGACATCAGCTGCAAGGCAGGCTTTGGAGGCGCTGAAAGACTGCCAAGCTTGTGAGCCTGTCCACTGTCAACTCTCTGACCACTACACAGATGCAAAGGGCCTCGAGGTCGAGCTCAAAGGCGCTCGTCAGCAATAGTGAGCGTCCTAGCCAACTCGCCTGACCTCAGTCAACAACTGGAGTCCGCGCAGCTGGCCCTCCAGTCAACGTTTGGTGACACGTCGCAAAAGCTCATCGCGTGTGTGGAATCGTATGTCAGCCCTTCGGTCCAAGCTGACGGCAGGTTGTCACAGACGAGTACGTCTGGCAGCCAGACGGTCTTGAAGGAACGGAGCGAGGAACTTTCCGAGTATGCGTTGGTTCGGCCCAGAACTAATGTTCAGGTTGCGCTCGATGATCAAGAAGATGGAGGAACGTGACTCACTGGTCACGACTCTTCGAGGGGAGTTGCAAGAAGCCCGTTCTTCCATGCTGGCAGAAGCTCAGACGCACCATGCACTGGCCGCCTCTCGCGATCAGATGAAGCTCAAGATGGAACAGCAAGAGCAATCTTCCTCGCGTTTGATCAGTGCCAAGGACTCAGAGATTCAAAGGTCGGTGCCGTCGCTCAGCACTAGCTGATATTCCAGGTTGCTTGCAGAGCTTGAACGGACCAAGGTGGAGCTCCGGGAATCTCATTTGAAAGAGATGAAGCATAACGAGGGAGTGACAGTGGCGAGCATGGAGCTGTTAACGCTGAAGCGAGGCTTAGAGGCAAAGTCAAAGGAGATCGAAGCCCTGACAGCTCGTTTGAAGGAGAGTGAGGTGTCCCACAACAAGGAGGTAGAGGTAGGTCCCCCTATGGGTTTGAAGCTGATGCTAGAACCTCAACCGCCAGGTTGATGAAGCTGTCCAGCGAGAACGCGTGGCTATCGCCCTTGCCCAGGAGCGAAAGGTAAATGTGACCGGCCGGAGGTTGTTCCTTACAGCCCAGGCCCTCTTTGATAAGATGAGCGGATCCACTCCTACCGAGCGTACCTCAAACTCTAGTCGTGTCCGTCGTCTGCTTCCCTACCAACGGCCACCGACTCCACCTCATCCGAGGAACGAACACGCATCCACTGCAGATCAAGCGGCAACCGACAAGGCTTCCAACCGATCGGTATAAGCCGAGGTAGGCCCTTCGCTGACATCAGCGCATGTCGGAGCAATCCAAACTCAGCACTCCTCCTGACCCATCTGAAGTGAGTGTCTCTCCATGGACGCGTTATGCGTCACTGACTATCAGAACCCAGGCGGAGCGACGAGTTCGAATATGCGGGAGAAGCGCAAGAATTGGGAATCAGATCTACTCGATGGGTTGGACCCGGCTTCCATCTTTGGAGCGTCCTCCCAGGAAGATGCTACCCCTCCTGCGCCTAAGAGCGCCAAGAGACAAGAGTCGTTCAGGGTACGGCCACGAGCACGTCCATTGCTGACCCCAGCCGGCGTCAGAACTGATGCCCGTTGGTACCTCGACCCAAACCCGTCCGCGCCGCAAGACCAGGAAGACCTCTTAGGCCTCGACTCATCCTTGAACACTTGTACAATACGTCAGCCAGTCTTCATTATGTAGCAAGAAGCTCTCATGTAGCAATGTACCTTGTCCCGAAAGACTTTGTCTGGGATCCTCGTGTGTACCTGTATTCCACTTTCCTCGGTCAATACCTCATCACTGAGCTTGATCGGCCAATTCCAGTCACGGACAAATCGCAGGATGCGGGTGAAGGTCGGCTTTGCATGGAGGTTAAGCTCGACCCACGGAAGTGACGAGGCGGAGGACGCAGACCAACTCTAATTGGCTTCCCGAGCAAGTCAACCGAAGGCTCCAACACGCAAGCCGAAGGGGAAAGTAGCGGCAGTGCCTCCACTGCCAAGGAAGTTCCAAGAGCAGAAGTGAAACGTAGTGTGGGACCAAAAACCGGGGGTCCAGATTGGCGTCGAGTTGCAGCTGATGCAACAGCTAACGAGAGGTACGAGAAGTGTACAAGGAACGAGCAGACTGATGAGCTCAAGCTGCCGTACTGCCGTACTGACGGGAAGTGTCATGATGATTCGAAACTCTCCAGTGATTTAACGAGCAGTGCAGCAGTGCCTAGCTTTTTGGCTTATTTTTGGCTGACGGTCGGACAATCCGAGCAAGAAGAACAGGGTCGAGCACGCGAGCGGCGAGTCACCGGTACCCTGAGGCATCCTGGACCTTGGGTTTTGCAAGCAAGCATGATCGCTATGATTTCATAACTTACGTCGTTACTCCCCTGACGTTCCTTTTCTCAGCTCTCTGCCTGCATGCAGCGCACGGAATACACCAGGGCAGCGCTGCCGAGGTGTCCGAGGGGAGCTGCTTTGCACCCTTGTCCGAGGGTGAAAAGTTAGGGGCAACACGGCAGACAGAGCTGCTTGGTACGCCCCTCGGACAGGCAGACTAACGACTTTGGTACCACCTTGGCACACGAATCGAGGGCACTGGGTGCAGCTGGGGAAGGGCATTAGGGACTCTGGGGTGTGGGCGTGTGTGTACGCCGCCAGCTGCGAGCGATAGCAGTAGCGCAACACACCGCAAGTCATGTGCTCAGCTTTTGGTGTCGCGACTTCCCACTCCGATCTCATTCTTGCATTTCATCTTCTCGCTTCCTCCTGTCAACTCCACCCACTTATTCTTCACCACCTCCTCCTCTCCCTCATATTCCCCGTCACTCTCTTCGTTTCGACTACCGGCGCCTTTCTATAATTCTCTCGCCATCTCTCCCTATTTCGTCGCCGTTCCAGCAGACATCTCTACACCTTGTTCCGTCAAGCTCCCAGCGACAACCTTACTCTTACACCGTTTCACTCTGCGCCGACCCCTCCGTCCCAGCGACCTTCGGCCTCCTCCCTCCTTCCTATAACATTCTTCGACCTTAATTCGTCAACTTCCGGGCTCCTGTACCCCCGCACACCTCGACTAGCTTCAAGGAGATAAGCATCATGGGTGTCATTCAGCTCGAAAAGCGATACACCGACGTCGAGCCCTACTACTACGAGCCGTGGTGGGAGCGCACGAGCGAGGCTACCCGCATCGGAATCTACGTCGCCATTGTCATTCTCATCGCTGTGAGTACTTGTTTTCTTCCCCATTCTGCATCTCAGGACCTCGGCCGTACATGAAGGATGAGAGGAAAATCCCAGGAAAAACCGCCGCCGAACGGAGGGCTTGAAAGGGCTTGCTTCCCTTAGCCTGAGAGCCTTAGCCGTATGGCGCGCCATTGGCGGTGTTGCTTTCACCGCCCACGACCTGAGTGACCGCCAGCCCTGGACGAACCCTTCGATGGGGCCAGGCGTTGTCGGTGCACTTTGGCGGTGATCGACTGCGCACGCACGGTCTACACGCGCCTGGTGCTGTTTTTGGCCCATAGCCCAGGGGCTCTTTACCGCTTGGGAATCTGCAATCTGCAGTGGACCGGGTACGAAACGGGTCGCATCGCCCATGGCACAACTGGCGGGCTCGGGAGGCACAGCGGGCACTTTTGGTACTCCTTGGCTGGATTCTGCATGCCAGGCAGGTGGGACGTAGGGCACGCAGGGCACGCCAGAGCGATTCCAAGGGCACCTCCACATTAACACACGACGTACTCCCCGCTATTGTCTGATTCACGTCACGCCAAAGCAGTTGAGGCAAACGCTAACCTTGCAGATCGCGGCCGGCTGCATCGCCTGGTGGATCATGCTGAACCGCCGTCGATCATCGGCACCCTACACCCCCCAGCCTGCGTACACCGGTACGAGGCCGAATGTGCACGTCTCGCCCTGGAACGAGCAGGGCTACACGACGCTGAACGGCTCAAAAGAGTCGCTCGACGGATACAACGTCCCCAAGCCGCCGCCCCGGGCGTACTCGTACGCCGAGCCTGACGGTATCCAGAAGGACGAGATCCGCGCCGTACTCTACAAGTACGACAAGAACTAAACCTCTCCCACACAACGGACAATTGCTACAACTTCACGCCTGCTGTGCGCGTGTGTATCATTCAAACTCCCCTATCTAACAAACACTGTATAATGCCATCATCCACCATCCAAGGGCGCACCCCCGCCAATTTTGTAAGAGTACATGCATCGCTATATCTACTGGGCACATCTAGAATTCGTCATCGGCGATATCGATCGCGTCCGGATTCGCGTTCGCGTCGGCCGTCTCGACCTCGACATCGACGCTCTCCTTGAGCGGCTTGAGCGTACTGGCGACAAAGGCGGGTGCGCCGCCGACGCCTCCTGTCGCCTCGCGCTCGACGGCCGCCATGGGATCGGCCGCCTCGTGAATGCTGGGACTCTCCGTCTTCTCGCCTGCCTCGGCGAGCCGCGCGCTGGCCGCAACATACGAGTCGTCCGTGTTGAAGCTGGCCTGTACGCCGCGGCGAATCCTGAGCATCTCGCGGAACGTGTCCTCTGAGCCCGTGTCGATCTCGAACTGGTTCCACTCCTTCCAAAAGTCCTTGGACGTGCGCGGGTCGCAGAACTGGCTCGCGTGCGCGTAGAGCGCGCGCGCGCGGTCGATCTCGCCCAGCTTGCGCTCCATCTGCGCGAACCGGCAGCACATGACCGCCGTCTCCTTGTCGGGTAGCGTCTCGATGGCGCGCTCGTAGATCGGTCGTGTTGCGGGGAGACCAAACGTCGCAGTCGCCTTGGCAATGTAGATCGTGTACATCTCGAACTTGTCGCTGTCCTGCACCGTCGACGCGGCGCGGTCGTAGATCCCCATCGCCCGCTTCGAGAGGCCGTGCTCCTCCTCCAGCTTCGCGTACATGAGGAACAGCGGCTTGCAGAACTTGGTCGGGCAGTTCTCCAGCGCCTGCTCGAACAGGTCGCGCGTGCGCTCCAGCTTGGAGCCGCCGTACCGCTTCACAAACTTGGACAGGTAGATGTTCCACAGCTCGAACGCGATCGGGAAGTTGAACAATTCGATGCCGCGCTCGTACACCTTGAACGACTCCTCAAAGTACTTGTTCTCCTCGAGGAACATGGCGTAGTTGACAATGACTTGCGCGTTCGCAATCTTGAGCTCCATGATCTTGTCGTACACCGCCTTGGTCGACTCGACAGTGCCGATCGACTCCTCGAGGTCCGAGTAGAACGACCACAGCTTCAGCGATTTGAACAGACGCGATTGCGGCGGCAGGTTGTCGTTGTAGTAGCTGACCTTGGTGTTCTTCGGCACCGTCGTGGCACGCTGCAGGACACGAATCGCCTCGTCGTAATTTTCGTTCCGCAGCTCCATCTCGGCCCACTCGCACCACACCTCGGCGAGCTCGTCGACGGCCTTGAACGGCACCTTGGTCGCACGCTCCATGATCTTGCGCGCCTCCTCAAGGTCCGGCTCGTTCCTGTGCTCGCCGTCCGGCCCGACGGAGCCACCCTCCTCGTAAAACTTGGCAAAGTTGACAAAGAGTGGGTACAGCGGTCCGCTCGCCTTGCGCGGGTTGATCGTGTCGATGGCCTTGAGGTAGGTCTCGACAACGGCCTCGTCGTCGTCGCCATGCAGTGCAACACGCTTCTCCCACTCCACCACGTCGTTCGGGTTTCGTCGGAGGAGTACGTCGTTGACCAGGAATGGTCGGCGGTCCATCAGCTTCTCAAACGCCTTCATCCGCTCGTCGAGTTCAGCCTCAGTCTCCTCGGCGTCAAAGTCCTCGTCTTCCAAGTTCTCCTCGTCGGCGAGCGCGTCCATCAGCGTCGACACCATCGTCTCGGAGAACTCGGCGTAGGCGTCAAAGATCTGCGTGAAATCGCGCACAGTGACGACCTCCTTCAGGCCATCTTCGAACGTCTGCGTTGCGCGGTCGAGCTCTCCTCGTCGGATCCAGTACGTCGCCAATCCAGTCCACAGGCGTCCGGCCTGATCCCGGTAGACCTCGAGTCCGTCCCGCTTCACAACACCCTCGACATCGAGTGGTCGCGGGTTTGCCGGGTCGGTATCCTCGTCATATGGCAGCTCGGACTCTGCTGTTCCAGAGCCGCCTCCAATGGCAGTCGGCGGCTTGACGAGTCGGGCTTGCGGGTGCGCGGGTACTGGCGGTCCAGCGATCCTCATCAACCGTCCCTCAATGCTAGCCGGCTCATCTCCTGGTGCAGCCGAAGCCTCGCCGTCGGCGTTTTCGATGGCTCCCTCCACCGCCTTCTGCGTCGCCTGCAGTTCCAGCGTCTGCTCCTCATCCATGCCCACCTCATCGGCGTACTTCTCAACGAGCTCCAGGAAGTCGATGAAGAGCTGGTACGGCGACTTGCCCTCGAGCGACGAGTACAAGTTGTGCTGTGCTCGGCGCGCGATCGACAGCAGGTACTTCGCCGCAGCAAGAGGTCGGGGAGGCTCAGACTCGAGAAGATATGCGATGTGACGCTCGGTGAGGCTCGAGTCGACCTTGAGGAATCGGCGCCAGACACGCTCTCCCGCTTCGCCGCCGATCTGCTCAGCCCAGTACAGGTAGAGACCCCAGATTCGGCCGTGGAGTGACGGGGGAAGTGTTCGGAGGGCGCGGTCGAATGTCCGCCTGGCATATGTTCGCTTGAATGTCGGCGGGCAGTTGGGGTGAAGCACCATGGACAGGTGGAGCATCCACGGGACAGGAAGATGCGAAAGCCACGACAGCATGCGCTCTCCCGTAGCGAACAGAGAGCGCCACTCCTCGTAGCCGACAACACCATCCAGACTCCTCTCCCACTCGTTGCAGTCCTCCGCATCGTCGAGGTTCTCCTTGACGTTCGTCTTGTAGGCCGCTCCACGCTTCGCCTGCTTCGCACGCGCAGCCTTGGCATCCTCCGTGAGGTCACCAAGAACAAAGCTCTGTCGGGTGAGGATGTAGGACTTCCAAAGCTTGTACGACGTGGGGAACACGGCGAGAGCCCGCTCGTAGACCATGGTAAGCTCTTGCAGACCATCGCGGGCAACCTGGGAAGCAAGAGGACCGAGAATCTTCTCTTCCGGAGACGGGTCGTGGTTGCGCGGCGGGAGCGCAGACGAGATGCGGCTCTTGATGTGGTTGATATGTTGAAGCCACTGACGCAAGTTCTCGGGGTTGTGCAGGAGGTCCTCCTCGGTCGCGAGGTCCTCGGTGCGGATGAGCTGAGGGTGGGTGGCGGGAGTGGGGATTGGCGCCGTCAAGGGGAACCGCCCCGACAGTTCGTCGATCAGAGACGCCATCGCCGCACTCGATTTTGGACGTTGTGGACGGGGTATATGATGCAGTGGACCGATTGTTGTCAAGAACGCGAACTCCAGAACTCGCCGCCACTGGTGCGGAGATACGGGGATAACTCCTTGGTGGAGGTGGTCCACCTTCCTGGGCACCTCAAGCAGTGAGATCATCTCATCTCGGACTATTCCACGACAATCAACGCCCGACCTCGTCAAACCAGAAAGCTTCAGACGCGCCCGGATAGAGTGATAGACGTATAGAGTCTAGAATCGGAAAGGAACTGCCAAACTGCTGCGTACAGCTGCACTTTCACGCGCCCTAAGTCAAGTGGCCCGACGAACTTCGCCCTCGACAGCCATGAAGTTCATTGGTGAGATTAATGCGCCCTACTGAACTGACATCAGATATTGCCGTGAATCTGGGAGATCCCATGTTCCGCGGACAGTACCATGGCAAGCGAAAACACGAGGACGATCTGGCGGCCGTGGTCCAGCGTGCTCACGACAACGGGGTGGAGCGCATGCTACTCACCGGAACGAGCCTTGAAGAGTCCAAGCTGGTTCTGGATCTTGCCAAGGAGTTTGGTGAGTTATGCTTTGAATGCATAGGCTGATGATCTAGACTCATACACGACCGCGGGATGTCACCCGACGTCCACTTCCGAGATCGACAAGTATCCGGGTGGTGCCGACAAGTATTTCGCCGACCTCGAGGCGTTCATCGAGTCTGACATTGGCCCTGACGGGTCAAAGCGTATCGTTTCCTTGGGAGAGATTGGGCTCGGTGAGTGGTTATATCTTGGTGCTCCGCTGACCTGGCAGACTACGACCGGCTAAAGTTCTCCGACAAGGAGACGCAGTTGAAGCACCTGCCTCGCCTTTTGCAGCTGTCCAAGAAGTACAACCTGCCGATGTTCCTCCACGACCGCCATCCGGAGGCCCATGCTGATCTCGTCCGACTTCTGAAGGAGGCTGGCTTTGACTCAACTTGGCCCGGTGGCGTCGTGCATTCCTTCACAGGCACGGTTGAAGAGATGCAGCAACTCCTGGACATGGGTCTCTACATCGGCGTCAACGGATGCAGCTTGAAGACTGAGGAAAACCTGCAGGTCGTCAAGGCTATCCCTCTCGACAGGCTAATGCTTGAGACCGACGCGCCGTGGTGCTCTATCACGACGACTCATGCCAGTCACAAGTACGTCCCCAAGACGCTACCGGTTGAGAAGGTGAAACCCGAGAAGTTCCAGGAAGGCAAGGGCGCCAAAGGGCGGCAAGAGCCGAGTGACGTTGTCGTTGTTGCCAGCGTTGTTGCTGGGGTCAAGGGCGAGAGTGTCGAGGCCGTTGCTCAAGCGGCGTTCGACAATTCGATGAAGGTGTTCTGGCCGGATAGATCGTAGATGCGGCCTCAGGCTATCCATTGTTGTAAACTACGTGGTGGAAAAGGCTGTCTATAGCATGATATGCGATACACAACGCTTTGACCCGTTCCTGGGCGCACCCCAGGTGGCGAGTGCTGGAGAAGGAAGATCCTATCGATCGACGAAGTGCGAAAGGAAGCCGCACAGACCGATTGCTTCCTCAGATCCAAACACGGCGCGCGCTTTCGGATCTTCCTACACAAACATGAGCCTGGAGTGGTTGCTTCTTGCCTCGCGACTTTCAAGCTATCATCGTCCTCACCTGTCCGTCTGTCTCGTTCGACAGCCTACTTCGCCCCTCGTCTGCTCCTGCCTCTAGAAAAACACCCACGGTCCGCCCAGCTTCGTCACCATCAACACTGTGAACCTCGCCACATCCCCTTTTGCCCCCACTTGCAACATGGCCCAGCACACATTTGAAGCTCCCCAGTCGTATGGACAGGTCATCTCCAAGGGCAAGAACCCCTTCAAGAGAGACAGCCCCCCTTGTGCAGGAGATCCGCATGGCGACAACCGCGGTGGTTAGTTCATATACCTCATCGGGCCGAGGGATCAGCTGACGGCGGCAGAGAAGTGCCAGCGTGTGCGAACAGCCACCGGCAAGATCGCGTGCTCGTATTGCTACCGGCCGTTCAAGAAGATGTGACCGAACAGTCGAACGTATCGGTCGCGTGTGCGGCTTGCCGTTCTGAGGAATCGACTGTCACGACTATAGGAATGGACAGCCATCATGCGCACTTGCCGGAAAGATGCTGCGAGCCACGCGACCAGGCGCACCAGCGCTTAAACCAAGTGTGTGCCCTGTGGTGTGGAGGTGCCTTTGGCAGCGCAGTGGCCTGTGGGTACTGCCATGTACTGCCTCCACTCCTCTTCCGGGGCCGCTCTGGCCGCTGGAAACATGACACAGTAGGAGAAGATTATGTAAATTCCAGTTTCACCTGTGCACCCAACCAACGTTTCTTGCTCCTTCGGACGGCACGGCATGCGCGTCGATTGGGCTCTCTCCGGCACTTTGCTGTGCGTTGCCAGCGTTTTGGAGTCCTCGGAGTGGGGGGCCGTGTCTTGAACCGTACCTTGCCTGCAACACGGCACACATAGCAGTGCAAGCAAGGTTTGTCAACGGCTCTGCTCGACCGACGTGAGCACGGTATATAAGCCGGACCCCTGACTTGCCGGCCGAATGCACGCCCATCCAACGTTTGTTGTCATACCTGGCCATTCGCTCCACCACGCCGTAAGCATCGCCACACGCCAGCACTGCACCGGTTGCACAGCTCCACACCAACTCGGCCAACATCGACCATTCATCTGCCGTACCTGCCGTGCGAATAGCCGATATGAAGATCACAGACATCAAGCGCCTCTTCTCGTCTCCCAACGAGCACTGCACCTCTTCCAGCAACTATGGATGTGAGTTGCATTCCGCAATGCCGTGCCATCCGCACCGCACGTCACTAGTACTTCTCGAAAAGGCTCAGGCTGACACTATGCAGACCCCTGCGTTGCCGTGCAGCGCGGCGCGCTCAGCATGTGCAGCCACTGCGGGCGATTGCTGCATTAGACCGTAGACCGGCTGCATACCTCAGCTGGCACTGAGGCACTCGAGGCACCAGACGCAGATCGGCTCTGCTTGGCGGTCATCTGACCCTGCTCAAGTCCCCGAAGGCGATTACACCTCTTGTGTCACGAGATTCAAGAATCTGCGATTCCGGACTGGTTCCTTGTGTATCCGCGTATTAAACCTTGTAGTTATCCGAAAGCCTCAAAAGCCACTCACGCTCAGCGCTCCCGGGAGGCGGCGCTCTCTTTTGTTATCATCTGTAGTCCGGTTGTATGTGTTTTATATTCGGTCGATCCAACGTATACCCTTCCGATTGCTCTGAGCATGCCGCGGGCAGCAATGTTGCACGGAGGCGCCTGCGTCGTCGGGCGGGACGCCCAGATCTGTCGCATTTCGGATCAATGTTCATTGGTCTCATGATGTCGACTCACGATTAGTGAGAGATAGGAAATGCCCGACTAAGGCGGCCGCATGTCTGAGGAGGGGCACCGAGCGCCCCCGCGGCAGCGCGGCGGCAGAGTGAGGCATGCTGGCACGACATTGGTGTCCATTATCTCCTCCGCACAGCTGCATGGCCCTACTGACTCGACGCATCCGAGGCCTATCGTCATCTATAAAGCTCCGGGCCGCATCGCCCTCGCTCACCCACCTCCGTATCGCCCGTCGGGTCACCCAACCACCTCCCAAAAACGCAGCGAGATATGATCCAATTCAAGACGTTACTCCGCGTATCAGAAATCTTAGGGCCAGGCATCGGCCGCCCGTTATCGTCCCCTGACGAGTATTGCACCTCGTCTTCGAACTATGGCAGTGAGTTCCGTGCCGCCTCGCCACCCGTGACCCAGTAAGACTAACTCATTTCCAGACCCCTGCCAAGCTGTGCGACGAGGCTCGATCCACCTGTGCATGTACTGTGGACGACTTCTCTAGAATGCTGTTGTATACGTAGTCTGCTCGTGGGATCATTGGCCAATGCATGCCGTTGTGCGCCGAGATGATGGGGGGGGGGGGCGGCAAACTTGTGGCGTCGCACAATTCGAGTAAGGCGGTCTGTGCTATCTTCGGTGGGAACAATACGAAGCATGAACTATGGTTGGACCTCCAATCCGGACCGAAAGCGCGAGTGCCTCCGTCGCCTTCCTCAACCGCTTCAGTCAGCGTGCCGAAATCTACACCACTGCTCGTCGACATTGCGACAGTGACCATGCCGTTCCGGAGCCGTAGCGTCGGCCACCGAAGCCGGCGGGCTGTTCCTTCCCCGCGCACATCATCCGGGGAAAATGCCGCCTCGAGCCGCCTCAGCCGCCCTCCACCGCCCTCCACTTCAAGCGCGCTTTGCGCCTCGGGCGGCAGTTGCTCACCGATCCAAGCTATCCATGGAATCTGCTGCGCCCAGTGCCGATGTGTACCGACGAATAGATCCGATAGCCGACGTAAGCGACGACCACCGGCCGACTCGCCCCCAAGCTCGGGCGATAAGACACATGTCCAGGAATGGCCCAGGAATTCAGAAGCAATCCGTGCGTGCCCCAGTATGACGCCCCCAGCCGCGCCCAGCGCGCCAGCGTGCCCCAGCGCGACCCAGGCTGCCATCGACGTGGTCGAGACCGTCTCGCCCTTTGTCACCTGCGATCTTAGCGCAATCGGCAAGTCTGGCAAGCGTCGCCGCCAAGCCTGGGGCGCGCTCGCATGACCTCGCATGCCCCGCAAAACATATAACATGTTGTCATGTCACTTCTTGCACCGTCATCGTCGTCCTTTCTAACACTTCTTCACCCTCGTTCCGTTCTCAAAGGAAGACACACCCTTTCGAAACTCGAAACCCGACCACCATGATTCTCCGGTTCCCCTCCCTCCCCCAGCAGAACGGCCACAGTGGTGAGCCAGCCTCACATAACCGGTGCGGAATGGCCGCTGAAACCTCAGCCGGGGGCTGCCTCGTTGTCAAAGACTCGGACGGGACGTGGGTCTGCGTCGAGTGCGGCAAGCGCCTGACGCCAACCCCCTCGTCGCCTTAATGTCGCTCACCATCGATTGTGAACATCTTTTCGAACGCACTGCAGCTTACCGCTGCCTGTAGCTACCCCCCCCCAAGGACTCGAGCCAGACGTGGAGCACCAACTACCCCACAAGCTGCGACGCCCCTCGCGACGCCCCTGCAACACGTACGACCCCCAACGCCATGCGCACGACGCACCACTCATAAGACCCACTATAATCGCCAAGCCCAAGGACATTCATCGCTTGTAGTCATGTAACGTAGGCATGTATTTTGATCCCCGTGACCTGTGCGCACTGGAGGCTGCTGCGGAGGCGCTTGAGTTACCGTGCATGATGCGCAGATGTGATGCAACAACCATCAGGACCGGCCCCAGTCGTTGTGTGCTTGGCTGTGGAGGAGCGCACGAGCATGCGAGCATCGAGCGTTCTTGGCAACTTGGCCATCGGCCTAAGACACGGGCCGAGACTGAGCGACCGGGGAAAAGGCCGGGAAATACATGGAAAAAAGGAAGAGCTTCCTGACGGAGAATCGAACTCCGATCTCCCGCGATAGTCACGTGACAAGCGAGCATACTAGCCGTTATACGATCAGGAACAGGGGTTATACTAGCCGTTGCGACAGCCTCAGCTGCCGAAGAGTTAGTCTTTTATTGCACGACTGTGTCGGAGCGTCGTTATGAGCCTTTGCTACGTTTCAGAATGACGTCACGGCCCGGAGCCGATCGATGCCGAAGGTTGGTACGTCGCTTGCGGACTCCCTACAGACTCGCTAGCGCCTTTAGCGCGTCTGCCTGACCAGGCGTGATTAGGGTTGGAATGGGCCAGCTCGCAGCACGCAGCAACGCAGCAACCTGGCACGATTGATGGGATACTCTTGCTCTGCTCCGCTCGGCACCGCAGCTCTGAGGGACGCTGAACAAGCCTTCGGCGTCTCTCGGTTGCCCGCCGCGCCACCGCAGTCACTTTGAGCCAGAGCTCGAAATGCTGCACGCGGCGCTCTTTTCGAGGTGAAAAGGCGGAAGTGAGCTAGTGAGACAACATGTCTGCTAGCGTCCTCGCCCTCGCCTCGGTCACTAGTAGCGCCGCCAGACTCGGTGAGCAGCATGAGCAGTAGTAGTCAGCCTGACTTCTGTTCGAGCACGCCCATGCACGCCTTCTGGACGGCCTCGTGCGTCTTTGGACCATTCTGGGAGTACGCCAGACGCCACTGATGCACTAGTCCTCGTGGGCCCGGCTGGAGTCACTTCGGCTGGACCAAATTAACTTTAGTGCACCGCCGTGCCGCCGGACGTTCGGCCGCGCCCCCCTTGGATGCGGGCATAATTGCTATTTCGGAGCCAAGAGGATCGTGAAATCGCAATAGGGTCTGTAACCCGCAGCATGCAAGTGGCCGCAGCACCACACAGGCCACAGGTGGTCGGAACGCCACAAATGCAGCGTGCAGGACGTGCAGGTGCGTTGGCAGCTGGCAGACGGCTGCGGCGAACAACTCAGCCAGGCCAGCCAGGGTTCCATTAATCGAGGCGAGAAGGGACGAATCGAGACGACGATTGCGTTGCGGCGTTGGCCTCGACTCGGTGCAATACAGGCGCACGGCGCGCCCTGGCTGCCTCGTGGCCGACAGAACCTATGTGGTCAAAACAATAACATGCCAAGGATCCAGGACTAGATTCAGGGCAAAGGCAGCACACCTGTCGTCCAGGTACGGGCTCGGAGCAGTGTAAGCTCAGCCTCAGTTGTGACCGAACAGGCGGCCGGCGGCGTGGATTGCAGGATGCTTTCACGTCGCAATCTTGGCTCGCCGCTCACCGCCTTGGAAATCAATCGTCGCGGTGTTGTAGACGGCCGAAGGGCGCGGAGGGAGCGAGGCACAGCTGTGTCATCGCGCCCCCCTTGCACCAGCGCCCTCTCCCCTCGCCCACAAGCTGCCCGCAGCAGCGTCAGCGGCGCCTCGCGCCCGAGTCGACGTTTCACACCAGTGACGCTGCGACAAGTTTGAGCCAAGGAGACACTCCGCGTGCACTCGGTCGCGCCGTCGCTACTCGACTGACGCTAATCTTGGCCACACACTCCGGTTCCGGCCCCGCACGCACCCGCCCTCGCCAGCTCGCCGCCCCCCGATCTTGTCACTTTCCGATTCCCCATGCCTTCCTAGATATACACTCTTCCTTCGTCAACAACGACATGGCTGCAGTGTTCGCTGTTCCGCCGCAGTCGCACAACAAAACGAACACACAACGCGATTCAGATACCGGCGCTGCGCAGTCGGCCATGTCCAGCTCCGGAGAAGCGTGAGTCACTTTCTTTCAGCCTCGGGTTGAGCTTTGATGGTGCTAACGATCCAGCCATCATGACCACCTCCTGATCGACCTCGCCATTGGCATCCCTCCTCAGCATGTCAAGGCCCGCGCCTCCTTCTCTTCCGCAGACACTGTCGTCTTCGCCGGGCCGTCAGCCAGTTTCGACCCGAGCAGCTCGACGAGCTACGTCCAAGGGTTACGCGACGGCAAAGTCTCGATCGACGAGCAACGACACGCCGGCAACATTTCGCACGACCGGATAGAGATCGACGGCTGGGTGGTGCGCGACGCCTCCTTCGGTGGGTACCCAAGCTGACCAAGCTCGCGAGTAGCTGACCGAGCCAGTCGTGTCCAAAGCTGGTCCGAGCGACCACGGAGCCTACCTGGGACTGGGATACAAGAGCTTCGTGGGGCCCGACAACGAGGCGCTGGTGCATCGCCTGAGCACCAAGTGGGAGAAGCCCTATTACGGCCTGTACCTGCCGCCGCAGGCATTCCATTCCTCGATCGCGAACTCGTGGCGCAGGACCAGCCCACAAGAGGGTAGCGTCCGTTTCGGGTGAGTGTGCAGAGGCGCAAAGGCGGACGATGGCGGTGCGCGCGGTGCACGGCTGACTTTTTCCAGACAGGCAGATCCCAGGTACGCGAAGGGATCCGTGCACTGGCTCGAGAGTGATTCGCGTCCCGACGGCGCGTGGTCGGTCCAGTTCGACGGGATCTCGATCGACGGCAAGATCGTGCCGATGAAGGACTATCCGGAAGCTACGCTGCCGGAGGAGGATTCGACGGCGTTTCGAACAACCTCGATCAGGTCGGGCTCCAGGACGAACATCTTCATTGACAAGACGTCGCGGAAGTATGTGCTCCCGGACGCCATGGTCGACGGGCTCATGGACGAGGTCGAGGGCGCGGTCAAGTGGGGGTACGGCCCATCAAACCACACAATCTGGGAAGTGCCGTGCGAGGCTAAGAACCGCATTGAACTGAAGCTTGGGATGAGGGACTACCGCCTTCGGCCGGACGACTGGATGTTCACGACGGATAACCGCTGCTTCAGCGACTTTGCCTACCTGAGCGAGTCAAAGACTGGACAGACGCAGCTTGGCACCCGCTTCCTCGAGGCGTTCTACACGCTGTGGAACCTGAATCCGCCCGAGGTTGGCCTTATGCGGCTCGACCCCGGCCTGCCGTCGCCGCGCACTGAGCCACCGCCGACGGGACACCATTTCAACACGTTGATCGACGAAACCCTTCATCTCACAGGTCCCATTTCGTCTCTCGGACTCGCCCGGGCCGGGTTCCAACCAGCAAAGCAGTCGCCCAGAACGCACTACTACTTCCTCGTCGTGTTCGGCGTTTGCGCCAGCGTCTACTGCGTGTTCAGGTTGTGGAGGCGCGGCAAGATGCCGTTCTCACCACGGTCACCCCGATACTCCCCAATCAGCAAGGAGCTCCCCGTGTAAAGTGTATCAACATGTTACTGTTTACTACCCCCTGTAACTACATCTAACGTCATTCAGTGTATTTCTTATGCATATGGGTTATCAGAGCGGCGACCAGGCCTAGCGCGAGGAACAGAAGGGCTGCTGCCGTCACTTTGTGGCTGGGTTTAGTCGACGCGCCGCTTGGTGGCCTTCCCTCGAACGATCGGCGTGCGCCCTTCACACTCGAGTTGACGCAACCCCGATCAGCTGCGCAGCACCTACGCACTGGCACTTGTTGTACGAACCTGTATCGTTTTGGATTTGCCCATTCGCCTTCGCCAGCTATCTTCGTCAAAATGGGGCAGAGCATCGACACTGCGACAGTGCCTCTCACCGACGAGTCTGACGACGAGCTCGCAGCCCCCGCAGGCAGCGAGCAGCCGTCCACTGAAGCCTCCGACAAGCCTTCCCAGGCTACTTCCGCAACCACGCCTTCTTCGGCGTCGGCGGTGAACAAGCTCATGGCGATTCCTCACATCGTGACCACCATCCTGCGCCATGCGCGTCAAGACCGCCCATCCCTTGCGCGCCTGATGCGCACCAACAGGAACTTGTACGCCGCCGCGGGCCCCATTCTCTATCACACCGCCGTGATCTGGGAGGAGAACATCGATGCGTTCTTCGAGGGCTCGTTCAAGCGCTGCTTCTGCACCGACTGCAAAAAAGAGTATGGAGGCGAAGTGGGGGGTCGACCACGCCACCGGCGAACTGAATGCGTTTGGCGAGCTCACAGCTCGTCCGCACGGTTACGGCAAGTACACCAACCCTGCGCCGCGGGCTGCGAGCGCCAATGAGACCGCCGCTGCAGCTGAGGTGTCCAAGCCGAAGAAGACCAAGGGTGGCAACAACAAGAAGAAAAACAAAATGAAGAAGAAGGCCCAGCAGAACAAGGCTGTCAAGGAAGACGCCGCCACCAGCCCACTCGACAGCAAGGACAGCACCAGCAACAAGGGCAAGTACAGTGTTCCCCACAGTCGCAAGCCTGTCATACCTGGGGAGCCCAAGAGTACACTCCCTCTCTCAAAGCGCCAGCTACTGGCACACGTCCGCGTCCTGACGCTTAGCGGACACCACGAGTCCGCGTGCGAGGGCTATGCGCCTCACGCTGCCAAGTACCTCGTCAACCTCGAGATCCTACGTGTCGTCGAGATGCCTCACACACCGTTCACAACGTTCCACATCTGCGAGAATATCCCTGGCGGCTCTTGCCCGCTGATCGACAACTTGGCGCCTCGCAAGCTCGTAGTGCGCAACATTTCGGGGCTGCGGCTGCCCTTCCCTCCCTCGTGGACGGCCAACCCCAAGACCAAGGAGATCGTCTTCGTCCTCCCCACAGAGTCGGCAGCGTACTCTGGCAAGGATGTGAGTTAGCCAGGAGTATTCAAACTGACGTCAGCTCACCGGCCCTCACGATCTCATCAACAGCCTCGTCGGGCAGTTCAACGAGGCGACTACTCTCCGCGTCGTGTTCTGGGACGGCTGGGACCGCTCGCTCTGTGACCATCCCCTTACCCGCACGTGCTCGCCTGAGCAGGCCGCGGATCTCCGCAAGCGCAACCCTCCCCGCCCCATTCACGTCGACGACGTCGCGTCCATCCTGCACGGGTTTGCGCGCACCCGCCGTACCAAGCTCTTCGAGATGCGTCGCCCCCGTCTCGAGATCTACGGTCTCGGCTCGGTCCAGCTGTCCACGTACAGCAAATCGCCCCTCGTCGACGAGTACAAGGCTGCGAACCCCGGGAAGGCGGTCGACCTGCACACGGTTGCGAAGTTGAAGGCCATGAGGATGGAGGTTAGCATGGCCGTGCTCCCGCAAGGCGGACCGCCCATCATGCTGGGCCCTTGCTTCGACATCACTTGGTTTACCCTCGAAAACTACAAGCGCAAGAAGTTCGCGGCCGAGATCTCGGAGTGGGACTGAGTCTGGGAGAAGACGATAAGACCGCCGTAGCGCACCTCATGCCATGCCACTTGTTCATAGCTGCCACCTGGGGTGCTCGGAGATAGCAAGGAGGGCCCCGCGAGGTCCAAGCCACCCATTCCTAGGCCATCAAAAGGTCTGGAGAGGTCTGGATTCTGTGTCTGATCTGTGGCTGTAAGAGAAGATCAGATGCTTTGATTCCGAGGGGCTGGTGCTCGCCGTGTCGGCTTCCTTCTGCCTCTTCCTTAACGAGGTACCGGGGTGCAGATCTACTGAAGAAGGTCACCTGGATCAGATTCTGTCTCACTGCGAGTGGGCATGCAGTCAAGGAAGGCAGGTCAGGAACGGGGTCGCCCACTCAACTCCAAAAGCTCTCGTCACCATGTGCTGCGCCGCGCAACTCCGACGAGTCGGTGGGCCTCCAAGTCCGCCTACACGGGACTGTCACTTGACTTGCCACCCACCGGCAGAAACCACAGCCGTGATCTTACTTATCTTGGCAAACAGGAGGTGGGTGACAGCACCGGCGTGCCGGTCCGCCAGTGTGCGGGGACATTGACGCCGTACTCTTCGCTTCCTCGCTTGGCGCTCATAAGCTTCATTGGCGCAATGGCGTAAGGGCCCTCCAATTTGAGACAGTCACCAGGTCCGTGGAATCGGTGGCGTTCAACATGTGGCTATTCGATCATTTCTATGGAGCTTTAGGCTCTCCAAGGTCTCTCGTCAGGCTCGCTCTTGCTCGCTACTGCAGCCCACACGCTCGTCGGACGGCACCCCCGCGCCGCACGCCGCCGCACGCCGCCGCACGCCGCCGCTCGGATCTCCCCAGGCACCCAGACTTGCCGTTTCCCATCACCTCTTCAGAAGAACAATAGCAGATCAAATTGGCGCACGGATCTGGCAGCGCCGCCGCCGCCGCGCCGCCGCGCCGCCGCCATGCCGCCAGCCAATAGAACGAGACTGCGAGCGTGCTCTGTTCTGGTGTAACGGCAGTGGCGAGCTGGCGAGCCGGCAAGCTGGGCAGTTCGCCACTGTGTGATCCCCATTTGGAACCGAATCGTATGGCACCATCGGTGCACCATGCTGCCTGTTAACCTGTTTCAGCAGCAGAGAAAGAGATAAGAGATCCGGAACTGAATTCCCGTTGGCGCTGAGGCACGGGGGCCCACTGAGGCTGAGGCGTTGAGCTCGCACGGACCCCATGGAACAGGGGTGGCCGGCACGTTCAGACGTTCATGCGCTCATGTGCACGTCCGTTGTCTCGCGGAGAACTACTCTGGGCAGCTTCTTTGGGAAGCTGGCAGCTGGCCAGCTGGGCTGCAGAGCCTGTCCGCTTTTGGAACACGAGCAGCATAACTGGTGGGAGCTGTTTGGTTCCATGGTTTGAGCCCAGCAGCCGAGCTAGCGCTCTTGTCCACTAGGCCACTAGGTCCGGTGACAAGGCGGGGCGGCGATGCAGACCTCATACCGTGCATCCCTTGCATGGGAAGCACAGTAGGGCGCTGTTCCTGTCAGAATAACAGGTGAAGCTAGTCGGTGGGCGGGGGTGGGTGGCAACGCCTCGGCTGAGGATTTGTGCGCTCAGGTAGGAGGCAGGTGTACCCTAGAAGGGTACTTGCGGCTCTGATGCACGTATGCACTCCCCCATCGTGCCATGGTGGAATGCAGACGGCAGTGACTGTGCGTTAGTCACCCGTGAGCGGTTTGGTGGGCACGGGTTGGCGATCTGCATTGCGTTATCAGTAGCAACAGCCCAGGGGTCAGTCGGAGCTCCGAAAGCAATCAAGATGGTACGAGAGCCGGTTAGAATAGTCAGACGTCGCACTCTCTGCACCCTCTGCACGTTTCTATGCTGAAATACATACATGGAATGAGGCGGTACACTTAACGGCTCTAGTGGAGTGGGTCGCGCGGCGCGCGGCGCAGGCTAGCGGATAGAGTAACACATGTGTTTGCTAATCTGAGGTGTGACAGTGACATGAATCATGAATCATGAACGCAATCAGATAACACTGTGGTGCAGCTCCCGCATCCACGCCGCCCAGGGCAGGAGCCGAAACGAGATGCACGAAACGACCAAAGAAGGCAAGGGTGATGCGTGTTTGAATGGGTGTTGCGTGTGTTGTGACAGGGTAGCTGGGAGAAATGCAGATAGATGATGGTGTGATGGGCGAGGTTGACCGGCCAGCGGCCACTCTGAAGAACTGTGTGCACTATGCGTGTGGGCGTGCAGCGGCAGACATGATCACGCCGCCTGCACCTGTGCAGACGGGTGGGGCGCTGACGATGGCGCTGCTGGCGTTCCAGAGGCGGGGGCGGCCCCAGCGTCGACTCGCCTGCGGCGTTGCCGCTGTGCTCCCAGGCCCGCGGCGAGGAGCATCGTCTCGCTAGTCGTCCGCGTGAGCACGGCCTCGTCCCACTCGCACGTCGTCTCCTGGTACGGGTGGTAGCGTCGTCGTCGGCTGTTGCTTCCCGGCGTCAACGGCGTCAGAGGCGTGAGTTGTTGTCGGAATCGAGCAGAGCCGATACTGCTGGGCGTCGCTGATGGCGAGCGTGTGCGCCCGTATAATGACAGGTAGTCTGAGGCGCGCCCCGCTTCAAAGCTCGCCTCTGAACTCGGTGTGTCGCACCCGTTGTACGATGCCGATCGGCTCATGAGGGCGCTGTCGGGCTCTAGTGATGAGGGGTACGACGAAGACGTCCTACTCCGACCAAACTCGATGAATGACTCGTCTATCGGTGAGTTGAGCGTGACCTCCATCGCGTTCATGTTGTTGAGTGGCTCGGCGGGGTGCTCCGGTGTTGGCGGGCCGTCCACTGTTGGCTCGCTCGAAATGCTTTCAGATGACCGCGAGGCACCCTCGAGCTTATCGCCAAAGCTCTGCAGCAGTCGCGCCCGGGTGTCGAACGGGTTCTCGTCGTAGCCGTAGTCCGGGTCGTGGGCTGCGTCTTCCGGCAGCTTGGCGTTTGAGCCAGCACGAGCGACGGCCTGGAAGCGAGCCTCCATGGCTCGCCGTAAGGCGTCGCTGTACTGGTGCAGTGCTGGTGAAGCATCGGCACCAAACGTATGCCGGCTGCTGTTGCTACTGGAGGCGGAGGAGGTTGGTGTTCGAGGGGATTGGATAGGGGATGAGGCGGACATGGTTGGAGATTGCAGCGTGAGCTGCACGGGGATGTGGATAGATCGATGGGTAGATTGTTGTTGTGAGAATCGTTATGTAGAAACGACCAAGTCCAGTCAGGCTAGGAGAGGCTGGGACTGGCGTCTGCTAGTCGCCCGTCCTCGGCCGTTGTGGGTTGGGGATTCTCGGGTGGTCGGCCTCCTCGGGTGGCGTCTTGGCGTTCGACTGAAGAATTTACCAGGTGGCCGACGTAGCTTGACGCGAGCGATGCTTGCCGACCCCGAAGTCGATGGCCGAGAGCACGAACTGCGTCAGTGGCTTTCGGGTGGAAGATCTCGTTGCCGTTGGAAAGTGGGTGAGAGCGACAAGGGGGGATTGTAGATCGAGTGAGGCGTAGATTGTTCCGTTCTGTGCCGTGCGGGGTAGCAGTAGAGGTCTGTGTGAATGCGTGAAACGGAGGTGTTGGTGAGACGACTAGAGGTGATGACGACTGACGTACGGCAGGATCGAGTTGTACCGCCCAGGACTCGGCCGGCTCGAGGATGCGTGCGGGTGCCGCTGCGCGTTGGGGGTACGCAGGTACGCGGGTTTGAGGCAGTAGTCGGCTGGAGCGTGCAGCGTCGAGGAACTCGTGTATGTCTCTCTTGGTGTTAGAGGACGGATTTTTCACGCTAGCAGGTAGACTAAGAAAAGCGCATGCCGTAAAGCACAGCGGGGAATGACCCATTCAGAGCTGAAAAGCAGGGTGCAAAGCAGGGTCGAGCAGGTCGAGCAGGGCAGTCGTTCCGTAACCTGCAGGCTTGGGCATGCATTGGGCACGCTCAGACAGGAAACATCGCTGCTTATGACGCGTAGCCTGCCCTGGTCCGCCCTCATTCCCCCCTGGAAGCCTTACTGCCCTCGTCAGCACCGGTACCTCGTTGTACGTACACCTCGCAGAGTCTCCAACCAAACTCGCAGCGACGATGCCAACTCTATCAAACCGTTCCTCACCGGCACGGCATGCGCAAGATCTGCGTGTCGAGTGTCGAGTGAGTTGTCTGCGCGGCGACAACCGACGTCATGTGCTCGTCGTCGGCACTCTGTCAGCTCTCCACTTGTTTCAGCACAGACACAACTCCAAATCCATTCCGGGCATTAACTGCGTAGATAAGCTTCGCTTTCATCCTCCTCGTTCGCGGCTGAGCAGTGATACCGCTCCACTCCCACGCCCAGAGTGAGTCAGTGCCCAGAGTCGCACCGGAGCTTTGAGTGACATTAGCCCGTGTCCGGTGACTTGGGGCTCTGCAGGCCGCACGGCCCGGTCACATGCTGAGATGCCGCCTCTCGCTACTGTCTCTGTCCTAGCCGCCGTTTTGCACAGAAGGAAGGTAGGTGGGTCGTGAACTTCCCAAGAAGCATTCTGTCCTGAGGCCCAGTCCAAGGATGCAAGGGCGGCAGGTTCCTCAGTCTACGTCTCCATCCCGGTGATGCCGACCACTTGACCGATGGGAGCCTTTGGGTGGGCATCACTGCATGCCATGCCTCAGCACGAGTTACAGTGTGCTACATGCAATCCGTGGGTACGCCAATGCGCTCTTTGCGGATCACGTTTCATGCGCAGAAGCATCGCTCAGAAGCACGACCTAGGCTTCCGGCAGTGGAGTTCGAGGGTTCCTATATACAACATGATGATATAGCTCAGTGCAAGGCAAAATTACATGAGCTGCGCGCACAGTTCGTCCCTGCTTCTCTCTCTTTCTGCGACCCCATACGTCACCTGTATCATTTACGCACTCGTACCGAGCCACCATCCGACGAGTCTGGCACGTCGGATCCAACTGATACAATGTACTGCCCGGGCCTGGCGCCGAAAAAGTCATCGAACCTAGCAAACGACTGCAAGTTACAGCGAATTGACAGCTTAACTCTATTCTCAGGAGCGAGCCGGGAGGCCACGATTCCCACGAACGCACAGGTACGCAGACTCGGTGACAGCAAAAGTGACAGTGGTGACAACGGTGACGGAGGTCGCAAGGACGACGGTCACACGTTGAATTCGCCGGATACGCGACACGCTGCGCCGACTCGGCGCCCCACGCGTCTCTCGAGATCTTAGACAGCGAGCTCTCCCTCGACCATCGACCGAGTGCAGCGGGCATTGTCGTAATGGTGGCGTTTTCCTCGGGTCCGTCAGCTCCCAAAGTCCTGGTTAGCCCTTGATTGCAGTGAACGAGGATTAAGGGCCACTCCCTGCACTGCTGCTAGGCAAAGGGTGAAGTGGAGAGTTCCGCGTCCAAGTACTGAATCGGTGGCGCTGAAATGGTGAATTGTTCATCTCGAACCCAAATCTCTTGCGAACGTGCAAGCGCATGCAAGCATAACTTGCAACTCGTCCCACGGCGCACCGCATCCCTAGCATCCCTAGCATCCCTTGCAGCCCTGCCTGGCATGCCCGTTGCTCTGGGAACGTAGGGCCCGTAAGTGCCCGTGTTCTCAGCGAGGGCCGCCGTGCATGCAGAGGCAGCGTCCGCGCCGATATCCCGCATCTACGGCCCTGGTCTGGGAACATCGGTAGATTCTGCCGTTGTCCCAGCAACAGCGTAGAGTTCTGGGGAAGGCGCCGCGAACTTTCCAAGATACGCATAAGCTCTGGGCCCGCATGCATGTATGCGGACGTGCCGTGGAGTGCCGCGACGCACTCCCGCATACCCGGCAAGTCCCTCATCCGCGCTCATGTCGATGCCCGTAGTACGCGTTGGAGTCCATGGAGTGGGGAATAGGGAGTGGGGATGCCTGACTGCGAGGAATGTCATTGTGGAGCGTTCGATGGCGAGACGCGTTTCAGACTCTTACGCGCTCCACTTCGATACTGCTGCGCGATCCTCGAGTAGTCATCTTCTGCAAGGGCAGCAGCCCCACCCGTGAGCCTAGCCTCGATCGATGCAGGGTGTAAGCCAGATCTCTCCATTACTTCCAAGACCCAAGATCTGTACTACTAAGGTTCTATTCGCTCACTGCTGAACCGCTGGGCGCGGCGCAATGGTGCGGCGCACGCTGGTACGCGGAAGTGCTTCGCCGTGTAGGCCGGTACAGTCTTCGATATCCGTACGCACAGACATGATAAAGCCCCACTGCAGTGTTGACCCACTCACCCTTCATGGCCTCGGCCAAGCCCGACATAGCGCGGCACGCGGCACGCCCGGCATCCCGTACTACCTCCCCCGTCTACACCCCAATATCCCCACATCCCTATCCCCACATGATCATCTGCCAGCCGGGCAGGCCGTCAACCAACACCCAGTCCTGACCTCAGCTAGCAGTCCTGGCGAGTACTCCGCTGCGAACATTCCACTGCTCGCCCACTGACCAACCGCGAGGCCCAGCCCGGGTTCCTGATGTCACCCGCTGCTCAATTTAACACTTCCCAGACAGACATCGGCTCAGATCTCGCTCCCAGTATCTGTACTGTCTATGACGTTATGACGCGCTGCACACGATCGGAGCATGCAAGATGTACGTACTCACCCTGCCAAGTCCTCCACGGTCGGGGCCTTCTGACGTTTGTGGGGATGAGAGGGACCGATACGAGTGTTGGGAGCCTGAGACGCTCATAAATGCTCGGGAGTGCCTTGCCCGTGGGCTTGCCGGTGTGGAAATCCAACATTCGAAGGATATCCGAATTGACTTCCAAGAAGTTGCATCACTGCTATCACTGCTGCCTTCTCCCCTCATCACTTATAGCTTGTACAGGAAGTCGCCGTTCTTGTCGTAGCGGCCGTAGCCGTTGGAGAAGGTCGGCTTGTTGTCGAGGATCTCCTCGATCTGGGCAATGACCTCGGGCTGGTCCTTGAGCTTCTTGTAGACGTCGAGGGCCTTGACGTTCTCCTCGAGCTGCTCCGGCTTGGTGGCACCGAGCTGTACGTTAGCTGGGCTACCGACCCTGACTACTCACAATGCAGGTCGAGACGTTGGGGTTGAGGAGCGTCCAGGCGAGGGCGAGGTTGGTCATGGACGCACCAAGCTTCTCGGCGACCTTGGTGAGCTTCTTGACCTTCTCAATCTTGGCCTTGCCCTCCTCGGATTGGAGCGCGGCAACAGTGTCCTTGAAGAAGGCCTTGTTGGTGTCGAAGCGCGAGCCGGCGGGCACGCCGTCGTTGTACTTGCCGGTGAGCATGCCCGAGTCGAGAGGCGACCAGATCGTGCTGCCGAGGCCCTCGCGCTTGAAGAGGTCGGCGTACTCGATCTCGAAGCGCTCGCGGTGCAGCATCGAGTAATGCGGCTGCTCGGCCGTGGGGCCGACCATGTTGAGGCGGCGCGCAACCTCCTTCGCCTGCGTGATCTGCGCCGCAGACCACTCCGACGTGCCCCAGTAGAAGGCCTTGTTGTTGTCGATCAGCCAGTTGAAGGCACGCACAATCTCCTCCATGGGCACGGTAGGGTCGGGGCGGTGCGCGAAGATGACATCGACATAGTCGAGTCCGAGACGGTGCAGCGAAGCGTGCGCACCCTCGATGATGTGCTTGCGGCTGAGACCGCGGGTGTTCTGAATCTCCTTGCGGCCAGTGCCGAAGAAGACCTTGGTCGTGATAACCAGGTCGCGGCGGTCCCAGTTGAGCTCCTTGATCACGCGGCCCATCTCGATCTCAGACTGGCCATTCGAGTACACCTCGGCGTTCTGACGTCAGCCACGTTGCATGACACCGGGGAGCGGAGCACTCACGTCGAACATGTTGATACCCAGGTCCCATGCCTTCTGCATGAGCTCCTTGACCTGGTCACCCTTCTGGGTACCTCCAACACTGGAATTAGCTCAACTTCGAACATTACAACTGGATCACATGCCGACAGGGCGCAGATCGGGCGCAAGCCACAAACAAACACTCACGTCAACCATCCACCGTAGGAGAAGACAGGGACACGGAGGCCGCTCTCTCCGAGATTCCTGTAGAGCATGCCCTTAGGCTCGAACGCAACGGTCTCTTTCTCGGCGGGCATTCTTGGTTCTGTTTTTCTGGGGGTTGTTTTAGTGCTGTCAGCAATCTGCAAGACGTGAGAAGGGCTGGCTCCCTCGCTGCCAGCTTATATGACCTCGCTGGTGCACCTTGCCCATACGTCGAGTGATGAGGTAATGCACCGAATTAGCATCCGCGCGCCGGTGGAGGTGGAGGCACCGGCTCCGTACCCGCCGGGCATCGCCGAAATCACGTGCCGCCCTGGGTTGAGCACGGCATGCAGCGTGAAGGAGATTGGTGGTGAGTCGAGTCTTCCACACACCCGCTCTCGACCCAACCACCATTGCAGCCATCAAGCTCGGACGGTTGCTGAGCTCTTCTGAGGCTCTCTAGTCGAGGCCATCGAGGCTCGTGCGACCGATGACAGCAGCACTGACCCGTCTTCTGATTCGCTCAAGCGTCTCTGACACCCTTCCTGGCTCTGATGACCCCGCGGCAGGGAAGGCACCAGTGCTCAATACTGACGCTCTTACCGGCGGAACCTGGAGCAAGCTCCGCAAGCGATGAGGGAGGAGGAGACGCAATCCATTGAGAAGGCGGGCACGGCATGTTATCGGCGAGAGGGTACAGCCTCTGGGATTGGAGTTTAGCGTCACCCGATACCACGCCTGGTCTCATGCTGATCCCCTGTCTGAAGTAGCTGCTAGTGCATGTGCTACAGGTTTCGCCTGTCGGAGCCTTGTGTTATGAACGTATCGTTTAATGTCTGGAGTCTGATCAGCCTTGAAGGTGTACAATGTTTCAGGGCCCCTGCGACGTTTCGGTTTCGTAATATCGGCAACGCTACCATGTTTGGCAGGCCTCTGTGTCATGTCTGCTACACGTGAACGGGCAACCGCTGGAGGCCGTGCAACGAATCACAAGCTGGATAGGCCTCTTCCTGGACGATTGAGTGGGTGTCAGGTCCTGCGCAATGGAAGGGGTGATCCCCCCGTCGCCTGATGGCCACTTTGTCGCGGGCATGTCAGAGAGCTGATGTACGACAGCTATTCTCACATCCTTACCCCTTCCTCAGCCCTAGTGAACGCGGTCACCGCCAAACGACCCATATGGGTGGTACGGTCACCGGCGGCGTTGCCCTTGACCGGCAGCGGTGTATGCTCGCAACAAGGTTCTGGGCACCGGCAACGCAGCTGATGTCTGTTCCTGGCCCTGCAATACGGGGCAAGGGGTGGCGGTGAGCCACTCATGAAGACCGCTCGTGTATGCCTCTGTTTCGTGGCTCAATACGTGCCGGTCAAGCTGCTCTTGTCCACTCTGCAGGCCTCTGATAGATGTTGCCGTGACAGTACAATGCGTATATAAGAAGAGAGCCAGAGAATGGGAACCCAACATCGACAAGCTCCCATCCCCAACGCCATGAAGCTCCCTTCGCTCACTGCCGTCGCTCTTCTGGCCGCCATGGCCACTGCGAAGCCGATCCACAAGACCAAGACGTCTGGTCACAAGGCCAAGACGTCCGATCTCTCGTATGACGGTGGCGATTCCCCTGATGATAGTGGCGAACACTCCTCTGGAGGTGGCGATCCCCCTAATGGAGGTGGCGATCCCACTAATGGAGGTGGCGATCCCACTAATGGAGGTGGCGGTCCCCCTAAGGCAGGCGGCGATCCCCCTAAGGCAGGTGGCAATTCCGTTAAAGGAGGTGGGAAAGGTCTCCCAACGACTAAGGTGCGTCGCATTATCGCCCTCGTCTCTGACTTTAGCGTGGCGTCGGTATCCCGAGTGAATCGCCCGACGGCGGGTTCGCTCGCCCAATTTTCGGCGACAAGGTGTCCTGGTACTACAACTGGCGCACTGATCCAACCAAGGGCCTCGAGGGAATCACCTACGTCCCTCAGATGTGAGTGCTTGCCACCTTCTACCGCTGACGCACAGTTGGGATACATTCACGAAGCAGGGTCACGGAAGCTTGGAGGACCTCCAGCAACCCGGCCTGCTCATGCGCTACAACGAGCCAGATGGAGCCGGACAGGCTAACCTCGCCCCAGCCGATGGCGCTGGCGCCTGGCCCGAATTCATGTCCAAGTGCCAGAACGGCGGCAACTGCGGGGCATCCACGGACATCATCAGCCCCGCCATGGCTTGGGACAACCAGTGGCTCGTCGACTACTACGCTAAGCTCTGCCCGGGCGTCTCGCCACAAGAGCTGCACAGCTCGGATTGCCCGCACAAGCCGAAGTACATGGCCATGCACTCTTACAAGCCGACGTTCGAGGGGTTCAAGCAGGAAGTCGAGACGTTCGCAAAGAACTGGCCCGGTTTCCCTATCATCATCTCCGAGTTTTCGTGCTGGAACTTTGGCGAGGGAGAGAAGCGCTGTCATGAGGATATCAACGAGTACATGAAGAAGTCCCTTGACTATCTAGACGGCAACGACCGCGTCGCGTGAGTATGAACGATAGGTTGACCGACTAACATGTCAGTTACTACGCCGCTTTTGGAGCGGGCATTCCCCGCGGAAGTAACGCCGGTGGCATTGAAGGCGACAACGCTATCGTCTTCGCTGACGGAGAGATCACGGAGCTCGGCAAGATCTATCAGTCCTACGGTCGTGCCTAATGCTTCACACTTTACACAAACCCCTCACACCACGATACACCCATGCAGCATAGATGCGCAACGCATTCACCTGAGCATCTGGCAACACTGTTCTGAAACGCAGAATCCAAGTCATAGACGAACAACAAGGCCTCGGGACATTCTCTCCGCAGAGCAGAAGGCTAGGAAGAACTCGCTGCTGCAGGTGTAACGTATCGGACCGCACCGACCATGCTGCGGCTATGCTCATCGGCGCAACTCGCCAAGACGTGGCAGCCGAAGGTACCAGACCATGCTTGTGGTGCGCGACGATGCGCGTGTATCAAAGGGCTGTGCGTCATATACCGCCTCAAATGTTTAAACGGCCATCCACATCCATCAGTCCGCCGCGGCGAGCAGGAGCCTGCGAGTATCCACGAAGCTCATGCTGCACATCAGCAACAGGCGAGATCAGTGCATCAGGTTAGAGGGCGCTGCAGCAGATGGCCGAGAGAAGCATACTGCTGTAGTTAGGCGTCAGTCCCGGGGAGCCAAATCAAACCGTCAGCGATTCCATGACGAACTGCTTCTTCTCGCACATCGAGATGGCGCTGTCGTTTCCCGATCAATCTGACAACAGTACTTACCTTGCAGTATTACATCTGGCTACCTGAAACAAGAAGGAAGTCGCAAGTATCATGAGTCAGTTTAAACCAAAGGAGAGGGTGGCGACGTACATGCTCAACGGAAGAGCAGGTTGCGACTGTGCTTGAACAGCGAAAGGCGGATGTCGAGGTGGACAGGCCACCGTGGGAAACGTTGAAACTAGCGAAGGCTACCTCTAGCTCTCCACAAATACAGCTTCGCCAATTTCATATGGTTTCGAATCACTTTACAGCGCTTTAGTCAACTCCTGAGTAAACTGACGGCGCCCACTTACATCCCTTCCCACTGTCACCGTAAACCACGACCTGCTCGACTCAAACGATCTCCAGCTTAACGGTCTTGGGTGGTTCCAGCGCCAGCAGTAGAGCGCAGCCTGTGGTGATGGAATGACATAATCCCAGGCACGCCGTGGGGCTCCTCACTGCACCAGTGAATGCCACCTTCACCGAGGGTCAGGAAGGCAAGAGTTAACAGCAGAGTGCTACATGCGGAGCTACTGAGGCAGAACAGGTGGGCAGAAGACGAGGTTAATTATGTGATTCAGGCAGTTTTCAGAATGGAGAGTGCCAAAAGTCGGTGCAGATTCATCCCGACCAGTAGTAGGTGAGAGTTCTTGAAGACAATCCCTCCAGGGAGGAGGTGTGGCTCCATGGACCAATTGACTCCTTAGACATCTCTGGAGGCGGCTCTTGGGAATGCAGGGAGATCTTCAGAGACTGGGCGTTTGCCAGTCCGACGTCGGAGGTCGGGCGGATGGAGCACGATGCTCCACTCACTGTATTCGGGGATGTTCTGGATGGGAGGCTTGTACCTTGGAGCTGGAATCCATGGGCTGCAAGCCATAGCGGATGAGAGTCCGCGACCGAGGAATGTAGATTGCTCGGGGGCGTCCGTGTAGCTCGCCTAATGTGCTCATCTGCTCAATCTGACCCTGCGGTAATACCGCGCTTTCTTACGCAGCGATTGTCAGACTGCTGTTTAAGCTGGGAAGACACCGCAGCGGGGCAGAGGTTTCCTCATATGGTTCTCTGTGTAGTTCTCTGTGTGGTTCCTAGTGTGTTCCTTCTCCGCAACCCCTCCCCCACTCCCTCGTAGCCCCGACTCATGCAGATGTCCGGAACACACTGCTGTTCGAGATATGCGGTCAGCTGATTACGCTGGCTTGCGACACTGAATAAGGGCGGCCGCCGACTGTCACAGTCAGCATCCTCCAACTCGGCCACAGATAGCAGCGCCATGGCGACTGACCACGATGGGCGTCGTAGTCCCTCTCCCTCATGGAGCATTCTGCGCAGCTGTGGAGTGGGGAACGCAGGCCAAGATCCTTTTCGGCCCGAGACGTTCCAGTGTCAGGCTTCTCGCCACCATCACCGCCACTCGCAACGTGCGACCTCCCGCTAAGTCGACGCCGGCATCTCCGTCTGTCCTCCCATGCATTGCAGCGGGGTATGCAGCGGTATCGGCCATCGGACTTGAGTGGGGCACTGGAGATTGTGTCAGCCAGGTAATAGCCTAGCGAGACAAGCGCCACCGCCAAACGCCCTCTTCAAGAGTGGATGCTGATCCTTTGGCGCACTCGTCCCCTTGGCACGGTTCACGGTTCTGTCCGACGAACGCTGTGCCGCTGCTTCGGAATTGCCAGCCCCTATCGGCTGACCTGCGAATCACGACTGGCTGCTGATCTGGATGACAAACAGCGCGCAGTAACACAGATGGCATGCCGCTGCTGCGCTCGAGGTCGCGTGTTCGCATGGGCTTAATAAAGCTTAGGTTGGGACATACCGCGGCGACAGCATTGCCCACACAGAGCATGGAGCGTGGGCACATGGAGCAAAGGAGGGGAGGATCTCACGGGCCTGGCGACCTCCTGTGGACCTGACGGGCCTGGCCGGGTCGGGCAAACGCGTCAGCTGCCTGTGGGCTGACGCGCTCTCAGAGGGCGAGACTGATCCCCGCTGATCCCAGGGCTGTGAGGCGGTGGGACGAAAAGCGCCCGGGTGGCACCGAAACCCTGAAGTGTAACGTAATCAGTGAGTCACCTTCTGTCCAACCGTCTTTCAGACCTTCTTCCCGGCTTCCTCGCGTGGAAAACTCGTGCATAATTTCCAATTGACGCACGCCAGATTCGTCCTACATCGTTTGCTCTACAAATCCACAAGACGGATTTGTAGAAATGCATGCAACTATCGTCTTTTGAGGTCTGGAGCTTGCGACATCGAACCGAGATGACTCCACAGCCTCGCGACACTTCTGACAGTTTTCTAAAATGAAGCTGCTTCAGAAAATGGATGCATGCTCTTTGCAGGACGTTCTAGAGGCGTTTCTGTGTCCAGAGAAATAGGAGATGCGCGCAATCACTGCGTATCAGCCCGCTGATAAGCCGTTATCAGTACCCCGACTCGGTGACCTCGGTGCCACTCGGCCGGTCCGTGTTTCGTCATTGCTCCATCCGGTCCCTGATCCCGGCATCTTTCCACGGTTTAATACAAATCTGAGATTGGTTTTCCGACTCACGTACCTGCGGGCCTGCGTGCTTGTGAACTGGAAAGCGCAGGATTGACGAGCACGAGCGAGCCCACCCGACGGCGGCAAGGTAACGCAACCGGCAGAACCCCAACCTCGGTAGCGGCGAAAGACTGCGAAGCTTTTCGCGTCGAAAGGAGGGGAAAACAGGTGGAGGCGAGGCAGTCGAGAGGACAGTGGGCCGGCCGGCCGGAGTATGTCACCCCGACCACGAGACCAGCGAGTTAGTCACCCACTGTGCCCGCTCACTACGTTAGACTCGATCAGATGCAATCACTTGCAACACGCGGTGACGGTGACGGGCATTATCATTACATCAATACTACACTACTGATACTGCTTCAGATCTACATGTTATTCACTTTTAGGATGACAGATGACGATGGAGTGGATAGATGGTTGAATGGGTGGCGAGGAGGGGTTGAGATGAAAAAGAGCCCAAAAGGTTGCACCATGCTGCGGAGGGCTACTAGAGCAAACAGAAAACTGTCAATGTTGAACCGGCTCTAGAGCCTGATGTTGATGCTCTGCACCTGCTGCACTGGTGACCAGGTGGGGCGGGTGCCCGACGAGCTCGATGAAGACATCGGCCTTCGGTCCGTCGAGGGGGAAGGGGTACGGATCGACGGGAGGGTGGCCACTCGGGGCTTGTCAAAGTCGGAGAGGATAGGAGACAGACGTTTGTGCTCGTACTCCATGTGCGGCGTGGGAGGGAGGCGGGGCTTCTGCTCGTACTCGGCCGTCCACCAGTCACGAACGGGGGTGACGAGCTGGTCGATCCTCATGCGCGAGGGAGAGGGGAGGCGCTGCTGCTGGCTGCCCGACGGCGGCTGGTGCATGGCGGGGTGGGAGTGGTGCGAGTGGGGAGGGGGAGCGGGCGCGGAGGGGCCCGGGTTGCGCATGATGTGACCGTTGTAGTCATCCTCGCGGCGGCGCTTGCGGCTGTCGTCTTCCCACCGGGGGCGGCCCTGGAAGGAAGCGGCGCTGGCAAGGGTAGCGAGAGCGTCACGGGGCTGCTCAGCTCCAAAGGTGCGGCGAAGGCGCTCGACAGCGTCGCGGTCACCCCTTGAAAGAAGGACCTCCTCGAGCTGACGAACCCACTGGCCGAGGACCTGCTCGCGCTCCTCGAGCTGCTTGGACTTGGACGACAGCGAAGCGACAGTCTCCTCGAGGTTGGCCATCTGGTTGGCACGGCGCACTAAGGTTCGTCAGCTCTGATCTCCAGATGTGAAGGGTGGCTTCCTATGCACAGACCGGCAAAAGGTTGAGCTGTACTTACGACGAAGGTTGCGCTGCTTGATCCTGTTCTTCTCGCGGCGGATGTCGAGAGGGGACCGCTCCTCGTTGGCGCTTGCCGAGTGGTCGGAGTGGTCCGACGGGTGACGCGACATGCCGAGAGAGGTCGGTTGGCGAGGAGAGAGGGAGGCGGAGGATGAAGGGGAAGGAAGTTGGGAAGCCATCATGTACTTTGTGTGATTGAGGTGGATACGTGTGATGGGGAGGCTGGTTGAAGGTTTAGACTACTTTATAGTGCGAGTCGAAACCGAACTGATTTCTAGGCTAGGAGTGGTACCGGTAGTGTGTGATGCAGGGGTGTAGTCACTGGTCCAGGAGGTGTGATGGTGAGGATGTACCGAGGGTGTGTTGGGATGGGGGGACTTGATGGTGTCGCGATGGCCCGAGTATATGTACGGGTCTGGGGGAGTCCGGGATTGGAGAGGTTGCGAGAGACAAACCGATGTCCAGGACAGGTGTACCAGTGACAATCATGAGCGGTCGACCCCGAACAGGCACCGACCGTCCGAGTGCCCCGAGAGTGGGTGGTCCGACCTGGGACGAGGTACACTCGACCTGCACTTTCGTCGCTCTGAACCCTTAGGATTCGATGCAAGCCAGGTACTCAGGTCAAATCAGGTCGTCAGCCCAGCCCAGCCCGCCGCCGCCGCGCGCCCGTGAGCCCAGCGATGGCCTCCATCACCTTCCTGGCCCCAAGCTTGGCGAAACTCAGCTGTCCCACGCCGTTAAACTCTGCCCTTCCAACCCAAGCCATCGAAACCCAATGCGGCCCAATCCAGAGCAGCCAAGTGCGGGGGATGCCGCACCGCATGCATCGCACTGCATCGAACTGTATTCGACGACTGTTGACTGCTGGGAACAACGAGGGACCGCCAGCGTTGCGGGCTGACATGGGTGCGCTCTCATCATCGGGCGAGCCACGCCTCATGATGATGCACTGCACTCGCCCTGTGGGGGGCTTCTGGCTTCTGTTTTCGGGCTTGACAGCTCCCAAGTGTGGGTCATGTACGGTACACGGATACATTGCAGCCCCTCGCAGACGCCTCGAGCGCCTCGAGCGCCTCGTCTGAGCCTCGTCTGAGCTCGTTTCTTTCGCCTCGCCTGTCGAGCTGTCAATGCTCAGATGCTATAGGGACACTGGCATTGGGCAGTGCCCTTGCCTGAGACTCCAAGTGTCCCAGGCGTACAGGAGTCTCTCTCACGCTAGGGACAGGTCGCGATCTGATCCGTTCCTGTGCACAACCGCTACTACCTCGATGCGATCCAGGACACGAACCGTTACAAACCTATTCGCGGCAGGATACGGCTGCCCCCGTGGCCCGCGACTGAACAGCTGAGCTCAGCTGGGGCAGCTGAGGCAGCTGCGGCGGCAGAGGAGCCCAGCTGGCACGTCGTCTAAACGTTTAAACGGGCAAAGGACCGGGGCCGGCCGGCAACGCTCGGGATGTTGTGGACGTTCAGGAACAGCAGCAAGTCAGAGTGTGATGCATGATCCAGGCCATGCACATGTCCAGATGCGGGCCGGAGCGGGCAGCGAACAAGCAGGCAAGGACGGGAGAACCCCATGAGGAGCACGGTGTAGTTTGGGGTGGCGGGCGGCAAGGCAGCGGTGACGCTGGCGGGTCAAACTCCGGTCGTCGTCGATGCCGTTTAATACCAATCGATGATTTGTATAAAACGATCTCGGCTTGGGAAGTGCTCGGCGCGGCGAGGGCGGGGCAGGACAGGGAGGACAGGGAAGAACGAGGACTCCGAAGACTTTTGAGTGGGTGCCTCATTCGTGACCACCTCTGCGCTTTGCGGGACCTGCGCCCGAGGCGAGGCGACATCCAGCCCCTGGCCGCCCTAGGTGGGACCCTGGATCGGCCGCCCCCGTGCTGCGTGCCTGAGTGCCTGACGTGCCTTTCGGTCACCACCCAACTCCCACAATCGGCCACTTTCGCGTCTTGCCGCAGAGTACGCCGATCTCCTCCGGTAACCACGAGATCCACACTACCCCCTCGGCGCAAGGGCAGAAAGAGACACGGATCCAGTGCGCCATAACATGATACGCATGCGCTCAGATCCCCCGCCTCGCTTGTATCCCCTGTCACCCTCACCCTCATCCTCACCCTCAATGGGTCGTCATGCATACCGTTCCCACAGAGCGCCGCCTGTTTCCAACGCAGGCTGATGGCGTAGGTATGGATGATACGTTGTTCTGGAAACAAGGCCGGCGATGCCGAGACGAGCCGAACGACCGCTCTAACACCGCCAGATAAGATGGTTCAGCCGTGTTGTCTCGTCCCAAGACCACAAAGGCTTGCGCTTGGCTTGCGCTATGGGGGCTGATTATTGCTGCTGATCTCTGAGGCGGAACGCGCGTAGGTGGAGGCTCTATTTCTCCGAATCCTATTCGAACACTTGGGACGAAACCCACTCTTCTTCGCTCGCCAGATGCAGATGTTGACTTGTCAGCGGAATGAACAACGCCCTCCGAAACGGGATGCCCAGTGCGGTCCACGATCGCGCCACGTATGCCTGCATACCTGCATGCCTGCATCTCTCGCTCGTGCAGTTCGCAGCGGGACGTAGCCAGCGAAGCTGAGTTTGATGCCAAGCACATCGCCTTAGACACGAGAGGACATTCCGTCGCGATTCCTGAAAGGGAAAGGACAAAGGGGCCGGGCGCGCCGGGCATGCCGTGCGACGCGAGACAAAGAAGGTGTGACTGACCACCATCACAACCTTCAAGGTCTAATCAGGGGTCCAGAACTAGGGACGCCGTCGAGGGACGTTGAGGGACAGCGAGGAAAGTGAGGGACGAGGGGAATCGCAAGGGACAGAAGGGGCAGCGAGGGACGCGAGCATATAGATAAAACAGCGATCTGTGCCGAGTTCTGAATCTGACCATCGAGTGAGTTACTACTTTTTCCGACGGGACCGGCACACACGAAACGCGCATATCGTATCGCTGACCTTCTGCTGTACCCCTACTGGCTGGGTGTCTAACTGGCTGGGTAGTCGCTAGCGCCGGCCGCCTGGCGCGCTGGCACGCCAATTCACGTTCAACACGCTTAATGAGCAACCTTATTTCTGGGGTGTGGACTTTGATATCGGATCAACCGAGGAAACGAGGCGGACTCGGGACAGATCGCTGGCACGTTGCGAGTTCCGCAAGCTCCGCTGCCACAACAAACACGAATGTTGACGTTCCCCGCTTGTCACGATCGTCACGATGGGTCGTCTGCCACGTCAGAGGTCGAGGCCGAGTGTATCCACGGGGTTGCGTGTCCTGAACGCATTTTGGCGACATCACGTTGAGTAACCGATATCAGTGTTCCTTGTGTGTCAGTGTACCAATGTGTCAGTGTGCGACGGTGAGTGGCCCCGGCGTCACTTGAGGCACGAGGTCGCATCAGAGTCGTTCTACAGTTACAGTGCACGACCACCCTCCCGCCACCGCTGACTGGTTCCTGCAATTCCCGTGATTCCTGCGAGAACCCCTGCGCCCAAGCCGCCCCAGCCCTTCAGCGAAGCCACGCCGTTCGATGTTGATCTTGGGCTCATTTCGAGGCGGTCAGGCTTCGAGAGTGCTTGGGCCGCTCGAGGCGCCCTGTTTCAGCCATTCGGCCTTCACAAGTCTCGCAGGCATCGCAGGACTCGCAGGATTCGCACCGCCACCAGTCCGGACTCCGAAGAAACAGCTCACACCTTGCCGTGCCCTGTCGCGTCTTGGACGGCAGGCTCGGTCCCGGCAAACGCTTCGGGGTGCTGGTGGCTACTTCTGGAACGCAGCGAGGTCATGCTGCTCCGCGGCATGCCCGAGCTCGGGAGCGTCTCCTCGATCATGAGCGTGCGCTCGGGGTGGAAGGGGTCGTCGGGGTTTGAGTGGTCGTGGTTCTTGAGCGCACTCCTCGAGGGCAGGATGCCGACCACATTCACAATCAGGATCGCCCAGGTGATCCCGACCGCGATGCCGAACATGTCGGTCGTCGAGAGATCGTGGTACGCCAATGGGACGAGGATGAGGGCCAGCGCACCAATGAAGTTGAAGACGAGGCGGATGGGCTGCGATAGCGTCAGTTTCAGAATGTATTGGGATGCCCGTGCACGATGCATCGGGTCAAGGGGTTTCAGAGCTGGGGCCTAAAGGTACACCTCGGTGACGGGTCGTGATCTGGACACGAGATGTAAATGACGGGTGGCACTTGCTGAGACTGGTTCAGAGCGCGCAGAACAGTCACAGAACACTACCCAGTCTAGTCATCGAACGAGTCACCAAGCGCCAGATGTCAGAGCTCGCGAATGCCCAAGCGTGAGATGATTCCCCCACTCGAGCATTCCTCGAGATGGCAAGAACAATATTGATCACCTCCCAAGGGCCATTGGCCGTTGGAGATGCCCGACATGTGGGGCAGGGGCGGCATGCGAGGCAGGAGGGGCATGCGCGACATGCTGAGATCATGCCGAGATCCATGCAGTTCCCAAGATGAGTTCATGAGCCGCTTCGATCGTAACCGAAGCCTATCCAGCTTTGGCACGCATTGGCTCGCACTCAGGAACATTGGGAGGCGTGGAGCGAATGTCTCCGCGAGTCACCACGGGTGATGCCGGTGACAGTTGCGACGCCCCGAAAGTCACCGACCTCAACAGATGGGAGCATGTGGGTCACCAGCGCCGTTCCAACCCCACCCCCACAGTGCCTCGCACCCAGCCACGAGCCGCGCCGAATACCGTCAAGTCACCGCAATCGCCAGAACGCTGTCACCATACGTCCGGTGTCCGGCACTGGTCCACAACTCTCATTTCCAATGCGCCGTGCACACAGCGAAGTACTCACTCTCGGTATCCTTTGGGAGTTCCAGCTGCCGAGGTTGCGGTGGAGAAGATCGATGCCCGACATGAACAAGATGGCGAAACCAAGTCCGCAGCCCCAGTACCAAGCCACGGGAGCCTCAGCCTCCTCGTTGTTCAAGAGCTCTTTGGCGGACGAAGACGCTAGGATAAGGGCGGCGACGAGGGGCCAGTGGAAGAACGAGAAGAGAACGCCAGTAAGCCATGAGCGGCGGAGAGGGTGCTCGTAGCTAACACGTCAGTGCCGGCACGAGGGCAGTACTCACTTATTGATCTCCTCCCCCGGGATCATGTAGAGGTAGTTCAAGGCCCAGGCGACCATGAGGCCCATGACGGCTTTGCCGTACGTGATGGACGCGCCGAAGCCCGCTCCATTACGTCCAGCGACGTACAAGAAGTTCATCACCATTTCGCCCAGTACGATGACCACGAAGGCGCCGGAACGGTCGAGACTGTGCTCAATGTTGACGGCTGATGTCAGCTTAGGACTGATGGTGCGACTTACCGGGAACGGCGAAACCCATGTTGCCCATCTTGGCGAGATTCCAGCTGAACGGCTTGACTTCGTCCTGGCTCATCTCACCCGCTGCGACACGGGCTCGGCTCGCACGCCACTCCTTCCAGGAGCGGAACTTGCTGACGAAGAGGAAGAAGACCATGTCGACGCGGATCAGGTCGAGGCAGATTCCGACTGTCGCCAACGCAATCTGGGCAGGGCGCGACTTCACCCAGATAAGGGGCTGCGGTTAGTCATGACCACCACGTACTGAACGCACCAGATACACAAACATCGGGACGAGGGTAGCGCATCCGGAAAGGAACTGAGGGATGCGGAACCTCGGGAGTCGAATCGCATAGTACCACAGAACGAGTACTGCCGTCAGCTCACGTACGACCCAGAATACGCACCTCTGGTGAGCTTGATAATTAGCCAGAACGCAGCCGCACAGTGCACAGGTCGAGAGTCGAAACCGTGCTCGCCCTCCGGGTGGAGCTCGATGGCGGACGCGCTAACACTGTATCCGAGCATACAGGCCATACCGCAGAGCACCCACAGCCTGTGCATCAGGTCGTCCAGTCCCGAGACGTTCGAGTATCGCCTCGCCTCCTCCCAAATGGACCACGAAGGGTAGAAAGTGAGGATGAATCGTCCGACGGCCAGTCCACCCGCCTCCTCGACGGCCGCCTCGGCGAGCTGGTGAATGATACCGACGTAGAGTAGGTCGAAGAAGAGCTCGACGCGCGGCACTTCACGTGGATTCGCCTCTCGGTAGAGCTTGCCTTCCTCCACCCACTGGAATTGTTAGTCTACTTTATCATTTCGGGTGGATGCCCGAGGTGACTAACCTGTCTGATGGTGGGACGCTTGAACAGATGCCGGAACTTTGTGACCTCTCCCTCTGGTCCCTCATTGTGATACACAAGGTGATCCGCACGTCCATATCGCTGAGCCAGTTCGGATGTGTGGTGGGTGAGGGGAGGGGGGACGGCAGCCCTAGAGCTTGAGGAAGTGGGCGGGGGTGCGGCCATCGATAGGCTGTTCTTGCTGATAACGGATCGAGAGTGTTATGGTCAGAATGATTATGGAAGGGGGAGAAGAGGTCACGATGAATCGTATCGTCTTTTTAAGGATGCATGGGGGGCGCGTCTCGATGCAGCACCACCTGACTGCCAGAAGGCCTGGGAAGATCCTGCCGAAGGTGGATTTACGGCAGAAAAGCATGCCAGCAAGCCGATCGCCGACCTCGACCCGCTCCGCCTCCACCCAAACCTCCACTCGAATCTATCGCGAGTGCGGGGCAACCTTCCCCTTGAGGCATGTCAGCCAAGCCCAATCCGCCGAAATTAGCCACTGAAAGCCTTAGCCTTTGCATTAGGAACGTGGTTACCCTGGTGTCTGACATTGTATATCCTTGACCCATGCCGACATTCAAATTGATGCCGCAGCTTTCCCAGTTCTTTGTCAGCCGGTCGGCGTCGTCCAAACATGGTTCTGACGTTCCAGATCGACCTCGCTTAAGAGGCTTGTGTCAATCATGTGAAGCTCTCGTCAGCAGTTCCACTGACGCAATTCCTGCGCACAACGTCGTTCCGCTTCGACCATGTGATCGAAAGTGAGCACAGTTCCTGTCGATTAGGTACCCAGGTGATATGCAAGATCAAGGACTCCGCGACCGTCGCGCAGGATGAGTTGACAGGCTGCTTGCTGAGTCAGAATCTGGTCGTCTAGAAAGGTAAAGGATCGAGTTCTGGCGACATCCCATCAGTACTCGCCGATTGGGAAGAAAGCCCAGTGTGACGGCGAACGATGGGCGTTGGCTGTCGCGAGCGATGCCAGTCAGCTTCAGTTGCTTCTGTAACAGTCGACCCCTTCACGCAACGAGAGACGTTGGCGCACGGCAAGTGAGTGGTGGCAAAGATATCGTGTGTAGTGCGGGTTCGGGAACAAGAATGGAGATCAACGCCTGCCTTATATCTGATTCACTTGATGAGAAATGCAGGCAGTGGAGCAGCCAAGGAGGAAGACACCGACGTAGACAGGGAAGACGCGGCGTCTTGAGCATTGCACCTTTACTGTGACTGCTGCAAGACCAGTCGAGGTGAGAGGTGGGGTGGAGGTAGTCTTGTGGGTGGAGGCAACGGAAGCAATTCGCTGACTGTGACGACGCGTTTCAGTGCCACGCGACGCGATCAGGACCAGGTCCTCGATCAATGTCATGCCACGATCATGACCGACTGTTATCTCGTCTTGCTACGAACACCTAACTTCACAAGATGAGTGGTGGGCGGGAGTCCTCTCCCCTCTCAGATCCCATCGCTCTCGCGCGACTCCAGATTCTCGTCGTCCCCGTCCACTCGTCTCGAGAGTCCCAGCCATCGAATCCAGTCGCCCTCTCGACACCAGTGTTCGACTACTGGTCCGCCTTATTCCGGAACCGACAATCACTTCGCGGAGATGAGGTCGTCCGGCAACGAGAATTTGGCCACAAGAAAGGAGCTTCAGATGCCCGCGAGCGTTTCTTCCCATCCGCCTCGGGGGCCAACATGTCCCGCGTTGCCGGCGCCAACCATGTCCACTTGTCGTTCCCGGCGCAGCCCCCACCGAAGCACCTTTACCCCCTCAGCTTGCTCAGGATGACGGCCTTCCCTCTCGTCATTATCGGAGTTGGCTTAGACGATGACGGAAATGACATGGACCAAAACGAGAAGGAGGCGGCTTGGGCGCAGGCGTTCAATCGCACTCTGGCGACGTTCATGCCCTCAACGTCCGCCTTTCCGTTAGTGAAGCGCCTGATGCTCGTTCCGCCGCAACTACCCATGCCTGGGTCTTCTCGAAACTCGCGAAAGCCGAAACAGAGCAACGATCCTCTCATCTCATATGCACCTCTTGACGGCGGTGACAACTTTGTGGCTGACGTGCTCGGGGAGGTTGTAGGAGAAGTCTTCGGAGAGCTCGGAGAACTGGTGAGTAACTTGGGAAGACTACGGCTAACGACAAGGCTGCCGCGCTGGAATCGCAATCAGGCATGAGCACTCTCTCGGGAACGTTACTTCCTTCGCTGTCATCGACGTTAGGTCCGGCCTCGGCGTCTGGGGCAAGCACCCCGGTGGTGTCCAGCAAGGCGGAGGCGCGAGGAAGTTTACCTGGCTCCAGCTCAATGCCTCTTATGCCGTCCGCGAACATGAGCCAGCCGGTTTCTCGAGCACTTACACCAGGAGGACGACCGGCGTCGGTCCAGCCACCGTCTGCCCCTCCGATCCAGACTAGTGCGATCTCTCCCGTCGCGGCTCCTCAACCACAGTCGGCGAACCCGTTCCGACGATCGACAGCTGGCCTGACATCGCCTTTCCATCGCTCGTCAGCGACGTCCTCTCCCTCTAACAAGGACTCCGGAAAGGATGCTGCTATGGCTAAATACACGTCGGCACCGCTAACTGGTATCGCTGGCGGTCGGCTCATCAAGCTGCTGGGAGACATGTACCTGGTCACCGGTATGTACGCCGACGCCCTGAAGTGCTACGAGGATGGAGCAGAGCGATGTCGCGCAGTGGGAGACGTACTTTGGGAAGCACTCGCACGTGAGGGTCGGGCAGTGGCAGGCATCATCGAAGCCTGGGAGGGCCGTGACGGCTCAACGCTCTCGACGCCGTTCCCCTCCTCACCGGTGCCTGTGGAGATCCTGTCTCACTACCTCTCGGCTCTTGCCTGCCTCAGCCGCGCGCCGCTTCCGTTCCCTGAAGCTACGCCCAACGGTCCAGCTGGTGCGCAGACGCCGCACCTCAACCTCTCAAACGTCGGGACAGGGGAAGGTCTCTTGGCATGGTTATACGCGTCGATGTGCCTGCGCATCAGTCGCTTTGTCCTCATGATTTTCGCAGCAGGAGGCTGGGGATCTATCGCGTCCTCCGCCTTGGTCTCGAATACCCTGCCAAGAACATTCCCCGCGCTTCTCAACAATCCCAACGACCCCGTCAAGTCTCGCAACCGTCGGTTGAACCTTGTCGACCTGGCATCGCGGTCTGAGATTTCGCGCCAGACGATCTTCGGTCACGCCCAGGTCGCTATCGGGCCCTTCCGAAGAGCAATGACGGCGGCTGATCAGCTCGCTGTGTTTGTCGAAGTTGTTTGGATTGCGCGATGGCTCGAGCTGGAGCGCAAGGAGGCATCGGCGACTCGCGAGATCGTCAAGCTTCTGGCCATGGCGGTGGTGGAAGGGCGAGAGGAGCACCGAGACCAGCAGACTGGTGCTGTCATGTCGCCGACTGAGATGCCGGGCTCCAGCGTGAACCAGGCCGTGACCATCAGGAGGAAGGAGTCGACCGATGGCAACGCGGGTGTCATGGCGCTCATTGAGCGAGTGTGCGCCGTTTTCGGTATCGACCTGCTCTCGTTCACCGACGAGCAAACGGAGCCTGTCCTTCAAGCCGCGAAGGAGCTGCGACCAACTCACTTTGGCTGGCCGGAGCTTCAGGTCGAGATCATGAAGGAGGCGATCGCCGTCTCTGAGGCTCTGCCCGATCATCCGGCCGCCGTACGCCTCTGCGTGTCGACGCTCCACTCCCTGTATGCCTATCTCTCGCCGGCGAGCCAGGGCCACTTGTCAAAGCTGTACCCGAAAGCCCTCTCAACGATGCGGAGACGAGCCATCGAGTTCGGTTCAGTGCCTTGGTGGCTTCCTGATCGCGTCGTGCTCAGCGTCGAGATCTCGTCTCTGGCTTCCAACCGGGTACCGCTGGAGCATACCCGTGCTGAGATTACGGCGCAGGGCAAGAAGGACCCTTTCCTTTACAACCCCCGTGTCAAGGCGCCAGAGCTCGGCAAGACGCTCCTCGTCGCGAACGAGCAGGTGGAGGTCTTCGTTACTCTCCAGAACGTTTTCGCGTTTGATCTCGAGGTGCAGAATCTGTCACTCCTGACCGCCGGCGCGCCCTTCATCACGAACCCGCTGCCGCTCATTCTGCCTGCGTCCTCCGTGCAAACGGTGCGGGTTACGGGCCTGGCACCGAACGCGGGATCCCTTGAGATCCGGGGAGTAAGCGTTCGACTGATGGACGGATCGTCAGCAGAGTTCCTGCTGCCGGTAGTGGATGGTGCAGGCGCTAGGCGCGATTCGAAGCACAGGAGCAGACTTCAGGCGGAGGCGGCCAAGACCAAGCAGAGCGGTCTCGATGTCCGCAAGTCGTTGATGTTCACGCAGTCTGATGGAGGATTACCGCCGTTACCTACCAAGGAGGATGAGCATCGCTGGCTCGAGTGCAACGTCGTTGAGGAACAGCCCTTGTTGTGGATCAAGAAGACGTCCCTGTCGCATGGTACCGTCATGCTCTTCGACGGAGAAACGTCCGTGATCCGCATCACGTTGGAGAACAGTTCGTCCGTCCCGGTCGACTTCATCAAGCTGTCGTTTGATGACTCGGTGTCGCGGGAAGCGCAGGCGATGATGTCCGAGGAGATCTCGCCACAGCAGGCCTTCGATCTCGACTATGACTGCACGCAACGCCCCGTCTTCACGTGGGACAAAAACTCGAACGTGCACATCCCTCCCGGTGGCCGCACGACGCTGCAGATCGAAGTGCTCGGCAAGGTGGGATGCACGGACGGGTCGATCCGCATCGACTATGGCTTCATCAACCGTGAGGCCGAGGACCCGGCCAACGTCTTCTACACACGCCGCATCACCTTCCCGGTCCTGTTCACAGTGTACCACACGCTAGAGCCGCATGCCCTGGACATTGCGTGTTTGCGCTCATCCTCCGAGTCGCAGGAGAAGCTGCGCAAGCGTCTCGCGAACGGCACGCCGCGTAGCAGCACGTTCGGAACGTCGGGCGACGAGGTTCTCCGCCGTGCACTGGCGCAGGACGATGACAACATGGTCCTGTTCTGCCTGAACGTGCGAAACGTGTACAGTGTCCCCTTCGAGGTGGCGCTGAGCAGCAAGCGGACCGCATCACCGTCAGCCCTGAACCCCGACTCGGAGTCCTCGTCCGACCTGGTTGTAACACGCCTCGTCCCGCCAGGCGCGACAGAGCGGCTCGTGCTCCCGATCCAGCGCCAAACACTCTCGGACGACGAGCGCCCCATCCCCACCCCAGAGGGACGGCAATACGTCGTGGAGAAGTCCAAGATGACGCCAGACCAGATGAAGCGCCAGCGCGAGCTCTTCTGGTATCGCGAGAAGCTCCTGGACCTGATCGACATTTCGTGGCGCGAGCCAAGCAGTCTGCGCCGCGGCCGGCTCTCGCTGCGCGACCAGCCCATCAACCCGGCCCACCTCGACGCGCTGCGCCGGGACCAGCTGAGTATCTCGCTCGACGTGCAGCCGCGCGACGGCAAGGCGTCCTTCACGGCTATGGACTTTGTCGACCTTCGCATCAACATTGTGAACCGCCTCGAACGCAAACTCCGCGCGTACGTGCGCCTCGAGGCGCTGCCGACCAGCAGCAACGATGCGAGCTGGAGCCAGCCCCCCGCACCCACGCCGAGAAGGATCAGCTCCTTACCCGCTGCGCCTATGCCTGCGCCCAAGAGCATTGCGTTTGACGGCGTCCTCGGCGCTGCCATGCCCGTGCTCGAGCCTGGGGAGAGTGCCACGCACACCGTGGGTGCGGTACTGCTCGCTTCGGGAAGCTTCACCTTCCGCGCTGCGGCCGAGGAGATCGCCGACCGCCCCGACCCGCCGCCAGTGTGCTTCTCGCCGAGCGTGTCGGTCGACGTGGCGTAGACGTAGCGTAGATTCACTGTAGTACATGTGGCCAGATACCCTGCATGAAACAACATCATTATTGTACAGATTGTGGTATTTTGAGAGAAATGAGAACTTAGACTTAGGCCGTGATGCCATGCGCGGCACGGTACTTTTCGAGGCACGCTTTGAGGCGTCCGAAGCGCTTTGACTTGTCTGCCGAGTCGGGGAGACGCACACCATTGTTGACCTGCAGGATGCGCATGCGAGGGTTGTAGTGCAGGCCCTCGAGGAGCTTGGGCGTGATGAGGAAGTACTGCCCAGCGTTTTCCGAGCACGTCACCTGCACCATCTGGTTGTGGACGCGGCGCTCGGCGCGCTTGTCCATGCCCTGGTTGATCTCGTCCACGAGCGAGAAGGGCGTGCGAGCCATCTCGGTCAGGGACATGAGGTACGTGACAGTGGCGAGAGAGCGCTCTCCTCCGGACTGGCGGTTCGCGGTCAGGACAGCGAGTGGTTCGTTGTCACGGTACGAGACAAGGATCTCGATACCCCACTCGTCGTACCTGCCCTCGACGCGGTTCACGCGCACTTCACCGCTGCAACCCATCTTTTCGAACGCCTCGGAGAACTTCTTGCTTGTTTCGGAGACAAGCGCGTCAAGCGCCGGGTTGAACTGATCGAGGATCGCTGTGACCTCGGCGTGCGCCCTGTCGCGCGCTCGCTGCTGCTTGTCGACAGCATGCTTGATGCGACCGAGCTGTTCAGACAGGCGTTCGTGGCGCTCAATGACGTCGCGAGTAACGTTTAGCGATACAGCAAGCTTGTCGTCGATCTCGTCGAGCTCGGCCTGCACCTGTTCCAAGGTCGTCTGATCCGTCAGCAAACCTGCGCAGAAAAGCGAATGCGAATACTCACAGAAGCTATGTCGTCCTTGAGAGCCTGCGAGTCCCGATCCTTCATCAAGTCGTGGATCGCCTCCGCCTTGGCCAACAACATCTCTTTGATGGTTTGCCACTCCTCTACCTTCTTGTTTACTGCCTCTTTGTGCTCCTTCATTCGGTCCTCAGCCACTTGCACTACCTCCTGCACAACGACAGCATTGGCCTCCGCCTGACGCACGCCGAAACCTTCGGTCTGCACGCTGTGGAAGCGTAAGATGGCTGGATCGCATGCTGCCTGTAGGGCTTTCAGAGTGTTGAAGCGGCGACGTGCAAGGGTCTTTAGCTTTTCCGATAACTCCATCTTCTTGGTTTCCGAGGACGGAGTATTTTCCAGCCGACTGATGTCGGTGTTCAGCTTGTCTGAAAACATCAGCCTGGTACCTGCAACGCGCACTCACTCAGCTCGTAATGCGCCTTTTCATACTTCTGAATCTCGTTCTGAAGTTCCTTCAGCTCCCGACCAGTGCGGTCCTGACAGTCAGCCGCGTCTGAACTCGCCCACTCACGAAGTCCGACTTCAGTTCCTCCTTTGTCGTTAGACACTCCTGCGTTTTCTCCTCCAGCTTCTGGATCTTGGGCTCCATGCTTTGGCGCTCTCGCTTCAGCTCCGCCATTTCCTGCACTATCGAGTTGATGGCCTCAGTATCCACTTCAAGTCAGCGAGGTGCGAAAGCAGTCACATACCAATGAGGCTGAAAGCCTTGGCTGAGACCGGAGCAGATGACGTGTACGTCCAATCTCGGCGTCCGTATGCGGAACGGCTGGCCTTAGTGAAGTCATTTTTGGTAGCCCAAGACGTGATGTTGGCAGCTGTGACTTGATCGGCAGAGAGGCCGGCACCGGAACGCAAAGTCAAAGCCTGTAACGTTAGTACTGCAACGGCAGCCAACGCACGGATTGGTGGAGCCTTGCCGATTGACAGAGGTAGGCAATCACTGCGGGCTCTGCCTCGACGAAGTCTACGGCGAAACCGTCGAAACCCAGTCTCGCAAGAACTTCAGGAGAGCATGGACGTGGGGGATTGACAGTCTCGTCCGTTACGTTCACGACAGCCAGATGCAGGGACACTTTCCTCTGCTGGCCGTTAACCGTCATGACCCGGTCGTTCAAGGCCAACAACATGCGGTAATCGTGATCGTTTTGGCAAATGAACGTCTGTGGTCAGCGACGCCAGTGCCCATGTGCGCACCTTCCTCTGTGCCATGCTAGTGCACATTTCGACTTGCCAAGCGTAATTGCGGTTGGGCACATAGACGGAAACCATCGGTGGCAGATGAACTTTCGCCTCAAACTCCATCTCGTGCGCCTTGATCCAGTTGCAGGCGAATTCAATGGATGGGTCTAACTGGAACGCCTTCTGCAACCGCACGTTCTGAACGTTGGACAGGTCCTTCTGCCTGGGACAGTCAGCATTGCAGACCATACATTAACGAACCTCTTCAGTCTAAAGTCAATCTCCCGATTAAGGGACGCGCCGCGGGCGTTCATCTCGTCCCGTTCCTTCCGCAGTTCCAGCAACTGATCTTCGGCTGGTCGAAGACGTTCACGGATAGCATCCTTGACGTCAGTGTTATTGCTAAGAGGAAACTCACCCTCTCTTGCTGTTTCTCTTTGACTTTATCTCTAACGTCCTCCTGTGGTTCCTGGAGCACACGCTCGTAGTGCTCCTTCCGGGCTTTCAGAGCTGCAATCTTCTCGAGTCGTCGCTTCTCCTCCCTCTTCAACCTCTGCATCTCATCCTTGATGCCTTTCGTCTCGGCTTCGACTTGATTAACCGCTTCGCGGCCGTCTCGGATGGCAGTTCGCCAATCTTTAACCTCGTCTTGCGCTTTTTTGTAGTTCTTCTCTCGTTTATTCCTGCGAGTGATCAACTCCTTTGACAGTTCCTGGAGAGGGGACACTCGCGATTCGACTGCACGCAGCTTCAGCTTCGCCTTTGCGACCTCCGATTTCTTCTGTGCCTTGATCTCCTTTGCCTGCTCAAACTCAAGGCCGAGTTTGACAATGTGTTTCCATTCTTGCTGAGCCGTCAGCCGGTGTCCTTCACCCAAAGGTCACTCACCTGCGCTTCCAGTTCCGCACGAGCTTCATAGTTCTCCACGTCAGGAGCAAGCTCGTCGACCTGTCGCTGAAGCTGATCCCGCGCAGCGATGTCCTTCGCAATATCATCGTCGTATGACTCGGTGACCTTGCCCTTCTCCACCAGGGCTTCGTGCCACTTGGTCAATCGCGAGTCGCCGGCAGCACGCATTGTCTCGTGCAGGACAGTGACAGGGTTCATCTTTGCGAAATCAGACACTTTGTCCTGCGGAAGGAAGGAACTGTTGTCAGCAATGAAGGCACGAATGCGAACCTACCAAAGATTGTTGGCCTGCACTCCGTATTCCATTACGAGCTTCTGAATGTCACGCCTCGCACAGGTGCGGCCATTCAAGCGGAAGGTCGACTTATCGTCGACTCGGCTGAACTCTCGATGAACGATCGAGTTCCGCTTCCCCCGCCTGCCTTTGAGCTCGATCTCGATCGCAGCCACCTCAGAACCCTGCTTGACGTAGGACTTGAGATCGTGCGCACGCCCCATGATCTTCGGAGGGAAGGCGAGACCAATGGCAATAGCGGCGGCAATAGACGACTTCCCCGTTCCGTTGGGGCCCAAGATCATGTTGAGGTGAGGTCCCGGATGGAACTCGACAAAGTCGTAGGTCATGAAGTTCTTGAGCTTGATACGAACGACTGACCCGGCAACGTAGCTGGTGTCAGCTGCCTGAGACAGAATCATCACTCACCCATCGTCTCCACGGTCCAACTCTGGGCGTCCGTACTCTGCGGATGGAATGACGTCCTCGTCTTCATCTTCGTCACTGTCGTGATCACCGTTCACTTGAGATCCGTTCACTCTGCTGAACTGTCTTCGGCTTGAGCGGCGCTGGGTGGCGGCGTCTTCCTCGTCCGTCTCCGAGTCACCGTGACGATCCCGAACGCGCGGGCGCTTGACGGGAGACTGCGACGCGCCTTGAGTTGATGGCTCAACCTCCTCCTCGCTATCGGAAACAACTACGGCTTTCCGCTTGCCGTTCACTGGAGGCATGACGTGCTGGTGACGCGGCCCGGGTCGAGTTTGTTGTCGAGGGCTTCGAGGTCAAGTATTGTAATGTCAGGAGACGACGCGACGCGGTTCACAACACGAAGTGACCGGACTCAGGGATCAGGCACGACTGTTTTCCAGATACCACGTGATTTACTGGCTCGCGTGGCAATTCTCGCGGAATCAAATGAGAGCGACGATCTCTCCTTTTTGATTCCGAAGTGTTGGACATTGTAAACGCCACACTGGAAAACTCCGGCTTCCCCGGACGAAATTGTGGTTACCTGCTTGACTTGAGCCCTGTGACCAAGTCCCATCCATCAACCAACAAAAATGGTGGGTACACGGCGTGGTAGTGAGGGGGAGCATGCTGACAGTGCAGGAGTCCGCCGCCTCGAAGCAGCCCGTTAAGCTCGCTCGTGTCCTCAAGGTGCGTTCACTCGAAATCGACCGGCTGGTGGACTCGGAATGGACAAAGGAAAGGGATCTTGGAGGTCGAAGGGTTGGAAGGCTGGATCGCGACACGACGGGTGGCAATGGCAGACAGCATGGTCGATGGAAAGGACGGCCCGGCGACGAAGACGACAGTGCGCGAAGTGGGAATGCGAAGGATACGGACGGCGTTGGAATCGAAAGACTGCGATCGAGCTCTGCGCGCGAGTTGGAGGAAGCCGTGACATGGGAGTGCGATCATGGGCGTGGAGATGGTCAACCTTTTGCTGCTCTTGCCCGACGTCGTGCGACGCGCTCCGCCGCGCGCTGCTGCGCATTCTTGCTTGCAGTCTCAGTCTCGCCGTCTACCGCTTGTTTCGTCAATGTCGAATCACCATCCAATTTACGAAATCTGCCATCAAAACTTGCCGTCCCTTGCGCCAGCCTCCCCATCTCCGACCACCGAATCCACGTCCGCCAGCCGTTGTCGACAGGAAGAATGCTCTCGAGGTCAATGCTAACCCACAGGTCCTCGGCCGCACCGGCTCCCGTGGTGGTGTCACCCAGGTCCGTGTCGAGTTCATGGACGACACCTCGCGTTCGATCATCCGTAACGTCAAGGGCCCCGTCCGTGTCAACGACATCCTCGCCCTCCTCGAGTCCGAGCGTGAGGCTCGGTGAGTACAACTGTCGTTTGCAGCGCTAACGTCTACAGTCGCCTCCGCTAAACACTTCTTTTCATATTTTGTTTAGAGTGTTTCCTTTCGAGTGTACCATGGCATGGTAGTTCTCTTGCCTTAGGGCGATGCGATCCGGCTTTAGCATACCATCGGTCGGCAGCAGCGCGCATCTCGCATACAAGCATTTTAGCGTTCGGGCGGAGTCAGTTCGCCTGCTATGGAAGAGTGTGTTGCGAGCCTTTCTGTTTCTGGGGTCAGTCGTGTGATCAGGGGTTGAGCTCTGTGGGTGTATCCGTCCGCCTCTCTTGTCACTACATCAGGGGAAGGCGGTTTTACGAGTCCGGCGCCGGGCGTAGCTGTGTGAGCGAGCGAGAGTCGAGGTTGCAGCACGGCGGCGGAGGGTTGTGGTGGCAAAGCTCACCAAAGCCACCGACGATCGATGAACGTCCCCCGGATCGCGCTATCCCTGCCTCTTTCGATAGCTGCTAACGGTGGCTCCCTGCATATAATGCAAACTCTACAATAAGATGGTTAAATCTATAAACGGATTGAGCATCCAATCCTTTTAAGCCTTGACGCCGAGGCGCTCGTCCTCCTGGCGAGCCTCCTCAAGCTTGGTCTTGAAGAGCTTCTCGGCGTTGGTCCAGACGGGCGCGGTGGCACGCTGGGGGAACTGGAGGAGCGAGGGGAGGAGGTCAGTAGAGAACTGCTCCGAGGACTCGCGGGGAAGGAGCGTCGGAAGGTGGTCGATCGAGATGACGGTGCAGCGCTTGCCAACACCCTTGGTGTCGACCTCGACCGTGGGCTCGGGGAAGGTGGTGTTAATCGAGTAGACGGGGATGGGGTTGTGGGGGTTGGTGGTGCTGTTCTGTCAGTTCCGTCCCATTGATTACGCTGGATAACTCACTCGCAAGAAACGTCAACAATGACAGAGAGGCGGCGGCCCTCACCGGCCTCAGCCATGAACTCGGAGGTGATGAACTTGGGGATGGGCTGCGAGAGGTAGATGCAGTTGACGAAGATGTCAACGTCGAGGATCTCCTGGAAAGGTCCGCCCTTCGCGGTCTCGGCCATGTCCCACTTGACAATGTTCTCCTCCTTGATTCCGACCTTGCGGAAGAGGTCAACGGCTCCCGAACCGCAACGGCCGAGAGCGCCGATCACGAGAACCTTGACGTTCTCGAGACCGCCCTTGGTGTTCTCAATTGCCTCACGGCACTGGTTGACCATGGCAGTCTCGTTGGGGTAGGGCTTGAGGCCCTTGAGGACACCCTTGCCTCCGTCCTCCTCCTGGGCGGCGTAGGCGAGGCATCCGGCGGCAGCACCAGCAAAGCCAGCGTGGAAACCGAAGGCAGCGACACGGCGCTTGGTCTCGGGGTCCTCGAGGAACTCGAGGTCGTAGAGAGTGCCCTTGCCCTGGGCGAAGCGACGGAGAACGTCGTTCCAGCCTCCCTGCTGCTTGTAGCAGTGGGCGAACTGGATGTGGGTGTGAGGAAGGGGTTCGCTAAATGTCAGCCGATTACTACTTTCGGAGAAAGCGATATCCGAAAGGATGCTCCGCAGCACTCACGTCGACTCGGGGAGCTCCTTCAGGCCGATGATGGGGATCTCAACCGGGGCCTGGGGCCACGAGTTGTGCTCAACGATCTTGCAGCCAACCCTGTTTGTTAGTGAAGGCCTTAAAGGCAAAGTGACTCACTTCTCGAACTCCTCGTCGTCGAAGATACGCTGGGGGTCGCGCTCAACGTAGACGTCGAAGCCGTTGTCGAGAAGGGTCTTGGCGGTGGTGGGGGTGAGGGCGGAGCGGTGCTCGAAGGGCTTCTTCTCGCAACGGAGCCAGATGGGTTGCTTAGCGTCAGACATTTTAGTTGTTTTGTGTATGTGATGAGATGTAGAGAAAGTCGTGGTCGCCAGCAAAAGTGGCTTGTATTGAGCCCGACTCAATCGGAGATCAGCGGACGCAAAGTCAGCCCGCGCCTCTTGACTCGAATACTTGGACCAGGGTAAATACATCCAGGAAGCCGAGCGCGGGCGAGATACGTGCCACGTGTGGCCCTCCTGATAGTGGCACGTGACTAATGAGTCACGAAATCCCGATACCCCAGCTTTCGCCTTGACTCGGACATCACCAGTTCGAGGTTTCCAAAGCCCACTGCAATAACATCACTTAATCGCTAGATCAAAATGTCCGAGCCCACCAAGGACGCCCCCGCTGCCGCCGCTCCCCCCGCCGCTGAGGGAGCCGCCCCCGCCGACGGTGCTAAGGCCGGTCCTAGCAAGAGCGAGCTCAAGAAGCAGGCCAAGGCCGCCGAGAAGGCTAAGAAGGCCGCTGAGCGTGCCGCCCGTGAAGAGGAGGAGCGCAAGAAGCGCGAGGCCGCTGCCGCGCAGGACAACGCCTCGCAGAACTACGGCAAGCTTCCCCTTCACCAGTCTTCTGAGCGTCTTGGTGCGTATGAATACACTGACAACCGCTAACCCTGCAGGCCGCGAGTGGCTCAAGTTCGACAACCTCACCGAGGCTGACGTTGGCAAGGAGGTCGTCTTCCGTGCTCGTCTGCACAACATGCGCCCCCAGGGTGCCAAGATTGTCTTCCTTCAGTTCCGCCAGCAGGTCGAGACCCTCCAGGGTGTCCTGGTTATGACCAACAAGGAGGACGACCCGCACCAGGTGTCCAAGCAGATGCTGAAGTACGCTCAGACTATCCCCGTGAGTCCGCTCGGGCGACTGAAGCTGACGTTCAGGCTGAGTCTATCGTTGTTGTTGAGGGTGTCATCAAGTCGGCTGAGGTCAAGTCTTGCACCATCCAGAAGTTCGAGGTCGGCGTTCACAAGCTCTACACCCTTGTCGAGGCTCAGGCCCTCCCCTTCTCCATCGAGGATGCGTCGCGTTCGGAGGCCGAGATCGAGAAGGGAGAGGCTGAGGGTCTCCAGTACTCGCGTGTCTCGCTCCCCACTCGTCTCGACAACCGTGTCATGGACCTGCGTACCCCCACCAACCAGGCCATCTTCCGCATGCAGTCGGGCGTTTGCCAGCTCTTCCGTGACCACCTCAACGGCCTCGGATTCACCGAGATCCACTCGCCCAAGCTCCAGGGTGCTGCCACCGAGTCTGGTGCCTCCGTCTTCAAGGTCGCCTACTTCGACCGCCAGGCGTTCCTCGCCCAGTCTCCCCAGCTCGCCAAGCAGATGTGCATTGCCGCCGACATGGACCGCGTTTACGAGATTGGACCCGTTTTCCGTGCCGAGGACTCCAACACGCACCGTCACATGACCGAGTTCATGGGTCTTGATCTCGAGATGGCCATCACCGAGCACTACCACGAGTGTCTCGAGGTCCTCGACTCGACCTTCAAGGCCATCTTCAAGGGCATTGAGACCAAGTACGCCAAGGAGCTCGAGGTCATCCGCAAGCAGTTCCCCTCCGAGTTCAAGTACCTCGAGAAGACCCCCATCTTCACGTTCAAGGAGGCCGCCAAGATGCTCAAGGAGGGCGGCGCCACCGACGCCGAGGGCAACCCCATCGGCGAGATCGACGACATGAGCACCGAGCAGGAGAAGCTCCTCGGCAAGATCGTCAAGGAGAAGTACGGCACCGACTACTACATTGTCGACAAGTTCTACGCCACTGCCCGTCCCTTCTACACGATGCCCGACCCCGCCGACCCCGAGGTTACCAACTCGTACGACTTCTTCATCCGCGGCGAGGAGGTCCTCTCGGGTGCCCAGCGTATCCACGACCCTGCCTTCCTCACGGAGAAGATCAAGGCGACCGGCGCCGACCCGGCCTCGATGCAGAACTACATCGACGCCTTCAAGCTCGCCGCTCCCCCTCACGCCGGTGGCGGTATCGGTCTCGAGCGTATCCTGCTCTTCTACCTCGGCCTCGGAAACATCCGTCGCGCCTCCCTGTTCCCCCGTGACCCCAAGCGTCTCCTTCCTTAAGCGTGACGTTTGGTCCAGGCGAGCAGTTGTCGATCTAGTTAAGTTAGAAGCTCATAGGTCATGTCATGGTCCAACATGCAGCAACCACAACCCGACGCAGTTGCCATACGTCAGCCAACGCTTACCTATGCTGACGCAGCAAAGACACTGACCCTGAGTGGCAGCTTGTGCAGCGGATACAAGACTTGAAAGACTTTACGTCGAGGGCTTTGTCTAGTGATGCAAAGTGATACGAGGTGGCCATTGTAAGGGTTCAAACCAGGGCACAAGTTCGGAGCAGAAGGTGAAGGAACTTAGGTCGAGGATGAAGAACCTAGCGGAAGGTTGAGTGAGGAAGCAGAAGAGCGCGGAGTGCACAAGAGGATGTTCTCGGTCTATAATTGCATGCATGGGAGGAAATATTCGGTGCAAAAGGAAAGACTATGAAGACTTATGGACAACGACCAACTCTAAAGTAACTCTAAAAGAATGCAAAGAACGTGATGCGAGTTGGTGTGGTGGGTTCTGTTTCGATGCTGGTGCGGTGGGTTGGATGCGTGATGCTATGAAGTGATATAAGTGATGGTGATTGATGATCGGAAGCTTGATGCGAAGGATGGATGATGCGATGCCGGGCGTGCCGATGGAAACGGACGGGCGGGCTGATAAGGTTACGTCGGTGGCGTCTCTGGCGTCCTCGTGGGTTGAGAAACTAGACGATGCCGAAGCTGCGGCCAGCGCAGGGCACAGCGGGGACCTTAGTTGGCGTTCATGGCGGCAGCGATGGCGGTGGAGCGGCGCGAGCGGCCCTGGGGCGGGACGTAGTCGCGCTTGTTCTTGGGGACGACGGCGTCGTTCTGGGCGCCGTCGTGCCAGCCGTAGCGCATGTTGTACGAGGGGTTCTCCTCTCCGGGTCCGGGGTCGGGCATGTTGGTGCCGCTGGGATGGTGTCAGCGTCACATGTCTAGCGGATGGTTGTTGCGCCGATCCTGAGCCGGGCAGGTGGGTGCGGAAGCATCGCCGATCATTTCGATCGCTGCTCTAGGATCGCCGCGTGTAGATACTCACTCCTTCATCCAGACGTACATGGGCTGCTTGGGGCCCTTGACGCACTTGCTCTGGTCGTTCTCGCACTTGACGGGGACCTGGCCCTTGGGCACCTGGTTGTTGTCGTTGGTCTGGCCCTCGACCTTGCAGCGGTAGGCGATGTTGTACTGCATCGTCAGCATGAATCACTAGTGGCAGAATAGCTCCGGTGTCCGGTCGCGAGCTCGAATACTTACGATTTCACTGCCGTAGCCCTCGCCGTTGTTGCGGAGGTGGTTCCAGCCCCAGGTGCAGAGGCATCCCTCAGGCGGGCACTTGGGGAGACCGGCCGGGAACTTGTAAACGGTCTCACGCTGCCAGGGCGAAGTCGAGTTGATGGAGATAACAGTCATGTCGCCGGGCTGGAGCGCGTGGATGTCGGAAGTGTACGAGATGGCAATGTACGTGCCGCCGAACTTGGAGTTGTCGATCGGCTTGCCGTTGCGGTTCGCAGTGTGCATGGGACCCTCGGCGGGGCCCTCGGAGGCCACCAGTTCGCGGGACTGTTGTACTGCTCGGCGTGCTTGCCGAACGCCTTGGTGAAGGCGGGGTGCGTCGAGATCTCGAACGTCTGCTGGCCACCGGAGGTGATGGGCATGAAGGCGCCGTTGTCGGGAGGCAGGTTCTTGTAGCCGTGTGCGAACCAGGAAGTACCCGACATCTCGCAGAAGGAGTCGCCGTCGAAGAGACACTTCTGCTTCAGGGGGTTGTGCGGCTCAGCATCGCCGGCGTGACCCTTCTGGGCACCGAACATGGACGGGTGCCACAGAGCAAGGTGGGCCGAAGCCATGGGGAGGACTGCGAGGAGAGCGGCGAGCATGTTGTGGAGTGTGGCTGTGTGGCTATGGAGAAGTGATGTGGAGATGGGTGGGAGCGTTCACTGGAGTTCTGTAGTGAAGAGGAGAGAAGCTGTGAAGAGCTGTCGAACTTGTTGAGCTGATGGAGTCTCTTTCCACTCGAGATGCCCAGTTTATATATCTTTGCGATGGACAAAGTCTCGCAGCAACATGCAAAACTGGCCTTGCCGACCATTGTTGAAAGAGACCCTCCGATGACGACCGGCCTCGGGTGTCACGCGCGGAAATGGTCTCCTTAGGCCTCGTTTTCGCGGCCTACAATAGACGCCGGCGGACACTCTGATAACTGGACTTCCCGACCGTGATACAACCCCCGACCTGGTGCTAAAGCCACAGCAGCTGATAGCGGTCAAGGCTGTTCGCGCCGCTCTGAAGCCCCACATTGAAGGCGCCGTCATAATTCATTACTCAGTTGTAGGGCCCTCACGGTGCGGTCACGTTGGACATGAGCAACTCAGGATCTGAGAGCGTGTGGGTACGCTGTGCACGGCCGTGAGGCGCCGCCCGGTTCCCGGGCCGCTGGGCCGCTGCCCGCCCCTTGTGCTAGGAGACCAGTTGGTACTCTTGACTAGAGGCCTCGCGCAGGCCTGCCCCTTCAGCTCCAAATTTGCCCGACCTTTGTAAGAAGCTTTCGCCTGTCGTAAGCCAGAGTTTAGAGTTAGAATGTCTAATGCCGTAAGCGATGAAATGAGGTCGATATCTAGATTATACTATTTCTCCGTCCCTCCAACCCAAGGCCCGAAATGAATGCAGGCTTGGGCGTTACAGCACTAACGCCAACAAAATGCGTCCCTCAATCTGCGCGAGACCGGTGCGGAATACCTCGATCCTACAACGACGCGCGTGCGTACTCTCTTAAAGTTTACAGGGAAAGCATCACGATTTGGTGCGGCCAACGCGGAAGGCCCAGGAGAGCGGGCACCTCGTGCTTGCCCCGACAAGTCATGGCAATTGGAGTTGAAGGAGTCGTATCAATGGCAGCGTGCTAACGCCTCGGATTGTAGGGCGAAGGGCTGCGTTTTGTCCGCGGCCCCAGCCCCACCTGGCTGAAATGTATTACGTTATGGAAACGACCCAGGCATCTTTGGCCATTGGCTATGTGCACGTCCGCTACGCCATGCATTCACTTGGGCCCGACGCTAAGTGACTAGTGTGGACCCATGACGGTGGTTCCGCAACGCGTGGGATTCGGATGTGCCGGATATCACGGACGATACGGGCCCGATGTGGCCACGATAGGAACGACACCGGAGGAGGGTGGCTTGTGGGTTTGCCAGGACGGCCCGAGACGCAGACAGCAGATGACACTCCGTTGTAGCCTGGTGCTCTCGGCAACTGGTCCGCTAGTAGGGAGATGGGTCGACGGTCGGGCTCGATGTGGTCACCAGCCCGGCGCTAAGGGCCGCTGGACCGTTATCTGGGTCAACGTCGGATGAAGGCCGACCTTGGCCGCGAAATAAGATTAACACGTGGTGGGGCAGCAATGACCTCATGGCTTCGCTCTAGTGCCTTCATTCACTCTTGGGTCAGTCCTCCTGCCGGCGGTTGTTTCCGCATGCTCAAAGCCGAACGCGGTGCTGAAAAATTGCGGCCCTGTTGATGGACCTTGGGTCAGCATTCACGTCACGCTGGGCACGGACAGACGTGCGTCAGTCCGACTCCAACGAACCTATCGAGGGCTGATGCCCCGCTGCCAGCCCTTCTGCAGTCACTGGAATCAACAGTGCCGGCATCCAGAATGACATTTCGTAACTCGCACACGTTTACGTACATCTGTACAGCCAAACCCTCTTAGGCATGATTCGCTTACTCCATCACTGGCCATGCTCTGGTTGGACAAATGCAGCTGGAATCCCTGCCCCTCTCGAAATCACGTAACTGTTGCGAGCTCGGTGGAGATGTCCTCATTGTCACGAAGCTGCCAAGCGCTCACGTAAATCGCTGGCGCAACCATTAGCAGAGCCGAATGCTCATCGTCTCGGACAAAAGATCCGGGCCTGACTTGCCCGATTAGCGGCCTCGTGGAGCGCGCTGTTTTTAGACAAACTTTTCGCGTATGTACCTCGCCAGAAGGAGAGAAGCGACCAAAATTTCGAATTCGCTTCGACGCTCTGCCTCCAAGGTTGCTGGTGGGCGAAATGGTGCACGGCCATCGACTTGCGGCCGTAACTTTGATCAGTCAGCTGTTCCGCTGCGCAACCTTGCTCAATCTTCAAAGCCCCACTTCTTGCAGTGTGACTTCCGATCAGTGGCAATGGCGTAACCTGAGCAGGGCACACAAGACACCGTCGGAATGACTACAGTGGGCTCGCCTCATTTTGAGGTGCAATAGCGGGGTGGGTCGGCCGGGGAGTACGCACCTGCTGCTTATGCCACTTTGTCTCGGAAATCTTCCTAAACCTTGAACGTTGTCTGACCCGCACAGCCGACCACCGCCTGCGCGAAGTCGTAATTGTCTGTTCACGCCTTTGCATAAGCTTTTCACTCCTGCGAAGCAAAGATATGGAGTAACTCTGGGTGAGGGCAGCCGAAACTGTACCTTCAGCGTTCCTCCGGACTTCCGATCCTCTAGACGTGAATGAAGTGCATACGACATGCGTCACTGAGTGCTCAACGGCTTTTCCACATAGGTGCGGTTGCCATTACTCGCGCGAACAAGGCGTGAGATTCTACTCCACTAGTGGATGTCAGAGTTTGCCTCGCTCACCGCCTTCTGATGGCCCGGTCCAGAGTCTATGTGCCTTGGAGCAGCAAAGTTGACCCCATTCCACCAGTGTTACTAACACTGCCTTGCACTTAGCGATGAGCTTGCCCACCTGTCAGTCGAGCGCCTCCTTGCTGTTGTGGTCCAGACTGTACGAGCGGTGGGGCAGTCCTCAGCCTCGCCGCCGCTGGCAGGCAAGCCGAAAATAGCCAAGACGCCGACCCTTCAACCCCTTTCCCCGCCACACTTGTGCTCAGATCGGGGTGCTGGCGAGCTCATCAACTTCCTCAAACCGCCGGTACTACGCCGGCTGCCCGTGGGCACCCGCAAGGTGCTCTACTCTCACCTTTACTGTAAGCGATGCGAATTTGTGCCCCACAAACACCGCTGAAGATGTGGTTACGCCCCCAAACTCCACCATGAGGCATGTCTTGTAGCCGGTGACAGGGAAGACGGGAAGTCCACAAGCCCGGTTATCCGCACATGATGGGATCCGCACGATCTCGATGTCCGCATGCCTCCACGGAGGCACAACAAGATTCGAAAACCACGCTAGCGCCGTTGTGTAACTTGATTTCAGGACGTTGATGAACTTGGATTCGCAAAATAGCCAGTAGGTGAAGACCTCAAGGGTGGTTCCGAGAAGTGGTGACCTCAGTGCAACTTGCGCTGATAGGCTGATGTGATGCCTGTGAACAAGGGCATGCCGCTTCTTGCGCTCTCGGCTCGTCTCAGCGTGCAGTAAGCGACGCCTTCGGCGCCATGCCGCACGCGCCGCACGCCATGTCCTCTCGCGGACCCTCGTTATTCATAATGGTCGCCGCAAGCCGCGGACGTTTGATGCAATTGCTGCAGTGAAGGTGGAGCTCAATGCAATAGGGTAGTGGTTGGTATTATCTCACTGGCTAACACGTCAGGCAACATGATGTCCCGCAGGTGACTTTCAGGGCGGGCAAGACACCTTAAATGGACGACGCTTCATACCACACAATTGATCAATCAGGTCAATGTCTTACTTGCCCGCCGCGCTGTCCCATCATTTCCTCTTATCAGCGCCATCGGCCAATTACATCAGCTTCCCAGGATAGCAGGAATCTCGTTTCTCCGGTCTGCACCATTCGAGAGACCCATCTTGCGAGTACGACTCCAGCAGAGTTCACCCGATGCGCCTAAGTGGCAGTAAATGCGAAATATTGGAGTGGCTGCATTTGCTGGATCCTGCAGTCCCTCGGAGCGAGGTAACAGCTCAATGCCTGGCCGTGAACTTTGTAATTCATGCAGCAACTATGTTAACTCCTAATTGGTCATCTTCAACCGAGATGAGCTGGATACCCTGTGCCTCCAAGAGCGCCCAGCTCTGTGACAGCCAAAAGATGACAAGCCAAAAACTCTATCTCCGGGTCCTCGTCGTTCTCCCTGAGAGACCAGACGTTCGGCCCTTCTTGAGCGGCGATGTTTTGTTGACGCGATTTCGATTTGATAAGCGACCCACTGGACCCAGAGTGAAACAGAGTTCGAGAGAGGGCCAACGCAAGCCACTCTATTCTCGGTTGGATCTCGTTCCTCCGCCAGCTCCGTCGGGTTCTAGGTACGGACGACTAGGCTGATATGCAGAGGAAGTTCTGAGCTCCATCAGCTGTCAGACCCACTGCTTCGGTTCGGGTGGCACTTCCGACTGTAACTGTAACAGTCGATGGACCGAAGGGCTTATCGCCGCGGCCTTTGAGAGAGAGAGAGAGCGTACGAGGCAGTTTCGGAAAGAACTTATCGGTTTGTTGAGACGTTGAGATTTTTGAACGACAAGACGTTCGAGCAGATATATAAACAGACGAGTTCTCGACGATTGAACTCCATCAACAACAGACACACCTCACCTCCTTCCTCTCCTTCCTCTCCTTCCTCTCCCTCTACTCTCCGAGCTCCTCAACTTCTCTCCCTCCGCCGTACTCTCGCTCTCAGTAGCTGTCACTCCAACTCCAATCAAAATGTTCAGCCTTCAGCTCCTCCTTCTTCTTGCTCCCCTCGTCACTGCCCACGTCGGCATGTGGCACCCCTCCATGTTCGGTTACGACCGCGAGGACGGCACCCCTAAGCACGCCGTTCCCATTCGTGAGATGGACAACTGGGGCGTCGAGCAGTGGTTCAAGAAGGGCTTCGAGAACGACGAGCCTGCCCCTGGCCAGTTCCTCCCCATCGTTTCCGGTGGTAACTCGGTCTTCGAGCTCTCGTGCCAGCGCGGTTTCACCACCCAGCGCAAGAACCACTTCAACCCCAACCCGGAGCTGTACGCCTGCAACAACGCCGGCGCCCTCCACACCGCCAACCAGTACGGCAAGCCCACGAACCGCGACCTCTTTGGTGGCACCTACATTGCCATCTCGTACACCAACGATATCCACGCCCTCAAGCCTGAGGACATGACCATCATCTCGGTCAACTGGAACTCTCCCTGGAAGCGCCTCACTCGCTACTACTTCCCCAAGGGTATGCCCAAGTGCCCTCCCGGAGGCTGCCTCTGCTCCTGGGGCTGGATTCACACCAAGAACCACGGCGAGGGCTACGGAGACGAGATGTACAACGAGCTCTACCGCTGCGACGTTACTGGCCAGACGGACGACAACAACATGGTTCCCAAGGGCCGCGTTCCCGCCTACTGCTACGGCGACGACCGCAAGTGCGTCACTGGCCCTAAGCAGCCCATGTACCTCTTCGTCAAGTCTGGCGGCAACACTGCCAAGCCCTCCCGCAGTGAGGAGAACCCCACCTACAACTATCGCTGGGGCTTTAAGGTCGACGGCGCCCAGCAGGACGCCGTCGTTCGCAAGCCTGGACGCCGCCGTGCCTTCCCTCCCCAGGGCCGCCGCGACTTCGAGGAGGACATCGATGCCACCGAGTTCTTCCTCGCCACCAACGTTACCGAGGCTGCCGAGTAAACATTCAATTCGAAAAGCCCGACCCCACGGCCGCTAGCCCGCATCAAAAAGCTCCGGTTTACGGAACACTCAACCATCTCTCAGGGTTCTCGGCGACTTAAGCATTCACATCACCAACAGCATAGCACAAGCATCGCATCTCAAAGCATACACAGAAGCCGGAGCCCGGCTTCGCTCTCAGATAGAATCGTTCATACATCACAACATGCATCACTTCATACGCATTCTTAAATGACCTGCCTAATTGACTATCACTGATGTCGCACAAGTCCACTCACTGTCACTGAGTTGCCCGCACAGATAGGATATAGCGGAGTTCCGAGACTGAATGAAACTAGTGATTAAGTGAATTTTCCACTAAAAATTGTTCAGACTTCTGGCATACACAACCGCAGGTGACGTCATTAGATCACTCCTTCAGTACACTGTAGCTCTGAAAACGGGCATAACGTACTTTGACCTGAGCAAGGGCTGTCCTTCTGGTGTCGAGGAAGGTCTGGAGGTTCATCAAGAAATTCTGCACTGCTGCACCGAGCATGTGCCTTCAGCAGCCTTGGCAGACACCCATACCTACCGCACTTCTTCAGAGAATGGCTTCGGGCGCCTGATGTTCAGCAGCAGGAACTCAGATCTACGTGATCTCCAACCTGGCCGACTTGGCACCCGGTAAGTTTGTTAATCGGCGTACGACGACCCTCGCCCCCGAAATGCTCTCGTAGCTCGTAGCTTACGCAAAGCTTATCGCGCTTGCCTCGAAGCCTAATGGCGACCCACAAAGTATATCTGCCCGGATTCCATCCTCATCGGATACTTATCGGGCCGTCCGGAATCATGACCATCCGGACTGCATACTCCTCTTCGTCAAAGTCGCCCCGGCCGTCTAGCGGATGGTCACCTCCGAACTCTCTCGTAAGCTCATATCGCGTCAGCAACTCGCCGACAAGCTTGTGCCTAGGCCTTGTTCTAGCTGACATGCTTACTGCATGTAAACTTTTCACGAGAGGTGGTCGTACTCCTCTACTAACGTAACGTGGGTGCCTAGGTGATCTGCAAGCAATGTACTCTACGAAGATGTGCCGAGGACACACAACAGACTGCACCAATCCATCGTCTCCAGTCCCGCAACACAAGCGAACGCTCTCCGCACTATGGACCTCGTCCACCGGCGATCGGTGTGATCGACAGCGGTTCCACATGCTCGCTACTCGTTTCAAAAGCAGGCGTCACCCTATGCATGGTGTCCCCCCGAAGCTTGGATGCCCTGGGCAGCCATTTCTGTGATCCAGTCGTAGAGACGACCTGAAGGGCGATCGAGGCTGATACTCCGATGTTTACGCGGCGAGATCTCAAATCCGCACGAACAATCGCGTTTCAAAGCGCGGCGCCAAGACGCGGCGGCCTGGCGGGCAACGGCCGCATCTGACATGCATGGCAGGCATAGCGGAAGTCAACTCCGCGCCCAGTCGGAGATCTGCTGAGTGCCGCCGAACATTCAATCCGTCTGAGCTTGTTTCGAGTTTCTCAATTGATGCCACGAGCGTCTTTCGAAATAACTGGCCGAGCAGCTAGTGGTATTTGAGAAACTCTTTATATTCGGACTTAGGAGCACTGGGAACTTCGGATATGTGGATTTAAGATCTGCTTGCGGCCAAGTCAGGCCGTCGGCGGCGACGCAGCCGATGCCGCCGTGATCTGCGATCGACCCAGAGCACGAAACAGACTTCAAACTCTCAGGTGGCTGCCGCAAGCTGGCGAGTGGCGCGTGCAGAGTTTAGAGCAGGGCGGATTCCAGGATGCACAGGGCTGAGCAGGGTTGATAGGGCAGCAAGGAGAATTTCCGAACCGAACACCTCACTGCCTGAACTCTACATCTCTCCTCGTTACGTCTCAGTCACCGTGGCGCTGCGGACGTCTTGGTTCCTACAATTGTTGCTACTGGAACCACCAAGGCCCCAATCGACACCTCTAGGAGCTTGCGGCAACGGTTCCGGAGATGCTGGGAGCGATCGTCTCAAGTTGCCGCTCACTGGCCGGAGGTAGAGAGGTGCTGAGATCTCGGTCTTGACTGTCACGCCGCTGTCCCTGCGTACCTGCGGAGACTTTCACCCCTGTAGATCGGTCGCCGACTCTATGCATCCAATTCCAGCAAAGTGCGGAGATGTCAGCTGGCGGCGGCAGGTGCCGTATGTATGACAATCCGAAAGCGGGCAGCGATAGTTAGGTCCACCAAGCCCCGGAGTAGTGCCCAGGTACTGACAGCGGGCTCTGGAATCCTCCGCGCAGCTTCAGTACGCCGCAGGTACGATCCGCTGCTTCCGATCGCTTCCCCCTTGAACTCCCACCCAGAGCAGCTACGTCTTGGTAACACCCCAAAAGTCTGCGGTCGCTCCTCAATACCACCACAATTCTTGCTGGCTACATGTGATCCAAAAGATTTTGCGATGCAGAATAGACGACAGCTGCTATTCTGAGCTTCCAGGCAGACGGCCGGCTCGGCCGACAGGTTTGGCTCAGCGCCTCTTCGCTACAGAAGCCAAAGCAAGCGACGTCTACCTTCGATTCTGGTTTCGATCGCGATCGCCAGCAAGCGACGATCACCCATGGCTGAACCTTCACTGAATGCGGACTTCGTCGACAGACCTCGTCGGCGATCAACACGTGACTCTCAGGGTTGCTCGCGCGAGAAGGGCATGGCACACGTGGACTTGACCTCCACCATCTCACGGCCGTTAACCTTCGCGCTTCGCGCCGCTGCTCGTCACCGGTGACATCAAGTAAAAGTGACTTATCCTCCGCCAACCCGATCGCCTCGATAAGCGCAGCAGCCATGGAGCTCCCGATCACAGACGCCCTCGCGAACCACCCGTACTTCCGGCAGTGCCTTGCTCTGACCGAGTCGCGCGAGAACAAGAGCGTCGCCGGCCCCGATGTCCTCGTCGAGGCGGGCGAGCTCATGGAGGCCGTCGACAAGGACAGCAACGCGACCGCGCAGCAGAAGAGGGACGCGAAGGCGCTCCTCAACTTTGTCGCTCCCAACAAGAGTGAGTGAACTGGGGCTGTCATGCGTGACTGTGGTCTCGTTTTCCCACCTTCCCTTTAGCTTCGGAGAGGTCTTCCCTCAATGTGATGGGATGACTGCTAGTGAAGAGCACCCAGAGTGCCTAGAGCGAATGGGAAGACCGCCTGCACTGATGGTCATCGATTATGACCTCGTTTGCAGTTGGATTCACGACGGCACGTTCCTCACGCAAGCTCAATTGCGATCGAGACGTGATCAGCGTTGGTGTAACACAGTTCATGGCGTGACCGTGACGGTGCCATTGCTACGAAACTGGGGTGCGACTACTTCGTCGCTATTCTCGTCTCGCATGGGCCCGGACATGATGCGATTGCGATTGCGACGACTGGCCAATGCGTGCAGTCTCGCAGTTACACCGCCGACACTCGCTTCACTCCGTCCTGACGGCCCCGCACACGCGCCTCACTCTCAGCTTCGATCCACCCTCGTACGCAGGACCAAGCTAACGCCCAGACTGGGACGAGGACACTGTGTCCAAGTACTTCCAAACGGCGATTCTGCGGTACTACGACCGACGCACGAGCGACCAAAAGTCGTTCGAGGAGGCCATCATCCGGTTCACGGAGATGGTGGGGCGGCAGCACCCCTCGACGTCGGCGGTGGCGGGCGCGATGGGCGCGGGCGCGCGCGCAGCCGCCGCAACAGTGAAGAACGAGACGCCCGAGGAGGCCGAGAAGCGCAAGGCGAAGAACAAGAAGAAGGCGCTGCAGAAGAAGAACAAGGCGAAGGAGCGCAAGGAGCTCGGATTGCCGCCCAAGGTCAAGGAGCCGAGGGAGGACCCGAAGCTTTATGATGATATTGACTAGGTGTTGGGAAGGAGGGCAGGGGGAGTTGAGGGCAGACAGGAGACAGGAGCACAGCTGACAGCAACATCGCACAGACATAATAGCATGTATCCTTTGCACCGTACGACCTGGAACCGCAGGAGGACGAGACATCGGGCCGGCCGGTACACTCTTCTAACTTGTGCGCTGACACTGTCTCTTCCGGACGCTGACCTGAGAGACATCGGACGACACTGACTCACGCTGACTCACGGCCGAGGGGAGAAACACAAGCTCTCACGCTGACTGTAGGCTATGCATGGGATAGCGGGGTAACTGGGGCTGTACAAGCTTCTGGCTTCTGGGCTAGGCGGACTTGCGGATGGGGTTGCTAGGTCGGCATGGTTGCTAGGCTCTGGGGGTGGCAGGATGGTTGGAAGAGTATGTCACAGTTGCAAGGTTGGTCGTCGCGGTAGTCGCAGTGGTACGAAATTGCTGCGGGGTCAGCTTGTCCAGTACGCCTCATAAGCGGAGGAATGTGTAGGCCCAAGAGGGAAGGGGGAGAAGACTCACTCACAACAGAGAAGAATGGAAGAAAACGGCGTTACAATGGGATCAGATACTGGCTTCTTGGAGACCGGCCAACGATGGGCAAGGAGCGGCTTGATTGAACAAAGGGTGTGTTTCGGGCATGGAGCCGGGTGCGGAGGGCGCGGAGGCAGACCAACCTAGTCTGCAGCTCTGCAGTCTGGCTGGCCTCAGTCTAGTCGAAGGTCGAAGGTCGAAGGTCGGAGCGGCGAGTGGGCAAGGCAGAGTTCAACGGGGTTCAACTAATAGTCGTCCTCCATAATCTCGCGCCGCCACCTCTCGGTTCTGTCCCACTTATCCTCCTCAATCTGCCTAAAGGCGCGATCGAGCGCGAGCGGCTGTGCCGAGGCGTGTGCCTGCGCGCCAGCGATCGAGCTGATCGTCTCGGGACGATACGGCTGGGCAACGGCAGAGCGGGGCGGGAGATGCCTCAGTGTCGGCTGGTACTTGCTGCTCTTGTCTGCGAGCCCGACGCCAAAGACGGCCGGTTGCCCGCCCCCACTCCCGCTGCCCACAGACACACTCGCGCCGAGCCCGGGGCTGTAGCTTATGTTCAGGTATGTGCCTGTGCCGCGGAGCGCGGGAGGGGCAGTGAAGGCGGGGCCGGCGTATGTGCCGCCTCCGCCGGAGGAGGAGCGCAGGCTCTGCGCGCGCAGCGTGGGCGAGTACCGCCGCGATTGGTCCGTCAGCCACTCGTACAGCAGCGTGATGGGGTGGACGGCCATGCGGAACAGGAGCCCGACGAGAAGGAGCGGCGTGAACCCCAGCGTGAACGCTGTGAAGAGCAGGGAGGACAGGTCCAGCGCATAAGGCGTTTGCACGTCCATGGCGGGAGGTGGGAGCGTGGAGGGTTCTTGACTATTGGTTGTGCTTGTGTGTTGAAAGGAGGGTGGTGAGGTGTTTAGAGATGAAAGTAACGTGGGAGTCTCTGAGCTGATGTCTGTAATGAGTGTGGTGGTATCGGAGGCGTGGATGATGACGACAGCGCGGCCTGCGTTGGGCGTGTGTCGTGTGTCGTGTATCAGGCGGAGGGTAGCGAGGCCAGCTCGGTGCGTGTGCTTTGTGGGGTATTGTCCAGTCGTGTCAGTCTTCAGACCAGCGCCGGACGCAGCGGGTAATGACACAGACACATCCGCTGTGGGGTTGCCGGAGTCTCCCCCACGAACAACCCGGTACAGACGTCCTGATAGCCAGCCTGCAGCTGCTGTGCCTGCAGCGCCCCGGCTGTGCGGTGCTCGGACCACTTCGTTCATAACGCTGAACGAGTGGCCAGATGCGCGAGGGGAACAGGCGCCACGCAATTTCCATAGAGGAGCCTGCGCAGGGGTAGGTGTCAGGTAAGATCAGGAGGAGATTGTCAGATTGCCACAACGTGCAGATGCCAAGCCATTTGCTGAATTGCTGATCGTCACAAGATGCCATGAGATGCAATGCTACTAGAGAGACTTTTGAAGATATTGATCCGGAAAACCCAACTACTACCTAATATCCTGACTCCCCTCCGCGCTCTCTCTCTCTCTCCTCTCACTCCGCGTCTAAGTCGTCTTCTACTAGGGTCGTGTTTTTGAGTTGTACCGATGCTACTGATGGAGACCGGGAATGGGATGGCGTGGTTGCTTGGGATGGGGAACGGTTGAAAATGATGTGGTGAGCACTCATGTCGGAAATGGAGCGCTGAAGACGGAGTCCCAGCCCTCCGGGACTGAACGGTGTGGTGGGGCTGCCCGAGATGCCAGAAAGACCGTGGAGCTGACTGGCCGGGCTCATCAGGCCAGGGCTCGAGCTAGCCCTAAGGGGTTGCGGTGGGCGAGGAGGAGTGGACGGTGCCGTTTCTGCCTTCGGGACAGGTGCGACCTTGGAAGGAGGCTCTGGAGGGTTGCTGGACTGGGGAAGGTCGCTGAGCAGATCGCTGCTCTCGTCGTGCTCGACATCCTTCGGTTCCCGTTCCGCTTCTCCGGTCTCCTCCTTCTTCACGTCGGTTTCCTCCTTTTCGCTCACCGGCTCCTCCTCGCTCGAACCTGGCCTCCCCTATTGGCCAGGCCAAGCCTCGGAGAGCTTGCTTGGAGGCTTCTCCGGGGATATCCTCGGCGAAACCTTTGCCGAGGCATTGAGCAGGGTGCCCTTCAGCAGGCGCTCCTCGTTCACGGCAGGGGTCATGCCGGTGAAGGGAGTAACGGTGCCGGGGGTGACAGGCACCGAGCGGTTGTGCTTCATGTGGGCCTTGATGAGATGGCCAGCAGCGAGCGCCGCCATGAGCGACAGCTCACCAGCCATGACCGCGGCCGAGATGATGCGGGCGAGCCTCTGCGAGTTGGCGCCAGGCGAGGTCGCGTGGGCGCCGGCGATGCCAAGGAACTCGAGCATGGCACGCTGGGGAGGAAGGATGGTGCCTCCACCAACGGTACCGCACTCAATCGAGGGCATAGAGCAGGTAACAAGAAGGTCCTCGCCGTTGTTGCAAGGCTCCATGAGGGTCATGCACATCGACGACTCGACGTTCTGGGCGGGGTCCTGTCCGGTAGCGATGAAGATGGCAGTGAGAATGTTCGCGGCGTGGGCGTTGAATCCTCCAATGGAACCGGCCATGGCAGAACCGATGAGGTTCTTCTTCTTGTTCAGGTTGCACATCTCCTCGACGGTGGTCTTCAGGACGGTACGAACGACGTGGCCAGGGACGATACCCTCGGCGACGACGCTCTTGCCACGGCCCTCGATCCAGTTGATAGCAGCGGGCTTCTTGTCCGTGCAGTAGTTTCCAGATAAGGCGAGAACGTCCATGTTGGGGTAACGGCGCTGGAGAACCTCGAGAGCCTTCTCAGTTCCCTTGGAGATCATGTTCATGCCCATGGCGTCACCAGTCGAGGTGGCGAAACGGACGTAGAGAGTGCGGCCGGCCATAGCAGTCTTGAGGCGCTGGAGACGGGCAAAGCGGGAAGTCGAGTTGAAAGCGTCACGGATGGTCGAGAAGCCCTCGTCAGAGTCGATCCAGACCTTGGCCTCGGCGGCTTCGCGGACAGAGGGGAAATCGATAGCGGGGCCACGGGTCATGGCGTCCTGAGTGAGAACAGTGGTGACACCACCGCCGGCGTTGAGGGCCTTGCAACCACGCGAAGTCGAGGCAACAAGGGTACCCTCAGTGGTGGCCATGGGGATGTGGAGGAGCTGACCGTCGATGTTGAGGGGACCAGCAATACCAACGGGAAGGGGCATGTAACCGATGACGTTCTCACAGCAGGCACCCATGACCATCTTGTAGTCGTAGTCGTTCATGGGAAGAAGCGAGGTCTCGAGAGTCTGGTTGAGAGCAGCACGGGAAATGACGGCACGGCGAATACGAACGGCACGCTCACAGTCCTTGAGCTGCTTCTCGAGAGCGTAGGGGGCAATCTTGCCCTTCTGGACCAGCAGGATGACTTCCTCGTCCGAAAGGTTGTTCGCACCAACGCCACCGGCGAAGATGTCTACACACTCCTCAAGGGAACGACGGCCAAAGGTCATCTGCAGGCCACCAGAAGGAGGAGCAGAGTCGACGGAGACGACAGGCTCAGCGATGGTGACGGGAGGAATGCCGTTGGAGACGACTGGGTTCGCGTGTCCGTTGGCGAGACCGTTGGCAGAACCGTTTGCCTGGCCATTGACGTGGCCATTGACCTTGTGCGAGTTCGTGGGAGTCTTGTCACCGGCAACAGTCGCGACCGAGGCACGCGACTTGTGGCCATTGCCGGGAACGCTGGGCATGCGGAAGCGCTCGAGCATGGAGGGAGCGCGAGTGCGACGGGGCTGGCCGTTGACCTCGGCCGCCTCAAAGACACCGACAAGCGCCGCGGCAGCCGCAGCGACGGGGCCCTTTCCGCCGATCGAGTTGGACGCGATACCCTTGAGCAGGTAGCCGTTGAGGAGGATGCTGACAAAGAGAGCGACAACGATCCACTTGGATAAGACGGGGTCACCGACAAGCATCGACCACTCGGACATGAAGCTGTCGATGCGCTCAATACGCTGCGAGGCGGAGCGGTTGGTGTACGACATGACGAGGTGGGTCGGGTTAACGATCTGGATAATCATGTCGGTGTGGGGAGGCTGGGCCTTGTAGAGGGTGTCGAGGATGGTCGACAGGTTGGTCGAACGCGAGTCGACACGGGGCACCGACGAGATGATGTGGGTCGTGGCACGCTTGAGGGCGGTCTGCTCGGTGAGGGTGGTGCAGAGGTTGAGCACGTGCAGGACAACAAAAGCGATAATGAGGAACAGCTTGAGGCGGACAACGGGGTTCTCGGGCTGGCCGTCAGCCTTGGGCGCCTTGCCACCTCCGAAGAAGGAGGTCTTGGTAGGCGAGGGTGAGTCCTTCGGGGTGTTAGCCAGCGAAAGGTTCGAGGCGGAGCGTTTGAGGGCGGCCTTGGCGCGGCGGTTACCACGGATGAGCTTGATGCGGTGAACCTCAACGAGAACGCTGAGGATGGCAACGTAGAACGTGAACAGGAAGACGCAGTCAACGGCCATGAGGATGGCAGCGAGGTAGCAGAACTCGCGGAGACCGCCAATGCCACTGGCGGCTCCCATGGAAAGGACGATAATCTCGAGAGCGTAGTCACGCACGATGCTCAGACCAGACTGAGCAACGGCGTCAGAGACAATCTTGCTGGCAGCGACGGGAGCAACCCAACGGATACCCTTTCCGTCGGCAAGTTTCTGGAGACGCTCAATGGGCGCCAGCTCGCGGTGCAGAGCGTGCAGATCGAGGCCGTTCTTAGGGGCGTCGTCCTCGAAACCGTCGATCGGGGTAAGCTCGGGCGAAGCAGCCACGGGCGAAATGTCAGGGTGCTCGAACACGGCGTGGGCGAGACGGAGAGGCTTGTCGAAACTGACGGTGATAACGAGGAAAGGAACAGCCTCAGAAAGGACGATGGGATCGATCGGGACGTTGAGCAGGTATGCGCACAAAAGAGAAACCATGAACGCAAACGTAGACGAGATGAGGGTCACAAACGCTGAGACATGTTAGCGAGGTCATTGGCAGGAAGTGGAAAGCGCGCCGAGATCCGGGATGGCAGACAATGCTGCAGACCTCAGAAAAAACACAATAGGAACCGCTTAACGACAAACCGTCAGACGATTTGGGCAGCAGCAGGTGACTCCTGGACGATCATACGACCCCCCGGCCGTTCCCCTTGAGTTCCGATAGAGAACGGCGCGCCATGTTTCAGAATCCGGGTACTCACGAAGCCAAAAGTTGGATCCCAGCTTGCGCATGTCGATGAAGAGATGCGCGAACGTCGCGTGCATCAGAACATAGCCGAGAAGGACGACAAAGACGTCAGCCGAGTCGGCGTTCTTGGCGAGTGTCCAGAAACGCATGACGAGAACGCGGGCGGCAGTCGCAATCCAGCGGACCTTGCGGACGGCAAAGTTGGTGTCGGCCGACTGGGCGGGGGCGAGACCAGAGAAGAGGTTGGCGCCATCAATGTTGGGGAAGAAACCGCCCCAAGAGCTCGAACCAGACTCGCCCGGCACGACAGAGACAGTCGCATTAGTTCCGGGGAGGGGAACGGGAGGAAGGTGAGCAAGACGGTTGAGGTACGAGAGCGTCGGCGAGTCCGGGGTAGGCGCACGGAGGATGAGGGTCAGCGTGGACAGGTCCGCGTTGAGGGGGTGGTCCTCGAACTTGGGCGCGTCACCGCACTTGGGGCCGAAGCACAGGTCAGCGTACGAAACCTCGTGGCCGCTGGGCGAGGGGACGGTGACATCGTTCAGAAGCCAGCGACGCCACGCCTCACGGTCTGCGTCGGTTCCGTCCTCGCGAGAGACGGTGAGCTGCTTCACGAAGGCGATGGCAGCACGCTTTCCAGCAGTGTTGCCGCCCTCATCCTGGGACAGAACGAAGCCGCCCTCCAGGGCGTTCGCCTCGACAGCACGACGGAAGTCGCTAGAGGAGAGAGGGATCCAGTTCTCATTGGGGGCGGGAATGTGAGCGATCGAGGCGCGCGAGCCAGCTCCAGCGAAGGCGGCGTCGCCCGACTTGTCGGCGAGACGGACAAAGTTGACAGGACGCGACGGACGGGTGCTGGTAGGCAGAGACGTAAAGCTGTGAGGGAACTGTCAGTCACCCGGAAATTACAACAGAAAGGCTCGGTAAGACATCGCGCTTAGCTTGCCGAGGGGTTTGGTGAAACTTACAACTCGGAACCCTTGATCGCGTGCAAAAGTTGGAAGTAGACCAAGGTGATGATGATAAAGGTGGCCGTGATAACCTCGATGGGTGCGCTAGCGGTGAGGCGGGTCACGGCCTTGAGGGTCGAGCGGAGGGCCTGCATAGCGAAGACGAGTGAGCCGTTGAAGGCCACGCCGAAACCGAGAGGGAGGAGGTGAGAGGAGGAAGAGGTGGAGGGGGTCAAGAAGTGGAATGGGAGGAAGCAAGGGCCGACGGCTGTGAGGGGCACGACGACAGAAGCTACTGCACCTGCACGCCTGGGTGTCTGTTGAGAGAAGGCTTGTGGGTGGGTGAGACGATTAGAAGAGCAGTAGTGGATTGGTCGGGATGGGACGATGTGTGTGGTTGGTGGTCGACGACCGGCGGAAGGACGGTCTGACGGGACCAACGCGTGTATAGTCTGAGGGTAAACGGCGGCTAGGCGCAGGGCGGCACGCAGGCGGCAGAGGCAAGGCAGCCGCAGCAGTGGACCCGGACCCAGGTGAATTTTTAAATCGGCAGCGCCTTTTTCAGACAAACTCGGCGTATATCACAAGTTGAGGACCGACTTTTTGGACACAGTGCAAACCGTAATCGCCAGAGAGGAGCGTGATGCGTGATGTTTGTTTGGCTCCAAATGTGGTGCTGTCGTTGCTGTGGAACCAAGCGCCAACGTTGCTCGAGCTCTAGAGAACACCTCGCTAATGCACCGCCAGTAGTGATCGGTGGTTCGCAGGTCCACTCAGTGGTCGGCGGCTATGGGTGCCTTTGTAGCAGGCAGAGAGACCGCGTGCTTCAAAGCTGGTTTACCCCACCGAGAATGCAGGGGCGGGGATGCGTCTAAGGGCGGAGATAGGAGCAGGAAAGCACGAGAGCAGCGCTGTGCAACGTGTCGTACGTGTCGTTGGGTGGTGATCGCGGTGAAGGGCTGGGGATGAGCAGCGTCGGGTACAGGGCGGCGGCAAGGTGAACTCGGAGGACACACGGCTTGTACGGCTTGCGGCAGGGCGGCGGCAGGGCACGAGGGGGAACGAGGACAGGGCACAATCGCGCGTCGCCTGGAAAAAAGTCAACGGACAATGCCAAAGTCAACCCGGAGCCCCTGAGTCCCGATTCGATGGCGGTCGATGTCCCTCTGTCAAGAGTCTCAGGACCACCGTGAGCGCGAGTTGCCAGACTGCCAAGTAACGGGTACGAAAGATTGGGCGAGGTGGTGGTGACTGACGAGGTGACAACGAAACAGCGGGAGATGCAGCTAAGCAGATATACATACCCAAAGATCCTGCACAGCTAGGACACACGCAACCCAACAACAAAGTGGTACGACTGCTGGGACCCTTGGACATCTGCAGCTGATGCCCATGTCCGCAATTCCGCAACGACACGGAGACTGAGAGATGGAATGGTGGCCTGATCTCCATGTCCTGCTGGCTTGCTGGGCGTCCTGGCGCGCTGGTGAGCATGGCAGCTGACCGTGTGGTGAGAGATCACTCGTCTGTCCCTAGAAATATGGCTCGGCGCGTCAGCGCCGCCCTCCCTGGCCTTCCGGGATCGACCAGAAACGGCAAACCAGCGAGCTCCACCAGCACTAGAGCAGAGAGACGGCGACCTGTCCCTTGGCTGGGCATGGACTGTTGGATGTGCTGGATGGGTGGGTCGGGTCCGGCTACCAGCCAGAAATCGACATTGACGCAGGGACTCTTGTGTCAGGAATCGTACGACGTCCCTCCCTTGATGCCACAGGCGCATGACCTCTGCAGCACTCGCCGCGATCTCAGGCTCTGAACAGGCAACACAAGAGTTGCATCATGCATCAGACAGTGATCAGGCACAGTTACCTGACCTTCTTCCTGGAGAAGCGCGAATAGGGTTGCACGGATACAGCGCTCGAGCGCGATCACGGCTTCAGCAGCCAGGAAGTCTCGACGGACATCATGGTTGGTCATTGCGGCGTCTCAGCCGTCATCCCGTTCATCCCACCTTTTGCTGAAGACACACTCTCTTCGGCGCGTGTGGCTACTCTCGGTGGATGTGTGCCAGAAACGGCAAACCAGCGAGCTCCACCAGCACTAGAGCAGAGAGACGGCGACCTGTCCCTTGGCTGGGCATGGACTGTTGGATGTGCTGGATGGGTGGGTCGGGTCCGGCTACCAGCCAGAAATCGACATTGACGCAGGGACTCTTGTGTCAGGAATCGTACGACGTCCCTCCCTTGATGCCACAGGCGCATGACCTCTGCAGCACTCGCCGCGATCTCAGGCTCTGAACAGGCAACACAAGAGTTGCATCATGCATCAGACAGTGATCAGGCACAGTTACCTGACCTTCTTCCTGGAGAAGCGCGAATAGGGTTGCACGGATACAGCGCTCGAGCGCGATCACGGCTTCAGCAGCCAGGAAGTCTCGACGGACATCATGGTTGGTCATTGCGGCGTCTCAGCCGTCATCCCGTTCATCCCACCTTTTGCTGAAGACACACTCTCTTCGGCGCGTGTGGCTACTCTCGGTGGATGTGTGTCCAAGATCCATGGAACTGCGACTTTTGCTTTTGCTCCATCTGCACCACTTGTTTGTTGACTACACTACTGCGATCTCTCACGGTGACAGCCTCACGACCCTCCGACCCCAGATTGACGAACAAGGTTACGGGGCCATGCTCCTTCTATGACGTCTTACCACTGACGGCCAATTGACTCTACGGTATCGCGCAGCATTGTCCGTTCTCCTCGCACCACCGACACCGACACCGACGGAAGCTGCTCGCTGGATACGGTACGGAGACGGAGGGAGGGCCGGAGGCATGTGACGAAATCACCTGTGAGCGGTGACGTGCGAGCGTGTGAGAGCTGCGAGATTATTACTCTCGCGTGGCCTTTCCCGTCTGGCCGGTCGCAGCGCGCAGCAGCGTAGCATATGATGAAACGGGGGACGGTATGAGCTTAAAAATGTTGGAAGCAAGTAAGTGCCGGCGGCAACATCCAAAACATGCACGAGTTCGGTTGGTTCCTGTCGACCGAGTGTGAAGCGAACAACGTCGATCCGGCGACGCAGGCGAAGCAACAGAAGAAGGTGAGGCAGGAAGACGGTTCGCGCTACGGCTGATTCCCATACAGCCGAGGAGAACTGCTACTTGCAGTCACTGGGCTGGTCGCGACTTCTCACGCATGTCTCACTATAGCTCACCACAGATGAATGTCCACGCGTCCGCCGTCACTGTTTGTGTGCCACTCCACTGTGCCGCGGCGCAAGTCGATCCGCAGCGATCCACAACACAGCCCCTCGCACCAGAATCTGTAACAGACTCCTTTGATCTGCGATACTCACACGATATTGTTGCTCACTCTCTGTCTTCCACGCCTTCAACACCACTCACACCACTCTTCACCGTCAAGCATCCAGTTCCCACAGCCGACTCCATGCTGACTGGCCCCTCTCTTGGACCATCGGCGGCCTCGCCTTCCCTCCATCGCCGCCGCTCCTTCACCCTTCCCTCGTCTCTGCGCAGCACTCGTTCCAGGTCACGCTCTGGGAGTGCCCCGCCGCCGTCCTCCATGTTTTCGTCCTCCTCTACTACAGTCTTCAGAGCCCGCCCAGACGACGCCGTCATGGATCTCCTCGGCGCTGTGGGATGGAAGCTCGTCTCGTGGGGCTGGATGCTCCTGCGATTCACCATCCGCCTTCTCATCAACACAGTGTGGATTGCTGCAATCGCCATCCCCACCGTCTTCCTCGCCTCGACGTACCTCAAGATTGCCGCGCGGCTACGCGCAGTAGAGTAAGTACACAATCAGCTGGTCTACCATCCTGTCTAGCTAACGAGCAGCGAGCACGCCGCGTTCCTCCTCCTCAACGTCATCGCACTGCAGCAGCTGCGCACAGCTCTCTTCGGCAGCATATCGAAGGGCGTCAGTGAGTTGGAAGCACAGGACAGCTGTGCCAACGCGGGTTCTGAAAGCTGACTCCAGACCGCGCCGTGCGCCGTGTCATTGCCGGCGCGCTCTTCGGCGTCTTCGCAAAGGGGGCCTGGGGCGAGGCGAGTCTCGTGTACGACGCCGGCCCGCACGTCATTGGTATCGGGTGAGTTGCAGGCACTCCCACATCAACTGACAACAGAACACATGTTTGGCTCTTCATGATGGTAGCAGGCATGGTCGAGGCGGGGCGGTATGCGCTCGAGATTTGATAGGCATGCAGGGCTAGTGCGCACGGGCCATCATTGTGGGACTGTGACGACTGACGCAACTTCTGTCTGACTGAGACACGCCACAGGCGACCGTCAAGGGCATTGTGGAATGCGGCGGGTCTGGGGCTGCTGAGAGGAGAAGCGAGCGTGGCGAGGATTGCGCCCGTGGCTTCGCTGGCGTTGGGCGCGGGGAAGCCGTTTCTGTGGAGTAGACGGCGCAAGGCGCAGCTTGGCATCAAGAGTTCCCCGCTCCGGCATTCTCCTATCCTCTGATCCGCATCTGCCAGCAGCTCGAAAGTAGATGAGTGTGGACACCGTGCAGTGAGCAGTAAGACGACGTACATGGGCAGGACCATCAGCTGCATCTTTTATCGCACGGACAGCGGAGCGTGCGCGGCACTTGATGCAAGACTGATAGGCAGTTGCACGCACGATCTGGAGTTAGTCAACGGGCCGACTTCTCCAGTTTAAGATGCATGGGGTATGTGGGCGCTCACGCATCGTGATCTCTTCAAGGAAGGAGAGCACCGCGGCTGTCAGTGCGCCAAACGTCGTCGTCACAGTTGCTACAGTAGTCGTGATCAGTGCCAGATATAGAGTGGATCGAGTGGCCAGCGCAGGAGAAGATGTGCGTCGAGAAGGAGGACGGGGGGGACCTCGGCTGGCTCGGCTACTACCACATGATCAACGGGCAGTTAGGTGAAGACGATTGCGAGATGATACCGGCGGCCGCATACTTTTCCGAGCTATGTGCAGATCAGTCAATATGTGAAGCGGGGTCCCACGGGTCACGGGATACGGCATGTTGGATGATGAATGCTAGGTGCTGCGGGCGAGATGAACGGAGTGACACAACGGAGCATCTAGAAGCCGGGCCAGCCGGGGTCGCGGGGAAGGGGCGGCAATGGCAACGAATGTGGGCGCGGGGCGGGTGACTGGCCGCAGAGGAAAGGAGGCGGGCGCACGGTCGGCGTTTGCCGACCACAGACAGGTACGAGCCGAACTCCGCTACGGTTGTGTGCACCAGTGCTCCTTACACCCGTCAGACCGCTTAACTGTAACGGCCGAATCGGACAAGTCCGAGTATACCTACCGCTCCCACCATGACCAAGCAGAATGCAGAATGAGGAACCGGTTTGTTCTATTCCAGCCTCTCCGCCCTCACATTCGCATACGCTCACATTGAGCATAATGCTGAGGAGCTGGTGTTCCTCGCCTTGACATTGACCCAAGTACTACGCTACGACTAGACGACGACGATCGCGACGAGCCCGACTGAGCGGCCTACACGACTGACGCCCCCTTTCCGTCCCAACGGGCCTCGATCACCCCTCGACTGAGCTGCGCGCCGCGACCCACAGCTCTGCGGACCCCCACGACCCCAGCGGCGGCCCCACCTCCATCGCCGCCTCGCACCATGAGCACGGCCGGGCTCTCGACGACCTCGACGCCGACGCTGCCGCACACCAAGTCCTCGCTCTCGATGGCGCCGTCCGCAGACCTGGAGCGGGGCTCAGCCGACCTGACGCTATCGCGGCGACCTTGGCGGCTACATCCGACGCCGTGGGCCGACATCGTCTCGCACCCCTACAAGGGCTCAGGCACGGCCGCCGATCCCTTCATCGTGACCTGGCTCGAGGTCGATGGCGAGCACCCGCGCCAGTTCTCCACGCTGCACAAGTGGGTCACGACCATCATTGCCGCCATGGGAACGCTCGCAGTCACGATGGGCAGCTCCATCCTCTCGGCAGCCATTACGACGGTGCGCCACGACTTTCCTGGCTACAACGACATGACGTACATCATGGTCACGGGCATCTACATCCTCGGCTTCGTCCTTGGCCCTTTCCTCTGGGGTCCCTTCTCCGAAGTCATGGGCAGGAGGACGACGTACGTCGCCTCCTTCGTCCCCTTCACCATCTTTGACGCCGCCGTGTGCGGCGCGCCGAATATGGGCGCGCTGCTCGCGTTGCGTTTCATCGCCGGTGTTTTTGGCTGTAGCGGCATGACGAATGCCGGCGGTGTCATCGCTGACATGTTCGAAGCACAACAAAGAGGTCTAGCTATGGGGATTTTCGGTGCGGCGCCTTGGAGCGGCCCGAGTATAGGACCTCTAATTGGTGGTTTTCTAGGTCATTCGGCCGGTTGGAGATGGGTTGCGGCCGTGGCATGTCTCTTTGTCGCGTTGGTGACATTCGCCACTCTCGTCTTTCTCCCTGAGACGTATGAGCCCATGCTCCTGCGCCGCAGGGCCAAGATGCTTTCCCAGGCGACAGGCAAGGTGTACCGCGCACCGCAGGACCGGGACGGGCTGCTGGACGTGAAGAAATTGTTGAGATATCAACTTCGAGTTCCGTGGATCCTCCTCTTCACGGAACCAATTGTCTTCATCCTCTCACTCTACATGAGTGTCGTTTTCGGCATCCTCTACATGACCTTCACGTCTTTCCCCATCGTCTTCCAGGGCTACAGGCACTGGGGTATCGGCCTTGGCGGACTCGCCTTCATGGGCATCATGGTTGGGTGCAACGTCGGTTTGGCGTACATGGTCTTCTGGGGGAACAAGAAATACGTCCGCAAATATAACGAAAAGGGCTTCCTGCCACCCGAGGCACGCCTGCCTAGCGCTATCGCCGGTGCGCTCCTCATGCCCATCGGCCTCATCTGGTTTGCATGGACGTGCACACCCGCGAGCATCCACTGGATCGTGCCCATGCTGGCAACCGTGCCCTTCTCGGCAGGTATGGTGCTCGTCTTCCTGGCGGTGCAAAACTATCTGGTCGACGCCTACCTCCCGACGGCGGCGTGCGTCATTGCCGCGGCAACCGTCATCCGCTCGCTCGTCGGCGTCATCCTCCCCCTTTTCACGACAGACATGTACACTGCCCTCGGCACGAACTGGGCGGGCACGCTGATCGCCTGTCTCGGATTCGTGTTCGTGCCCGTGCCCCTGATCCTCATCAAGTACGGGCGCCGCATCAGGCGCATGACCAAGTACGGCCGCGAGGCGGACGACCACATCAGCAAGATGGCCGAGGCGCGGCTAGCGCAGCGGCGCGGCGTCGTCCCCGCCTCTACCGATGTGGAGGAGCAGGTCGAGATCGAGGGCAAGGAGCCAGAAGACATCGCCACCACGAACGGGGACACGCTCGGACATGTTTTGGAGGAGGAGCGCAAGAGCTATGAGGAGAAGCGCAAGAGCCTCGAAGCGGATGAGCACGCCTCTCGCCTCACGGCTGTCGAGACGCCGAGGAGCGAGAAGGAGGTCTTCTTCGACGCTGCGAGCAAGGCGGACACGGAGCCGTTCGAGAGCGCGCGGCAGAGCATGCACTCGGAGATCCTCCTCGAGTCGGCGCCAGTGACCAGCGAGAAGCGATAGATCGGGACAGTCCAATAAGGCATTCAGCATTCTCTTTTCATTCGGTAATCATTCTCCCCTCCAAGTTTTGCATTAGAAGAAGTATACAATCCCAGCATGCATCGCATTAGTAATGGTCTGCAATGTTCACTCGCAGCACCCATCGCTGCCACTGCCACTCGATGCTCGATACGTTGATACCCCCCCATGGCCCAAGACCGCGTCGGAGGCAGCCTGCGCTAGATTCAAGGTTTCCCACGACCGCTGTGCCACCCAAAGGAAGCACCCAGCGCCCCTGGCACCGAGCTGAGCGCTCAGTGCTGCACTCAGTGCTCGCGGTCGGAGACAGCCTCTGCTAGATTCATGATTTCCCACAAGTGCCACTCCGAACGACTCAATCCGATCGTTCGCCTCTGCAGCGGTGACTGCGATGATACAGATAGTCTTTGTGCATTCTTCCGTTGCGGTCACAATCAGCCCTGCTTCCCCGGGCTCCGGCGCGGATGACAACACCTGGTCCAGCCTGCTGCTTGCAGTGGCCCGCGCTCGATCAGACGCCTGAGCGTTCGCTCCCCTCGCTCGTCGGGCGACCCCTTCTCGTAGTGCGAGCAAAGCAGAGTTCTGGGCCGTTCGACGGCTGTTCACTCCGCGGCTGGGAGTGCCAGTGGTCTGGAGATAGGAGTCAGCTACCATCACAACTAATGAGTCTCGAAAAGAAAATTCACGAGGTGGGCGATGACGCCGGGTATGGCGGCGAGCTGTGCAGTCACCGGGGAGTACCTGTGGGTCGCAGAAGGGGCAATTGCGAGGATCTCTGGCGCCGGCTTTGCCTGGTGTGCAGTGTAGATGCGAGGAGAAGGTTTAAAATCGGCTACGTCACCTTTACCAGTCATCCTCCGGTCTGTCTTGTGGATCACATGGCAGTACCGGAAGAGAGCGGTGGTGATCGACCTGACATAACCTAGCTGTCCGACAACGAAGAGGCAGGGAAAGGCCGCGAAGCGTGGCATCTTCTCATCGAGCCCTTCGAGGTCGATCCACCCGCGCACTAAACACTGTTGGATCCCGATGTAGTGACGGCTAATGTCAGTGCACTGCCGAGGCGTTGTAGCTCACCGATCCGTGTCAGTGGCCGTTTGCAGACCACCCAACGGGCGTTGCAGTGGGTCCGGTACCAGCCGGTCGTGGCACTGAGTGATCGCTCACTCAAAATTCTGGGCCTCGGCGAGGCGGAAGATGAGACCAGGGTGCACATAGGCGCACTGAGCGCCCTGGGGGCGCCACTGGTTTCCGATCTCTATACCTTCGACCTCAGCTAAAGCACACCGCAACACGTTCTGCGAGAAGGGCTGGGGGCCAGTCAGCGAAGCTAATGGATACAGTACTCACCCAAACTGACGACGCTACGATCATCGCGGCGCAGACGCCACATAGATCTGTAAATAAGGTCGACATCAGGCGCGTGGCCTTTTCGCCCTAACGCGGACATGAATTTCGGCGTAAGAGCTCGGAACTTTGCCTCCATGTAGAGGTGGGCGAAGCCTGTAGATTTAAGCGTCGACTCCAGCATCAACGTCCGGAACATGATGCGGAGAATCTTTCGTTAGCGTGTGTCTCATACATGATGACTTACGTCGAGACCGAGGTCGTTATCGTTCCCCATGATGAACTTCCTCGTCACGAGCATGATCCGATTAATGAGTCCCGTGACATGGTTGAACCCGAGTGCGCCTTGATACTCCGTGCGATGCTGATCCGAAAGATGGATGTGAGGAAAGTGGGCTTCCCAGATGGTGGAGACGACGGCGTTGAACACCTGCCTCCCGTGCCCGCCAGCCAGGTCGATGTTCGCAGCTTCAGCCTTCAGCTCCAACAGCACTTGCGGCAGCTCTTTGCTGAGTGCCCCGAGTTCGTCAGGGCGGTCTGTTCTGCTCGACGACTCTCTCTCCCCATGTCATTAGTTTGGGTCTTGGCATAGCACAAAACACACCTTGCGCGTTTCCCAGTCCTTCAGGCAAGGCTTCAGCTCCTGTATCTGTTGCTGGATCTGTTCTTTCCTATTGTAGCCGCCGATCTTGACGTAGAAATACTCGGACATCGGTTAAGTCTATGAAGTCTGAGGGACCGGTAGACCCGTCGGTAAGTCCTTCGGCCATACTGGACACAGGCGAGCGCAGGCGAGCGCAGTGGCGGGTAAGTGCTTTTGGTGGCTTTGGGGGGTTGGGGGGGAAAGGGTGGATGTCGCAAGGCGAAGGCGGTTCGAGGAGATGGGCGGGAACTTGTGGCCGTCTGTCAGCCGACAATGGAGAGTTGGGAGTACGTTGGGAAGAAGCCTGGATACAAGAACGCGCTGGAAGGAACAGCGCGACGAAGAGGGGCGCACATCCTGCTGCAGGGGAAAGAAGGCAGCCTGTCCCCTGCTGCCTGATCGGCGGATCTCGAGGCAGAGCGCTGGCCGACTTCATTGGCAGACATGCCCACTCAGCTCTGCATGCTCTGCACCTCGTACTGCCTTCACGATGGTGCCAAAATTCCTGTCCTGCTTGCATCGCGTTTCATAGGAATGAGCTTCTCGAGAGAGTACGGACGTCGCGAACGTTGCCCTGCTCCGGCGAGGCTCGTGCTGCTCTGCGCACATCGGTCCGGGAACCCTCCTTTCGCATGTGCCTCCTATGATTCTGTGAAGGGTGGACCTAATGCACAAGATTGTCAGTGTTGGACAGGCTTGGGCGCCCGCGCTCTGAGGACGAATCGTTAATCACTGCTATGGCTGGGGATCCAACCAGGTTGCACGCGGCTCGTTCTGCGCGCACGTCAATACGAGGTGCCCAACCTGCTCAACGGCCGGCAGAAGTCACCTCTTCCTGTAAGTTTCACCCCATCCCAACTCCCCACAAACATCAGCCGTCCGTCAGTCCTCCTCAGCAGGTCAGCTGGTATAAAGAAGTCTATAGAATGCATACAGAAAATCCAGAATACACCATTGCGTGCGCGCCCGCCCTTACTTCGCCTTGGGCTTCGCCTTGCCCGTCTTGCCCGTCTTGCTCGTTCCGACCGCAGCCGCCTTGGCCTTCTTGGCCCCCGAGCCGATTGTCGAGCTCTTCTTCTTGTCTCCGAGCGTGACCGCCGCCTTGGCCGACTTCTCCTTGATGGGCTTCTCGGCGGCGGTCTTGGCCTTGGCGGCGGTCTTCACCGGCTTCTCCTCCTCCATCTCCTCGTCGGCCTCTCGGCAGCCTCGGCGTCCTTGAACCGTCCCTGCAGCGGGGCGTTCCAGACGGGGAGGAGGATCGACTTGCTCGTCTTGATGCCGATGGAGAGGACATTGTCCCATCCTCCGACGAGGTCGACGGCGGCGGGCACGGCGGCCGTCAGGTTGGCAATGACCTGCTCGGGCGTCGAGACGCCGACGGTGGCTATCCTGACCGAGCTGGGGTGTCAGCTTCGCGAACGCTGTCACGCAGAGCTGTCGACTTACTGGGAAGTACCGGTCGAGGGGTGGAAGTAGGTGGACTGGATGGCGCGGCCAAGCTCCTGCTTGAGATCCTTGCGCTGGAGGTTGACGGGAATGGGCTGCTTCTTGGCCTCGAAGAACATCTTGCCGAGCAGCTTGGGCATGAGGGGGAGCACGCGGTCGTCGACGAGGAACAGGTCGTGGTCGTTGCGGAGCTGGCGGCGGGGCTCGAACGGCTTGAACTTGCCCTTGAGCTTGGTCACGCCGACGACGCGGTCGATGAACTTGATGTCGTGCTTGGCAATCAGGTCCTTGTACTCGCGCTGCGGGTCCTTGACGAGGAGACAGACAGAAGTGGCGGGCGGAGGGGGCAGAGGAGGCGACGGCAGCTGGATTTTGATGGGCATGAGCTTCTTGCGCGTGCTGCCCGTCTTGGTGTTGACGCTGAGCCAGACGTGCTCGTCGCGCCCGAGCAGCTCCGTCTCCTCGGCCTTCTCGGCCTGCTTTTTCGCATACGCCAGCAGCGCCTTGACGGCCTTCTGCGCCTGAGCCGGCTTCCAGCTGTCGACCATCTGGCCCGCCGGCGCAGCGTCAACAGGCAGCTGAGCAGCCTTCGCCTTGGCCTTCGCTTTCGTCTTGTTCACGGAGGGCGCCATTGTCGTGTCCTTGTTGAGACGGTGAGACGGTGGGACGGAGAGCGATGCAAGCCGATGATGCTCGCCTGGCAAGCAATTCTGCAGTGTGGAGGTGGACCTGCCATTCTGCAACTTTTGGAATGAACGTGATACGCCCGCTGCTCGCACACGTCATAAAATGGCGCTATTGGGATTACACTGGCGCATTAGTAGCACGAGACTAAATGGATTAGGAAATTTGCCGTTTGTCCCCCTTGTTTTGCCACCTCCTGAGCCAGGAAAGAATCTTCGACGCCATCAGTCATCTCCGGTTGTCGTCCTTTGTGTTGTTGCTCTTATCCACGGCCCACACAACCAGCACCATGTCCAACCCGTACCAGTCCTCGCGCCCCGACGAGTCGCACATGCCGCCGCGCCAGCCCCCCAAGCCCACCGACGCGAGCGAGTACCTCTGTGGAGGTGAGCTACAAGGCGGAGTGGAAGCTGACAGAGCAGACTGCGGTGCCAAGACGCAGATCAAGATGGGAGAGCTCATTCGTTGTCGCGAGTGCGGACACCGTGTCATGTACAAGCCCCGGACGCACAAGAGTGAGTTGTAGGCGGATGGAGGGATGGATGCTGGAAGGACGGAAGGAAGGGAGCTGCGGCGGTGTTCAGCGTCGATCGTCGCGGATCCGCAACAGAGGAGGGCTTGCTCTGTGCTGTGTGTGATTTGTCCGCCGCATGTGCTGTATGCTGCGTCCGCCGCACAAATGCAGGGGCCCTCACAATGAGCAGAATGCGTCGATCTGCGGTGAAACACCAGCATCACCTGCGATCCTCGCCCCCGAATCTTCAGCACACTCCTTCCAGCTGTAGAAGGCCGCAAGGAAAACAAGCTAACGCCCAGTCGTCCAGTTCGAGGCCAGATAGAGGACCGTTTTTTGTATAATATGCATGTTATAGCCGTAAGAGCCAGAGGTATAAGGTATAAGATAGTCCCCTTGGTGAAAAGGGGACAAAGACACGATCGCAGAAAACGCAAGGTTCTCGGCGACAGAATCATTTCAAGACGACTAGACAGAGGGGGTAAAGCGTGAGACAGTCTAGGTCTTCTATCTACCGGCTTTTTTGGAAAGCCGATAGTGTGCAAGCTGAAGAGGCCTACTGGAGCTTCTTGATCTCCTCTCCGGCCTCGACCCACTGCCCGTTCGCGTCCTTCTTGCGGACAGTGAAGCACGCGATGCCCGTGTACTCGCAGATCTGCCAGATGATCTCGCGCGCAAAGCGGAAGTAGTTGAAGAGGGCGACAAAGAAGGACATGCAGATGAAGACGTTTGCGGCCGTGGGCGAGTTCTGCACGAGGGGCTGGCGGCCAAAGAGCCACTGCGCGTTGGCGTCAATGGCGCCAAAGAGCGAGTAGACCATCATGCCGTTCCAGAACGGGAAGGGCGACTTGGTGACGTGCGCGAGGATCAGCTGCGAGACCTGGTACGCGGCCGCCATGCCCCAGTACCCGAGGAAGGGGAGGAGACGGCCGTCGTGCACGATCGACACGCCGCCGCGCACCTCGGCTTGAAGCCAGAAGACGAGGATCGCCGTGTGCACGCCAAAAGGCAGGAGGCCGAGCAGAGGCGTCAGCGCCGACTTCTTCTCCTTGAGACGCGCCGCGATCACGTTGTAGTACGCGTTCAGAATGTTGGCGCCGGTGCCAAACGCGCCAAAGATCATGAACGTAATGTTCAGCGGGATCTGGCTGAACGAGTACGTGCCGCTGAGACCCAGGGCCTTGTCGAGGTTCTCGGTGAGAGTCGTGACAGCGTGCGGGAGCAGGCTGACGACGGGCTGCTGCCAGAAGTGCTGGTGCAGCGGGTGGATAGCCGTGACGAGGTAGATGAGCACGATGATGACGATACCCTCGATCGGGCCCGAGAACTCGGACAGGTACAGCGTACCAGTGTGGTACTCCTCCCAGGTCGAGGCGTAGAAGTTGAGAAGAGTCATCGTCTCACTCGCGACAGTCCACCAGGAACGATTCAGGCCGAGAGCGTGACAGGCCAGCACGACCTCGAGAGACGTGTTGATCGCATCACAGCCGTGGTCGAACATCTCGCCGAGCGCAGAGCCCATACCCAGGCGGCGCGCCTGCTTGCCGTCAATCGCGTCCATACCTGATGTCAGCTAACTTCCTCACGTTTTTCAGCTACCCACTCTGGTAGGCAAAGAGGCCGAACGCAAAGCTAAAGTACACCCAAGTGGGCAGGTCCTTGCCCTCATAGGTCGGGTCGAACCAGAGGAGGGTGAGGACGTTGGCGAACACGAAGCAGAGACCGAGAAGGGTGATCTGGGGGTCAGCTTGCCCTACGTACATCCCGGCAGCATCGGGTCGACAAGCGCCAGACTAGCGCGAGATCCTAGGCTCGTCGTGCGATTAAAGTCATGGGGTTCGCTCGCTCACGCTCTCAACACGATGCGTACTCACCGCGTTCGGGGCCAGGTTCATGGGGAAGCAGGTGACGAGCCAGTTCCACCATGGCGCGAGAACAGTACGGGACAGGACACTCTTGTCGATGGAAGAGTACTTGTACTGATCTATTCCCTTGAACTGGGCCTTGGTGATGCGCATGTTGGGCGGCGACGATGGACGGACGAGGGCGGAAACGGAGCAAGTGACGCGGTGACGCTTGGCGCTTCGACTTGTCTCCGGGGGGTGGGCGGAGACGAGGGAGGCGGAGTGTCAAAAGACGGGCCTTTTGAACGGACCAGGGGTGAGGTCGGTGTCGAGGACGGACAGGTGGATTGTGAAGAATCAAAGAATCAAGGGAGGTTGGCGCGCCGGAGTGCGGGGTATGGCTATGTCGCGAGGCCCAACTTTTGGTGCGGTTTTGGTTGGAACTAAGGGATACTAGGACACTGGCTCAAGGTGGTAATTGGAGCTCATAGGCTTGTTTAGACGCCATCCGCAGGGGTGGCCGACCGCTTTTCTTCCGTTCACCGCTGGCCACTGGCCACTGCCGTCCAGCAGACCAAGGATTTTCCGCCCCAGAGCATTCGTATCCAGCCCGCGCAGATCTCTTCGGGTTAGTGTGTGCGCAAGCCTCATCATGGGGCGCGTAGCAACCAACGTCCGAAACCCGCTGCCACGCCCACCGCACACCGTAGCCTCGTCACTCACACACGCGTTCCATCGACCATGGAGCCATGAGCTGGGACCCGTGCAACTTGTTGAGCTCTGACGTCGGACCCTCGCTTCGCCGCGCCTGCAGTCGCTGCAACCCTCGTACGCCTCACCTGTTTACGTCACCCCTTCCTCTCCTTCTTATCGCACGTTTCTCCCTATGATGAAATGCGGCCTTCGCCGGTCAGTTTCAGATCACATCCTGTTGCACCCTTTGTTTGTTTGGCCACATTTTGCTGCTGATACACGAAGTTTTAACTGCATACGCGCGCGCAACAACGGAACACCGAAATCAACGCGGAGCGACACACATAAGAGAAACGCGCGCGCAATATAAAAAAAGTGTTCTGGCTGGCCAGAGAATCGAGTTGAAGAGGAAAATAAACGGACTCAGCCAGGTGAAGGATCCCTCTTAATCTTGCGAGGAAAACTACAACCGGAAAAGATCGAAAAACGAAGAGCGTAGCCGAAAGAATCAACTGGGGTATGGACAGGGGAGAGACGCAAAGAGCAGCACGGAAAGTTCGGGATGACAACGCAAAGATGCTTAGTCCGAGTCCTCCCTGGAAGTAGTTAGCATCTGGGGATTATCTCGGGTTACTCACTGGACCTTGGCGCTACGCTTCTTCTTGCCGTTGGCGGCGTCGTACTCGGCCTTCTCCTTGGCGGCGCGGTCCTTGTCGGCCTGGGCCTTGTCCTCGTAGGGCTTCTTCTCCGAGGCGCTCATCTCCTGCCACTTGGCACCGAGGAGACGACCGACCGAGCCAAAGTCGGCGTCGGGGTTCTCCGACTTGATGCGCTCACGCCAGTCCTGGACGAAGAACATGTAGGCGGAGAGGGCGCGCTTGGGCTTGTTAGGGTCCTTCTTGCCGCGCTTGGCGACCTTCTTGTCGTCCTTGGTGGAAACCTTAGGCATCTGGAAGAGTCAGTATGGACATTCATGCATGTGTGGTAAGGGTGGTGGTCAGTATGCAGGGATGGTGCGGGTCGGGGATTTTTGGAGGTGTGGTCGTCGTGAGGAACGTGTTGGGTGGAACGCGAGATATGGGGACCCCGCGGTGGAGGTAGGTCATGTTGTGTCTGGCCGGCCTAAGGAGGGAGGGAAGGTCGCGAGGAAGGTCGCGTCAATTCCCAAGGTCGGATAGGCAGGCGCAGAACGGACGCATCCACCCCGTTCTCGAGCGCGATGGACCCGGACGGCGCATGCATGTGCAGGCGGGCACGGGGGAAGTAGGGGAACGCGTTGGTGGGGTGGTGGTTGGTGGATGGGTGCTCACCACCACCAGACGGCGCGATGTTGCCCCACCACCCTTCTCCCGTGCACTGCGTTAGGCTGACACGACGACATCCATTCGCTCAGAATGGACGGGGTGAGGTAGCGCGTTGTGCACGGAGGTATGGTTCTGGGTGCGCACACCCCTCCACCCAATGTTGAAATCAGGCGCGCCTTGGCCCTGGTCACAACAACAAATGGATGTGGATGGATGGATGGGGTGTGTGTGGCCGGGTTGGATGGATGGAACGACAGCGAGGAAGGAGGGGCAGAAAGAAGAGAAAGGATCCGGGTGCGAAGAAAGTAGCAAAGAGGATGGAGGTGGTGGTGTGGGGATGCTTTGGTGCGATGCTCACGGTTGATAGGATGGGGTAAGGGTTGGTGGATGGAGGTGGATGGGTGGTAGGTGGTGGTTGTTGGTAGTGGTGGTAGTAGTACGGTGAGTGGTTGGTTGTATGAGAGTGCAGTTGTACGGTGGTGGGTGGTGGTACAGTGGTGGGTGGGAGAATGAGTAGTCGGCCTGGTGGGGACTCGCACTTAGTACTATGGGGGGTCTCTCAGGCGCGGGCTCTGCTGGGCGGGCGTGGGCGTCCAGTCAGCCAAACAGTGAAGGGCCCAGTGTTGTGAATTTACTCCCGTCCCACCAGGTTTTGCACCCGCCCCTGTGCTCCTGCGCCCTGCCTTGTGCTGCTGGCCTGCTGGTCGCACCGTACGTTCCTCACCCATTGCAAACCATGGGATCACTATGCCAAATAGTACTCTGCCAGTGCACTCTCTGCTCTCCTGCCTGGTACAGTCACGTGCAAGGATCACTCTGTGATCCACCCACGCTGGGGCTCGCTGGGGCTCGCTGGTGCAGTGCAGCACGTTGGTCACTGCAGTCCTTGGGTGCTGTACGCTGGCTGGAGCCTCTGCCTGGGTGCGCTGCATCACCCGGTCACCCAACGACCCACTCATAACGCCATCTGCGCTACCCGGGTCTCACATCCCACTTCTTATCAACGTCACCTACTTAACACTACTTGTCCACTTTCACATAGGAAGAACTTCAACTGCGCTAAGCCCACTGTCCCCGCTGCTTGTGGCACAACCCTCGTTCGAGAGGTGCAACGTGGTCGAAGCGTGGATCCAACTCGAACGGGCAGACGTCCATCTCCGTTTAACTTCATGTTGTTGTTGTTGTCTCACGCACCCTGACGTCATCCACACCCGACTTGTTGATCAACAAACAGCCTCCCGCAAGCGATGTACACAGCATCAAGATCACTAGCTCACCACATTGCACACTGAGCAAGCGGGAGTCCAACCTTACCAACAGAGAAATGTCACATGATCGACTTCCGCCATGATCTGCGATATCCAAGCAGTGATCGAGCAGCATCAAGCAGAGCGGAGCCTTCCTCGGCAGCAGAGAGCAAGGTGAGCAACTCGGAATATGAACCCATCGGCTGCACACAATCACATACACGCGGCTGTACCCCAGTCTTCATGCACATATCCGGCCAATTCCAACTCCGTCCGTGCCGTGGCGAACATGGCGAACATTGCAACATTACTGCATACGGGTTCAATTCACTCATTTAGCGTCTTGTCACGTCCCACTAGCCTGGGTTATGCAGGTCTAGACTGGCATGATCCGTGCAAGAGCGAGAGCGCGTCGAGGGTCGATTCAATTGGTCTCCGCTCATATCCCTCATTTGCCTCCCTCATATTCGCGCATTACGCGTTAGACAAGCTAACGCGTGGCGCGCCGGCTTCAGCCGCTGAACCCGGGACGGATCCTCGATCCCCCATGTCAATGCCTGCATGCCTGATACGGCAGCTTCGGCCGTAGCGTGTAGCTCGCCACGGTAGCGCAGCGGACACCGTCACAGCAGTGCTCCTGCGGCTCGCAGTGCACTATAGCCCAAGCTTGGAATCAAGCGAGCGAGAGCGGGGAAGTAAACATGCTCGTCGCGCCACCGGCTTGCACACTTGCACGTAAAAAGTCAGATGCGTCCAAGTCTGCGGAAGTACTGGAAGTAGCCCTCCGGATCCGCCTGTCCTGACTCGAGGCTATGCGCCGGAATGCTCAGCTCCTTAGTCTCGGGCACTTTGTGTGCTTAGGCTTAGCCTTACTTCTACTCCCTTGATTACCTGTCTCTGGACACCGGAGAATCCTCCGAGCTCATCTCTTGAGATCGTACCAACCCTTCAACTGTCAAAAGTGACTCTTCAGTCGCCGCCTCGTATGAAGGGATCGGAGAGGCCGGGAAAGGTGTATAAGACGCAGTGGACCGATCCATTGACGACTAGGAGAGCACGCCCTCTGTCTGTGCGAGTGGCAGTTTGGACTAATCATCCGTGCACCTCACACCTACATGCATACTACTGACTTGGACATGCATGCCGTCATAAGCCTGGTACCGCCAGCATCCTTCGTTCCCAGGACCCTGTGCTCTCCAGCGCTCCAGCGTGGACAGAGTGGCAAGTCGATTGAGACGGTCCAACTGACGAACATTCTGACCGGGAGCATCCCACTACTGCCCTCCTGACTCTTAATGTCTCCGCGCAGCTGCCCGCTTCCCTCCGCACTCTATACCGTTCTTGGCAAGTCGACAAGAACCCAGTTATAACCCAGGTAATAATCTGCGGAAGACGGACGACGGTTCAGGCAAGACGTTCAGGCGTGCGTCTGATCGGCAGGACGCGCGTCATACTCTCAAGTGTGCGGTCCGCGAGCCGGACGTGGCCGAGAGGGCGGAAAGATCGAGAGACTCCTCCTGCGATACCAATTGTGCGCGCAGCAAGTTAGCCCTCGTTCTCCACTCGTACACTGAACCCGCACAGGAGGACCCTGTGCCAAGGCCAGAGCCGCATCCCCAGATCGCAGTGATCTGGGTGGTGTGTGGTGTATTGTCAGAACACTGCGATCCGCCCAACATACTAACCGATGGACAGAATTGTCCGCCGCCATGTTGACGGCATGTCCTTCATTCTGCTGCCATCCTGCTCTTCGCATTCGTGAGACGCTGAGTTCTATCCGATATGTCCCAGCCTGCGCCCCGACACCAAACAGGTGTACCCAGAGTAAAGTGTCGTTCAAATGATGTCAAATCGTTTCATACCAGAACAACATACAATGAACGGAGAGAGCTTTTTCTACGAAACAAAGCAATCGGAGCGATCGATCCCTGGTTTGGTGTGTCGGGGGACAAAAAAGAAGCTGTTGACGGATGTTGGATAGTTGTGTGTGTGTGATATGAGTGTTGGTCGTGAAAAGCGCAAAAAAGTTGAGAAACGTAAAAGGTCGTGTAAGAGATAAAGCGGCGTTCAGATGCGGGGCAAAAAGATATGAGTGTCCTGGCCAGTCCCCTGGCCTCTGGCGGGGACTGGCCGCACATACTGTAAGCAAGGTCGTTAGAAGGCGATACGGTCGAGCGAGTGCCCGCGCGGCTGGAACGAGAGCCGGCGCAACGGGCGCACAATCTCGGGCATGCTCTTGATGCGGGGCACGGGCATGGAGAAGCGGCGTCCGAAGAGCACGCTGCTGCACTCTGGTTTCTCCTGCTTCTCTTCCACCTTCTTGATGGGCGGGAGGTCGTCCATCCTGTCCATCTTGAGATCGGTGAGGTGCGGCCCCCGCGCGCTCCGCTCGCGCGAGCGCTAGCCCGGGCACTGTTCCGCGCACTGGTGCGGCTGTTGCGCGCACTGTTGCGGGTACTGTTCCGCGCACTGGCACGCGCACTCCGCGCACTCGTGCGCCGGCTCGTGGCCGTCTCGTCGTCTGTCTCGTCGTCTGAGCTGTCGGTCGAAAAGTGCGACACGAGCCGCTCGCGCAGGAGCGAGCGGCGGCGGAAACTCGGCAGGATGCCGCTGACGAGCGAATGTCCTGTCGACGAGCGGTGGACGCTGCGCGCACTCCGCGCGCTCCGCGTGCTCTGGATCGTCTGCACGCTGAGCCGCTGGGGCGAGGACGAGCGTGTCGGCTTGAGCTCCGTGTCCATGATCTTGGACGAGACGATGAAGGACGCAGCGTCGGGCGAGCGGTGCGGGCGCAGCGGCGCGCCGAGCAGCTCGGGACTGTCCAGGTTTATCGGCTCCTCGGCGTACGTCTCCACCGAGGGGCGGCGCTGCACCAGGTTCACAATCAGAGAGCGCACCTTTCAGTGTCCGCCGCCGCTCGTGCTTCTTGGCGGAAGACGTCGACGCTATTGGCTCCCCGAGTCCAGAGGCGTTTCGCGGCGGAGACGATGTGCCAAGGTCGTTCAGCACTACTCCACTCGTCACTGTGTGCAGGCACGGAGACTGCGTCGTCGGCATCGGGTATGACGGCGGGCGTTTCGGCGCCGCCTGCTTCGATCGCCGCAGGACACTCGGTCTTCTTCGCGGCCCTGGTCCAGACTGCTGCTGCTGCTGCGCAAGTTGCGCCTGTACTTGCAGCTGGTCCGCGGACGCGACCGTCATGCGATAGTTGAACGAAGGCCCCTCGGGGATCGACGAGTATCGTAACGGGTGGGGATGGGGGTGGGATAGTGGTCGGAGCTGCGATTTCCTGCTGAATGGTGGCGAACATTGCAACATTACTGCATACGGGTTCAATTCACTCATTTAGCGTCTTGTCACGTCCCACTAGCCTGGGTTATGCAGGTCTAGACTGGCATGATCCGTGCAAGAGCGAGAGCGCGTCGAGGGTCGATTCAATTGGTCTCCGCTCATATCCCTCATTTGCCTCCCTCATATTCGCGCATTACGCGTTAGACAAGCTAACGCGTGGCGCGCCGGCTTCAGCCGCTGAACCCTCCTTCTTATCGCACGTTTCTCCCTATGATGAAATGCGGCCTTCGCCGGTCAGTTTCAGATCACATCCTGTTGCACCCTTTGTTTGTTTGGCCACATTTTGCTGCTGATACACGAAGTTTTAACTGCATACGCGCGCGCAACAACGGAACACCGAAATCAACGCGGAGCGACACACATAAGAGAAACGCGCGCGCAATATAAAAAAAGTGTTCTGGCTGGCCAGAGAATCGAGTTGAAGAGGAAACTTCTTGGCGGAAGACGTCGACGCTATTGGCTCCCCGAGTCCAGAGGCGTTTCGCGGCGGAGACGATGTGCCAAGGTCGTTCAGCACTACTCCACTCGTCACTGTGTGCAGGCACGGAGACTGCGTCGTCGGCATCGGGTATGACGGCGGGCGTTTCGGCGCCGCCTGCTTCGATCGCCGCAGGACACTCGGTCTTCTTCGCGGCCCTGGTCCAGACTGCTGCTGCTGCTGCGCAAGTTGCGCCTGTACTTGCAGCTGGTCCGCGGACGCGACCGTCATGCGATAGTTGAACGAAGGCCCCTCGGGGATCGACGAGTATCGTAACGGGTGGGGATGGGGGTGGGATAGTGGTCGGAGCTGCGATTTCCTGCTGAATGGTCGCCGCTGGCGAATCGATGGCCGCCGATAACTTGTTGATGGCGCTGGCGGCACCAGTGGGCGCGGGGGTGGCGGGGCGGTAGCCATTGTTGACGAGTCCTGGGTGCGCGGGCTACCGGAGTGAGAAGACAAGTTCCAGCCGATGATCGAGGTCCGCGGACGTTCGACGTCGATGAGAACGCAGGAATGGAGGAAGCGACTGAGGCGACGGGGACCAGCGCGATCGAGGTCGTTGCCGTGGCCGGTTCGTCGCGACATCCAAGCGTTCTCGAGCTCCCGGAGCTGCGATGATCGGTCGGGTGTCGGGAAGGATGGGGGTGGGGGTGGGGGTGGTGTTGGGTGATGTGAGAGTGATGGAACAGAGTGATGCGGTATGTTATATTACATCTGCGGCGCAAGAGAGCGCACAGAGATGGTCCTTGGTATGCTTGGGATGCAGGTCGGGCCTCAGGACATGGTACTGCGATACTACCTGCGAGTTGGGCGAGATGGGACCGTCTTGATCCCAGTGCCTGTGCGGGGTACCAGGGTCACACAGGGACGTTCAAGCTTGGGCCTCGCTCCGCACTCTCTCTCTCTCTTTGAGTTGAGAGATGCGTATCGATCCTGGCAAACACACGCCCAGCTGATGCTAGAGTTGAACAGTCGGCGCAGGTGGCCCAGGTGACCGCCTATTCACGGATGTCTTAGGAGAGGTTGGAGCCTTCCAGGGATCCCAGGCGGCGGTGGCGTAAGGTTCTGGCGTTGCAGGCGCTCCAGGCGGTCAGGCAACGGGCGGGGCGCGCGGCGGGCGACGCGATGAGGTCAAAAGGCTCGATAGGTCGTCTTGGTTGGTTTGTTGGTGTTGGTCGATCTAGCGATCTAACGCTAGGGAGCCGTGGCGCAGCAGTCCCAAGTCAGTCGAAGGATAACGGCCGTTTGCAGGGACAGAACTGTCCGAACCAAGTGGTGGAGGATTACAGGATACCGCAGGATCGCAACTCAGAAGAGGGCGCGAGGATGCACAGTGCAAGGCGCGAGGCGCACGGGTGTTGGGATGGGTATCAGGATCGCGCAGGATCGAAGGACCGGAATGCCGAGGGAGCGCGAAGGCGGGTGAGTCGGTGGACCGAGACTGATTCCCCAGATAGGCAACCAGCTGCCCGTCGGACCTTCGTAGGCTCCTTCTTCACAAGTTCGCGCAGCGCGTGCGGCGTGCGTGCGTGCGTCTATGCCGTGTCGTGACGAGGTAGCCGATCGCGATCGAACGCACGTTGAGATGACACCGGGTCACACAAAGAATGAGACGATGGCGAGCCGGTCGTAACAGGCAAGTGTTGCACGATGCAGAAGTCTGGAAGTACGGGATGTCTGGCGGCGGCGGCGGTGCGCGCTCTGCGCGTGCGGGCAGGCTGTGCGGCTGGGGGCAGGGGAGCTGAGACGACCTGGCGAGATTATTGGCCACTGGCTGATCAGGAAGAGTCGGAGACTTGTTGGTGCGCGCAAGATAGGAAGTTGAGGCGCGCGCGATTGATGGGGGGGCAGCTGGGCGCGATGGGCGCGATGGGGGTGAATGTAAAACCAGGCTAACGCAACGCGGTGTGACTAGAAAGAAAAATGTAGCAGAGCTAATGCATTTAGAGTTTGGGTGGAAGAGTGCTTGCCCGTGGCGGAAGAGCTCGCGAGGATGCAAGGAACAGCGTTTGTTGTTAGGACTCAGTGAAACCGGCCCAGCACTGAATGCAGGTGACAAGCACCACCACCCGCCGCGCATCGGTGTTCACGCGGCCTGCGGCCAGGAGACGACACCCCCCTCTCAGGCGCGTGCTCCAGGTCGGTGCCAGGTCGGCGGTTCGGGTTTGCCCAGTCGCCCCCCCAAGGGATCCCTGTGCAAGTGTGAATGGGAAGTGTAACGCGATGCATAACGCTGGCATCACCGGGCCACCCGGAGCGCCCGCATTCATCCTTTCAGGCCTTCCTCCTATCGCGCCTTGCGCCGGCAGACCGGAAAGCCCACTCCTCCAATCTCAGCCCGCTGCTGCCTACGCGCCTGTCAAAACGTGGCAATTCACTATCGACACCGACGACGCCTGTACCTCGCAATCCCTGTGGCGCTACCAAAATGAATGAATACCGTCCGGACTTGGAAAGTCTCCACAGAGAGAGAGAATGCAAGAGTGCACACGCGAGACGACGACGCGGAGATATTGTGCAAGAGCCGCTAGACGCCGGCAGAACTGTAACACCTACGAGCAACAAGAGAAAGCAGCCTTGTCCGTGCCAAGCTGGCCAAGCTCGGTCGTGGTCTGGGGCTGCAACAAGGTTTCCACCCCCGTGATGACGGTCGCTGGGGTTGCCCGTGCCTGAAGAGCTTGGATCTCTTGCCCACCGCATTCAGTGTACCTTTCGTGCTCTCGAGACATGAACCTTCTTCCCTCGTTCACATCTCTGCCCAGTCTGGGAGATACTCTGGATCTAAAGGCACGCTCCTAGGATCAAAGGTCGCGATGAACTGTGAGGGACCAGGTCAGCATGCGAGGCTTAGGAGGCTTGAGGGGAAGAGATCTGCTCGCGATGCGCGACACGCGTCGACGCGTCCCAAACGGCAGCCTGTTGCGCCTCCAAAGCTACATAGCTGCCGATGCTCCGGACATGGTGTGAACATTACTAAGCATGAATTGCCCAGACGCACTAAGCGTTGCTTGTTCGATGCCGGGATTCCGCAGTGTACGGCATGGCCCTCCTTTGTGGGGGTCCCTCTGTGACTCACCTCCTTGCCTGCGTTCCCTAGTCCAGAATCGTCGCTGCCTCCGGCGCCGGCGAACATGTCGCCTTCCCGGAACACGGCCGTCAACGCCCAGTTCTGGTAGCAGCGGGCCAGGGCGCAGAGTAATGTGACGGCCGCTTTTCCGGTGTCGTCATGAACAAGAATAGGATAGTTGCGGGTGTCGAGCACGATCTGGAGCGCCTCATACATCCTCTTCTTCCCTGAGGGCGTGAACAGCTCCTCGTCGTCGGACAGGTCAATGTGGTGCAAGTTAAGGTTATGCTGTGAGACGAAGTCGGCGCCGTCTGGCCGATACTCATCGGACCTCGCCACATAGCTGCGAAGGGATCAGCGACAGTCGCACATGGGCAATGAAGGGTCTGCCTGGAGAGGTAGGTGTTCCAGCACAATAAGCTCGCCCGGCTCCGATCCGTAAATGCCTCTGTCTCAGCCATGAGGCTCTGCAGTCCGGCGACGGCCGGCAGGCCGTATTGTTCGCTGCCGCGGGCGCCGAGCAGAGAGATCTCAAGAATACCATGTCCGCCGGCAGAATCAGAACAAGGCAAATGACGTCGCTGAATTGCCGATAAGGCCTCCACCGCAGGCCAGCGCCCACGAAACTAACGTGCGCCTCGCTCCAGCCTGTCCAGCCTGTCGGACGGGCATGCACATCATCGACACCGCATGCTCCGCAACGCTTTCCCGCAGACTCGGACATGTTACGGACGCCTCGCCCTCGCCGTGACTGCGCCGCAGCGCCAAGCGGCGTGGCTCCACCGCCAGCATCCTGAGACATGAAACGTTACTCACAGCACCGTCTTCAGGCCGAGCCTCTGCAGAAATCCGAAGTTTCTTCGGTTGGGATGCCCAGACCGATACACGCCGGGAGCCACGAGGGCAAAGTTGATGGGAGGGACCAGGACTGGTGGCGGCGTCAGAGAAGCGACGGCTGTCGGCCGGAGGGAAGGAGGAAGGGTCGTCATGGTGGAAGGGTGTGGGGTCGGCAGTTCGTGTGCTGGGGATCCGGCTTATCGGGCACGCGGGTGGTGATTTGGTCGAGTTCTGTATCTGATGGTAGTTGCTCTGAAGGTGGGGATGTCGAGGATGACGAGACGATGGAAGCTGGTGAACGTAGAGTAATGAAGAGTTGCGAGGAAGGCGCTAATTGTGGAGGTCGCCTGGACGAAATTCGGTGTGGCTCGGATCGGCCTCTTGATCGTCCTGTCAGTTAGCGTCACAGCTTGACATAGCCGGTCCGCAGTCGCGTGCATGATCTGCATCCTTCAACATGTTACATACAACATCAACAGTACATACATGGGTTAGTCTAGGTCTATCATGTCCTCCTCGTCATCCTGCCTGGGTGCCTTCGGTGCTGCTTGCGCTTGGACAGGAACGACAACGTTGGACAGCCTTTTTGGCCCCGGTCCACGACCAATTTTCGGGTTGGAAGCACCTCGAAGAGATGCAAGCGATGCGAGCTGCAGGTCAGCTCACTATCGAGAGATCATAAACTTACCCTCTTTTCGGCGTTCTCATTTCTTCTGCCGGTTGGGTCGAAGCCAATGTTCTTGATCGCCTGCGCAGAGTAGACGCGCTTGGTCTTCTCCTCCCAGCCGGGCTCCTTCTCGTTTGTCGGCGCTTTGCCCAATGCTTGCAGGTACTTGGCACCTGCGCTGGTGCCGTCGCCGTTCTTCTCGAACATCCGCGATAGGGCAGCCTCTGCCTCTGCCACTTCCATCTTGCGCTTGCGCTTCATAGCCGTGTTGCGGCCAAGCTTGTTCGCGAGGTCGGGGTCGCCAATTGGGGCAAGCGCGCCGTCTGTCCTGCCGATTCGGGCGACACCGCTGCCGACAATGTATGTGGCACCACCGCCGCCGTTCTCGGCTCCTCTTGGGGCGGCTCGCGCGCCGTCCCTCGGAAGCAGTCCCGTCTTACGAGACGGGTCGTACTTGTCCAAATTGGCGTTGCCGAATCCACCGCGGCGGCCCATCATCGGTCGATCCGTGAGCTCGAAAGCCGTCGTGGCACCCGCTAGCGCGCCGCGCCCACTCCGACCCCGCTTCACCGCGGCATGTATATGGTACTCGCACACCTGACCGAGGCGCAGGTCGATCCACGTACGGCACCGAGACCCGTCTCTCTGGTTAGCAGTGCAGCGGCCCATGTCCATCGCTTGCCCGATGTAGCTGATGCAGTCGGCGGATGCGGGATTCAGCGCTAGAGGCAGGGTCAAGGGGTGTGGGGTGCCGCCGGCTTTGAGTGGGCGGAGAACTCGCGGGTTCAGGAGCGCGATTACGCTTCCAACACCGAGGTTGCACCATTTCTCGTAAGCACCGCCCGAGCCCCCGCGATAGCTCCTTGTCTCATTGCCCTCGTCGTCCGTTCCGTTGACAATGCTATCGGATTCGAACAGCAGTAACTGAAGGTGCGCATCGCCGGAAATGGTGTTTGATCCGAGGGTCTTATTGCGAGGAGGGAGGGCGACAAGCTTCAGGTTGATGTACTTGCGAGGCTTTCTCTTCTTGTTCTCCTTCCCCTGCTTGCCTTGCTTCTTCCGCTTCTGATGTTGCGGTTGTCGGCCATCTCCGTCACTGCCGTCGTCATCATCGTCCTCGTCGTCGCTCTTTACGTTGCGCGTTCCGCTGACGCGGATGTCGCCACGTTCTGCGACGACAGCGATGGTGACCCAGTCACCCTCGACCGGAATGTCATAAGTCGCACCGTCTCGCGACAGGCGTGCGATAGAGTAGACCTGGGGCGGGCGCAGGAAGAATCGGCCGCGGATCAGATCCTGCACGTCCTCGTGCGGGAGCACACGTTTCGACAGGCGGATGCCGGAGTTGGGTTCCAGGGCACGCCAGACTTCTTCGCCCTCGGGGTCCTTTCCAAACTCGCGCGGCCCAAGTTCGAGTTCATGGTCGAGCGTGAGGTCTTCGGCTCGCTCCGTCCCCGTGCGCACAATCTCGAGGTCATCGCCGCCGGGGCTGATGGACTTGGACGGGGCGCCCACGGGCGTAGCAGATCTTGATCCCTCACGCGACGCTACTCGGTCCTTGAACGATGTGCTGCGCTCCACAGAGGGAAGCGATGGGAGCTTGTCGGACATGGCCTTGCGCGCGGCGAGCCTCTCCAGCACAGTCGACTTCTTAGGCGCCTGCAGGAGGTCGACGTGGTCATTCTTCGGGGCTGTTGGTCGTGGGACGAATACAGGCTGCCTCGGCTTCTCCGGTAGGGGTATGCGGCCCTTCTCCTTGTCTGCTGTCAGCTGTGTTGAGTGTAGTGAAGCTTACCCTTCGTTGGCGTCGCGCCGATCAGGACCTTGGCCGCGGACGCCTCAGCACGCCGCTGCTCCGCCTCGGCCTTCGCCATACGCTTGGCGCGCTCTTCCTGAAGTCTTGCTATTTGCGCATTGAGGTCGGTGGTGTCGAGGTCGGCCATGGTAGCCGAAGTTCGTGTAAACAGATGACGGGTTGGGTGCCGTCATGAACCGGACGCGTCTGAATGTGTGGACGACGCGTGAATTTTGCTTCCGGGTGGCGAATCTGGTTGGGTGGCAAGGATGTGGCGCCTGATTTCTTTCGGGTGTCTGTCCGCCAGCGTCCCTGTCTTCAGTCCTATGTGCAGTCTGTTCTGCTCGTGGTGGTGTAGTTTGGTTCTGCATGCTGCGGCTTCTTTGACCGGGTTCCCGCATTCCTGTCTTGTTTGCGTGACGACGCATTTTGACTGGCACTTGCCACGAAAACATTAATCTGCGGGACGCACACTGCGTGCCACACGCATTGCAGGTGCTCGCGCCGGGGAAAGCACTGACCCGGCAGACGATAGCAGAGTGTAAGGAACACGAAAGCCGATAACTTCTCAGTCCCCATATGAGAATCGTGTGACTATTGCAACTGAACGTCGGGCAAAACTACCTCGCAGACTTCTGGGACACGCGAGCCAGCACTATGAATTCTCACTTCTGTCGTACTCCAACCACGCCAATAAGGATTCCCCGGTGCCTAATACTGATACATGCTTCTGTGCAGTCTATTTATCTAGATGTTCGTCTTGATCCAACCCCAAACCCCCTTCTCCTCGTCCTTCGGATCCTCTGGGATGTCCAGAGAGAAGCCAGTCTTGAAGTCCATGTCCTTGAACTGGATCTGCTTCGACCTGTGCCAGATCTTGTACCCCAGCAACAAAACAAGGAAGAAGGGTATGCCAAAGTACGTCGTGATGAAGCCAGAGGTGTTGAAGCTGTGAATGAAATTCGAGAAGCCCGAGAACACAATGACGACGATGGACACGACGAGCCCATACCAGCTCAGGTACGGCTGCAGGGGAGCGCGATACGGCAGCGTGGCGCGGTCGATGCCCTGCCTCTTGAGTCCTTTGTTAAACCTGATGCACGTGTACAGGATGACGGTCCAGGTCAGCATGCCGCACACGGCGCACATGTTTGCAAAGTATCCGAACGCGGTGCCAGCCGACGAGTCGTTCGAGGCAGCAAAGAAGGACAGCGGTGTGAACACGGCGCAAATGCAGACGCAGACCCACGGCAGACCGTCAGACTTGCGCGTCTTGCCGAGATACTTGTCGAGGAAGCGGGGCGTGACGCCGCGCACGTAGAGTCCATACAGCGTGCGACTGGAGACGTAGAGGTCGCAGATCGCCGCGCTCCACGCACTAGTCAGGAGGGCGGCGTTCACGATCGAGGGTAGGGCACGGATACCCGCGCGCTGAATCGCGATGACGAATGGTGATCCGGCAGCCGTGCTCGCCAGGTCGAGCTGCGGGTCGTCCGGCGAGACGAGCATTCCGATGACGAGTGCACCGATGATGTAGAACAGCGCGAGGCGGATCCAGACCGTTTTGATGGCGCGCGGGACGCTCTTAGCGGGGTTGCTCGTCTCGGCCGCCGCGAGGGCGGACATTTCGGTACCGATGAACGCAAACGCGGCCGTGATAAGCACAGAGAAGAAGCCGAGGAACCGGCCCCACGCTCCCGGAATGCCCTTGTACTGCACGAAACCGCCCGTCTCGTGCCAGAACCGGAAACCGATGCTGGTATGGTCTGGGCCACCGCCAGCCGTGATCACGATACCGACGATGATGAGGCCGACAATGGTGATGACCTTGATGGAGGCGGCCCAAAACTCGCACTCGCCCCATGCCTTTGTGCCGAGGAAATTGACGAGGAGGACAACAATCAACATCAACCCCACCCACATAGCGTTGTTGCACACGCCCGACGTGCACGTCTCAGACGGTTTCGTCCAGTACGTGATAAGCACGGCGCCGGCCGACATCTCGGCTGGCAGGAGAACTGGGAGTGTCAGCAAACGCCTCGCTTCAACGTAGCGTCATCACGTGACCGCCCTCCGCCCATCTTCGCATTTGGACAAGGGAGTCGTTGGACTCGAGGAGACACTCACCAATGTAGCAGTACCAGTACAGCCAGCCGACGGCGAAGCTGAGCTCCGGGCTCGAGTACCGTCCAATGAGGGAGACATGTCCTCCGGCGATGGGGAACGCGGCGATCATTTCTCCCAGACCGACCATGACCGAGTACAGCAGACTGGCCATGATGCAGTAGCTGATGAGCAGACCCGCAGGACCGCCATTGTGCAGGTTGCCCGCTGTTCCGAGGAAGAGTCCTGTTCCAATGACACCGCCAATGACCAACATTTGCCTGAGGGGATCAGCATTCTTCCGACAGTGGTTCCGAGGTTCCGAAGTTCTCGCGTGGAAGTCTCATGATTGAGCACTCACACATGTCGCGGCTGACGTTAGCACGTATTTAGAGGGGCGGGCATACCTTCAGATTCCTCTGCATCTCGACATGGTTCGGGTCGACATGATCCGTCTTCTCGACGTAGCTGTCTGTCGACGGCGTGTCCGTCCGCGGTATTCTCTGCTCTGTCAGCACATGCCGGCGGCAACGGGTGATCACATGTCCACTTCGTCATCTCGCCGTTGACAACGTCGACACTCACCTGGTCCGATTCTATTCCGGTCGTCATGGTCGTGATATGATGTACAAAGTCAACCCCCCGCACCCACTCAGCTTCGCGCTTGACTCAGATCCAGCAGAAATCTGGCTCATGTCAGCACCTGCGGGCCGCATGCTGGCGCTGGTTGGTCAGACGGCACGGGCAGGGCGAAAAACGTCAATGCTCCTGAAAACTTGCGGCCGCACTGTGCGGACACCAGCGAACACGGACGCGGAGTCGAAATTTCTGTGTGCGGGGGTAGGCGGGCCTGATCGTCGCGGCTAGTGCTCGCACGAGCAAGCGGAGGAGGCTGACATGGACGCGGGCTATGCAGATCTGTCTCAGCGTGCGGCCACGATCGCCGGCAGCTTGCAGTTAGGTCCGTAAGCCAACAGTGTAGCGCTATACTGTGCTCACACGAGTGGCAGTTCAGCTGAACAAAAAATTTCAGGTGTCGGCGCAGACATCATCGTCCGCAGCAACATTCCGCAGCTCCCTGATAACCTGACACTGCAGACAGATCGAAAAAACTAAGCCTCGTATGGGGCTCGAACCCATGACTGTGTGATCAATCGGCTTTATTGCGTAAGAGTCACACTATCTACCGACTGATATAACGAGGCTTGTGGTGGGAAAAACCGCGGCTGTTGATAACGCGTCGACGCGACACACGCTCGATGGCGGCGCCGGGCGCGGGGGACGTTATTGGAACCTCTGTGGGCTTATTTGAGGGGATATGAGGGAGGAAGAGACACGGGAGAGGGCAAGTTGAGGTCGGGAACAAGGCCGATGTGCATGAAACACGGGCGCGGGATGCAATTAATTGCACGCGCAGGTTACACGTTTCAAGGGCGCGGTCACTTCGGACATGTGCTGCGCGCTGACGTCAATCGAGGGTCTGGGCTTACGACGATCGCCCGCGTCCACTTTGTCCTGGCCATGTCTTGGGCGTGTTTTTGGGTTTGTCACATTGCTTGGTCTTTCTCCTCTTCATTCTCATCTCTTATCTCCTGATTGTGCTCCATTCACTCGCTCTCACGAACTCCCACGTTCCCCACGTTCCCCACGTTCCCCACGTTCCCCACGACCCCTACCACCTTCTCTCTTCCCAAGACCACGGCCCTCAAGGCCACGACCACCACGAGCAATATGAGCTGCGACGGCGACATTGTCGGCAAGATCACGACGGGTTACCAAGGCTGGTTCACATGCGAGGGCGACGGCTCTCCCATCGGGGGCTGGTGGCATTGGGCGCCAGACCGACTGAAGAACTGCTGCTGTCACAACAAGGGCTTCATCTCGTGGCCTGCCATGTCCTACTATCCGAAGAAGTACGACACGGGCTTCCAGCCGTATCCGAACGGCGAAAAGTCACAGCTCTTCTCGTCTTACGACCCGTGCACGATCGACGTGCACTTTGACATGATGGCGTACGCCGGCATCGACACGGCGGCCTTCCAGCGCTTCAAGCCGTATCCCGACGGCGAGGGACCGGTGCGCAATGCGATCACGCCGCACGTCGCGGATGCCGCGGACCGGCACGGCGTCAAGTGGTACTGCATGTGGGATGTCGGCGGGTGGACGGGGATGAAGGACGAAATCCCCGCCGACTGGACCAACATCATGGGCGCCTACGCCAACAGGCCCATGTACGCCAGGCAGGACGGCAAGCCCGTCGTCGCGATCTGGGGCTTCGGGTTCCCGGACGACGGCCACGCCTGGCCGCCCGAGGAGTGTATCTCGGTCATCCGCTGGCTGCAGGCCCAGGGCCTGTATGTGATCGGGGGCGTGCCGACGAACTGGCGTGAGGGCGTCTCGGACTCGCGTCCGGGGTACGACGAGGTGTACTATGCGTTCGACATGATTTCGCCCTGGATGGTGGGCCGGACGGGGGAGACGAGGGGGTTGGACCAGTTCTTCGTCTCGCACAACGCGCCGGATGCGCAGGCCCTAGGCGCAAGAGGGGTGGACTACCAGCCGTGCGTGATGCCAGGCGACCTCTCGCAGGGCGCACGAAGGCATGGCGACTTCTACTGGCGGCACATCTACAACACGTGTCGCGTACGCGACCTCAACGCGACGCGGGTGGGCATCTACGTCTCCATGTTTGACGAGTACAACGAGGGCAACCAGATTGCGCCCACTGCGGAGAGCCGCGCGCAGCAGCCGGCCGATTTCGACTACAGGGCCCTCGACGAGGACGGCGTGCAGTGTACCGCTGACTACTACCTCCGCCTGACGCGCGACGGAGGGGACATGTTCAAGCGCCGCGCGCCGCTTCGGGCCCTCCGCTGGACTGAGCCCTGGCCCGGCAAGGGCCCCATGAACCTCAACCGGCCCGTTGCGCTGCGCGCCTTGGTCAATGGCAAGCTCGTGTGCGCCGAGAGCGGCGGCGACCGGCCACTCGTCTCCAACCGCGACACTATCGGCGGATGGGAGAGCTTCTTCATGGAGTACCCTGATGCGGAACAGAAGACGGTTCGCTTCAAGGCGTGTAATGGCAAGTACGTGTGTGCCGATATGGGCGTGCCGAATCAGCCGAATGGGATCTTGATTCCCAATCGCGACCGCGCAGGAACATATGAGACCTTTGAGGTGTACCAGATGAAGGACGGGATCGCGCTCAAGGCACACAACGGCAAGTTTGTCCAGGCCACCGAGGGCGGGAATGGCAAGCTCGTCGCGTGCGCGGACCAGCCGGGTTGGTGGGAGACGTTTGACATTGTCGAGAACTAGACAGGCAGCATTGTATATAGAGCAGACAACAATCAAATATGCATGGACACGAACAACTAGAGTACCGGAAGGGAAAGAATCAGCTACAGGACACAGGGAACACACCGCCGCTGTCATGCCAGCTAAGTTGTTCACGGAGCAGCTCACCCCGTGCAAGAATGTGCAGGTTATAATGTACTCGCTCAGCTCCGCCTGAAATCAGCTGGCGGAAGGATTTTGCAGCGCACCTATTGCAGCCACTTATCTGTCATCAGCTCGAGCGCACAGCGAGACAGCTCACCTCAACGACTCAAGGGTAATCACTCGCTCCCCTCCTCGACCTGCCGTCAGCTTGAATCCCTTCCAGCCAGCTCACCTTCTCCTTCTTGGACCGTTTCTTGGTCTTGGTCTCCTTTGCCTCCTTGGGCTCCTTCTCCTTCTTGGCCGCCTTGGGCTTGGTACCCTTCACCGTCACGTTCAGCGAGATCTGTCATCAGCTAGACGCCGACCCCATAGCTGCTCACCGTAACTTCGACGTCGCCATCGGGACCGGGCACTTTGGTGTTCTTGCTCGCGGTCCAGCCGTATGATCTGGGGTCAGCTTAGTTTGACCGGCTCGAAGCTGATCGTGAAAGGTCGCCTTACCCGGTCGAGAACTCCTTCGGCTTGAGCTTCATCGCGACGCCGGCCACAGTCGCGTCCAGAGCCTTGGCGCGGGCGACAAAGTCTCCACCGGTGGCATCTCCGTTGACCTTGGCCTCCTCCGCGGGGGCAGGCTCGGCCTCAGCCTTGTCGGCCTTGTCGGCCTTGGACTTGCGCGCCTTCTTCGCCGGCGGCTCGCTCGCCTCCCCCTCCATCGGCGCTGCGGCCTTGGGCTTCGGGCCCGGCTTCTCAGACTCGGGCGCCTTCGAGACGGCGGGCTCCTCGGCGGCAGGTTCCGCCTTCTTGGAACGCTTGGAAGACGGCTTGGGCTCGTCGGTCTTGGAAGACTTGGCGACCTTCTTCGTCGAGGACGACGTCTGATGTCAGCTACTGAGCGAGAAGGAAGGCAGCGACAGGTGACGCTGGAGGGAGGGAGGAAGTGTACCTTTGTCGCCACCTTGGTTGCGGCCATGGTGGAGGACTGTGTGGGGTGCGAGGGCGGAGCACGGGTGCGGGTTGTGAGAGCGAGATGCGAGACGACTCGGGCGGCGAACAGGGCAGTATAGAGGGGGAGAGGCGAGTGTTTTGGTCAGTTGATGATGGAGGGGGGCTCAGCGCACGGCGGTTTGGGCGGCGTTATTGTTTGTGTTGACCGTCACCTGCCTAGGGACCGTGCGTTGGCCACCGGGCTGGAACCGACTACCACGGCACGCGCTATCGTGTGCGCCCCCCCGGATCCGCGCTACCAAAAGAGCTATAATGGGTCATGATCACATTGCGTTGGACTAGACGATACAAAATTGCAATAGGTTGTGAGGGATGTATGTGCGTGAGAGTCGTCGCTTGGACATGAGATGGTTGCCACAAGAGTGTATGCAGGGACGTTGCCCACTTGCCCGATGCTCTGGCGAGCTCTCGGCTCAGCCTTACAGGCGCGGCTCGCTCTTGGGGCTCGCAGGTTAGTGAGCCATGGTCACCGGACCACCATCGCTCTTCCGATCCGGCGGAAGGAGCAATGAGCAGAACGCCGTGAAGACGTAGATGACCGCGACACTGAGCAGCGGCAGCGTCTGGGACATGGTGAGGAGGATGCCCGCCGTGACTGGCGCAATGACGCCAGTGAGTCGGGACAACGCCGCCGACGTCCCGCACGCCGTCCCTCGGATCTCCGTCCCAAACGTTTCGGGCGTCATGCCGTCTGTGAGTGGTTAACGACGACACTCCATCAACCAGAGAAGGTGTACTCACAAAGAACAGCGTACATCGCCGTACCCGTCAGACTGATGAACATGCTCGAGACAGTCAGCGCCATGCCGGCGCGCACGCCGACGAAGGCGAACACGCTCACTGCCGTCGCAATGGTGCAGATGGCGAGGGAGCGGCGGCGACCAAGCTTGGTCTGGATCATCCACGCGCCAATGACAGAGCCCGGGCATCCCGCCAGCGCATACAGGACGAGGTCCCAGAGCCCGCTCCTAATGGCGTCCGGACCCGTCTGGCGGCTCTCAAGCACGGCGGGGAGCCACACATTGAACATGGTGTATGCGAGGGCCATCGCGCCCCAGATAATCCACATCAGCGTCACGGTCCGACGCCACTTGGGGCTGAAGAGCTTGCTCATCTGCCCCGCGAACTCGTGGTACCACTTGCCCTTGCTCCGGTGGCGGTGGCCCGCCTGCTGTGCGCGGAGCGACGTCGGTGCGACCGGGGATACGGGCGGCGACATTGCAGGCGACGCGTGCATGAGTGCGTCCCGCTCGCCGTCCGGGTCCGCCTGCGCCATTGCCACGTCCTGGTGCTGAATGTCGAAGCCGTCCTCGTTGTACTTGGCGATCGCGCGGAGGACGACCATGGCCTCGTTGTGCCGCCCGTTCGTCACCAGGAACCGCGGACTCTCATACAGGCGGAACAGAATGCTGCGGCCGATCGCGCAGAGGAGGTTCTGAGGTCAGCTCGTTGGTACGTTAAAGTGAGCTGTGACAGCCAGCCGTGACAGCTCGTCACCGTTACTCACGAAACAGCCCAGGGTGAAGAGGACGTGGCGCCATCCGTCATTCGCGCCACCGTGAATGTCGCACGGCTCATCCTTCCTGCAGCTCTTGCCAGGGAGAAGCACCAGTCCCACGACAGCAGATAGCACAGCGCCAAAGGAGAAGAACACACTGAGCAGCGTGAGGAGGTACTGCTTCGAATGCGGCAGGTTCTCGAGGAACAGCGTTCCGTCTGTTGGCATGGAGCCCCTGGGTCGTCAGCTGGCGGTGGTCGTGGCAGCTTACCCAACGGCCGTGCCCATCAGTGAAAGCCAGACACAGAGCACGGGGAAGGACGGGGAGAACGAGCCTGCGATTCCAAAGATGGCAGTCAGAAGCAGCGTCGAGTGGAACGGAAGCGCCCGCCCGAGTATGTCTGACACGACGCCCCAGCCGACGGCGCCGATCATCATCTGGCGTTAGCGCGAGCGGCGAGCGCAGCGAGCAGTCTTCTCCCTCTCAACAAGGACAAGCAGCCCTTGTGCTGTCGGCACAGCGGCCAAGCCTGCCGGGAGGCGGACGATCATTTGGCTCGCCCAGCTCTACTCACCCCAGCCATCATACTAGCACTGAGCACGCCGGCCGTCTCGCTCCCAAGCCCGAAATGCACGCTGACACGGGGCAGGATGACGGCGATGCACGCCAGCGCACTCGCATCTGACATCCACCCGCATCCGCACAGCGCGAACAAGCGCCACTGGTACGCTCCTGCATTGTTAGCTGGTGCTGCGTACAAGACTAGCTGGGGAATTGAGAAGATCTGGCGGAGATCTGACCCACGACAGCCGTATTGGCCGGGATGAACCGAGTGACGTGCCAGAGCTCGTGAGTGCGAATGCTCAGCGCTCAGAGTGAGGAGCAGATCACCGTCTTCCAATGATCTGTCCCATTTGTGCGCAGCGGCGTGAGGGATTAAGTCGTGCTTGTGCATGCACGACTGGTCGCACTGAGCCCACCAGCAATCCTTACACCGCGCCAAACAAAAACAAACGGGACGACTCACCGAAACCGAGCTTTTCGAGGGTCTGCTCGAGCCCGCGCTGCTCGAGGACAGAGCGGACTGCCTCGTCGGCCTCAGCCTCTGATGTCGGGGGCGACGGGGGCGAGTCTCGCGCGTCGCCTGCCATGCTTTATGAGTGAGTGGGCGATGCGGAGGAGGAGAGATGGTGGAGGGTTGACGGAGGCATCGGACACGTAACTTACGGCTCACTCAGATGACACCGCAGCACCGCACCCCGCACCGTTGCAGCGGTGACCTCCGTTTCAGGGGCTGGCTGGGCGCCGATGCCGTGCCTTGCCTCTGTTCTTGCGCCGTTACCTGTTACCGAGTGTGGGGGGTGGAGGTGGAGGTCCCTTGGTCCCTTGCCACCGGTATCAGAGATACGGCTATTCGGCATCCATCCAGAGTTGGGAGCCAAGCCAACGGTCCGTGCAAGCCGTGTTTGCGCGCGATAGTCGCCTCCATTGTTAGTCTTGTCTTCCCCGTTCCTCCTCTCTTGTCCAGCTCTCCCATCTTCTCACCCCTTTCGCCAAGGGTACCAGCAACTGCTGGCCCCAAACGACACACTCGGTGCGACAACATGCCGCTCACGATAGAATCCTACCCTCACATCGCCGAGGCCATCATCCTCTCCGCCTCCGCCTCGACCCTCCTCGCCCTCCGACAAACCTGCACCTGGTTCAAATCTCTAGTCGACCCGTTGCTCTACTCGCATCTGTCCCACGAAATTGCGACAGATTCCACTCACACAATCCCCCTAGGCCTGCCCGTCGACCTCTGGTCGAACCCCACCGCCGTCTCCTCCCTCGGGGTCCTCGACCTCCATTTGGGAGCGTACAACGACCCCAACACGATCGACATCGATCTGGACGATTGGGACGGGGACGAGGACGCCTCCGAAGTCTCCGAGGAATGGAAAGAGGACACGGCGCGCGTCCTCCCGCGCGCCGCCAATCTGATGTATGCGGTGCTGTATGGCAGCCACACGACCGTTTTCCGACATGTGCTCCAGAATCGCCACGTGCCGACTCTCATCTGCCCCGTGAGACAGAAAGACTTTAGGACGGACTGGCTCGGCGTGTCCCGAGCTACGGTTGGAGCATTCGTGCCCACGAACCGGGTTTGGGTTGTCGCCGACCAGGGTCCGCGCGGGGGCGTGCTCCAGATACAGCTGTTTAAGGAGAAGCCGCTAGCCGTTACTGTCGTCATTCTTCCTCCTGATCCGAGTGCGGGTGGGGATAGAGGGGGACGAGCGGGGGAAGCCGAGGGAGCTGAAGGAGGGGGAGAGGACGAAGAAGGAGATGACGGAGATGACGGAGAAGACGGAGAAGACGGAGAAGGCGGAGAAGACGGAGAAGACGGAGAAGACGGAGAAGACGGAGAAGACGGAGACGAGGAAGAAGACGATGAAGACGAAGGAAACGGAGGACACGAAGCAGGAGATCGGGACACGTTCTACTTCTACGACTCTTTAGTCGAGACGGCCGCCTTCGAATCGACCGACACGTCCTCCTTCGCCATCCAGACGCCCGACGGGGAACCATACCCCGATACACCAGCCACGTTCCTCATCGTCGGTCTCGAGGCGTGGAACGTCTCCCACCCTCTACAGGATGAGTCATGGGAGTCCAAGTTCCGGCGCGACTTTGCGACAAACGCGGCGCAGAGGTACGATCCCGACGATGCTGAGAGTCACCTGAATCGGCTGAGGATGTGTACCCTTGATGAGTGGAAGAGGAGCGTTACGGAGGAGGAGTGGGACATTGTGCAGGGCGTGGAGCTGTAGGACCGCAGCCGCAAGATAGGAAGCAGAATGCATTGGGGAATTCGTACACCGGACCATACATAATCTAGTGATAGAGTAGAGCTTGGAGAAGAACTGAATACACGTCTGCCATCGGGCAGACGATTCTAGGATACCTCGCACCTCCGGTGCTCGGCTTGGGGCTTAGCGGCGCTCCTTCACGAACAGCTCGAGCACGAGATAGCTCGCGACGATGAACACGAGGAACACCACAATCAGCAGCGTCGTGTCCGGGAACCAGAACGCCTGCGCGTGGAAGCCGAATGAGGACAGGACTGTTGTCAGCTACAGCCGGGCACACCTAGCTGGATTGACTCACTAGTGGCGGACGGAACCCTAATGTCGAGGCCGAACTTGCGCTCGACGAGCTGGAGGTAGCGCAGCTCGTTGACGAGGAGCGCCTCGTACGCCGCGTGGAAGAAGGAGAGCGTCTGCATCCACTTCAACCCGTTCGGGACGCGGTCGTAGTTCATCAGCAGACCTGCGAAGAGGAGGCTGGACGTCAGTTGGTGCGCATACGATCAACTCACTTGTACAGCATGACGAGCGAGCCGGTCAGGTTCGCGACGCCCGTGTCGGAGATGGCGACGCTGAGGAAGAGCACGATTGAGGCCGCGGCCAGGTTGAAGAGGACCAGGATCATGATGAACTTCCAGTAGCACGACATGTCCGGGTTAAGGCCCGCGAGGCCGTACACGATCGATCCGAGGATGAATGGAGGGATGACGCGGAGAGGAATCACGTCGAACAGCACCTTGGCCAGGAAGTAGGCTCCAGATGAGTAGTATCCGTTCGCGCTGGGGTTAGCTCGAACAGCCGTCTTAGCTAGAGAGGTTACTCACCGCTCACGCATGAACAGCACGCGCTCTGTCGAAAACAAACCGACAGCCGACAGCGTCGAGAAGCCGAAGAGCGACAGGATGAACAGGAAAAGACCGAGACGGTTTCTGTTGTTAGCTCGAGTCCGACAGGAAAAGCTTACTGGAATCCCGGGATGTCGTTCGTGACGTGGTAGAAAAAGAAGCCGCAGAGGAAGCCCGCGCAGATCGCGACGGCATAGTGCGCAGCCATGAGCATCGGGTTGCGGTAGAGGTTTCGGAACGCGCGGCCGGAGAGCACCTTGAACTGTGTCCAGAAGCCCGCCTTATCGTACCCCTTCAGCATGGCCGTCTCCTCGGCAACATCCCGCTGCTCGCCGCCGTTCGGCGTCTCGCCAGTCTCGATGCGGTGCACCTCCGCCTCGACAATCTTCATGTCGTCGCTGCCGCGGCACGCGAGGACGAGCGACGCCAGCGCCTCGGGGATCGGTGTGACGGACTCGGCGGGCGTAGTTGTGCCAGACGTCGAGGTGAAGGCGCCGAGAAGCTTGGCAGCCTTCATCTTGATGCCACTCTGCGAGACGGACGCCTCGTCGTCAGTCGAAGTCGAGCTGCTCTGCGCCGCGCGACGAGAGAAGCCAGCTTCGGGGTCCTGGACGCCACCATTGCCACCGGTATGGGCGGTAGGGAGCCCGTTGCCACCGGTCATCTTGCGCGCGTCGCCGGCCGCATCGACAGTCACGTCAATGACGTAGTCAGCAATGTTGTAGCCAGGCGGGCAGGGGTATCCGTTCGACTCAAAGTGCGCCTGGGCATTGCTCTGCTTGCCCGAGAAGACGAGCTGTCCCTTGGCGAGGATAAGGAGACGGTCAAACAGCGCTACAATGTTGGATTGAGGCTGGTGGATCGTGAAGATAACAGTACGGTTGTACTGCTTCGCGAGCGTCTTGAGCGCATCGATGACATTGTAGGCGTTGTACGAATCGAGGCCCGACGTCGGTTCGTCGAGGAACAGAATCGAGGGTCCGGTGACCAGCTCGCACGCGATGGAGACACGGCGCTTCTCGCCGCCCGAGATCGAGCGCTTGCCACTCTCGCCGATGCGGGCGTCCCTAATGCCCAGGATTCCGAGCTCGTTCATCGTCTCAAGCGTGCGATAAACCTTGGCCTCATAGCTCATCTCGCGAGGAAGGCGGAGCAACGCAGAGAACAGGACGGTCTCGTACACCGTCAGAGTCGGGAGAAGCGTGTCCTCCTGGTCGACGAAGCCCTCGATGCGGCGGAACGTCGAGTTGTCGATCGTCCGTCCGTTCACGTACATCTCGCCCGACACCTTGCCAGTCTTGCTCTTGCGGGCGAGAATATCGAGCAGCGTCGACTTGCCCGCACCGGAAGCTCCCATGATGGCGAGCACCTCACCGGGGCGACACGTGCCAGTGACGTGCTCCAGGATGTGCTTGCCCGAGGGAAGAGTGTAGGAGATGTTAGAGAAGTGCAGCGTCGCCGGGACGTGCTCGGCCATGAGGCGCGCCGCCTCGTCCTCGGGGAGCTTGATGCCGCTGAAACCGGAGGCGTCGTTATTGCGGCCCATGTACCAGAAGACTGGCGTTAGTTCATACGAGGCGAAGTGAACTCACAAAGACAGGCAGCGAGGAAGAGGGATACACTCAGCGCGCCCATGAGCGCAATGAACTTGGTGTTGTCGGGCTGCGCCGGGGGAACGTATCCGGGGACCTGGGAGTAGTGGACACACTCGCCCGACTCGCAGTCGAGCGTGATCGAGCTATCACCGAAAATGTCGTTGATGAGCTTGTTCATCGCCGGCTCCTCGAACGTGCAGCCCTTGCCCGAGATGCAGTTGAAGCTTCCCGGTCCTCGGACCTCCTCCGTAAGGAAGTCGTCGATGTTGACACTGCCGTTCTCACCACAGAGGAAACGGCCGGGGACACACGCGCACTCAATGTTTTCGCACTTGTAGTGCGTCTCGTTGGCGCCTGAGGTCAGCTACGACAGCGAGAGTGATGAAGCTGGACACTCACTGACGGTCTGGTCCAGCTCCCACGTGCACTCGGTCAGCTTGCAGTAGAAGGACTCGATGCGGTCGACCCAAAACTGGAAGCCGCAGGTACCCTTCTCGTTCCCGATCGCGGTGGGGTCGTACAGGCTCATGATGTCCGAACCGTTCGCGTGATGTCCACCCGCCTCGCACGAGAATGTGACCTGCGGCGGCTTGTTGTCGGGGATCGTGTCGCGGATCTTCCGGTTCGTGACGTCGCACATCTGGAAGTTGCGCTCAATGGCGACGCCACCCTGGTAGCACACCATGTCGGGGATCTCGTCATCGTCGCCGTCGCCGTCCTTGTCCCCATCCTTATCCTTGTGCTTGTCCTGGCCGAAGAGCATGTCATCGACAGGGTTGCGCAGTTTGAAACCCTTGCATGCCTTGTCGTTCTTGCAGACTGGCGTTAACTTTGCACAAACCCGGCTAGCTTACCATTGCAGTTGATACCGCCCCAGCCTTCCTCGCACTTGCACAGCTCGCCGTCGGGGCGGGGATAACGCTCGTCGCCGTCCTTGAGAGACCCGCACACTGTTGTCAGCTAATACTTGGATGAGAGGAGCTTACAAGGTGTCAGACAGTCCTGTCCGCCAAAGCCCGCGGGACACTTGCACTGCCCGTCGAACTTGTTACAGTCGCCGAACTGTCCGCAGTTGAAAGCCGGTAGCTGGCAGTTGAAGCAGGGCGGACAGTCCTTTGGCCTACCGCCGGGGTTGCGAGGCGCAATCTGGGTATCAGCTTTAGGTCTATGCCAGTTGTGAAGCTGGGATGATGGAGTGGAATGCCGAGTTACTCACCAGCGACGCGTTGACTGGGGTGGGGTTGAAGGAGACCTGACCGCGGAGGTCGAGGAGCTCGAGACTCGGCGGGGGGCGATGAGAGCCTGCCAGCGCCGGGCCGGCGAGGAGGAGGAGGGCTGCGGTCACTCGCATAGTACGCTTGTGGGGCGAAATGCAAGCAACTTGCAGATGAAGTGGTATTATGGGCAGAGAGATGAGTGTGGGGCGATGGATCGGTTGGATGCTCTCTGGATCAGGTTGTAAAGGTCAGTGGCGTGCACCGCGCGGTGTGGTGGTGGTGGGTGACCGGCTAGTCTCGGCCATGACGTTGGGTGGCAACAAGCGACGCGGAAGCTTTCAGGGCAGCCAACGCTGGGCCCCTCGCTTGGCTCTGTTGCTACAACCCCGCTCTCTTTCAGCCTCACTGCGTCTGGAGGTGGTAAGTCGCATGCATCTGGGGATCCGACAAGGCCGACAAGCATGTCATCCTGTGCAACAAGCTTTGAGGGGCACGATTAAGACACCTTCCAGCATGCAAACATACACTTCCCGAAGTCTGCTGAAGTTCTTTAAACGTGCCATCATCGCTGCTGCCCATGTCAGTAACGCGAGTGACACCTCCTGGCCTCTTCGGCCTGGTCCGATCAGTCTGTGCCCCACCGCGACGCGCACTCATGTGCTCAGTGCATCTACATGTCTAAAGAGATTACTACTGCTTGGTGAATCCCCGCAATCGGCCCACCGTGCCCCACGGGCCCTTACGATCGTTCCCCACCTTTTCCCGCCACTCTTCGGGCGTAGCCTCGGCCGCCTCACGCCACTTCTCCAAGTCCTCCCATTCCACGTCCAGTGCCCGAACCGCATTCGACAGGTACGCCAGGTCAGATGCGAGCTGGGCAGAGCCAGAGTTGGACAGGGCAGGGATCTTGTGCAACGTCGTCTTCGTCAGCGACGACAGCAGGCTGAGCGCCAGACTTGAGACCCAGGTTGACAGGACAGCTTCGGCACCCAGCGTAGGCTCCTCCTTCTCCGCCTGAGGGTCCAGCACGTCGGACGGCTTCGCGAGCAGTTCACGCAGAGAGTCAACATCCACGAAGGGTAGCGTCTCGATTGAGAATGCGAGCGACTCGTCGGCAGCGTACTCTTCAAACACTCGCAAGAGATTGAGCAGGCCCTCGGCCACGCGCGCCATCGTGTCTGTCGGAGACAGGGAAAAGGTCGGCACGTGCAGGTCGCCGCGTTTCTTCTCCTTGTCGGGCTTCTCCCAGACGGACAGAGATGGGTAGGTGTCGAGCTGTGATCGAAGAGGCGAAAGAATGATGGACTGGAGGAAGACCTGGGCCGATCTCGTAAAGTTGGAGACGGCATCGCGAGCCTTGGTCAGCTCGACGGCTGGCGGTTCTTTCCCGGGCAAAGATCCGATCAGGCTGTGAAGCTCAACCGAGTTCAGCGTTGACTGCTGCAGCAGGGTCAGGGCGCCGAGCGTCGTATCCTTCAGTGTGAAGGACGCCGGGTCCGCAGCCGAAATGATCAACCGCGGCGCAACATCGGTCAGAGCCTGGTAAAGCTTTGTCTCGAACTGGGACAGTTTGTCCCGAATTCCTCGGCATGCCTCCAGCACATGCAGCGCGACTTGGAACGCACCCCAGTCCTCCGTCGAGTAGTCGAGCCCTTCCAGCCCGAGATCGTCCTTACCGTCCCCGGTACCATTGGAAACTCGCTTCGCGCTGTCCAGAATGTCGCCATTGTTCTCCAGGAATGCTCGAACGAGATCGTTCAGAGCGTCGATCAGACCTCGGGTACCATAGCCGTGCGTGAATGCGACACATCGTCCGATTGCATCCTCGGCGAACCCAAACACAACGGCAGCACGCTCATTCAGTGTCCGGGCCGGGTTGTCCCTGTTGGCCGGCCGTGTCAGAGCCGGGTCATGTTTCAGTAGGTGTCGCAGGTAGCGCTTCTCAAGGGCGGGGTACGACGACTGCAGGTCGAGGAACGGCTCGTAGATCGTTGTCTCCCACGCTGTTGGCGACGCAGGCGCCGCTTCCAGGAAGCTGACGGACCGCGAGAATCGGTGAGACATCGACATTCGGTTCGGGTTCGTTGATCGCCGTGATCGCATGCTTGGTGATACCGGCGTGTTCGTGGCCGTGGACGGCGACTGCGAGAGAGAAGCCCCACTGACATGTCCACCTTGTGTGTTGAAGGCGAGCTTGTCCATGAGACCTTGGATCTGGACGCCCAGCTCTTCCGTCGCCGTGAATGCGCGGATAACCTCCGGTAGCGCCTCAGGTCCGTAGTGGTCGGCCACAGCGGAGAGACGATTGTGGAAGCTGGGTGAAAGTGCGTCCAGCGTCGTCTCGAAGAATGATGAGAGAATGTTCGCCGCAGAGTCTGTCTGGAAGACGAGCGGGATCTGCGTGCGCTCCGGATTCAGCGTCTGAATGATAGTCTCGTAGAACTTTGGCAGGAAGGAGCTGAACTTGACCGGTTCCGTTCCCTCCTCGGCACCTTCTCCGGCACCCTCAGAGCCGGCATCGAGCAGCACAACATTCGTCCAGGCTTCCAGAATCGGCGCTCGGCGAGCAGCAAAGTAGTAATTGCGGAACTCGTGCTCGCGCTCCATCATTCGGAAGATCTCGTGGAACTGGGCCGTTGTTGCCGTGTCCACCTGAGCAATGGCATCGCGGAGAGCAGCCGACAGTGCAGTCTCCAACTCGTTTTGAAGACTGACGAGCAAGCTACGCTTCGACTCGTACTCTCCTTCCGTGCTCTGGAACACGACCAGACTCTTACTGGCCTCAGCCAGCCGCTCACCCGCCTTCGTCCACTCGCGCTCGGCGATGAACGTCGTGATCTCGCTCTCGAGTGTGCTCCAGCTTTCAGCTTCGGCAAGAATGTCGCGAGCAGCCTCCATACGCGTCTTCAGCTTGTCGAGGTGTGTGAGCTTATCGAGATGCCGTTGCGTCCTGGCTTCCTCGCTGTCGTTGCCCAGCTGCTGCCGCGCAGCTTTGTCTTGCACTCTGCGCAGACTCGACTGAAGCGACACAGCCGACTCGCGCATGAACTGCAGGTCATAAGTCAGTCTCGGAACAGTGCGCGAGATGTCCGAGATCGACTGCTCCAAGGCGCTCGAAGTGTCCTGGTTCAGCAGGCTGAGACGAGTCATGAGCTCGTTCAGCTGCTTCTCAATCGGCGGAAGATTCGGTGGTTGTTGAGGAGCAGGGGAGGGAAGAGCGGGGGGAACATAGTCGGATAGGAGAGAGTTGATGAAGCCCGGGACGTCATCGTAAGCTGAGTCGAGCGCTGATGCGAGAGCAGGTAGCGAGGAGAGGGGGTCGACAACTTCGTCGAGCTCAACGTCGGGGGTGAGGTCCGGCGGCGTTCGCGTGTCGACCTTGAGATGGTTGTCGTTCGCACCACCCTTGGCGCCTGTCTCTGCCATGTTGAGAGAGTTGACGCGTCGGGCTGGTGTTTTGGTGTAATGTAGAGATTTGTGGTCGCCGGCCGCTGCCCGATCGTCGTCATGCCATCGAGCTTCGGTCCATGTCGTATGTGCCAGCGTGGCGGGTAATGCCATGATTAGGATGTTTGCTTCCGTTATTAGCCGTTGCGATAAGCCGGCCAGGAACCAAATATGAGCAGCCGACCCTTTAACGCGTCTTGGCAACCGCCATCTCGCGACATCATCATCGTTGACAACGGCGGAAAGGGGCATCATGTCGCTGTACAGCGACGTAAGTTGCCGGGGATTGTGTAGAAGCTAACATCTCAGAAATACGACCAGGCCCTGTCGAAGGCGCCGTGGGCTTCGAAAACATCTGGAGGAAGACCGTACCTCTTTGTGAGTGCCCGGAATGATGGAGATCCCTCTGTCCACAATGCAACGTTAACACCACACAGAAATACGCACCGCATCCCGATAGAGCCGGGTACCTTTTCATCGCTACAGATCTCGAGACTGTGTACTTCGAGGCTCTGACGACGACTGGTCTCACTTCTCGTCACGGAGAGGTGGTCACACGCCTGAACGACTTCGATGCGCCGCAGCCGGGCACACTGACACTGGAGGAGGAGCAGAAGCAGATCGACGAAACGTTGGCAAGCTTGGAAGATTTGTTTGATGGAGGCAACTCTCTAGCAGGAGCAAAACTGTCGGCCGAACGTGACGACTACTACGATTTGGTCATAGTTCTAAGGTCACCAAAGCTCAACTGGCAGTTCAATCTGACGTGAGTAGCTGCGCTCACAGTTCCGTCGTCAGCTAGCTAATGCCAGTGAACTGCGCGGACGAGTGCCGTTGACCTTCCTCACAAAACAGTTGCTGGCTCCGTTCGCGGTTCTGATAGGAGAAGACCGTGGCGTCCAGGTAATGCTTACACGGCTAGCTCCAGCTGACAACAGGTCGAGGGAGAGCCGGTTGAAGCCGTCAGCACCATTGTTTCTGACCCGGGTGTGGTCCGTGCGTGGCGCCGCATCATCGGTGCTCCTGTTTCCACCAGTCAGCCATCGCGAGCGGCCACGCAGAGCAGGCAGACAAGCGCTGCGCCCGGCAGCCCATTCAAGCAGCCGGCAACGCCGACGCCGAGGCGGGCCTCGCCTACTCGAAACGCATCACCAGATGCGACGCCGCGACCAGTCACGCCGGTGCGTCCTGGGGCGGGCCACCACGCCAACCAGCCTCCGATGTCGCCTACTCCGTACAAGAAGGCGTTTGTTCCCACCATGGTGTCTTCCTCGTCTAGGCAAGGCAGCCCAAGCGAGCCCGCTACGAACGGTAGACGCATGCGGGAGTCTGTAATGACCGACGTCACTATCCCGCCCAGCAGTCCGCCAGCGATCGTCCCTAGCAGTGACTCCGCTGTGCCCTCGAGCGACATTGCGTCGAGTGACTTGCCGTCCTCACAGATGCCCATGTCGACGCAGGACCCGTTAATGCCATCGCAGGCGGACAAGCCCAGGCGCAAGAGGAAGAAGGATAAGGCGGCCGAGCTGGCGGAAGAGGAGGCGGAGGCGGACCGTCGTCGCGCCGAGATGAAGAGGAAGATGCAGGCTGGAGCGAAGAAAGGTGGCGGCCTCGGCCGCAGGCGATTCTAAGTCAAGCAGCAGAACATCTGTAGACAATCTGACAATGTGTATCCTCCCCTTGTATCTAGTACGATTCTCGTCTATCCATGTATGATAAGTCTACCCGAGGCACAAAAGGTGCCGTTTTACAACTCCCTTAGGCCTGAGCCTGGGGAAGGAGAGCCAACCTGCCGGCAAGCTCAGCCTGGGCACGGACAAGGTTGGCAAGGTAAGCGACGGTGAGGGTGTCCTGGAGACCGTCCTTGACGCCCTCGTCGGAGGAGGACGACCAGCGGCCGACGCCCTCGAGGAGGAAGCGGCCGACCTCGACGTCTCCGGGGTTGCCGGCGTTGACCTTGTGAACGTAGGCGAGAGACTTGTCGAGGAGCTCGGACAGGGACTGGAGCGACGTCGAGAGCGAGGGGAGGGG